CACATCAAAACTCATCAACTTGTACAGAGAAGCATAAGCATAGTCTGTAGCCCTTCCTAGGTAATAGATAGTCCCGTTCATGCAAACTGCACCAGACATTGGAAAGTGACACTCAACTCCTTGGATGGACCTCTACTGCTTTGCTCTGGGATCTCCTAACGTGAAAACTTGACAACCTTGATCCATTATATCTGATGGTGGGAATAATATTTTGTATTGATTCTCGAGACACTACAAGAAAACAGCCGATATTCTGACGGAATTACCGACGGCCACAATCCGTCGGTAATTTTCCGATGGCCTTCCGACGGCATTTTAATGGCAAAATTTTAACTGCAAATTTTAACGGAAATTTCCGACGGAAACCGTCGGAATAATGGAACGATTTCCGACGACATACCGACAGCTTTAATTTCCGTCGGAATAAAGGAACTATTTCCGACAGCGTATCGACGGGTTTGAAATCCGTCTGGAACATATATCTGTTGCTTAAGAGTTGTAAGGACTTATTATAACATTTCCGACGGATTTTTGACAGTGTATCAACATTCGACGATATTCTGTCGGAAATATTATAGCCGTAAGGACTTATTTTATTATTTTAAGTAATCATTCGGACGGAATTCTGAGGAATAATGAATGTTCCAACGGTTTTCCGAGAGATTTCCGATGAGTCAAGGGTTTAAGGTATCCATATTGTCTCTAAGATAAAACAAACATTGATACATAAATAAAAGGACATCTATTAATAAGTTATTATGTTTTGTATGATGTTAGAGCTACATTTTTGCAATTTCCAAAATAGTTAAGATTGAATGTTTGAAAGTGTTAGATGAAGTTTAAGAGTTTATAAGTAGTAGTATAGGTTATGAATATGATAAAGGTAAAATTTTGTGTAATTATGTTTTAAGAGTTTAGTTTGGACATTCTTTGAAGGGAATCATCAAAAAACATGTATTGTTTACTTTTATAGTTATTTTCATCCATTTTTGGATATCCTAAATCTTGAAGCGTCAGAACATCGTCGTTAAACTACCTTGTATTTCGATGGATTTCCGACGGAAAACATATTTGTGTCTTAAAAAAATCTATCGGAATGAGGGTACGTTTATCGACGAATGTCCGACGGCCTTAGGTTTTTTACACACCGCAACATTTTGCGAAGGCGCGAAAAATAATTAGGGAAAAAATTTTTAGGCGGCAATTAATTAATTCATTATTTTACCGACGGAATTTTGACGGTTGTCCATCAGAAAAAGTTAATTACCTATTCTCGACTGTTCGGACTCCCTTCATTTCCATCTTTCTTCTCTTCTGAAACCCCTAATCTCCTCCTCTCGAAAGCGATTCTCGCCGTTACAAGATTCTTCTCTCCTTATTCTTCACACCCACTGAACTCGACTCTTCCATTCTTCTCCTCCTTCTTCTCTCTTCCGCCGACTCGTCGTTCTCTCTACCGCCGCTCGTTCTTCTCCCCGCCGCCGAATCTCACTTCTCTATTCTTCTCTCCCCCGCCGCCTCGTCCTTCTCTCTACCACCGATTCGCCCTTCTCTCCGCCGCCGATTCCCGCATCTCTATCCTTCTCTCTACCGCCGCTTCGTACTTCTCTCTGCCGGGGATTCTCGCATCGCCATGTAAGTTTACTATTTATCGAGTCAATTTTGTAGCTTAATTTGTCAGATTTACTCTCAGTGTTCATGTTTTTTTTTTCTTCTTTGGATTTAGTCAGTTTGGTTACAGTTTTCTTTGTTCTTGGTTATTGGCTCAGTTTCTCTGTTAGCTTGTATCTGGTTGATAGTTTGTCTGGAAATGTTTGCGTCTGTGTTAATTTTTTTGTAAACTCCGACAAATTGCTCGTTCTTGCTTCCATGTGTTCAATTTTCAGTATCTTTTGGTTTATTTGATTGGGCTACGAATTTAAACAAGCTTTTGTTTATTGACTGGGTTATTTATTTAATTGATTGTGTTGATTTGAATGTGTTCTTCATCGAGTAGAACCAAATGTGATTAGTTAGGTTTAATTAGTACTATCTGTGAACAATCATGTAAGCCAACAAATGTTGGATAAGTCTAGTGAACCAAATGTGATTTTTGAAGAGTTGTTTGATTAATTTCGTCTGTGTGAAGCATTGTTTGATTAATTTCATAGGTCTTTGCACTTCAAACTGTACTTGTTGACGCTTAATTTAGTTGGTGTAAAGAATCTGTAAGTTTTCTGAAACAGTGACTGCCTGCTTTTAAATGTGTATATTAAAAAAAAAAACGTTGTTTGCTTACTTATGTTTCATTGGCAGCAATTCTACAATTGGGACCCTGAGTTGACTCCTCTCGTTCGTTCAGAGTTCAACGCACATGCCACGAAGTTGTACTCCGACCACCTCTATGCGTGGAAGCAGAAGTATTTAAAGGGGAAAAAGCCAAAGAATATTAACTTGGATGTCTTCGATGCTCTCAAGCCTTACTGGGATAAGCTTGAAACCCAAGCTACTTCAGCTACTAACTCAAAATACCGTAGAAGTGAACGAGATGGCATGGGAATGTCTACTCATAATGTTGGTGCCCAGACAATCGAAGCCCGAGAAGAAGAGATGGTATGCTTTCTTTCTTTTCTCTATGAATTACTTCCGGTTTTCTTTTAGCTTTTAAGAAGTTTGATCCGGTTGTCTTTCAGCTTTTAATAAGTTTGATCCTCTTGTTTGCAAGACGATCGCGGCCCCAAGGCGCGGGAGTTTGTGGACAACGTGAAGAATATCGTGGAGGAGAGGATGACACATCGCATACAAGAAGGCTTGGGCCCGAGAGAATATCAACGAAGTGGTTATTGAGGTAATTTTTTTTTTTTTGGGAACTCATTTCTTGTTTCTTGTGATGAATTTGCCTTTAGGTAGACATTGGAAGCATTGATTAGGTTTTTAGTTGTTAGTTTCTGGATTTGTGGACAAGCTTGTTATGCGATGTTGTTTGTGAGGGTTTCAGCTGTTTACTTTTACATCTATAACTCATTGAGCTTAGAGCTTAGACTCATAGTTGGTTTTGATCTAATGTGTCTTTTGACTGAAACTTAGACTCATGTGTGTTTTGACTGAAACTAGTGTGATTGTTAACTAATTGTCATGTCATAGTTTTGATTGAAAGTAATCTTGACTACAAGTTTTTGTCATCTTTTTGCAGAATGCTCTTGTCAGCAAAAACCGCACGTACTGTTTGGGAAAACTCGTTGATGATCCTGTCCGCCAAACTTCTTCTAGCTATCCACCCAACTCTAGCCTTGTCTAAGAAGTGAAGATGCTCAAGGAACAACATTTAGAGAAGGATGCAAGGCTCAACTCATTGCAGTCAGAGGTTGACAACCTTCGGAACATATTGAAGGAGAACTTTCCCTCTGCTTTTCCACAAACCCAGCAGTAAAATCAGATTCTAACTCAGTAGGTTTCCCACTTACCCTCTTCTTTTATCCAAATTCTACTTTCCATCTCCTTTTGCCCAAACTCTAATATTTTGTAAGAACAAAGCAATGTCTTCTGTCTACAAAACTAGTTTTAATCTTTTGTATTTCAAATATTAATTTCTATTTCAGCATTTTCCATTATTTAATATTTTCAATATTAATCACAAATAAAGCAGAAATAACAGGGTCAACCAATTTAAAACCCGTCCCAAATCCATCAGAAAACCCGTCTAAAATCCGTCGGAATTATTTTCACAACTCCATCATAAATCTGTCTAAACACTGTAGGTATTATTTTCAATGCAATTCCGACCAAATTCCGTTGAACAAATAAGTGATGCATTTCCGACGGATTTCCCAATCTCGACTGTTGTCGATATACTCTTGGTAATCCGTCGGGAATATTTCCGACGGATTTCGACGGCGTTTTCCGGTGAATTTCCGACGGGTCTCCCGTCCAAGACCGTTGTGGATAAACCCTCGGTTATCCATCGGTAAATATTTCCGACGGATTCCGACGAAGATTTTCGATGGATTTCCGACGTCCTTAACTTTTCCGACAATGTGGAACTGACGGAGTGAAACGGTCGGAAATCCGTCGAAAAACATTGTTTCCGACGGATTGTCGACGGTTTCGTCCGTCGGTTTGACGCTGTATTCTTGTAGTGAGAGGGTCGTATCCGAATAAGCAAGAGCCCATCGCGAAGTTTCTCAACTTTGGTAACTGAAAAGACTGCCTTGTGGTAGGGTTATATATATGTGGCTCGTGAAGACAGTCTGTCCAACAAAAAATCAAGCCGCGGACGTACTGATAACATCCGTGAGGGAGTAGTAATGATTTTTGTTCAGTATTTCGAGTGCACGAACTAGACGATAAGACTAAGGAGCTTTTCGCGTTGTCGTAGTCGGTTGAAACATTGTAGGAGAGGAGATAGGCATCACGAGGAGACCGAGTCATGATAGATTCTATGAAGTCTCTTCTCCTGCTGATAATTGATGACCATAGCTTCGAGACGCATTGGAATCTCACTAGAGATTTCGCCGGGAGTTTTTTCAGTATTTACACCGTTAGGTCGAGTGGGATATTGATATCTCCCGTGGAGCTTCCACTGTGATGTAGTCGTGCCGGCGATGGTGATGTCTCGTGATTCTCTTCGCGTCTTTTCTTCATCGCCTCTGTTTTTGTTTTGTAATGCCCTAGAGAGATATATAAGAAAGAAACGAGTCTTTGTGAATCCCAATACATATATAATTATATATACAGAGTGAAGTATGTTGTATGTTTTCTTCACATCATCCCAGTAAATTATGGACTACAACTTATAAATCTCTCACTTATAGTTAACACAAGTATGCAATTATAACATAAGCCAAAGACCGATATATTATAACATATTGGATCAATTTAAAAATCAAGAAATTTGAAAAGCCTTACAATATTGTAAGGTAACAAAATATAAAAGAAGGACGATTACATGCTATCATATTTAACAATGCACACATAAGTTTTAGAATAAGGTGCACCAGAACGTCGGATAAAGTTTAAAGAATTTATTTACGAATGTTGATGGGTTCATAAAGGGCCTTCTTAATGTCTTGAAGCATCTCCGTATCCGAATCATAACGATTCTTCTTGTTGAAGAACATCTCATAAACTTTGCAAAAAGACATATGAATATCTTTGCATGGTTTAGGCAAATCACTGAATTCATCCATTAGGGCATGCTCCACAAATTCTCTCCTCTTTGAATCAATGATCTTCTGAATATAAGAAATAGAGTCCTCTATCTCAAGACTACAATGGCTCCTCATGTGGACCAGCACGGAGTTGATCTTGCCTTGTTCTTGTTCCTTCTGCAAATTTCGATATCAAAAGTTTACTCGTCTAGTACAAGAGAGTATTTCATAAGCCTATAAGATAAGAGCTAACCTAAATTATTAATTTTATCCAAATTTTTGTATTAAAAAATAACCTAATTAATAATTAGTATCCCTACCACTTATTGTTAAATTTAATAAGATTCATATCACCTGGTAACTCTGTAGATCGTTAAGGAGTCGGGTAATAGTCATGAGCAATGTTGTCAAGTTATCGTAATTTCCAGGTTTGAGTTTGTGTTGAGGAAAAGAAGATTCAATGAGACACGAAATGGGAAGAACAATGGTGTGTGCTGCGATTGAGATCATTCCGTTTCGTAGATATTCTTCCATTGAGGGTACGTGTCCCTTCTTACTCCATTCGGCTTCACATAGCCAAGACTCAAATGTTTCTCTCCACTGCATTTGTAACATTAAAAAATTAAATCCTAATATGGAGATTGATATTAAAAAAAGGCTAGCTATATGCTTAACACATGCAAGTCCATGGTAAGAAGCCGTGAAATTACCAACATAAATTGTTCAATTAATTTTGTAGAAGACATACTATGTTGCGAAGATGGTCTGTTACGTCGGAACCGTGTTGCTTACGGCAAGTCTCAGCAGTCTCTTTTACAATATCATCAAGTGCTCTAAATATGATTTTGCCGTAACCTTTAAGCTCTTCTCCTTCCCATCTACCATATGAACGTCAAAAATGATTTAATCAAGAATTTAAATAATATTAAGTATGATATCAAAGTGTGTCGATAGATAATTAGGTTATTATGAATGTTTCTTACTACATCTGCGTAAGATAATATTTATAACTAATGTACCTCAGAACAGCTTTAGTAAGAGCTTCTAGTTCATCAACAGAACCTTCTTCGTCGAAGAAATCATCAGCAACTGTGATAAGGATGCCACTTTTTGCCATAAGCGTACGAACATTAGTTGCGGATTCAAAAGGTAATGAAGTGCTTGAAGAAGATGCAAAGTAACAATATGTTGTCTTCTCTCTACCAAATCCGATATCGTTAAGTCCCCATTTCTTCACCCACCTGACTCAAATTAGTTAAATATAGAGTTTTAGTTCGACGATTGATTTGTAGTAACAATAATGAAATTGGCTTGTGAGAAAGTTTAGTAGGGTTTATCTCAAAATATTACTTACTTCACCAAGTCCTCCATTTCACGTCTATATACTGCTTGTCGAAGTTCGAAGTTTCTTGAAGCAAGATGAGTAAGCTTGTGGCTATATATACTGTTTAATATGATTCCAATGATAATATAAAACCCAAGTTAGCTTTATATATATAAATATAAAGTATGCATATTGAACATATACCGAATCAAAGAGGCTTTTCCAATTGAGAAAGCATTTGAGTCTTTGTCTTCAATCCACATTCTATGATCAAGGTGTTTGAGTCGAGCCATCCATGGGGTACTCATTTCATGTTTAATGTGAAAACTAGGCACCATTTTCTCATTGATAAATCCATTTTTCTCGAGTAGTTTCCGGGAGAATTCTCTTGCTTCTTCGAGCTCACACTCTCCCGGAAACATGAGATCAGTTGCTCTGTAAACACCAAGCATCACAAAGAATGAACATTCAATGTTTGTCTTTAGATGCTCTTGGATTTCTTCGTCATTCAAGAACGAACAAAAGCTCCCTGCACAAAATGTGTGTAAAAATAAAATATTGAAGAAAGAAAATATTGAGCATAGGCTTAAAAATTAGTTCTTTACTTGGTAAAACATCAAAGCCACTCATTCTTAACATTCGAAATTCTAAAGAGGCTTTGTGCAACTGATCTACTTTGGAACATATTGGCATTCTCTCGACATCCCCCTGTTCGTAGCTTCTATAAGGATAAAAAGAGAGGACTTAATCCAAATTATTGTATACATATATAGTAAATTTACTTTATCATAAAGAATGAAAGCTCATAAGAGTATTTTATCTTCGCTCTCACTTGTAAGTTTCATGAAGAAAATGATCAATCTCTTCACCGAAGTACTCTCCTAAACCGTAGTTATCCATTATATTGACCATAGATAGCTTGATGAGTTCTTCATTCAATGGGTATATTTGAGGCACTGTGTTTAAAATACATAAGCATCAGCAAAAACAAACAAACAAAATATTTATTAAGATTTAGTACCTGAATCCTAATTTAAAAATTAAAAGGTGTTAAGAAACTTAAATAACCTCCATGAGGGCATCTTTTTACAAGAGATTGAAGATAAGCCAGACTCTTTTTATTGTGTGTGAGCATAAATGCTGCTGCAGTTGCTGAAGGTGATTGAAACAAAGAACCATCCTGCTGGTTGAGTTTCTCAACTATGTCTTTTTGAATTTCAGCGTACAATTTTGACGGCAATACTTCTAGATATGCAAGTAGAGGCTGCCGGTTGAAACCAACGTCGAATAGCTTTTCTCTAAATATCATATTAATAAATCAGGTAAGTGTTAATATAAGAATCTCACATCAGAAGTGATAAAAGGCTACCAATATTATATTTTTTTATTCTATTTTTCAGTTAGAACTTATAATTTTAATATGTGATTCTTCACTTTTACATGTATCTATCGTCATATCGATTGGCTCATATGAAGATTAATTTACTTAATTTGTATTGATCAGTAATTGTAACGAACCGGTCCAGAATATCTTGGCGTTGGAAGAACAAGTTGTTGATGATTTGCTTAGCTCGAGCAGAGAAGAAAAGATGTAGGCCACGTTGTTGAGCAAGCTCGAGGAGTCCAGTGAACATGAGGACAAGCCAACGAGGACAAGAGCCCTTCTTATTATATCTCCCAATAATTCTCTCTGTATTTTTTTCGATGTATCTCTTCCCTAATACAAAATAAAATAAAATGAGGATTGGAGATGGAGAGTTATAAAATTAACATATGATTTATAATATTTTCTACTTAATAATCTAAAACAAGAAAGTACACTATAACTAAAAAAAATTCAGATATGTAGAAAAAACGCGCCCCTTCTGTAGTTGTACGCATGCATGTGAAACGTACGTAATGCATGTAGCAATATATGTATAATTTTCATCCAAACACGTGCAAAAAAAAGGTGAAAATGAGTCAACGAAACGATTACCTTTGTGGACAAGAAGACTTCCAATGTTCCATTTGCGAAGTGCTAAAACACAAGCAAGTGTCGATGTGAGAGTTTCTTCGTCTCCGTTTCCATCTACGTGAGTCCCCCACTGTCCTTCTACAACGTTCTGATTGCTCAGAATCCAGTCTAAACAACCTCGAAACATCGGTTTTGGGGTATTGAGATCTTCTATCATGGCTAGCCACGCTGTGTCGTAAGCCGAGGGAGAGACAAATGAGAAAGGATTTATATTAAACTTATCTAACTCAAATGTTTCTCTCTTGATCTCCTCTGCTAGAGCGTAGAGATCAGAAGAAAAAAAATTCTCTAATTTCATTTTATGTTTTTAAGTTCTTTCTTCCTTGAAATGTATGTCCGTAGACTAATACGTTTACTAGCTATTAGATATGTGTCTTTATATATAGCTTCGATTTTTTTTCATAAATTATAATTAATCGATTATGTGGAAGAAAATGCAACTAGAAAGCCTACAAAATAAGTATATATATTGTACTAAACACATATTGTCCTTCCCATGTTTATGTCATGTCTTAATGTTGAGACAAGTTTGTAAAATTTGGGGACGTCCGAGAAGGCCAGAACCACATACTTTTGCAAGCTCTTAATAATTGTATACAAAATCATTACGTACGATTGTTGTCGTTATTACATAAAAACTAATCATTAAATAAAAGAAATCCTTTGAGCTCTGTTTTAAACATTAATGAGTCCTTTCAAAAAAAGGTTAAATTGAAGTTGTTCTCTCTCTTGCTACAAAGGGTTTGATTGGTAGAACATTGATAAGAATCCTATGTTTTTTGTCATCCAATCAAGATTTTTAGGAAAGGATGTAAGAGAGCATTTGGAAGCTACAAATGCTCCATAAGAGCATCTCCATCAATATCTCCATCCTTGATGAAGAAACAGAACCACATACTTATTACATCGACCTTTCATAGGCCCTAACTAATAGTATACGATATCACCACTATCGATTATCATCGTGTGGATGTGGGAAATAACTTTCTGAATGTTTTTATTCTGAAATTTAGGGACCATGTAATTCCTGATATATAGGTACTGAGTTTCAGAAACCAAGAACATCTTCACATGGAAAGAAAATGATAGTACATATAGATTCCTTTCCTGCATTTATTTTTTGGTTTGTCCGGGGAAATTTTTTGTAGTGTAACAACCTTAGTGATCATCAAGATCACGTGAATAGTATTCATCATGCTAAGCTACGTTTCCATTAAAAAAAAAAAAGAGTGATAGTGAGATAGATATTTGTTTTTGGAACCAACAAGTTTCAAACCTTCAATTTTTTTTAATGACTATGAGGTTCTGGTCCTGAATGCATGTACATTAACCAATAACATGAAATATAACTCTTCTTTAGAAAAAAACCCTTCCCAACACGGACCGAACATATGATCTCCAAGATGCTTAACCATTAGGACAACTAATCGTTGGTATCATACCTCATATGAACAGTAGATTACTACAATGTTCCTAAAGGTAATCAATCAAGTTGGAACATCTACTATGAAGCAAAAAAAATTACCAGCTGGTCTGATCTTATCTTGTATGTTCTTGTTGGAGGTTTAATAGAGATTATACAAGTGCCAAGAAGAAGAAGAAACCGGCAAGAGGAATACACTCGAGTTCGTGTGTATGTGGGCTTCAGCTGCTCGAAGGCCCATCTTTCTCCATTCTTTTGTCACTCTTCGCAAGACCAATACCACAAAAGCCCAACTTAAACGAAAATTTACTTCATCATTAGGTTCCAATTAAACATGTGCAACTTAGACCATCTCTATTCCATCATTTTCTCCCTCATTTTAGTGTTCCCTTATAATAGTGTGATATTTCTCTCCAATATATTTTCTTATTTTTTACACTAAAAATGAATATTGTATTATATATAAAAGCCTTTTATTTATAAGTTTCACATATTAGCCCCACTTATTTTATTATTTGAGAAAAAACCCATAAATTAATATATTATTTAAACTAAATATTTCTTATTTAAAGTAATTAAGCTACATTGTTAATTAAAAATATAAAATATGATAGATTTTAGTTTATAAAACTTTAATAATTATGATATAATTGAAATAAATATTTAAATATAATTTGTTTAGGTTCAAAATAAGAAAAATTTAAATTTGAGGGATCATTATGCAAATAAAAAAGCATAACATCAAAAATGAGGGAGAAATAAAATCACACTATATTTAAGGGAAAAAATAGTGTTCCCTTATTTTGATGGGAATATAAGGGTGGGTTGGAGAAGAGTTTTACAATAAAATAATGTTTAAGGGGAAATATAAGGGTGGGTTGGAGATGCTCTTAGTATTCAATTTAGTGACTTTGATTTTGCACATGTTAAAGAAAAATATCATGCAATTCTCTTTTTTTTTTTTTTTTTTTTTTTTAATTATATCATGCAACATAGATCTATATTACATAATATTAATACCATGCTTTTAGTTGAAATCACGTGTAAATTATTATACGTACTATTCATTTACGATTTTGTCTTGATGTATATTTATTGCAAAGTCATACCTTCGATATATCATATACCAAATATTAGTGAAGAAAAACAAACAGATCCCAGTTTTGCATTTAAAAAATAAAAATAAATGATTGATGTACCTATGCATATTAAGTTTAGCTAACTTATCTAGGGGAAAAATATACTTTGGAATTTGTAAATAATCAGCTTCTGTTATTAGTATACATCTTGCAACCATAGGGTAAAAAGAGACGTATACACCCTTCTTGACGTAAACAAATACGTATACATATGTGAGATCATGTGTATATATATATTCCCATATAGTATACTGTGTAAACTATATATATTATGTGTGCATAAATACATATCTATAGAGATTATGAGTGCCAGTTCATGTTAGGAAGCTGAAACGCCTGCCTTAAAACCCCATGATCAGTCGTATCAATAACTCCATTTCCATGAAACCCCGAACTCTGAGGAATCTCACTAAGCATTGAGACAAAAGAGACATTGTAGTTGTCATTGTTGATATCAGTCGTATGATGAAACCTCTTGCTCGATAAGAAAGATCCGAATGAAGACGATCCTGAGGCCTCGTGACCCATTCGATACTGACCACACAAGGAACGTTTGTCTGAGGAAACGACCATACCATCGAAAAAGTGTTCTTCGTTATTGTTATTGTTGTTGTTGTTGTCGTTGTTGTCTAAGACCGATGTGGAAGATGAATTAGCTGATGATTTTGAGAGCATTCCTTCCATTAGATCCTCTCTTAGTAACACTCTCTCCATCGTTGGTCTTTGTGAACTGTTCTTCTTATAGATTCTACAAAGAACCCAATCGTCTAGCTGCAAGATTTTGATTTATGGTACATTAGTCAATACACCAAACCAGTAAAGGTTAATAGCGTGTTAGCCACGTTCACTCAAAGTGAATTTTACACCCAAAAAGATATTTTGGTATGAGCTTCCCACGTGAAGGAATGTTGTACACTAATAATATAAAACCATATAAAGTTGCAAATGTCACAAAATTGAATTGACCTACATGTTTTAGTTTGCTTATACATTGAACTACAATCTTAAAGTTATTTTACAGCACTAATTTTGAGGTTTGCTTATAATATCTTGAATTTCATTACTAATTAATTACCATGCGGAGACTAAAATTTGATTATCCAAATTGTTAACATACAGTATATACTAAAAGTTAATATATATTACTGATTAACATACGGAGACTCAAATTTGATGACCCAAAATTTGTTAATAGCTAGATGTTAGATCATTTTCACATACCCGTAGTGAGTTTTTTCTTGTGGTGGCTGAGTCAGGTGGCTTAGCTGCGGCGTTAAGGTTACCATCAGTGAGACGATACTCATGCATGATCCAATCCGTTTTGATCCCTTTAGGAGGTTTGCCACCGTAGAAAACAAGTGCTTTCTTGACGCCAACTTTGTGACTATTGCACGTAAATATCGGTTTATCCGTTCCGGTAGCTTTCCAATAACCGGAAGTTGCTGCCCGGTTTGGTCTAACCCCATTCGGATACTTCCGATCTCTAGGACTAAAGAAGTACCACTCGTGCTCTCCAAAACTTGCCTTGCCTAAATCATTAACCAAGTGATCATCACTATGTAATAATCAACTTAAATATACATTTTAATTATTCACAATAAACACATAAATTAACATATATATATATATATATATATATACAAATCTAAGGGATAAATACTTGGAAGCTCCCAAGGATCGAACTTGTAAAGATCAATCTCGGCGATGATTGAAACCGGAAGTGGAATGGAAGCAGCTTTCTTCTTGAGGTAATGAACAACTAGTTCCTCGTCGGTCGGGTGAAACCGAAACCCGGGAGGGAGATGTGGATGACCCGGCCCTATGCTTGAATCTCCCATATTCTCCATTAGTCTCAAATCCAAAGATTTATTTTACGAAATTAGGGTCATGATCTTCAAGAGAATGTGTAGGAAGATGATTTGAGAATTTGGAGAGTGAATGTGTGTGTATGATATAAGATGCAAGAAGAAATATAGGTGTTAGGTTTGTGTGTGCATACGAGTACCGAACTGGGTCTCTCGACGAGGAAATGACACGTGGCTGATCGTGGGGCCCAGAATTAGCGGCCAATGGGCATTAAATTTTGGAGAAAAGGCAGGTTTTTTTCGAACTGCCTTATGTCATGCCTTTCTTATGCTACACATCACGCACATACCTCATTTTGGTTTTTTTGGTAAAAGATTTGTATTAATTATGTAAAAGAAAATGTGAGAATTCCATCTCTGCACATACACTAATTCACTTAATTAATATTAGAAATCTAAGAAAAATTTAAAATATATAACATGTCATATATGTCGACTACAAAACAAAATTTGAAAATAATATCTGAACAAATAGACTATTGTTATAGTCTTATAGATAAAACTCATATCAGCAAAGCTTACTTTATATTTTCTCTAGTGCATCAACGTAACATTTACGAGTACTATTTAAATTTTTTTTTTTTTTTGCGATGGTGACCGCTTCAAAGGATGTTTTAGTTCTTCTTTCCTTCACCTGGCGGTGTTTTACTTATAAAACATAGGAAACGTAATAAGAATACTTTTTGGTATCAGAAAATATATACGTCTTTGAAGGTTTTTTGTTTCTTCTTCCAACATGCTTGCAAGTCAAAGAGAGAAAAAAACTTTCACCGTCTCAGACATATTTGATCTCCAAGTATTTTCTTCAAGTCCAAATGTTAGAAAACGAACTTTGAATTCTTCCTTGAATACTAGCACGAGAAGAACAAGTATTCTGCAACATTTACATACCATTATATATACGGACACATACCTATTTCCTACCAATCTAAAACCAGTTCTTCTATTACAAACTTTACTTCATAAACAAAAACAAAACCAGTTCTCTTCATCTCTAAACCACTCTTTTGGTTGTTCTGATTATTTCGTTTCAAACTCTTTTAATTCTAAATTGCTCCATGCAACGTTTGTTAGCATCTTGTTCAAAATTCGCATTCACAAGATGCATTACAAACCCAACCCTACCTAAACCACCCCCATGTGACATTTTCATCAATCATCGCGGGATAGATACCAAGAAAACTATTTCAGGTCTATTATATAATCATTTCACTAGGCTACGTTTGAATTCTTTTTTGGATAGTAAGAGTTTAAAGCCAGGGGATAAGCTTTTTGTCGAGATCAATGCAGCAATCAAAGAATGCAATGTTGGTATCGCTGTTTTCTCTCCTAATTACTGCGACTCTTACTTCTGTCTCCATGAACTCACCATGCTCATGGAGAACAAGAAGAGAATCATCCCTATATTTTGTGATGTCAAGCCATCGGAACTCTACGTCAAGGATGACGGGACACGTCCGGCTACTGAGATCCGAAAGTTTCAATTGGCCATCGAAGAAGCAAGATATACCGTAGGACTCACGTTTGATACATCTAATGGGTATAAGCTCTTTCATTTCCCCAGTCAATATTATTCATTAATGATTTTTTACAAAAATATATGAAATGTATGATTTCGATAATGTTTACAAATTAACGTAAATAAAAATATCTGTATAACTCATACTTGAACCTCTGTTTACATGGCGACAATGATATACAAGTTCTTGAATGCTAAATTAAGTGCGATTGATGTTTTCTTTAAAACAATTCTGTAGAGACTGGTCAGAGTTCTTGGCCATGGCATCGGATGCAGTCACGAAGAACATGTTAGACGTCGAAGAGGAGAGACTAAAGAGCATCAACCCCACGTACAAGCACATGTGACATGTGTACTTAGGTCAATCAAATAGTCCAACAATAAAACGTGTTTTTCTCTTCTATTTATTTCGATTAATTTAATAGCTAATTCATTATTTTCTGATGTTGACTAATCATTTTTTTTTTCTGTTAACCTCATTCTTGTAAGAAGTTAATTAACTTCATTCTTATGTCTCAAAGTGGACAAATATTGTAACCAGTGATCATACAAAATATAACAGATTGAATCATGTAGCCTTTCCCAATATTCTAATGTCCTAATTAAGTTGTTTATGACATGTTCGTCTCAATACAATTTATTTTCTGGTTCTCTTTTTGGCAATGATGATATTTAATTAGTGTTTCAAACTTTAGACTGCCTTAATATTTAACAACTTGGTTCTCGATGTTTCGGAATAATGGCTCCCCTGACCCATTCTTTATAACCCTCTAATACTTTTTGTATTTGTTGTCTTTTTTTCAGATTTTGTTATCGAAACCTTTTAATGATATAGCAACTTATTCCCGCCGTATTCAGTTGAGTGATTTAGTCCAACTTATATTTACCAACTTAATTAAAGATTTTTCACGGTGGGGTAAAAACAAGAAGAAAAAATCTTCTTCAGCATCGGAAAGGTTTTGTAGTGTCATCGAGTAGAAGGAACTCTTTTGCCTCCTTGGATTACTCAGAAGAAGGCATATATCCACAGGCCCGATCTAGAGAATATGCGAGCTAGGCGACAGTTTAGGATCACAACATTTTTAAAATTTTGAGCATTATATAAAAACGGACCACAAATTTTATTTTTCACTCGGACCACCATTTTTACTGGAGGCCCTGTATATCCATATAATTAATCCAATTAAGAGATTCCTCCATTAAAAAAGATCTAATGACAACTTCTGAGTGATTTTGAGAGATGCTCTCGTCTCTTATTAGAGGGGTCGAAGAACATGAGTTCGTAGAGGTAGAAACGGTGGAGAAATAGAGGCTCGTCCGTATCTCTCCCCCTTGTTTTAAGCCTGTTTTGTATCTACTTTAAGCATCTCCTGTCACCATTTCCTCAGCTCAGAAAGTGGCCATGTTGGGTGTTTTGTTTTTCAAAAAAGAAAAAGAAAATCTTTATAAAATTTTATTTACATTTTTTTTGGTTATAAAACTTTATTTACTTTGATTAATGTAAACTCTTCAACTAACAATAAACACGTACTGACTTTCCGGGAGGCCCATATTTGGTCGACTTGCACTTACGCACTTTCGACAAAGCTGATTGTCCACTTTATCATTATTTTAAATTGTACAAATTTTTTTTATATGTAACGATATTGTGTTAAGTTGAGATGAGACAAAAAAAAAATAGATTTAACGCAAAAGATACAGATAACACTAAATCTTCAAACATTATACTAGGAAAATAAAAAGGTAAAAATAATAATAACCATTCCTAAAACCCCTAGTTGAAGCGATCTATATATATAATTGATTCTCCTCCTAGCTCATCGTTCTTCTAAGCAACAAAAAGAAAACAGAATTTATATAGAGAAAGAGATGGAAGGACGAATCTTATATAGGATAATAGCGACAGTGTCGATATTGGGCATCTATATATCACTCTATAGGTTGTGTCCTTTATCGTGTTCGTTGCAGTATGCGAGCATCGGTGGCACAACCTTGTACGTGGTGATGTTTCTTATGTTACACTTCCCAACCACTATTCGCATCTACAAGGAACATGAGCCTCCTTTACCTCGTACACGAACGCTCTTCTCCGTAATTCCTATGGCAGCCATATATTACTTCTCCTTCATTTACCCAAGTCTGGATGTTTTTGTCTACGTCTACTCCATGTTCGCTTTCGGTTTTGCCATGTTCAACCTCAATTCTCCTATGCAATTTCTACACGTATGCTGCACCTTGATCTTTGGATTTAATCTTGGTTACACCGGACACTTGAATGGTAAAAATTATATCCCAGACACGTCTATATTGCAAACATTGTTGGGTTCTTTTTTGTGGCTTTATCTACACGCCAGGGCTCTCTGTAACATTAATGGTTTCTTTTTTTAGTGTTAGATAATTTACCCACGTGTTCTTTTTTTTTTTTTTTTTTTTTTTTTTTTTACTTTTTGCTTAATGGGTTTAAAAAGCCCCCCTTAATCAATCCAATGATTCCAATCCAAGGGTTGTGGAGAGGATGTCACTACCTCAAACCGTCTCACATAACACACTCACACTGCTTTTTACATCTCCTGTTGAAACTGGAATCACAGGAAAATATAGACCGAAAAAAAAACTGTATCAGTTTCTATTAATTTGAATATTCCATTGTCCTAAGTTGTTTATGACATGTTCGTCTTAGTACAATCTTTTTCTGGTTTTTTCTTTTTGGGAAATTATCATATTTAGTGTTTTAAACTGTTAATTGTTGAATGTTCTATAGAAGAGTCCATGCATATTCTTAGGGTTTCCCTGGTATAACAAAATAATGAAATAACTCAAAACTTGTCACATGAACAAACTGAACTCAATAAAACTTTCATAAAAAGTTATAAAACGTTAAAAGTTAGTAAAATTTATAGAACTCTCTGTCTCTTGGATATATAGATTTTATATTGTGTTTGAATTTTGTGCTTTGATTGTCCTTTAATTATGTGATTAGGGATTCTTGCATCCACACATACCAACTTCCCGCTGCTTGTTTCCTATCAAGAGCACAACGCAAATTACCTAGACGGTCTTATACTTTACCACTTGGTTCTTGGTGTTTCAGGATAATTAATTAATTAGCCCTCTAATCCTTTTGGTTTTAGTTGTTGTTGTCTTCTTTTTCTAAAAACGATTGTAACCAAAAAAACCTGGTCGATCTCCCAAATTTATGATACAGTACAGCATAATATATTAGAAGAAAAAAGTCTTCTTTGTAAAGAAATAGTTTTCACTCAGCTGAGTGATTTAGTCCAACTTATATAGTTATATTTACCATCTTAAAGATTTTTCACGGTGGAGTAAAAACAATATGAAAAAACAAGCCTGTTTTGTAACTAGTTTAAGCATCTCCTATCACCATTTCCTCAGCTCAGAAAGTGGTCATTGCTTGGTTTCTTTCTCAAAAATATATAACAAAAAAAAAAAAAAAAAAAAAAAAAAAAAAAAAAACTATACATACACCATCAGATAATGTTCTTTTAATTGTCGGCAACAAATAAAATCGTTAAAGCAGAATTTCCTAAAATTAAAATGAGACGTTGTGATGCTTTATTTCCAAGTTGACTTTGCTTTTTATCTTTTGATACATTTTTGTTTAATGACTAGATTAGCTGAATTAGGAAAAAAATAATGAAAAAGACGACGACGAGGAAGAGCATAAACATTATTAATGGGGACCACTAAATAATATTGGTCAGTCACTAACCAACCATGTGCCCCCCAAGCTTAACTCATCCTTTGCTGTCACCGTAAGCTTCGAATCCAAAAATTTATAAACTCAAGTCAATATGTCTCCTTCACGTCTTCCCCTTTATCTTCTCCTTCTCCATCAGAGAAGAAGAAGAAGACGACTTCACTGATCTCTCTCTCATCCGAAGCTATGGATTCCAGAGCGATTCTCGATTCCGCTTTGTTTCAACTCACGCCTACTCGCACAAGGTCGATCTCACTTCTGATTATGCTTTTGATTGACGATCGATTGATCTTCTTTCGATTGAATCGTGTTTTGATTTTTTTTTTTTTCTTTTGGATTCTGGATTGTGAAGATTCGATCTGGTGCTTTTCTGCGGGAGTAAGAAGGAGAAACTGGCGTCTGGGATTTTCGAGCCGTTCGTCTCTCATCTGAAATTCGCCAGAGATCAGATCTCTAAAGGCGGTTACTCCATTTCTCTTCATCCTCCTAACTCTCACTCCTCTTGGTTCACCAAATCCACTTTCGATCGGTAAATTTCTATTTTTCGCTCTCCAATTTTGGGCGAATTTTGTTGACAATTCCGAAAATTCTGGAGCATTCGTCAATCTGGAAGATCTGGATGCTGCTTAGTGACTTGATTTGTTGATGAGTGGTTTGATTCCGTTTCTTCGTTAATTTGCAGGTTTGTGAGATTCGTGAACACGCCTGCGATTATCGAGAGATTCGCGACGCTAGAGAAGGAGATCTTGCAGATTGAGAATTCCATTCAAGCTAATGAAATCGCAGCCAATGCTGCTTTTGCTGAGCAGATACAAGACGGTATGCATTTTTTTAGGCGTAGAAGTAGAATTTGAGTTGCTAAATATGGCGTCTCTAACACTGTTTTTGGCTTGTGATTTGCAGGTAGTAATGTAAAGAAGTCAAATGAATCTTCCAAGGTAACTTGTGATTTTCAAGTGGTTACTCTGTTGTTTCAGTAAGTGATTTGGTGAATTGAGTGTTTCTTCTGTCAATGTATATTTCACAGAAGGAATCTGAGAATGGAAATGAGGCTGCAGGAGAAGAAACGTCAAAGTAACTCTCTTGCCTATTGAAACTATATGCACATTCTTTTTGGTGAATCATGCAACTGATTGCGGTTTTTGTTCGTCTTTGTTTATCAGGATTCAGCTCCAACGTCTTCTTGAAACACGAAGAACATTGCTTCGGAGAGAGCAAGCAATGGCTTATGCAAGAGGGGTTGTTGCTGGTTATGAGATCGATAGTATTGATGATCTCATCCTCTTTGCCGATGCTTTTGGGGCGTCAAGGTTAAGGTATGCAAATACTTCCTCCATCCATTTCTTGTACTGTTACATCATTTAGCAAAGTTTTTACCTTTTTCTTCATATTATGCAGAGAAGCATGTGTAAAGTATAAGGAACTATGGAAGAAGAAGCACGGAGACGGACTCTGGATGGCGGAATTAGCAGCTGTGAAAGCAATCGCTCCGGGAGACATGTCATTGTTAGGTTCCTCAGGGATCATCCTCACCAATGAAGGTGCTGCTGCTCTTTCACTAAATGGGACAGACTCATCTCATGCAAGTTCTGAAACTAAAGGTAACTTTGATTTCAAACATCCTAATTCCTTTTACTTGCTCATATGGCTAAGAAGTTTTGATTCGTGTAGATGACAAGTCGGTTAATGTGGACCAACACCCGCCAAGCTTTCAAGCACCGCCAATGGGATGGCCAAACCATATGCCTCAGTACTACTACCCGCCTCCATACCAAGGCTATCCATATCCTCCAATGCATCCTATGCAAAACCAAAACCAATGGCCTTCAAAGGGAAAGGCTTCCAAGAAGAAAGGGAAAGGAGATTCCGATAGAGATGTGTCTAGTGGAACAAGTGAATCTAGTGAATCTTCTGACTCAGGGAGTGATGATTCTGCTTCTTCATTGGAAGATCATCAAGGTAAAAGACACTCTCGGAGGTCGAAGAAGAACCGGAAGAAGAAGTCGTCTAAGACTGTGATTATTCGTAATATCAACTACATTACACCAGAGGGAAGAAACGGAGACATGGAAGGGAATGAGTTTACGGATAACGGTTCCATCAAAGAGACTGTTGGATTTCTCAGAGAAAACAAAGCTTATGAGGCAGAGGTTTCTGGTTCTGGTGATGAGATTCTGAAAAGTTCATCTGAAGTTAAAAGAAGCAATGAGAATTGGGATTCTTTTCAGAACATTCTGATGAGGGACGACGATGTGAAGTCAATGGATGTCGTCAGTGAGGAGCATTCCATCATCGTAACGCAGAAACAGATAGAGAATGGAGGAGGAAGGAGTTTTGATCATTTTGAAAGTGAGGATGGTGCTCGTAGGGTTACAAGAACGAGAGACTCAACTGAAGAATGTATGTTACTGCTAAAGAGATCTGAAATGTTAGGAGGAGATGAGAGCAAAGACATGTATAACAATGGTACAAGTGGTGGATCTTTGGTGAAGAAGTCAGGGAGTGGAGAGGATTGGTTTACTACTTCCGATCATCTCGCCGGGAAACCGGAAAGCAACTTCGGGAGAATGTCATTTGATGAAAGTTGCAAGAGCAAGAAGCAAGAATTCGTCGATGATTCTTTCATGGTGCATTCGTCGTCGCTCACTGGCGATGATCTTTACGATTCTCGGTGGAGACCGGACATGTCTGCAGATATTGCTTTAGCCTCTGACGTCGACAACGGTCAAGGGAATGAGAAGCGTGAAATGTCTGGCTCGTGGGAACCGAATGATCTTTGTATGGTTCTTGAACGCAATTCAGGAGACTCGTTGGCTAATAATGATTGCTCGATCGACTTCTCTGCTGAAGCGAATGCAAGGCTATCGAGTAATGGAGGAACAGCTGAGGAGAAAGAAGAGAAGACCGAGAAGAAGATCCCGGAAGCTCGTAAGTCGAGAACTCCGGTTAGAACCAGAGGTGAAACCGTGTCTAAGACTGCGAAGAAACCGACGGTAGCTAACAGAACAATGGCACAGAAGAACAAATTTGAAAAGGTGAGTGAAAAAAATATTTGAAATTGCTTTTTGTTTCGCTGATTTTCTCCGATAATTGAATTTGTTTCTGTTGGGATTTTTAGGAAGAGGAGATGAGGAAGAGAATAGAGAGTCTTGTTTTGGAAAGGCAGAGAAGAATCGCTGAGAGATCAGCCGCGACTGCGACTCGAAAAGCTTCGAACAGAGCTCCCTCTGTTCGTGAAAAGGCAGCAACATAAAAGAAGGTGAAGAAGAAGGATTCTGTTAAAAACCGTTGGAAACAAAGCGCGGCGTTTTGGTGAGATCATGAAAAACGCAGCGTTTTGGCGAGATCATGAAAGTGCTGCGTTTTGGGTGAGATCATGAAAACGCTGCGTTTTTGAGATCATGAAACGTTTGGTTTTTGTCAATTCAAATATTCTTTTGATACATTCATGAATAAGTCAGGTGGTGGTGGTGAGCTCTACTTGATTTTGCTTGTGTCATGATTATTTATTTATTATTTTTTCAAGGTTTTGTTTCCTGAATATTGATTTGTAATTTTATTTGGGTGAACTTATATATTTGTAATTTGGATTATAAATACTCATAAGTTAAAGTATATTCAATCTCTTAATTCACATTTAAACAGATAATTAACAACTGCACCACACAATATTTTATTTGATTACTTCCTTTTGTTTAAAGACTATTGTAATATACTTATTTATTTTCTTGTAATACTGTACTTCGTGTTTTCAGGACTATCTGCAACGTGTTTAACTATATTTGAATAGTCCACCAAAAGGGAATTTAAAAACTATTCTTACTAATACAATTGGATGCATGAATAGTATTTGATCTTATGCCGTTTCTGTCTATAAACTTTGACTAATATTAGGCACTGGCGCTTATAAGAAGATTTTCCCATATAGAATAAAATAAAAATTCCGATAGAAAGTTCCCTCAAAAAAAAAGGTTGTTAATTTACAAGTTGATAAATGCTTTTTCGCACCTTATTTATAAACGCAGAGATTTGTAGTTACACAAAACATATGTCATTACGATGCAACCAACATAAATAGCACGTTATGTCTTGCAATTACACGACAAATCATAGGGGTCGAACAAAAAAAATCAAAATTCATGGAAAAACAGAAAACTACTACTACTACTAACATTGTTAAATGAAAATAAAAATACAAATACATTTTCTATACTTTTTATGTCCAAAACTATGGAGTTGTTAGATGTAGCCGTTAATTGTTTTAACCAACTTTACGACTTATATAGTAGTGATATTTTTCTAAAATGTAAATAAAAAGAAAAAAATCTCATATATAATATTTACAACTGTATGAGATCTATTTGGTTTACTGATAATATTTTTAACCTTCTATGGCACATTCATCATGTACATATGTTTGTGAACGAAAATGAGTTTGATATATGATCGATGGATATATAAACGTCATTAGTGCGATCCTGTTCACGACTATTAAAGAATCTGTATACTAGTTTGTAGACAAGAATCTCACCGTCACTATATCCGCACATCATGTAGAGAGGTATGTGAGTATTATTTAATTTCTTACCTGTATAAAAATATATAAATCTTTTTTTTTGTCGACAAAATATATAAATCTGTTGAGAGAAAATTCTGATATGAGATTTTATTAAGGATATGAATGTTAAAGAAAGATAATCCGTCATATCACTTTGATTTCTCAGTCCCTGTAATTATGCTAGTCTAAGATCTATATTTCTTTGTAATTACTCTGGTATATCTTCTTACTCTGCATATTCAATGATACATAACATTTACAATTCAATAGATTTTCCTTTTTTTTTTTTCTTTTTTTTTTAATTATTGAGCACCGGCACATTGTAGGTTACTAGGTTCTCAACTACTATAGGTTAAAGTTTTGTTTTCATTCTGTGTTACTGAACAAGCTAATATTTTGTTTTCTGTTACAATTTAATCAGAAAAGAAAAAGGTATAATCCTGCAAGTAAAACAGAATAGGTGTAACAATAAAACATAAGTAGAGGTGAGAAACAAGATGTGATAGAAAGAATTCTATCGTTTTTTAACAACTTTCCCAAAAAAAATTATATAATTAGTAAATAAAAATAATTTAACTAAAAAAAGAACATATAGGTTTAGGAAGGGGTTAGAGAATTTTTGCCCTTAAAAATGACAGATTCAACATTTGTTTTCCTTTGGCTCTCTCTTTCCCGAGAAAGTTCCATAAGTCCCACAGCAAAAAGACTTCTCCTGAATCTCAAACCCTAACTAGATTTGCTCTGCACGATTCTGATTGTGATGTTATTCTTTATGTTAATATCTTCAGCTATAAGGCTTTGAATAAGTCTGTAAATATTCATTTTTTATTTTGAATTTTTCAACAGAAACCCCAAAAAAACTATTTTTTTTTGTTTGACACACAAGAGACATTATAAAGTTGCAGTCGCCGGCAACTAATGACAGCCGGAGCCTGTTTAGATATTCAGACAATGTTGTTCGGTCGTAAATCATCGAGCAAGTTACAGGTAAATTAAATCTGATCTTAATTTTCTTGATTAATTGTTTGTTAAAGTTCTGTTGATTGATTTTGATTATTGATAATCACAAAACCATTTCATATATATTCAGAAAATCATTCAAATATTCATACATAAGTCTTCAAGTTTAATAAGTTTCTTGTCTCTTGATTTATAATTACATGATTTTTTTACAAAAGGGCATACCATAAATTCTTCATCTTGTTCATGTTAGATCATTCTTGTTCATATATACCATCATAAAGTCTGCATCTCTATGCTCATACATCATCATATAATTGTTCATTTAATCACTCTAGATCTAGTTTTTACTATGAAATGTTTATAAGCTTCTATAACTTCTTATTTCTCTGTTTACTAGATTGTTATGATGGTTCTTGAAACTTGAGTTAATCTCTATGATGATTAAACATTAAAGAACTTTTTGACATTTTTCAGCCAGTTAAATCTCAATCATCGCCCAAAGTTAGCAAGATTAGCAAACAGGATGTTAAATCTTCTTCGTCACCTAAATCTTCTTCGTCTTCACCTAAACCTTCTTCTACACCCATACCGATTAGATCATCCAAGTCAATACTGTCTTCTAGCAACCTAACTTCGTCAAGACGTGCTTCTTCAGTTTCTTCGCCTTTAAGCATCATCAAGAATGTTTCCATTCGAGAAGCTAAGAGCCCCAAGACAAGCAGCTCACCTAAATGGACAGGAAACTTCATTCTTATGGTCGAGCTTCGCAGGAAGATCTTTACCTTCAGAGACATCATTGATCTTTCTACTATCGACGGTTCTCCTTCCATAACCGATGTGCGTAAACCCTAAAAGTTAATCATCATTCTCAATATAATCTTTTAGATGTTATTTTTTAGTACTCATTTTCTTGTTTGTGTTTGGTAGATGGTGATGCATACAATGAAAGATCTCAAGAATCTTTGTCCTGAGATCATCCATAGCTCACATATCTCTGAGATTAGACGTGCAAATGTCGATAAGGTATTCAAATTACATCATCAGAACACATGACTTGCTTTGTCCTGAATTCTCATTTAATCTGATCAAATGTCTTTTTTTCTCAACAGGTTCTTGATCATTTCTTTAATGCGTTAAAGTCCATTGGAGATTCTTGGATTGATAACCCTGAATGGATAGCTAAATCCAAGTACTGGAGCAGCAGCGTTGGAAAGAATCAGTCTGATCGATTAGGTAACAAGAATCAACAAGAAGACAATCTCAACATATTGAAATGCAAAACTCTATAAAATGTTTTGTTTGCTTTGCAGTGGAGAAAGTGTTGGCAGCGTTAGATGGACTAATCAAGATGTCGAAAGAAAGGTTTGATATGATGGAGATTGATGAAGAAGAAGAAAAGAAAGAACTCACCAGCAGTCCAAGAACTGCCAAAACATCGAGCAGTCGAGTCTTATCTCCATCTGAATCGTTCTCCGATAGCAGAGACTCGTTTTGCGTGTCACCAATCACTCCAAGATCGGTTCTACCAGAGCCAATGATGGGCTCGCCGGGGAAAACAGGAGACTTTGCAAACTCTGCATCACATCTTCTGTGGAATATGAGAGTGCAAGCACTCGAGAAGCTTAGTCCTATCGATGTTAAGCGACTTGCTATCCACATCTTGTCACAGAAAGAAGCTCAAGAACCAAACCAGAGCAACGGAGAAGATGAGGTTAATGCTGTTGTTGAAGAGATTAAGCAGAAGATGGATGAAAGAGAGATTGTTGATGTGAAGATGGAGACAGAAGAAGAATCTGTTGTTCTTGATGAGAAAAAGGATACTATCATGGAGATCTCTTCATCAGAATCTAAACTCAATGTTTCAGAGACATCTGAAATTGCACCGGACTCTTTACCTTCACCTCCTCCTCCTCTATCCACTATTAAAACTTCATCTTTACCTTCTCAACCACCACCTCCTCCTCCTCTTCTTCCTCCATCACCACCACTGATTTCAAAGCCATCTCCTCCACTACCGCCACCGCCTCCACCACCGCTTATGCCTTTAAAAGGCTCAGCTCCACCACCTCCACCTCCACCTCCAAGAACTTCAGTGGCCCCACCTCCTCCTCCTCCACCTCCAGGGACTACAGCAGCAGCAGCACCACCTCCTCCTCCACCGATGCAAAACAGAGCACCACCGCCTCCTCCCCCTCCTATGCCTCCAGCTAATGGAGTAGCACCGCCTCCACCACCACCTCCTATGCCTCTATCTGATGGAGCAGCACCACCTCCGCCACCACCTCCAATGGCTATGAGAAATGGAGGAGCACCTCCTACGCCACCACCTCCAATGTCTATGAGAAATGGAGCAGCACCGCCTCCGCCACCACCTCCAATGGCTATGGGAAAAGGACCAGCACCGCCACCTCCACCACCAAGAATGGGTATGGCAAACGGACCACCTGGCCCACCACCACCACCAGGAGCAGCTGGACCACCGCCTCCACCAGGAGCAGCAAGAAGCTTGCGCCCCAAGAAAGCAGCTACAAAACTGAAAAGGTCAACCCAATTAGGGAACCTTTACAGAATCCTCAAAGGGAAAGTAGAAGGTCGTGATCCCGAGGCGAGAACCGGTGGCGGAGCCGGAAGAAAAGCTGGAGTCGGAAGCGCTCCCGCCGGTGGAAAGCAAGGAATGGCTGATGCTCTTGCTGAAATCACAAAGAAGTCTGCATATTTCTTGCAAATACAAGCAGATGTCGCCACATACATGAAATCAATCAACGAGCTCAAGATTGAGATCACTAAGTTCCAGACTAAAGACATGACTGAGCTTATTAGCTTCCATGGCCGCGTCGAATCAGTTCTTGAAAAACTAACGGATGAGACACAGGTCAGTCAGCAACATTTTGATAACATCTTATTACAATCATTCTGTTTCCTCTGTTTTTTTTTTCTGATTCTTGATTTGGAAAAAAAAAAAATTTTAGGTTCTTGCGAGATGTGAAGGCTTTCCACAGAAGAAGCTAGAAGCAATAAGAATGGCTGCTGCATTGTACACAAAGCTTCACGGTATGATCACTGAGCTACAGAATTGGAAGATAGAAGCTCCTTTGAATCAGCTTCTTGATAAAGTCGAACGTTACTTCACAAAGGTGAGTACTTCATATAATTTCTTTCCCAACAATCATAATTCCAAAGTCAAACCATTTCAATAATAAATATCCAAACTTGATCAATTAAACAGATCAAAGGAGACATCGACACGCTTGATCGAACCAAAGATGAAGAAGCTAAGAAGTTCCTGAGCCACAACATTCACTTTGACTTCAATATACTTGTTCAGATCAAGGAGACAATGGTTGATATCTCATCAGGTTGCATGGAGCTTGCATTGAAGGTAAATAACATCTACAAATATAATATTTATCTTCTTCATTTGTTAGCATTTTCTTAACTGGAACTATATCGGATCAAAATCAAATTTACAGGAAAAGAGAGACGAAAAGCTTGTGTCGCCTGATGCGAAACCGAGTTTGAAAAAGACAGTAGGATCTGCTAAAATGCTGTGGAGGGCATTTCAGTTTGCATTCAAAGTCTACACATTTGCTGGAGGACATGACGATCGAGCTGATTTTTTAACCAGAGAGCTGGCTCATGAGATCCAAACTGATACTACTCAGAACACATGATGATTCCATTATCCATATTTATCACAAATTACTACTACTCCTTTTTGGCCTTTCCATACCCTAAAAATATTTTTATTTTGAACAATTAAAGACTATAATGTATATGTAAAAGATTTAACTTATTGTTTTGAGTTTGTAATTTTTGAAGCCCCACCCCCAAAAAAAATTAGGATTTAGAGGTTTCTTGGGAGCTTGGGGATGCAGATTATTTTGAGTGAAAGGCTTCGAGAACCTTTTGAGTCAAGCAAGAGCTTTGTGTTCCCACAATATGTAACATTGTTTTGTTGTTATAAACTTTTTTCTCTACTTTTATTTTACAACAAAAGATAAACTGATCGTGATTTTTGCCGGAATCAAACGTAATAGCGAACTAATTAAATGAAAAGTCTTAAAGCGATTTTGTCAGTTGTTTCGTTGCTATGAAACGTTCTTGGCATTACATTTTCATGCAAATCATCCAAAATTAAGGTTGCAATATGAGAAAGACAAATGGACCAATACAACTTTTTATTTTTTATACCAAACAAAAACACAAAAATTAAGGTTGCAATCTAATTTTATTCCTTCATAGTTCATATAAAAGAATCATATTTTCTATTTGTGTGTGTGCAACTAGTCATGTTTTATTTATGATCTGAAATTTTCTTGGTTAAATTAGATTGCAAGCATATTTCGACATATAGAGTGGCTACAATATGTCTACCTGTTTTATCTATAACCATACTTTCAACTAATCTTGATTTCTCGTTTATTCATCGCTTCTATTCTCCAGATTTTATTTCATTAACCAATTTTAATTTTCTTACCAAACAAAAACCAACGTGAATAGCGCAAGATCCAAAGAAACGGCAATGTTGTGATCAAACCACTCTGGGAAAAATCAATGCGAATGTATATTCAAAACAAATAAAAAGTCTTATCATATTATATCTTCAGTTCCCTTTTCTATAAAAGGGCCATCTTCTTCCCTATAGCATTTCTCTCTGCAAAACACAATTGTGTCCAACTATTTGCCTCTAGAAAAATGAAGCCCCTTCCTCGTTTGATCTCAACTGTTCCGCTATTGTTCATGTTCCTCATTGCAACAGGTTCATAATTCATATGATACATCTATATACATTTCTTGTTATATATTCTTCATTTCGTTATGATGATATATTATTTGTGTTTACTAGGGTTGGGTCCGGTCACGGTGGAGGCACGCACATGTGAGACAAGTAGCCAGTTGTTCAATGGACCGTGTCTGAGCGAAACCAATTGCGCCAATGTTTGCCACAACGAAGGCTTTTCAGATGGTGACTGCCGTGGAATCCTCCGTCGCTGCTTTTGCACCAAACCATGTTGATAGATTGAATTTTATAATTTTATAAAGAAAGAATGTTTCTAAGCAACATAACTACTATCTTCTTTGTCTCTTGGATCGTTCTCTGTTGTTCTTTCTTATCGTTAATTTGCCTTTGAAACAAAAATATGGAATCTAATAATACAATCTAGTAAGTGATTACTAACTTTTTTTTTTTTTTGCTAAAATGTGATTACTAAGTTCTATGAACACTCTTTGTATAGAGGGTGCTGGTTTTATAAGATCGAGCTGGACTTTAATTGAAATAGATTGACTGCATTAAGAAATCTATTGCAAACATTATGCGTTCCTACAATTCAACAAGCTTCCAACCACAAAGTAAAACCTAAGGAACTGGCTGGTGAATAAGAACTTATGTGAAGGGGATCAAACCGTAACAGCTAAACATTTTCTTATGTAAGAACTCCCACCACTAAGCACAACCTCACACCATTGCATCTCACCCCAAATCTCTTCTCCTAGGCGTCTTTCCAAAGCAATCTCCGCACACCAAATCTCATTTGTTATTTCCGAGACGTCACAATTTGTATTGAAGAAGATAGCCAATTTCCCACCGTAATTAACCGTCTTGGAACACAATGAACTGGCCATCTTAGGCAACAAATCTGCCAAACCTATCACCACTTTCCAACACTTGTGCTTTGGATCATACGCTCTTAACATGTTCTCTTTAGTATCGTGATAGTACAACACATCCTCAACCACACACGCACCCTTCCATCTCTTAGAATTGAGCATCTCGTCTTGTTCCCACTTATTTTCTTTTGGCCCATAAACAAAGCTTTTATCATCATCTTTCATGTACATCTTATCCTCCATCACCACAGGATCAAACCACAAGTAGCCTACCCTCATGTCTGGCTTTATCAACACAGACTCCCACACTTGAGTTTTTGTATCCAACACCACGACTCTGCTCGACCCTTTTTGTTTGTCATCAGTCAAATTATCTCCTACTATGAAAATCTTCCCATCGATGATTCCAGCCTGCACCGTACTAACCATGAGCTTAGGAATGTTGGAGATGGGATGCATCTTGTGAGATATACAATCGATGCAATGGATTTCGATTTTACCATCGTAACATCCATCTACCATATATATCTTGGAATTCTCCGCGACATAGCTTGCACTGAACGGCATACGAGAAAGCGACTGAATAAGGACCAAACGATTATTGTGGAGAAAATACAAATGGTTATCCCCCATGACAACATAGACACAGTGTTCTGTGCAGCCTAACAAGGATCGTCTCGTGTATAGCTCAGGTGATGCAACGAGTGACGAGAAACTCTTTGAAACAAGCGAGATTGTCGGATAATAGCTTCTCGGTACACGTGCTACGATATCAATGAGGATGTCATCTGGAAGTGACGTAATCTGAAACGGCTGAGGCTCCGGAGATTGCTGCTTCTGTGTCTTAACTTTGGAAGACATTCTAGCTTAGCTCTGTGACCTCTCTCTCTGTTGACTAGGGTTTTTTTTAGCTTGCATATATAACTAAAAACCTAATATATATATATATTTTTTTCTATGACTAGTCTAGGTGCTTTTGGACCCATGACCGAGACCCAAACCATCAATAATTTTCTTTTGGAAAGCAGATTATTTCTCAAAAGGCATTCGACCATGTGACATCAAGGTTTAACATTATTGGTCGAAAAGAAATTGCAATAAGTTTCTATATAAAATAATAAACAAAAAGGAAAAATATAATACGCTTCAAAATTGTTATTAATAAAATTTATCTGGTATAACAAAAATATTATTATTGACTATTGATTTAAAATAAACTAATGCAGGGATTTGTAGTAAGTTGAATAATGAATAGCAGCAATGTTGCATCTTTTGTACGTGGGAGATATACATTTGCCAAAAAAAAAATACACTTGATGTAGTTGAAACTTGAAAGGTCGTTCGTTTTTACAACTTGTCATAAAATATTGGAATTTATCTTCTTTCAGTTCCATTTACCTTTTGGCAAGTTTCCTTCTTCCTATAATTAGCACAGTGTGTTTTTTAACTTTTTCGCCTCGGCGTTATTACCCAGAAACAGTGTCGACGAACAAGAAGAAGAACAATACGAAGGAGAAGATACTTTCTTTCTGGATTTCGGGCATTTTGCTGTTTCTTCTGTCTTCAGCTGCTATGGCTTCCGTGTTGCTACTTCTTCCAGTGTTCGTGTGTGATATCTTAGCTTTTGGTCTTGCTGTTGCTGCAGAGCAGCGAAGAACCACCGTCAGTTTCTCTCTCTCTCTCTATTGAATTGTTATGTTGATTCCTTCAAGCTGGGTTCTTGAAAAAATCTGGCTTTTGTGAAAATCCATTTAGTTTCATCGAAAGCTGAAAACTTTGGGGAAAATTTGAGAAATTTAGAAGCTTTTCTCAATTATCAGATGAAATCAGTCGAAACCCTTCAAATATGATTTGTAAAAAAGTTCAGATTTTCCCCTGTTTTGTGTACATTGTGTTGTTCTTCCTGATTTGTTGTCTGTGTTCTTCTTATGTGTTTTGTGAAATCCAATTAGTTTCATAGAAAGCTAAAAACTTTGGGGGAAATTTTGAAGACTGAAACCATTCAAATATGATTTGTAGAAAAAGTTCAAATTTTTTGTCCTATTTTGTGTTATTCTTTCTGATGCTTCCTTTTATTGACAGTGGCAAGTTTCTAGAGAATCAAAAGATTCTAGCTACTGTGTGTATGACAAGGACATCGCAACGAATCTCGGAATCGGATCTTTCTTGATCTTATTAGCGAGCCAGATCTTGATTATGGCGGCGAGCCGATGTTTATGCTGTGGAAGAGCCTTGGCACCAAGCAGGTCAAGATCTTGTGCCATTGCTCTCTTCATCACCACCTGGTAAAAAAAAAAACAACTCTTTTATCTTCTTGCATGCATGAATCTATATAATGATGAAAGTAAATGTGTTGCAGGGTGTTCTTCATCATAGCGGAAGTGTGTTTACTCGCGGGCTCAGTGCGAAACGCTTACCATACAAAGTACCGTGTCTACTTTGGAAACACCACAGCTTCTCCTTCTTGTCATTCACTGAGGAAAGGTGTGTTTGGAGCTGGAGCTGCATTCATTGTGCTCACAGGGATTGTCTCTGAGCTTTACTACGTGAGTCTTACGAGAGCCAAAGAGTTTCAAGCTCCTAGAGATCCCGGTATTCCAATGAGTAGCCTGTAGAAACTTAACACACAACATCAAGTTGATTTTAGACTTAGAAAACGTTTTAGGCTTATGTTTGGTCTTTAAAGTGTTTTTGTTTTGTATATGAGAAATAGATTCAAAGTGCTAAGCTTTTGTGGTTTATGTTTCTTTAGTTCTTGTTCTTGGAGATTATCTGCTACTTAGCCTGGTGATATTACACTTTGGCCACTTGCCGTTGGGAAAAAATAACTAAAAAACCGAACTTTCATGTTCATATACATTCACATTGGTTATACAACATGCACTTGAATTGTGAGCAGTGTGGTTGCATTTGGAAATTGGAAAGCAAACCTTGTTGTGCTGCGTTTGGGATTAGCAAAAAGTGAAAGACAGATTTACCCCTTATCTTGACATAAATAACAAACAAAACCAGACTTCTGATGTACACAAACTACACATTGCCTATTTGTAAGGCTCCTCCAAAAATGGCAGATAGGTCAGCAAATCTGTATGTTCACACAACACACACAGATTTGTCTTTTGTGTGTGTGTGTGTGTGTGTGTGTGTCTCTCTTGTGGAAATTTACTTTACATGTTCTGTTTTTTTTAACTGAGAATGTAAAGAAGAAGAGTTACAGAAGATGCAAGAATCAGACATGAGTTGATGAATGATGCTTCCTTGTTCAATCTTTAGCTTCTTACTCTCTCTGTTCCAAAGATGAACAGCGAAGCTGTGTTTACGTAGATGCGTAAGCCTCTTCCTTGACCAATTCGACTCGCTCTCGTTCGTGGCTGCTCTGTAAAACCCTCTAATTCTGGTCCAGTCCACCGGATAAAACGCAGACGGTGGAAGAACAGAGAACCCCAAATCCGATGCAGATGAGGAAGAAATGTTGATTCTTGCGACGACTCTAGAGACTAAGTATGGACCGTTGTGACCCCATTTGTTACCGTTGAATGTTCTTGAGAACTCGTCGATGAATCTTTTGAGAAGAGGATGGTTCTTGTCGAAGATGAGCACAGCGTTGTTGAGCCTGCTCCATTTTCTTGTAACCGGATCAACTGTTTGTGCTCCGATCACGTTGTGGAGATTGTTGAGAGGTTTGATGATGATCACGTCTGTGTCTAAGTAGATTCCACCGTATTTGTAGAGCAAGACCAATCTCAGAAGGTTAGAGAGGTTTTGCTCTAAAGGAATCACTCCTGGACTGAACATTCCTCTCTTCAATCTCTCGAACCATTTCTCTGCTGACGTGTCTTTGAAGATGTAAGCGAAGTCTGGTTTGATTGGAAGCACTTTAAGACCTTTGTCTGTAAAGGGTTTCAAGATTAGGGTTCCTTTGTCACAGTCAAGTGAGTTTGAGATCAAGATCAAGCAGCTGTTTGGGTGAGACTTGAAGAGGCTCTCTATGGTGAATCTCTCTCTATCACCGAAAGATTCAATGGATGAGATCCATGTCATGAAGAACAGTGACTCGCATGAGGATTTGGACAAGAAAGACTTGATCCGAGTCTTAAATCTCTGTCTTGATTTGCCTTGTGGCCGCTGTGTTATCGCGGATGATTGCTCGTTTCTTCTCTTTGATCTCCTCATCTTTCCTTCTGCCCTTGTTGACGAAATGTTCTGCTTCTGTAGAAACCCTAATGAGGTTTCTTTCACCACAAGCAACAAAGAAGAATCTGACTCGGATGATGATTTTATTGGTGATGCTGTTGTTGAGGTTGATGGTGATGGTTGCTGATGATGATGAAGAAGAGTTTGGTGATGAATGAGTGAAACAGTGGATTTGATTGGTGGGATTGAATCAAGATGAAGAGAGAAGACAGAGAAGCTGTTGTAGAGTAAGAGAAGCATGAGAAGGAGACCGAGAAGAGACATGGGAAGACAACAAACGAAAGAGACGATCAGTCTTTTCAAGCTCTGCAATAACAGAACTTGTTCTGTTCTTCTGCTCTGTTCCATCTTTTTGATTTTTTTCTTCCAAAAAATAATTTACAAAAGACAGAGACTTATTCTGTAAAAGAATTTTTCTTGTTAGGCCAAGAGTGTGTGTGTGTGTCTTATGTGATAATTGCTGTTTGTTGAGTAAGAAAATGAACAAATAATTTTTAAATCCTTTTTGTCATACAGATTATATACACGTATCATGTATGTATATATCATTGAAAAATGGTGAAAGAGAAAGATGACCTATAGAAAATATAGTACTACATATATAATAAGTTCAACGGATTATTAAACTAACAATCATCTAAAGAATGTGGTTAGAGCTCTAGTTTTGGTTTATTAATTTAAGAATCAATGATTGTATTATGTTTGGTTGTAAATAGTCTAATGAGGTTACTCTCTTTGATTTCATAGACAATCATTGCTTTTACTTATGAATCATATAAGTTGTAATTCTTGGTATAGCTTGGTTCTAATGACACATGCAAGATAGTGTCCAGGCGTGGTTACGACTTTGATCGGTTTCTTGTGCAATTTGGGGTTTTCTTTGATTTTTGACAGCGGTTTCTTGTGCAATTGAAACACTAATTATTGACTAACCATATGCAATAAGCCAATAATATGGTTGTTAGAATGTAATTTAAAATTCGGTGTATATTTTCTAGTGTGATTGATTGATAATAATATTCGTAGAAAAAATGTATGGCATTATATTGATAGAGATTTTTTTTTGGATTTAATCGATGAGTTAATACTTTTGCTTGATTTGTGTTATGAGCAATTTGTCCCAATAGTATGCAACTCACATGTGCACATCTGTATTAATACAAGCTAGTACACAATAGACCCTTGCTATTTTTACGATTTATAATTATAATGATTAATGTATTTGTTTCTTTTATTTGTTAATCATTATTTTTGACTTTTTTTTCCTTGGTCAATTTTTTTTTTCTGACATTTAGCTGAGTAAAATCGTCTTTGTTATTTTATTTGGTTCATGTTTGTTTTTAAATTTAGCTAACACCAAAAATTGAATATCTAAAAATTGAAGTAAAAGGTCTACCACATAATTTTTTTTTATAAATACTAGGTGTTTTACTCTGGTAACTTAATTACTACAAAAATCATATTTTACATCAAAAAATTATGAATAGTCTTGTAGTTTTTCTATTAACCATTGCTGTGTTTTTCAGGTTAAATGAAGCTGTTTGCCCATTAACTCGTGTGGTAATTCAAAATCAACTCGATCCTGGTATTTCTCTCCAATATCATTGTCAGGGGAAGAATGGCAAAAAAACATATGATACTGGTGTCAGAACTTTAGCCCCCAATGCTAATTATAGCTATGAATTCCTAGATGAAACTAATAAAAAAATCCACAACACAACAATTGGTTGTCGTCTCAGCCATGGGAATCCCCGTAACCCTTTCTTTATTAAGTTTTTTGCATATGACGGAGGTATAGCTCCTCCTTGTCATCGGAATGTTCGTCAATGGACTGCTAAAACTGATTCGATGTACGTTAAAGTGGATGATAGACCAATGAAACAAATGTGGCAGTGGTATCAAAAATACTAAGGAGGTGTAAGCGTTTTTGTTTCTTTATTTATTTATTTACGTATAGTAAACTCCATTATATATACTAAGGAGGTGCTTTTGAATAATGTATTTCAAAAGATTTGTATGTATTTGGATTTGTATGTATTTTGTTGGGTTTTATTTAACTTACACAATTCATAATGGAATTTTATGTATTATTGTATCTTTACCTTAAAAAAAATTTCTGTAAAGAGTCTAGTTATTACAAAGATGTAAGATGTGAGATGAGAAGCCATGGCGAGTTCTCCACAGTAGAATCAGTAGAACGAGACTCTTTAATGATGTTTGAATAGAAACGTTTGAGATCAATGATGTTAATAATTACGTTTGTCAACACAATTTCGCACATCGTCACATTCAAAGCCTCACTGCTGCCAACAGCAAAACAATTGAAAAAGGTTCAAAATTTACTTAACCCAACACTAAAATCGAGCAAGAAAAAGCATTAAACTAAAGAAACTTGAGATCCAATCTAGAGACCACTAAAACCAGCAAGGAACATTCCAGTTTTTTTTCAACGAAGGAGTTAAAGAGCAATCGTCTTTCACGGGCTCACAAAATTAAAGTATTAAACCAACTAAAATCTGGAGTATTTAATACATTTAAACAATATATATTAATATTAAATAAGCTTCTCCGTGAGGCTCTTGTCACCTTTCTTATCAGCCAAAATCATCTCTCTCTGAAACTCTGTCAATCCAGCAAGCTTCTGCCTATCTTCCTCATTCTTGTAAAGATCATCACCGAAATCAGACTCCTCGCTACTATCGTCACCTTCACGATCAGAAGCACCACCACCACCACCATCACGCTGCTCTTGTAGACGAAACGTTCTGCTTCTGTAGGAGCCCTCATGAGGTTTCTTTCACCACAAGCAACAAAGAAGAATCTGACTCGGATGATGATTTTATTGGTGATGCTGTTGTTGAGGTTGATGGTTGGTGATGATGAAGAAGAGTTTGGTAATGACTGAGTGAAACAGTGGATTTGATTGGTGGGATTGAATCAAGATGAAGAGAGAAGACAGAGAAGCTGTTGTAAAGTAAGAGAAGCATGAGTAGGAGAACGAGAAGGGACATGGGAAGGCAACAAACGAAAGAGACGATCAATCTTTTCAAGCTCTGCAATAACAACAGAACTTGCTCTTTTCTTCTGCTCTGTTCCATCTTTTTGACTTTTTTTTTCCAAAATATTTTTACAAAAGACAGAAACTTATTCTGTAAAATATTTTTTCTTGTTAGGTCAAGAGTGTGTGTGTGTGTGTGTGTGTGTGTGTGTGTGTGTCTCTTATGTGATAATTGCTGTTTGTTGAGTAAGAAAATGAACAAATAATTTTTAAATCTTTTTTTTGTCATACAGATTATATACAATTATCATATATGTATATATCATAAAACAAAAAGGTGAAAGAGAAAGACGACCTATAGAAAATATAGTACTACATATATAATAAGAGCAACGGATTATTAAATTAATCATCTAAAGAATGTGGTTAGAGCTCTAGTTTTGACTTATTAATTTATAGAATTAATAATTGTATTATGTTTGGTTGTAAATAGACTAAATAGTCTAATGAGGTTATTCTCTTTGTTTTCATAGACAATCATTGGTTTTACTTATGACATATACTTTGTCAAAAATTATAATTCTTGGTATAGCTTGGGTTATAATGACACATGCAAGATAGTGTACAGGCGTGGTCACGACTTTGATCGGTTTCTTGTGCAATTTGGGCTTTTCTTTGATTTTTGACAGCGGTTTCTTGTGCAAAAAAATGTTTAATTCTTGGTATAGCTTGGTTCTAATGACACATGCAAGATAGTGTCTAGGCGTGGTCACGACTTTGATCGGTTTCTTGTGCAATTTGGGTTTTTCTTTGATTTTTGACAGCGAAACACTAATTATTGACTAACCATGTACAAAAAAAAAAAAAAAAAAAAAACTAACCATACGCAATAATATGGTTGTTAGAATGTAATTTAAAATTAATAGAATGTAATTTAAAATTCATTGTATATTTTTTAGTGTGATTGATGGATAATAGTATTCGTAGAAAAAATGAATGGCATTATATTGATAGAGATTTTTTTTCGGATTTAATCGATATGTTAATACTTTTGCTTGATTTGTATTATGAGTAATTTATTTCAATAGTATGCAATCCACATGTGTACATCGGTATCAATACACATTAGACCCCCTTGCTATTCTTACGATTTATAATTGATAGGTGCCACGAAATGATTGAGAACTACGACGGGGTCGAAATTCATTTGGTTCTTTGTATGAAAAAAGTATTGCATGACAAAAAAATGCAAGGAGGGGCGCACTGCAGGGAGGGTCCGATGATTAATGTGTTTGTTTTTTTATTGGTTAATCATAATTTTTGACATTTTTTCTTGGTCAAATTGTTTTTGACATTTAGCTAAATAAAATCGTCTTTCTTATTTCATTTGGTTCATGTTTTTTTTTAAATTTAGCTAACACCAAAAATAGAATATCTAAATTTTGAAGTAAAAAGCATACCACATATTGTTTTTATAAATAATACTAGGTATTTTACTCTGGTAACTTAATTACTACAAAAATCATATTTCACATTAAAAAGTATGAATATTCTTGTAGTTTTTTTTATCAACTATTGCTGTGAGGTTAAATGAAGCTTGCCCAGCAAGTCGTGTGGTAATTCACAACCAACTCGGTCTTGGTGTTTCTCTTCAATATCATTGTCATGGGAAGAATGGCAAGAAAACATATGATACTGGTATCAGAAATTTGGCCTTCAATGCTAATTATAGCACTGATTTCGTCGATGAATCTAATAAAATCGAGAAAACAATAATTGTTTGTCGTTTCAGCTATGGGTATTCCCTTAACCCTTTTTTTAATAGTTTTAGAGGGTATGACGGAGGCATATATCCTCTTTGTCAGCGGAATTTTCTTCAATGGACTGCTAAAACTGATGGGATATACTATTCGAAAGATAATAAGCCAATGAAAAATGCATTTCGTTGGTATAAGAAGATGTAAACTTCTTTGTTTCTTTATTTATTTATTTACGTATAATAAACTCCATTAAAAATACTAAGAGGGAATAATGTATTTTAAATAATTGTATGTATTTGGATTTGTATGTATTTTGTTGGGTTTTATTTAACTTACACAATTCATAATGGATTTTTATGTATTATTGTAATGTGTTTTCATTCATTTATGATGATTTCCAAAACGTTTTCTTTAACTTGAAAAAGTCTTTACCTTAAAAACATTTTCTGTAAAGAGTCTCGTTATTACAAAGATGTAAGATGTGAGATGAGAAGCCATGGTGAATTCTCCACAGTAGAATCAGTAGAACGCGACTCTTTAATGGTGTTTGAATATAAACGTTTGAGATCAATGATGTTAATAATTATGTTTGTCAACACAATTTCGCACATCGTCACATTCAAAGCCTCACTGCTGCCAACAGCAAAACAATTGAAAAAGGTTCAAAATTTACTTAACCCAACACTAAAATTGAACAAGAAAAAGCATTAAACTAAAGAAACTCGAGATCCAATCTACAGACCACTAAAACCAGCAAGGAACATTCCAGTTTTTTTTCAACGAAGAAGTTAAAGAGCAATTGTCTTTTACGGGCTCACACAAAATTAAATTATTAAACCAACTAAAATCTGGAGTACTTAATACATTTAAACAATATATATTGATATTAAATACTCATATTTTACAGATATTCGAAAAAATCATATATATGAGAAAAAAGATAAGCTGTATAAATTACAAAAAAAACATATACAGTATATGAGAAAAAAGATAAGTTGTATAAATAATATATATTAATATTAAATAATCCTCAATAAAATCATGATGAGAGAGATACTTTACTCAATTATCTTTTAAGGTTACAAAAATATTGATTTTGATTCTGGTGAATATTAATAACACCTCAATTACAGAGAAAAGTTAAGATAAATTTTAAGAAATACACTTCTTGAGGTGCAAATTTTCAAAATTATACCTATAGTGTGACAATTTTCAAAAATACATATTTTCCTAATTTTAATATATATGTTTGGGTTCACTAATCCTAGATTAGGGTTTAGATATGGGGTTTAGAATTTAGCTTTAAAAGTTCAATGTTAGATTTTAGGGTTTTGAGTTTATATTTTGAGAAATTTTATGAAATACACCTCTTGAGGTGCAAATTTTCAAAACTACACCTATAGTGTGGAAATTTTCAAAAATACACATTTTCCCAATTTTAATATATATGTTTGGGTTCACTAATCCTATATTAGGGTTTAGATTTTGGGGTTTAGGGTTTAGATTTAAGGATTCAATGTTAGATTTTAGGGTTTTGGATTTTTATATTTTAGGGTTTAGAGTTTTTTTACTAAATGAAAAAAGTGTAGTTTTGAAAATTGGCACCATAGAGGTGTATTTTTGAAAATTTGCACCTCAAGAGGTGTAGTTTTGAAATTTCCCCTTATATTTTAGGGTTTAGAGTTTTTTTATTAAATGAAAAAGTGTAGTTTTAAAAATAGATACGAGAGATATATATTTGAAAATTGGCAACTAAAAAAGTGTAGTTTTGAAATTTCCCCAAAGTTAAACCCATGTGAACATAATAAACATTTTTGGTCAAAGTTGAAACTCTAACCAAAGTCTCTGGTTGTTGTTGTCTACTTCACCGTTGATAGAAGTTGTTAAAACAAAAACAAAAACAAAACAAAACAAGTTGGCTTTTGTTGATTAGTGTCTACTAGTCCATATAATTCAAGAGTGGCATAAGACTTAATTTCTAATCTCAAGCAGTCATACAATAATCAAGAGAGCTCACATACCAAACGAATACAAAAATATTCTAGGGAACAAAAAAAAAACAAATTGCTCTAAACATTTTGAGTACAAAAACCAAAAAGATGTAGAAAAAAAAAATACCAATAATCAGTTTTTTAATAGAAGATGACTGAAACAAACACTTGAGACATAATAAATCAGAGAAGACCTCTCCTTCTCTTGTAATCACTCACAGTCAACGTAAGTCCATGCCTCTTGCCATCATTCTCAGCAACTCTGCATCCCACTGTTGCCTCCGTCATCTGTTTCCTCGCCATGAACGCCTTCTGCACTCCTTGAGGTCCTCCATACTTCTGCAACGCCGTCAGCGACAACGGCAGCTCAAAGCTATGAAGATGACTCTGCTCAGCTCCTTGTCCCAACGGAGCTCTCGTGTCTATCAGCTTCCCTGCATCCGCAGCCGCTTCCAAAGCCGCCTCCGTCGCTGCTTCAGCTCCATTACCCTCAACCGCTGCTGCAACAGCCGCCTCGCTCTCCTCTCCACTCCTTTTCCCATTATAGTAGTTAGACGATCTCGTCCATCTCCTTGAAAACGGATCATAACCAGCTTCACCTGCTTTAAGACCAGCACTAATCGACTTAACCTCGGAAGCGTTCTTGAAATTCTCAGCTCTGTTCTTCTTGTTCATCTCAGCAAGCTTTAACGCCTTCTTATCAACCTCTTTCCTCTTCCGTGACGCATCAAGCTGCTTGATCTTCCCTTTAATCCTCTCCACACCAGCTTCATCGTTCTTGCTCTGCGCAACTTCCAGCTCTCTCCTAAGCCTGTCCTTCTCCGCCGCCACATTCATAGGCCTCACAGACGCAGACTTCTTCTCCTGCAGCATCTGCTTCACAGTCTCAGCAGAGTAAACAAAGCTATTGATCCTATTAATCGCTTCCTTCTTCTCCGCTATATCTTGCTTAGTCGGCAAGCGACCGTTCGTCCTCTCAACCTCTCTAACCCACTGCCTATACTCTTCCTCCACCGGATGTCCATCAGAGATCATCGCCATCTGCCACCTAGCAGCTGAAAGATCATTCCCCCAAACAACATTAAGATACTTATGCGTAGTCTTGTTCTCCAGCTTGTAAGCTTTATCAGGATCAGACGCATCAACGTTCTTCACAAGGCATAACCTATAGATTGGTCCACTCTTTGACCTCCCAATCCCAACTCTCACAAAGCAGCCAACGATAAGCTCTTCAAAGAACGGCTCCATGAACCATTTCGCAAGCTTGGAACGTCTGATTGTAATCTCTTTAACATCCTCAAACGTAGGCACGTCTGATCTATCGTCGTCACTGTCAAGCATTCCTCCGTTTGAGCCTTCATCGTCTGACCTGTCGTCACTGTCACTCTGGCTTGAGCTGCTTAAATTAGAGGTCCTCTTCATCGACGATGCGTCTCTGAGCTTCCTGAGAGCGGATGGATCTTGCTGCTTCATCCGCTTTGCTCTCAGCTCATTCAAAGCATCGTCCTTTGCAGCTGCTCTGTCTGCAGATCTAGCAGACGAGCGAACACCACGAGACGACGAAGCCGGAGGAGGGAGAGGAGTCGTCATCGTCTTCTCGTTCTTCGAGACTGTCGTCGTCTTCGTCGTCTTCTCGTTCTCTCTCTTGGATCTAAGCTTCTCAGTGAAGCTCTTGTCGCCTTTCTTATCAGCACGCTCAGCCAAAATCATCTCTCTCTGAAACTCCGTTAATCCAGCTAGCTTCTGCCGATCTTCCTCGTTCTTGTAGAGGTCATCTCCGAAATCAGACTCCTCGCTACTGTCACCGCCTTCACGATCAGAACCGGCTTCGTCGCGAGCAGCTCTGTCTTCTCTCTCTGCTTCTAATCTCTTCTTCAAAGGGACTTGAGAGCCAGACGGTTTCCTACTTGCGTAGCCGCCGCCGCCGCCGCCGCCGTCTGAATCGTCCCTTGAATCGCTGCCGTTATCTGAGTAGGAACCTTCACGTCTCCTTGACGATGATGGAGGACGAGAGTGGCGGCTTTTTCCGGTTGTTGCATTTGTTCTCCCGGCTGCTTCCAGAAGCAAGTCGTCTAAATCTGCCATTAGCTTTCTCTGGAGGCTAACGAATTGAGAATTCCTTCACCTGGAAATAGCAATTGAAGTTCAAAGTTAGAATTAGCGATTTTGAATTCAAAAAGGATGAAGAAAGGATCTTGAATCGAAAAGCCAATTAGCGGTTTTGCGAAACCTATTTTTGAGTTATGAGGTGAAATCTGGGGAATTGAGAGACGGAAGACGGTCGATCTATTGGATGGGTGTCGAATTGGATTTGAATAGGTTATACCGGCGGTGAAGAGAAGCTAGAAGCCGTCGGGTCTGGTGCGCGGCGGAGAGAGGGGGAGAAGGAAGGAAAACAATTTATGGAAAAAAATAAGACGAGAAGTTGAAGGGAGCTTACTTGGGAGGAAGAGGAGATATCTCGCCGGAAATTGTTGCAGAGATCGACGGGCGGCGGAAAGAAGAAGAAGGGAAAAAGGTCAAAGAATGAAAGTGAATGTCGATTGTCGAGGAAGCAGATGAAACTCGAGAAGAGCCCGCAAGAAGAAAAAGAGACAAAACCAAACATAAGGAGAATTATTAAACTAATATATATATTTTCTAGTTAATTTTTGTCAAAAAGTTTAATTTTTTTTGGAAATGTTCAATTTTTTTTTTTCCATATGGTGAAATCGTTACATCAAGGGTGGAATACAAGGGTAGGATACCGAAGTGAAATACTAAGCCGGACGACAATAATAATCTCCGAAAAATAAGCCGGTGGAAAACGAAAAGCACCGGAAACTATGCCCACAAAGGGGAGCCAAACAAATCAACAGGAACTAAACTAAATTATTTATTTGGTTCGTGTTCAATTTATTTTGGAGAGACAAAATTTGAGAAATCGCATGAAAAAAAAAAGGAGAAAAGAATTCAGATTAGTTTACAAAACAAAACTCTTGAAAATTTGAAACTCGTTTTTCCATATTTCTTAAAACTATTAGTTTGGAAAATTGACTATTGTTTTTTTTTTTCTTTTTTTTTGTCAACAGCCTAAGTTTCTAGACCGGTTCCGGGAGCAAGGCTGGTGGAACTGAGTTTACATAGTACACATCATGAGATTGAGCTCGAGCACTTCGTGCTAACTTGTCTGCTTTCGTGTTGTTCTTCTTCGGGATACGGGTGAGAGAACGTCTGGAACTTCCTTCTGCACTTCTCCAACTTTTTTCTTGTTTTTAAAAACATAATAAGTAAATCATTATGAAACAAATAATAAGGTTAAATGATTAATTTAATGATTAGTTTGCTTCATTATATGAGATCAATCTAAGCATAATAAGTTTGGTTCTTTTGGCCTCCAACGTTAGTAAAATTTGGTAATTTGACTAATTTCGGATATCTCATAAATGTATTTTGTCAACAACACAATAAAGTAGCAAAATCAGATAAAGCTCCGTATATTTTTTGTTCTTCCTTTGTACGACAAAAAAAAAGTAAACAAAAGTACAAAAGAATGAAAGCTGAATTATATAAAACCTAAGCCCAACCAGAGAAGCAAAACCTCTTAAAGAACTAAGATTCTCTCTACATCCGTAAGTGTCTTCTATATTATACATTTGAGCATTGATCATTGTGTGATCACTACCGTATAAGTTTTGGATCAAACCCAAAAGTTTTGCAGAAGCTGTACACTGAAAAGTCTCCTTTTTTTTATCCATCTATGGCAATTTGCAAGACTCGATGACTTCCATCACTGCTTTATGAGTCTCTGGAGGGATCATGTCCAGTGTTGTATGAAAAGCCTGTACCACAACACATCAAGAAACAATCACACAATCGCATCACAAGGTTCTCAGTCTGCATACTTGTAAAGGAGCTCAAGACTGAATTTTAAAGGGTTTAGAGAGACACATACCACAAATCTATCCAAGACGGGTACTAGAATTGCAAGGTCGCGTTTTGGGAGATAATCTCTGATGGCATTGCGTATACTTCTACTGCTAAGAATAAAGAGATTATGTTACAGCTTTTCAAGAACTAGAACACCTGAAAAAGGAAGAAAGGATAATAACCTTGCTGTGGATAGAAATGCGAGCAAAAGGGCAGAATATGCCTCCACGATCATCTTTTCTGCTTCCTTTTCGCTTTGTAAAACAGCTTCTTCATCGTCCTGAAACATTGAGGAAAGGAGATGTTTAAGACACACTATCTTCTATAAGGGCCTTTCAGAATCGACAAGGATGCAATGGTTAGCTACTTACCAAAGTGAAAGTAGTCGTTTCTTCTTTCGTGTCATCGGATCCTTGATTGGTGAGAAAGATTGAACATAAAAGAGGAATCATGTCTTGTTCACTCTCTTCCAACCCTTCTGGATTGGTGGTGATTGGAACGCTAGCTGCTGCAAGCCGTGACCTACAACAAAGCAACAATTGATTAGAGAAGATACATAAGACATTGGCTATGTTCACAGCATAAAGACGTAAAGCTGAAAAAGCAGATAGTTTGGTACCTGTTGATTCCGTCTTTCTCAACCAAGTTTACCAGTAACCCCAAAATGGCAACAAGAAGATCTAATTCCTGGTCTGTGAGATGTTTATCTTTCTGGTGGCACGTCCCAGGCATTTCCATCTCACTGAAAAGGGGAGATCTGGTGAAGGAAGGGAAGTGTCCAGCAATCAATTCAGCCATGCTCTCCAGTCCTCTGCAGGCAGCAACTTGCCGACAACCAACGGGATTATCGTTTGTTAAGTTCATTAAAACCTGAGAATTATGTTCATAGCATCAGAAAGTACTAAGGGATCACATGTAGAATATCACAGCATATCTAAATACATTCTGTTCCCAAGTTAGTTTCATTCCAGCTTTAAAACAGAAATTATTTTGTAAGAAGACTGTACATTACCTTCACGGCTGTTAGAAGGCAATCGGATAAAAGACAGAGACATTCTTGATCAACGTCATATGTAGAAGAAGGTTCCTCTATTATATGACGATCCCTATCACTTGATTTTTCCTGTGAATTTAACCCCTGTTTTGATTCCTCCAGGCTCGAGAAGAGCTGATGTGAATGATCATCCTCAATATCTCTGTAGCTTTTCTTCCTCTTTTGAGCTTTAGATTTCTTTTGCTTTCCTAATACTACTGCCCATTTGGAAGGTCCTGAATCTTCAAAATCAAATGCAAAAGGATCTTCACTATCCTCCAAGGGTGCAAAAGTTTCAACTTTTTTACAACTGGGTTCTCTAACTTCACTAGTCCTTGCATTGCTTCTGGAGATGCCACTACCCAATGAGGCTAATCTGCCTGCAAACGACCCAGTGTTGGAACCAGCTCTAGTCTTGAGCGTGCATGGATCATTTATTGATGTTACACTTGATTGAGACCCTGAGCAATCTAACAGGAACGCAGATTGATCTCTCTTAGATACGCTCCCACTTCTCATGGAGCTACAGCTAGTGATAGACCAAGCAGCTGAAGTAATTGTCACAACCTCCTTGTTAACTGCAGAAGATAGATGTAGGTGAACAGAGAGTAACAAACAAAGCGACAGAGAGATAGAGAGAGCTAGAATTAACAAGGGTGAAGATGCATTTGTGGCTACCATTAGAATGATATACCTTTACAATCTGCTCCCGAAATAGACTCTTGAATAACACCATTTGCACAGTGGGGATAGGGTTGCTTTTCGTTCCTGAGAGCACGTAACTGAAGACCTGGTGTAATCAGTCGAACCAGCCGTCAGAATAAGAGATGATAACATGGGATAAAAGTCATGGTAAAAATTCAAACATAGGCATTGTGTACCTGAAAGCATCTTGATGATACTGATTATGTGCTCTGTGGAAGACAGTCGAGATCCATGAGAACCCATACTTTTATTAAATCTGAGCAAATGATTCTGAAAGAAATAATATTAACAGTTAATTTCATTACAAGCTATCATGAAGCTAGGAATCCAAAATATATGAAAGCTACCTGGTTTTCTGTGCTGAGGAAGGTAGCATTCTCCATGATTTTCAGACATTTCAGAAGCAACATCAGACTCTGCTTATTCAGGTCATCTTTTACATCCTGGGCAGAGAGAGTGTCATAAGCCACCCAGCGCTGCACACAAAATATAACCATTAAACAAAATAGCAAAGTTGCAGGAACAATTGATAGCTTAAATACAGAGTTCTACAAGTGATTCTAGGCTCAGTCACAATTACACTAGACTATGTTACATCAACTAGTGATTCGTCTTTAGATATATCAGCAAAGGACAAGTTAAACACCTTGACTTGCAATGAACTTCAGCAAATAATCTATGACACTTATGATAAGTTATCAACTTCCTAGTCAAACAAGTTGTCATTATAAAAGAAGATTTTATGCTGATGATAAAGACAGGGATAACAAAATCCCCAAAACATACAGGTTCACACCTCCATTACTGCGTGACAATCCATAAGAACGTCAAAGACCGCATCAAGTCCTCCAAGTTCTCGCAATTTCTCCTTGAACATCATTCCTCCAGGCTTTTTCACAGTAGCAGAGGTATCTGGAAGGATGAGGAAAAACATGATAAATAATTAGGATCACTGGAGATAACACGACTCTTCCAGTTGAAGGTGAAGAAGATGAAGTACCATCAAAAGAGATTTTAGACAAGCACGCCTTTTCCATAGCCAACAAAGCTACCCATTTCGTACTTAGCTCAGGCCTCATCTTCTCAATCTCATACCCATCAATCAATCGAAACTCCTTGCAACTAGCATGAACCTCATGAGCTCTGGACAGTACATCACAGGAGCTTGAATCATGCAAACTGGCTGCATCACGTGCTGCATCTACATCCTTGATCACTGATAAGAGCCTAGATCCTATATTCCGCGGCTTCGCTTTAGCACTGACGGAAACCACAGGTTTCAACAGCTTTATCAAAAACTCGATGCAGTTGGGTGACTCCATAAAGTGATCATCTTGAGCCTAGAATCATGGAAATCAAACGGTCAACAAGTGAAAAATGCCAATGAAACAAGAGAAGAGAACACAATGCCAAGAATGTGTGAGTCGCTTACATCAGCAGTTAGCACAAAGAAGAGAGTAGCTGCAGCAAGATTGCTTGGTATATCATCAAGGCTCAGACCCAAAATCGCATCGATTATAGATTGTGAGATCCTGAAACAGGGCAAAGTTTTTGTGAGACTCTTTGTTTATAACTTTTCATCTACTGAACCAAAACCAAGGACATGTCCAAGGATGCAAAAGAGAGAACTTTTCACACACAAAAACACAGGAAATGTACCCAATTGTGCCCTAATTGACACATTTGGAAGATACCCAAAACGCAGAGAGCTCGAACTAACCTCTAACACGAAACCCACAACCCAATTCATAAACTTTCCCAGAATTCGATGACGAACAAACCCTAGAAAGCACAGAAATTGAAACTCTAAAGTACATAAGCTTACATACCCTTGAGCCCTCAAAGAGCGTCGCTGATATTGTGATGCGCAAATCGACAGTAGAGACGAAAGTGCACCTCTTCTGATCCTGACTTGATGCCCTTTCTTCAACCCATCAAGTGCGAAATTAACCTCGTCCTCGTTCTCCATCAATTCGCCGAATTCCTGGGTTTCCAACAAAGTCGAAGTCAATCCGAACGCTCCGCCGTTTCTGGGTCTCTTAGCCCTCCTTCCGCCGCCGCCATTCTGAGAGAAATCATCGTCCAGGAAATTGGATCTTGAAGAAGAAGGATTCCAGAGAGAGGATGAGTCTTGACTGGAGAAAGGGAAACCGGAGAAATCACGCGGCTCGATTTCCGGTGACGAAGACGAAGAGAGATACTCCACCCGAGAAACGTCGTCGGTTAACGAGTCGGAGAAAGTCCGTACCATCCCCGGTTTGCGGCGGCCGTACGTTCGCTCCATCATCGCCGAAATCTTCAAACTTTTTCCTGTCTTCGCCGATCTTAGGTGTGAAAATCAACACAAGGGTATTGTCGGTATAAATGAATAAATTGTTTTATTTTTCATATATATAATATATTTATACAAATTGAACGATGTATGTAATGACCGCATAGCGCAGTGGATTAGCGCGTCTGACTTCGGATCAGAAGGTCGTGGGTTCGACTCCCACTGTGGTCGTTTTGTGTCCTCTTGTTTTTTTTTTTTTTAAGATTTCTTCTTCCCCAACCGGATTTTAGCCTTTTTTTTTTTTTTTAGGGTTTAAAGATCTGACCAGTTTAGTTTTATCTCGGTGGTTTATTTTCTCTCTAGTGAAGGAGGAAGAAATCGAGCAATGGAGTCTTCGTCTCTGAAGAGACGAGAGCAACCAATGTCACGAGATGGAGACCAGCTTATCATTACTCCTTTGGGCGCCGGAAACGAAGTGGGTCGTTCCTGCGTTTACATGTCCTTCAGAGGCAAAACAGTTCTGGTCAGTCTCCGTTCGATTACCTTCGTGTTTTCTGATTTTAAACCCATTGTGTGAAAGTGTTCGACTTTGATTTTGATTTCGTTTGGGTTTGTTGCAGTTTGATTGTGGGATTCATCCTGCGTATTCGGGAATGGCTGCTTTGCCTTACTTCGATGAGATTGATCCTTCCACCGTCGATGTCCTCTTGATTACTCAGTAAGTCTTACGAAGAGATTCACAACGTTAAGAGGATAAAGGAGGAAACTTTATGTGAAACTTGTAGTCCTGGTTCAATACAAAATGTTAAATTTGGAGCTTCAGTAGCATTATGTGTAGAGGAACCCTGTCTTTTGATTAGGATTTGATGATGGTTATTGACTTACATTCTTCTTTTGGCTAATAGAGTAAGAACCACTAATTGATTACTGGTTTGACGAAGACATTCACAGTGTTTAGAGAAAAAAGGAGGAAACTTTATGTGAAACTTTTAGTCCTGATTCAATGTGGAATGATAAATTTGGAGGCTTTAGAGCTAAATCATTCAAATTTTTAGTTTCTGTAGCATTATGTGTAGAGGAACCCTGACTTGGATTAGGATTTGACGATGGTTATTGACTTGCATTCTTCTTTTGGCTACTAGTAACCAGTAACCACTAATCGATTGTTGGTTTAACGAAGAGATTCACAATGTTTAGAGATAAAAGGAGGAAACTTTATATGAAACTTGTATTCCTGATTCAGTACAGAATGATAAATTTGGAGGCTTTTAGAGGAAAATGATTCAAATTTTTGACTTTCTGTAGCATTATGTGTAGAGGAACCGTGTCTTTGATGTTTGATTAGCATTGGATGATGGTTATTGACTTGCATTCTTCTTTTGGCTACTAGTAACCAGTAACCACTACTCGATTGTTGGTTTAACAAAGAGATTCACAATGTTAAGAGAGAAAAAGGAGTAAACTTTATACAAAACTTATAGTCCTGATTCAGTATAGAATGATAAATTGGGAGTCTTTAAGCACAAAATCTTCAGAATTCTGAGTTTCTCTGTGCTAGACAAAAGCATTATAGGTAGAGGAGCCCTGTCCTGGGAGCTTCGTTCTTTGTTTGTTTGTTTTTGTTCTTTGTTTAGTCTGTTTCTCTAACCTTTTCTGGTAGCTTTGTAAGTTTAAGCTGACAAACTATGTGTTGATGATTTCTGTTGCAGCTTTCATGTGGATCATGCAGCATCCTTACCTTATTTTCTAGAGAAGGTTTGTTTCTCCTACTACCGAATGATTTTTTTTGTTAACAATGCCTTTAAAATTTAACCTGGAACTAATACAGATCTTTGTGTTTCTTTGGTATTAGACAACATTCAAAGGAAGAGTTTTCATGACACACGCCACAAAAGCTATCTACAAGCTGCTACTTACAGACTATGTGAAAGTTAGCAAAGTTTCAGTGGAAGACATGTTGTTCGATGAACAAGACATCAACAAATCCATGGATAAAATTGAGGTGTGTACTTAATTACAACTCGTTCTTGCTTTTTTAGTTTAGCATGTTGATGATGTTCAAATTCCTCTGTTGTAGGTGATTGATTTCCATCAAACGGTTGAAGTGAACGGCATAAAGTTCTGGTGCTACACGGCAGGCCATGTATTAGGTGCAGCCATGTTTATGGTTGACATAGCCGGAGTCCGAATCCTCTACACCGGCGACTACTCCCGTGAGGAAGACAGACATCTAAGAGCAGCCGAGCTACCTCAATTCTCCCCTGACATATGCATCATTGAATCCACTTCCGGTGTCCAGCTTCACCAACCTCGCCACATCCGTGAGAAACGCTTCACTGACGCAATCCGTTCAACGGTTCTTGGAGGCGGGCGTGTCCTCATCCCGGCGTTCGCACTCGGCCGTGCACAGGAGCTTCTCTTGATTCTTGACGAGTACTGGGCCAACCACTCTGAGCTACACAACATCCCAATCTACTACGCGTCACCGCTCGCCAAGAAGTGCATGGCCGTTTACCAAACCTACATTCTGTCCATGAACGACAGGATACGCAACCAGTTTGCGAACTCCAATCCTTTTGTCTTCAAGCACATCTCTGCGTTGAACAGCATCGACGACTTCAGAGATGTTGGTCCGTCTGTGGTGATGGCTAGTCCCGGAGGTCTTCAGAGCGGTTTCTCCAGGCAGCTCTTTGACATTTGGTGCTCGGATAAGAAGAACTCTTGCATCATACCTGGTTACATGGTGGAAGGGACGCTAGCGAAGAAGATCGTCAACGAGCCGAAGGAGGTGACTCTCATGAACGGTCTCACCGCTCCTCTCAACATGCAAGTCCACTACGTCTCCTTCTCTGCTCACGCGGACTATGCGCAGACGAGCACGTTCTTGAAAGAGCTCATGCCTCCAAACATTGTTCTTGTTCACGGGGAAGCTAACGAGATGATGAGGCTGAAACAGAAGCTCTTGACTGAGTTTCCAGACGGGAACACGAAGATCATGACTCCCAAGAACTGTGAGTCCGTTGAGCTCTACTTCAACTCTGAGAAAATGGCGAAGACGATTGGGAGATTGGCTGAGAAGACGCCTGGTGTTGGCGATACAGTGAGTGGGATCTTGGTGAAGAAAGGCTTCACTTATCAGATAATGGCGCCTGATGATCTCCATGTGTTCTCACAGCTATCAACAGCAACTGTGACTCAAAGGATCACTATCCCGTTCTCTGGTGCTTTCGGTGTGATCACACATCGCCTAGGGAAGATTTTTGAGACAGTTGAAGCTTCAACAAACGAAGAAACTGGTCTTCCTGCGCTGAAAGTGCACGAGAGAGTGACAGTGAAGCAAGAGTCAGAGAAGCATATCTCTCTTCAGTGGTCATCTGATCCGATAAGCGACATGGTTTCAGACTCTGTTGTGGCTCTGGTGCTCAACATCAGCAGGGAAGTCCCTAAGATCACTGTGAAAGAAGAAGAAGAAGAAGAGGCTGTGAAGTCAGAGGAAGAGAATGGGAAGAAAGTTGAGAAAGTGGTTTACGCGCTTCTTGTGTCGCTCTTTGGGGATGTGAAAATGGGAGAGAATGGGAAGCTGGTGATTAGGGTTGATGAGAATGTGGCTCAGCTTGATAGAGAGAGTGGAGATGTTGAGAGTGAGCATGAAGGTCTTAAGGAGAGAGTGAGATTAGCTTATCAGAGGATTCAAAGCGCTGTGAAACCAATCCCTCTCTCAGCTGAATAAATTAAAGAGTTGTTGTTGTTTCCAAGTTTACTAATGGATGTTGTTAAGAATGTGTTTTATGAAACTTTGCCTTTTTGTAAGTTTAATGTGATGATGATTAGTGCAATGTTATTACAGAGGTGTTGTTCTTATTCATCAACATTTTTATTTCAGTTTTATACATTTCGATTTTCATGAGTAGATTGTGTTTTCTTGGTTTTATAAGTTTATGTGAATGCTCAAATTACTAATTTAGCTACCGTTCGTATGGTCTTTTCTAGATAATGTTTAAAGGAGAACACATGAAATGGCTGTTTTGAAACAAGCATACCACAATCCTCTATATTCTAACATCACAATGAGTGTAAGATTTTTGTTTGTTTTCTTTCTAATTTGGATAAAAATTCTCGAACGGAATCAAAATTCAAAAATACGAACCTAAATATTATATATCAGAAATCAATCTACCAATAAATTTTATAATATTAAATCAGAAAAAACATAGCGAATTGAAAATTTTATCGATCAATTGAGATAACCGATGTTTGTTATCAAAGACTTGTCCATTTCAAAATCAATCTACCAATAAAACAAACCAATTACCACAAATCAAAACTCATTCAAAGTTTAACATAGAAATGTTAATTAATAGTTTGAAACACCATATCAGAAGATGGTGTTTAGCACATAGAAATGTGTTATAAGCTAACACATTTCTTGCTTCAGTTATTTCTATCCAAGGATATTACATTCACCCATTTTAGAAAAAACAGCAGATTCCAAACGTACAAAATAAAAATGTGATTAGTGTTATCATGTTTTTAACATCATTTTAAATGACTCCACATTTTAAACAACTAGCCATAGAGCACATAGAGAGAGGGAGCAATCACGTTCTAGCAAGTAATAAGCAAACATCTATTGTCATAATGAAGTAGACTTGATAAGACTAGAAGATACTCACGTAACAACTTGAAATAAATAAAAATCAAACTATAGACACCACGAAGTACACATGTCCTCTCCAAACAATGGTCTGAAACAAGTATCATTTGCTTGCTTAAACATTATTCGTCGCCTCTTTTTCTTTTGCCTCCGATATCATTCGCTTGCTGGATTTGAGTCAAACTTGGCACGTAACTAAACAAAGATATCGGACACAGTGACGTAGTAACTGCGTAATCTCTGACATTATTGTCCTCTCCAACGATGATGTGTACACGGAAGTTCAAACTACAACACACGAGGACTTTTCTCTCCTCATCGACAAGGAAACTTCTGCCATCCGCGATCGTATCGAAAAAACATATATCTACCGCTAAGATCTTGCTCCACGACACCGCTTTGGTCTCACCAATCTTATCTGACACGTATACATTTGTCTTACTTCATGATCGGTTTTGAACAACACCGAAAGTCTCTCACCTCTAACAACGGATACAGACAGAGTTTCAAACCTAGAACCCTGATCCGGAAGACATACATGTTCAAATATTTCTGTTGAATAATCAAAACTTACTAAGAATTTCTTGTGTCCCGGACTTTTTATAACATCAGCAATCCAGTAAGTCTTTCTCTTCAAAGACAAGCCACGATCAAGTTCCTTAATTATGAAGTCCAAAGGTGCATCAAGAACCCTCCATGAACTAGACTTCATCTCATAAACTTCGAATGCTTGTTTGTCCTTAAAAAGACTATAAACCAGGCCACTCAATATTTTGTAGGAGTAACCAACATTGGACGTTGTGTTTTGGTAAGATCCAAGAGCATATGTAGCGGGCCTAGCGGCGTCCCTTACAATACTGATCTTGATCCACCTTGTTTGACCAGTACACGGGTTCCAAACCAAGAGCCTAGGGATTCTATCTTGGGTAACACATAACAATAAGCCGTCGCAGTGAAAGACTTGAGAAATCCTGACTTCGTATAAACGAGAGCGAGGGTCAATTAGGTTAAATTGGGCTTTGACCTCTATAGGTGAAACCCTAAGGTGATTGATGCGCATCAAACATAACCTAGCCTCATTCAACATGATAACCCTAAACTGCTTTGGGGATTTCTCAAGGTGATTTGATCTGAAGCTCTTATCGTTGAACAAACGGTTCCATCTTTTGCAGGTAGATCGGAACCGGATTAGAGACAAAGTCGGAACACGACATAATATCTCTTCTAACATTTCCTCTGGAAGTTCCAACATCTTCTTCATTGTGAAATCTGTGATCTCACAAAGGAGAAAAAGTGGCTTCGATTGTTTTTAGGGTTTTAGAAATTTCACGTTTGATGGTAAAGTTATTAGGGGAAATTTTAAAAATACACTTTTTGGGTGTCAATTTTCAAAATCATACCTCTATGCTTTTAATTTTCAAAACTAGACCTTTTGAAAATGGACATCATTTGTTAAGTTATAAAAAAAAGAAATGCAACACCAAAGCCACGAGCTCCAAGACCAAACCCAGGCCCATCTCATGGTCCCTGTAAACCCCACAAAAGATTAAATCGTTCAAGCACAATATATAAGCAAGATAGTGCATGCTATATTATGCATGGCACCAACATGATTCAATATGTGAGACGCAAGCAACATAATGTATGGCACCAACATGAACAGAACTGTCAAGTGGATCGATATGAAACCAGACTAATGATAGCAGGAAGGACTAATTGTTAATCGGATGTTCATAGACTAGTAGACAGACTTCAGGATTATAAATTTTCGAAAGTTACAACCACAACACTCAAGTAAAAACGGATGCTAAATAGATTTCCATAAATTTAAGCACACAAGAAGTATTAAAGAACGAAGAATATACCCTCCACTCTTGTCACCAAACTCTCCACCTGACCTAGGACCTCCACTGTAACGATCTCTATCACCAAACCTCCTCTCTCCCTAAAAACGAGGCGGTCCACTTCCAAAAAAAAAAAAAATAAGCCACATAAACCCAAGTAAACGTCTCTCGCACATACTCCTTTGACTTAAAGCTTTGCATCAGCTTAATCACATGTAGGTTCGGAACACACTAAATCAAGGGATGTTGTGCCATATTGAAGTCCTTTTTCTTCATATCTATGCTCATCGCCTTCCAAGTTTTCGGACTCATTGCTCTTTTGGAAGTATTCTTGGCTCAAGATCTGGACACCGCATTCAAGGATGTCCAGGTCTTGGTATTTGCTGCTGAATTCGAACACTACCTCACCGCTCGTGTTAGAGCGGTGAAAATATTGCAAGCCAGATTTAAATATAAATAGATGCTCGGTACGACATATGGAGAGAAGGTATCCGTAGAACTCCTCGTAAACGGGTCTAAGTGGCCGTTGACTATGCTCCGACACAATACTGGCTGTGAACAATGTGCTCTCATATGACTGTTAGGTGAAACCACGAGGCAAAACTTAAATGTAAAGAGCAGAGGCATGTTACCATCGAGACGAATGGTCAAGGAGTTTCCTCTTGCTCTGTGAACAAACTTTGCAGGCACTTCTCTTCCGGGTAACCGAGTATTATTTCCGTAACGAAAAGACCGTTGGATAATCGCTCTTCGTGTTTGTTGGTCCAACTCGAAGCAGTTGGTGAAACAAAGCCGCGCACTTGACGTGTTCAAAGGGGAAAACACCGTCTTCAGTGATGCACAATCATTTGCATATAGACCCGAGAGCGAACCAGGAAGCTCTGGCAGTAATGCGAGTCTTTTGCAGCCAGATGCATAAAGATTTTTCAAAGAATGAAGATCTTTGATGCAATCTGGAATCCTCTCAATATCAGAATAGCTTAGGGTTAGAGAGAAAACCCTAGCTAATGCAAGCAAATTTTGTACCGCTGTCTTTGATATAAGTAGGTCCCTGATGTGCGTTGGCATAACTGGAATGTTTCTCAATCGTGCGCATCCTGCCATGCTGACGAGAGAGATAGATGCTAAGTTCAGGTGAGCTGGAATGACTTGTAGGTTTATGCAGTAACTCATCTTCAAAAACTGTAGTTTGTGAAGATGTGGAAAAGAGGATGGAATCTCTACCAGTCTTTTGCAAAAAACCAGATCCAGTCTCTCCAGATTTGTTGCATTTGTAAGATCCGGGAGTTCCTTCAACTGGCAGGACCATGACAAATCAATCTCCTTGAGATTTTTAAGCTGCTGAATGTAAAAACCACACAATGACAAAGAGATGATCATAACATGAAGAGAAATAGAAAATGTACATATCCATTTATATATATATATATATTTTTAAGTACAACACCAACCTGGGTTCCTTGCCAGAGGTATTTGAGCTGGCTGTTCTTCATATCAAGTTTGACAAGATATTCAGGTTGAAATCTAGGAGGAAGACACTTGTTTGGATATGCCTCCCATTGTAGTAACTTTAGACGACTCAAAAACTCCATCTCCTCAGGTATATGCATTCTATCATTGTCATCATATCTTCTTTTGTAAACTTTCAAGAATCGAAGATTAGGCATTCTTTTAAAAGCTTTCTTGCCTATATATACTTCATCGATTCCTGATATATCAAATGATATGCCGGACACAATTCTAGTACCCTGAACCAAAAATAAGTAAATATAAGTTGTTAATTAGCAAGATAGGTCGTTTTTGCTTATTTTTTACCAAATGCCTAGTTTAATGTATAAATCAATGAACGAAGAGTATATCAAATAGTAGAGAAAAAAACATACTTTATCATCTTCAAGGACATCACATATCTCTTGAGCGTCAATTAAGATCTTACGTTTCCAAGGCTCTTGTCTTTGGATGGCTTGTCTACTCACTTGTTGTAGTAACTTGTGCATCACGATTTCTCCATCAGTAGATATATGTATGAGAGATCTATTGACTAGGGTTTTCAACCCTTGTCTAACATTCAAGTTATTGTCAGCGAACATGGCTTTCACAAGATCACCATCTTCACAGTTGAAGAAGACTGCAATATGGAGAAACAGAGATTGCTCATTTTCATGTAAACTCTCATAACCGACTCTTAGTACTTCTTCGATATCTTGATGATCAAGAGTAGTTTCTAGCCTGCATATTACTTCTTCCCACTCCTCCCTATTCTTCTCACGTAAAAATGAACCCACCACACGGAGACCCAATGGAAGGTTACCACAAAGCGCTGTTACTCTTGTAGCAAGCCCTTCAAAACCATGATATATAGAGCTTTGTGGAAAAGCATATAAACATAAGATCTTTAGAGCTTCTTCATCAGATGGAAAATCCACAGAGTATGAATTTTTGATACCATGTTGCTGCAAAATCTCCTTGTTTTCTGTGGTAACTACAATCCTACTTCCAGGACCAAACCATGTAGTGTCCTTTGCCAACGCCTCTAACTGCTTTATATTGTTCACATCATCAAGAATGATGAGAACTCTTTGGTCGCCTAGATTTTGTTTTACTGCACCTAAATGGGATATCCTTATACCATTTTGGTTCAAAACCTTTGAGATCAATTGTTCTTGATAACGCAGCTGCAAGCCATAGTCGTCAAGACCACTATGATACTTTTCCCTAAGGTTGTCTACAAAACATGTAAGCTGAAACTTGTCAGAGAGCAGGCTTTGCAAGGCTCTAGCAATGGTAGTCTTGCCAATCCCTGCAGGACCAGTGATTGCAACCATCTTAACTCCATCATAGCCTAAATCTAGCAGAGACTCCATTTCCCTCAAATGATCCTCAAGTCCCACCATGCCATCAAAATCCCTAGACGGTGTAGCATTCAACTTCTCTAAAACATCTTTTGCAATCTTTTTGATCATTGCCGCTTCACTATTCCTAACAAAATAGAGAGAGACAAAAAAAAGCACCGTTTCCATCATTTATGATGACATGTATTATTTCTAGAATTCATTCTACAAACAACATTTCTTTTTTTTAAAAGAAGAAAAAAAATTAGCATATAACAAAAACATTCCCTTAATTATTTAACTTCTTATTCTATTTTCTCAAGTGACTAACACCTAAGAAATAAAAACTCAGTTTAGTTAGTTAAGGACAAACCATGTTAAGAAGTCTTCTCCGGCAATGGTTCCCACATGGTACAACGATGTGCTCCATTTCTGCCTTTTCTCGTTTGTTTTGCGTGCACAGGTTTCACTGAAAGTGATCCCGAATTCCCCGGTCTGATTCCGTACATCAGATGGCTCTACTCCGTAGAAGATTGTCATCACTATATGTCCCATTGCTTTCTTAGTCTCCATTATCTCCACCAATTCATCTAAACACCAGCTTGAAGAAGCATATCTCTTGGAGAGAATCACAATCGAGATCCTCGAATCTTTTATAGCTTCAGTGAGTGCAGGGGCGATTATTGCGCTTCTCTCAATCTCCTGGTCATCAAACATAGTGATCCCGTTGCGGCTAAACTGTTCACGCATGTGACTGAGAAGTGTTTTACGGACGTCAGGCCCGTGGAAGCTTGAGAAGACATTGAATTTGTAGTTGAGAGAGGGAACAGAGGAATGAGAAGCCAAGAGAGACATCATGCTTAGTGTGAGATGGAGATAAGTGGGTAATGAGAAGTGGAAGATAAGAAAAATCAGATACTTGTGAAGTTAATGGATGTGGTTCTAGAGAGCTAAATAAAATCAAATAAATAAATGGGTCCTTCACTACATTATTCAAACGTGTTAAGAAGTCTAAGAATTAATAATGCATGAAAAGACAAAAAAAACATTATTGAGTATTACTATTTCAGTATTTGTTCTCTTTCCTATATAGTATTATATTCGGTTAAATTCTAAGCATTTGTACATAAAAACAGAAAAGAGAAGACTTTGAAAAAACTGCCATTTCACACTTGAAAGAGCTGAGCTTTTCACATTCAATCCTAATAAGAGATGTAAAAAGGAAAGAAAAAAAAAAACAAGAATGTTACCAAGAGTTTACAAAAACCATAAACTCGACTGGTCGTCTTTTAAATTTCAACTTCTGACTCAAAAGTCTCTAAATATCTGACTTGCTCTGATCTTCTATTCTCAGGTCACTATGTTCCTCAGCTTGCAGAGGCCTTTTACGACAGGAACAAGAAGGATGCAAGAGATTCTCACATCAATCTCAAGGGTTTCATGGTATCCACTATTTACTACTAGTAGTTAGGGTTACTTGCGACATGGGCAACCAACGTTTCTTGGGGTAAACATAAAAGGACATCACATTCACTCTCTTTAAAAAAACCAGCAGATTCCAAGTAAAAGCGACACAATTACCGAAACTGACAAGAATATAAAACCAGCAGATTCCAAACGTACAAAATAAAAGTGTTATTAGTGTTATCATGTTTTTAACATCATTTTAAATGGCTCCACATTTTAAACAAGTAGCCATATATATAGAGAGAGAGCAACCACGTTCTAACAAGTAATAAGCAAACATCTATTGTCATATGAAGTAGACTTGATAAGACTAGAACATACTCACGTAACCACTTGAAATAAATAAATAGCAAACTATATAGACCACAAAGTACACAAGTCCTCTCCAAACAATGGTCTTAAACAAGTATCGTTTGCGTGTAGCTTAACCATTATTCGTCGCCTCTTTTTCTTTTGCCTCCGCTATCTTGCTGGATTTGAGTCAAACTTGGCACGTAACTAAACAAAGATATCGGATACAATGACGTAGTAACTGCGTAATCTCTGACATTATTGTCGTCTCCAACGATGTGTACACGGAAGTTCAAACTACAACACACGAGGACTTTTCTCTCCTCATCGACAAGGAAACTTCTGCCATCCACAGGCATATAAAAATCTAAATCTACTGCTAAGACCTTGCTCCACGACACCACTTCGGTCTCACCAATCTTATTTGACACCCATATATTTGTCTTCTTTTCATGTTCACGTTGTATTAACACCGAAAGTTTCTCTCCTCTAACAACGGACAGAGACAGAGTTTCAGACCTAGAACACTGTTGCGGAAGACATAGATGTTCAAATATGTCTGTTGAATAGTCAAAACTTACCAAGAATGTTTTGTGTCCCAGACTTATTATATCATCAGCAATCCAGTAAGTCTTTCCCTTCAAAGACACGCCCCGATCAAGTTCCTTAATGATGAAGTCCAAAGTTGCATCAAGATCCCTCCATGAATTAGACTTCATCGCATAAACTTGGAATTCTTGTTTGTTGTTAGAAGGCCTATAAACCATGCCACTCAATATTTTGTAGCTATAATCAACGTTGGACGTTTTGTCTTGGTAAAATCCAAGAGCATACGTAGCGGCTTTCCTAAAAGGATTGATCTCGATCCATCTTGTTTGACCAGTACACGGATTCCAAACCACGAGCCTAGGGATTCTATCGCCGGTAACGCATAACAGTAAGCCGTCGCAGTGAAAGACTTGAGAAATCTTGATTTGGTTTAAGCTAGAACGAGGGTCAATTAGGTTAAGTTGGCGTTTGACCTCTATAGGTGAAACCCTAAGGTTATTGATGCGCATCAAACATAACCTAAACTCACTCAACAGGAGAACCATAAACTGCTTTGGAGATTTCTCAAGGTGATTTGATCTGAATCTCTTATCGTTGAACAAACGGTTCCATCTTTTGCAGGTATATCGTAACCGGATTAGAGGTAAAGCCGGAACACGACACAATATCCTCTGGAAGTTCCAACCTCGTCTTCATTGTGAAATCTGTGATCTTCACAAAGTGGCTTCGATTGTTTTTAGGGTTTTCGAAATTTCACGTTTGTGGTAAGTTAAAAGGGACAAAGATATTAAAAAAAAAAAAAAAAACGGAACCCTTTTCCTGAAAAAGAGGCTTCCGATTTTAAAATAATCTCCATCTCTTATCCAAACAGGGTTTAAGATTTTGAGTCTTGAATAAAATAGATATAATTTAGGGTTCCTTCTCAATCTCTTATAAAAAGCTCATCTCTCTATCGCTTGATATATATTAACCAACAAAGCCAATCTGCAATTCCTCCCGTTTCTCAGCTATTCTTCTGTATTTTCCGTTTCATATTACTTCTTCCCACTCCTCCTCATTCTTTTCACATAAAGATGAACCCACCACACAGAGACCCAATGGAAGGTTACCACAAAGCTCCTTTACCCTTGTAGCAAAACCTTCAAAACCATTATATAATAAAACGTGAAATTTCTAAAACCCTAAAAACAATCGAAGCCACTCTTCTCCTTTGTGAGATCACAGATTTCACAATGATGACGATTTTGGAACTTCCAGATGATGTGTTAGAAGAGATATTCTGTCGTGTTCCGGTTTTGTCTCTTATTCGGCTACGATCTACATGCAAAAGATGGAACATGAAACGTTTGTTCAACGATAAGAGATTCACATCTAACCACCTTGAGAAAGCCCCAAAGCAGTGTATGGCGCTCATGTTGAATGAGTTTAGGTTATGTTTGATGCGCATCCATAACCGTAGGTTTTCACCTATTAAGGTCAAAGGCGAACTTAGCCTAATTGACCCTAGTTCTAGTTTATACCAAATCAGGATATCTCAAGTCTTTCACTGCGACGGCTTATTGTTATGTGTTACCACCGGTGATAGAATCCCTAGGCTCGTGGTTTGGAATCCGTGTACTGGTCAAACAAGGTGGATCAAAATCGATCCTTTAAGCCAAGGCGCTACATATGGTCTTGGATGTTACCAAGACAAAGAGTCCAACATTGATTATAGCTACAAAATATTGAGTGGCATGGTTTATGGGCCTTATTTCGACATACAAGAACCCGGAAATTATATAAAAGAGAAACAAGAATTCAAAATTTATGAGATGAAGTCTAATTCATGGAGGGTACTTGATGCAACTTTGGACTTCATAATTTTGGAACTTGATCGGGGCGTGTCTTTGAAGGGAAAGACTTACTGGATTGCTGATGATATAGAAAGTCTAGAAGAATATAAATTCTTAGTAAGTTTTGATTATTCAACAGAAAGATTTGAACATGTATGTCTTCCGGATCAGGGTTCTAGGTTTGAAACTCTGTCTGTATCCCTTGTTGGAGGAGAGAAACTTTCGGTGTTTTTACAACGGGTTTTTGAAAGGAAGATAAACATATACGTGTCAAATAAGATTGGTGATACCAAAGTGGTGTCGTGGAGCAAGGTCTTAGCGGTAGATTTAGATTTCTATTTGACTGAGGATGGCAGAAATTTCCTTGTCGATGAGGAGAGAAAAGTCCTCGTGTGTTGTGCTTCGGAAGGCCGTGTACACATCGTTGGAGTTGACAATAATGTCAGAGTTCACGTAGTTAGTGCGACTCCGTTATCTTTGTTTAATTACGTGCCAAGTTTGACTCAAATCCAGCAAGCTATCGGAGGCAAAAGAAAGAGAGGCGACGAATGATTAAGTTACAAGCAAATCACTTGTTTCATTCAGACCATTGTTTGGAGAGGACAATAAACTTAGACAGTGATAAATGATAACCATTGATGCCATTTTTGTTTTGTTATGTTCCAAGTTTGACTCCAATCCAGCATGGTATTGGAGGAAACAGAAAACAAGGCGTGTATATTTTTCAAGTTTGTAAGTTTGATGTCAAATTGAATAAAAAGAGTTATATATATTCCAGTTTCAAGCTTTCATAAATCTGTGGCAAAAAAACACTTCAAAGCGTGTATGTATACTTTACTAAGCAATACGAATTAAAATTCAGGGAAAAGAATGGGAAACTGGTGTTAATTACGGTCGATGACATTGGAGATTAAAGTTGATGACAATGTGGCTCAGCTTGATCAAGAGAGTGAGCATGAAGGTCTTAAGGAAACCAATCCCTCTCTCAGCGGATTAATTCAAGAGTTCCTTTTAATCATCTGTTGTTGTTTCCTCTTACCAAGTTTGCTAATGATGATGATTAAAGTCTGATGGATGTTATGTTATTGATTTCTTTGTAAGTTTAATGTGATGATGATTAGTGCAGTGGATGTTGTTGCTACGAAGGTGTTCTTATTCATCAACATTTTATTTCCGTTTATAAACTTTTATTTTCACATTGTGCATGTATGCATGGTTTAAGGAGGCTATACAAAGAAAGAGTGTAGAAAAACATTTTTTTTTTAGTAACACATATTTAGTATTGAGTTGTTATTCTTTTGAATAAGAGAAACATGAAACAAGCATAACACACAAGCATCTAAATTCTAACATCACTAGTCAATGTAAGTTTTTTTTTGTTGTGTTTTCTTCCTATATAGTTAGTATTATATTCGCTTAAATTATAAGCATTTGTACATAAAAACAGAAAAGAGAAGACTTTTAAAGAGCTGCCATTTCACACTTAAAAGAATTTGAGCTTTTCACATTCAATCTTAAGAGATGTAAAAAGAAAAGAAAAAACAAGAATGTTAGCAAGAGAGCATGCTGTTTACAAAAACCATAAACTCGACTAGTCGTCTTTTAACTTTCAACTTCTCACTCAAAAGTTTGTACTCTGTAGACCGTTGACTACTAGTATGAGAAACGAGAGGAGTTGAAGATTGGGTTTGTTTGTTAATAGCAAGCGATAGAGAGATAAGCTATTTATAAGAGATTGAGAAAAACCCTAAATATCTATTTTATTCAAGACTCCAAATCTATAACCTGTTTAGATACAAGTACAATTACATTTTGACTTGGTCTAGAAGATGGAGATTATTTTAAAATCGGAAGCCTCTTTCTCATAAAAAGGGTTCTCTTTTTTTTTTTCCTTTTAACTTACCCTCAAACAAAGTTTTACTTTGAGTCTTTGATTACACAAAAAAAAAAAAAAAAATAGCAAACGTGAAAGTTCTAAAACCCTAAAATCAATCGAAGCCACTTTTCTCCTTTAATTTGTGCACAATGATGACGATGTTGGAACTTCCAGAGGATGTGTTAGAAGAGATATTCTGCCGTGTTCCGGCTTTGTCTCTTATTCGGTTACGATCTACATGCAAAAGATGGAACCGGAACCGTTTGTTCAACGATAAGAGATTCACATCAAATCACCTTGAGAAAGCCCCAAAGCAGTTTATGGCTCTCATGCAGGAGGAGCTTAGGTTATGTTTGATGCGCATCAATAACCTTAGGTTTACACCTATAAAGGTGAAAGGCCAACTTAACCTAGTTGACCCTCGTTCTAGTTTAAACCAAATCAAGATTTGTCAAGTCTTTCACTGCGACGGCTTATTGTTATGCGTTACCGGTGATAGAATCCCTAAGCTCGTGGTTTGGAATCCGTGTACCGGTAAAAAAAGATGGATCAAAATCAATAGTTTAAGCCAAGGCGCTACATATGCTCTTGGATCCTACCAAGACAAAACGTCCAACGTTGGTTACAGCTACAAAATATTGAGTGGCATGTTTTATAGGCCTATTTACGACACACACGAACTGGAAATTTGTGAGATGGATGATGACTCTAATTCATGGAGGGTTCTTGATGCACCTTTGGACTTCATAATTAAGGAACTTGATCGGGGCGTGTCTTTGAAGGGAAAGACTTACTGGATTGCTGCTTATATAGAAAAACCGGGACACAATGAATTCTTAGTAAGTTTTGATTATTCAACAGAAAGATTTGAACATGTATGTCTTCCGGATCAGGGTTCTAGGTTTGAAACTCTGTCTGTATCCGTTGTTGGAGGAGAGAAACTTTCGGTGTTATTACAACGGGTTTTTGAATGGAAGACAAACATATACGTGTCAAATATGATTGGTGAGACCAAAGCGGTGTCGTGGAGCAAGATCTTAGCAGTAGATGTATGTTTTAAGATCGCGGATGGCAGAAGTTTCCTTGTCGATGAGGAGAGAAAAGTCCTCGTGTGTTGTGTTTCGGAAGACCGTGTATACATCGTTGAAGAGGACAATAATGTCAGAGATTACGAAGCTAGTGACTCAATGTGTCCGATATCTTTGTTTAATTACGTGCCAAGTTTGACTCAAATCCAGCAAGATATCGGAGGCAAAAGAAAGAGAGGCGACGAATGATTAAGTTACAAGCTAACGATACTTGTTTCATTCAGACCATTTTTTGCATAGGAGACAATAAAGAGTTTTTAAATAAGTCAGATTATCATCTATGCATGACTGTCTTAAGGAAAGACTTTTCAGAGGATCCAAAGTGCTGTGAAACCAATCCCTCTCTCAGCGGATTAAAGTGTTTCCAAGTTTGCCAATGATGATGATTAAAAGCCTGATGGATGTTATTAAGAATATGTTTTTTTAAACTTTCATTTCTTGTAAGTTTAATGTGATGGTAGTTAGTGCAATGGATGTTGTTGTTACGAAGGTTTTCTTATCCATCAACATTTTATTTCAGTTTAATAAATTTCGGTTTTCATATTGTTATATATATCTTATTATATAAAGCTGGATGCGCGCGACGTGGTTGCGACACGTAGGATTTTTATAAAATTTAGGATTGTAACATGTGTCACTTTTAATGTTATGTCCGTTAAGATCGTGACATGTGTCTTAGGTAAAAAGAAAAAAATAATAATTAAAAAAATTTAGATAAAGAAAAAAACAACGAAATTTTAATCTTTTATAGTTAAAAGAAAAAAAATTATATTAGTCATATCTTAATAGAAAAAGGTTTCTCATTCATCAAATTTATATTATCCAAACACATATAAAGATTCAAAATGAAATAAATAAAATCCTATTAGTACATGAAATAGGTTAGGTTTAGTTAATCTTTTATAGTTAAAAGAAAAAAAATTATATTTGTCATATCCTAATAGAAAAATTTTTCATTCATCAAATTTATATTATCCAAACACATATAAGATTCAAATTAATGAAATAAATAAAATCCTATTAGTACATGAAATAGGTTTGAATAATATAAATTTGATGAATGAAAAACCTTTTTCTATTAGGATATGACAAATATAATTTTTTTCTTTTAACTATAAAAGATTAACTAAACATAACAGGTAAGCTAAATTTCCTATAACTGCATGGAATAAGTTACATAAATCCCTATAAAAAGAGAGTTAAAGTAGTCTTTTTTTTTCTCATTCACAAACTCATCAAAGCAAACAACATGATAGCAATACGTATGATTTTTATAACTCACAAAATTGCGATATCTGTAATAAAATAATGATAATAAAAAAACTAACTAATAATGAAAATGAAAATTTATAATGGCCTGAGTCAAAAACAAAATTGAAAAAGAAACAATATAAATAGAAAATTAACAAATAATTATCAAGCAACTAACTAATATTAAGAAAAAATAATGATAATAAAAAAACTAACTAATAATGAAATTGAAAATTTATAATGGTCTGAGTCAAAAACAAAATTGAAAAAGAAACAATATAAATAGAAAACTAACAAATTAACTATCAAGCAACTAACTAATATTAAGAAAATATAATGAACCAATATTCTAATTTTAAATAGTTTAATATATTTTCAATATTGTTAGGTAAAAAATTATTAAATAAAGATTTCAACAATTGAAATCTCTTGAATGGAATAATAAAGTTTTGTTGAATTAATTAATCAATTGATCATATTTAGACATATATAAGTCTTTCTATATTGGATAAAAATAAAATAAAACAAATTAATTCATTTTTTATATCATGAATTCAAAAAAAATATCAATTACAATTTACAATAAAAACATAAAAAGGTTACCGATCTTATTTTATTTAAATCTTTTTATCGGGTTTTTAATATTATTCTGTTTACTTTAAAATGATCAAATTTGGTTTAGTACTTTTCCATGATTTTATTATAAAATCTTAAAATAAACCCGCGTATACGCGGGTCTTAATCTAGTATATATATGCATGGTTTATGGAGGCTACAAAGAAAGAGTGTAGTAACACATGTTTAGTATTGAGTTGTGTTTCTTTTGAATTAGAGAAACATGAAACAAGCATATCACACAAGCATCTAAATTCTAACATCACTAGTCAATGTAAGTTTTTTTGTTGTGTTTTCTTTGTACTTGAGAGTTGAGACTTTTTCCAAAGGTTGGACAGAGTTTCCAAACCGAATCAAAATTCAAAATTCCATACCGAAATTTTCTAACCTGAACCCTATCAAGTTATAGAAAAACACATGTAAACCTACCTAATGATCCCATTCCGAATCGAACCAACTCCAATTTTTGTAAAACCAAACCCGATCCGAACTAGCAAAATTCATTAACTACAAATGTTTTTGGTGAAATCATATATATGAAAAGAGGCCAACTCTCTTCATATTGTTGACACATGGATACATGAGAAAATGACACATGTTATATAATTTTCAATTTAAAAAACAAAAATCTAAAAGTTAAATATAACATTAATGCAACTTTTGGTCTTCTTTTGTGGTTATTGTAACTTACAAAATATATTTTCATATAATTTTCACTTTAAAAAAAAATATCTAAAAGTTTAATAGAATTTCAATGTAACTTTTGGTTTTCTTTTATGGCATTAGAACTTATAAAATAAAATAAAACTATTATAGCACTTTCATATTATTATTTTTCGTCATCAAGAATCACTATTAAACATTTAAGTTTTCTTAATATACAGAGAATTGGATTCAGAAAAAAAATGATGGCAGAAAAGCATAGTGTGTTCCACATAGCGGTGAATAAATAAAGAGTGGCAAATGTATAAAAACATGTGATATTATACAAAACTATATATTTGAAAGTCTAACGAAGCAAATAATAATTAAAATACAAGTGTAATTTGGGTTAAAAGATTATTCACAAATCTCTAATTTTTTTATATTCCAACCAAATAAGAATTAAGATACATATGTTATTTAGATTATTTGGAGTAACATTTTTTTTAAACTATAACAATAAGAAAACCTGCGCGTACGCGTGGGCATTGGTCTAGTGTATATATGAATCTATTAAATCTTAGGGAAACTTGGTGAGAAGGTGGATTTTATGTTTCTAATTAATTTTTGGGTGGTGCAAGTTTGTAATTGGGAAAATGGGTGTATCACTTAATTAAAAAGTCAGTTAATTATTTCAATTTTTATTATAATCTTGGTCCAATATCTAATTAAACCGAACCAAAATATAATTCAACCGAATAAAACCAATATTCTAGGACCCGAAAAACTTAAAATCCGAGAAAAGCAAACCAAACCGAACAGAACATAACCTAATCATCTGCATTCTGCAGACTGTCCTACCACTTTCGAATGCGGTGCCCTTCTTATAGGCGGGAAAATCAAGAGCCTTTTGTATCTCTTTCCTTTTCGTTTGTTCCAATTTCCACATTTTGGTTTCTCTCCTCAGTCTCTTCTCCGAATCCAGAAAACAAACAAACGAATCCGAGAAATCGAAGCTCCCCAACTGAAAACTATGTCGGCCTACGAGTACCCAAAATTCTCTCGCTCCGACATCATCACGGTGCTCGCGGAGGCTCAGATCGCCACCGTCACGGACGCCGATCTCAAAAACCCTAATCCCGACTTGGTATCCGAGCTTTACAGCAGACTTCTCATCTATCTCGACATGCTCAACGAGTATGCCTTCTTCTCTAATCTCCTTAGCTTTCGACTGATTTTTCACTGTCGATTTTAGGTTTTCGAAATTGCATCTAATTCAAGCTCTGGGTGATCGAATTGTTTCAAAAATTATTCACCTTTTCTGTTCAATTGAAAATGAGGCTTATCGTTTGAAAAACCCTAATTTTTTCAATTTGGGGATTTCTGCAAATGCTTCATTTTTTTTTTCTTTTCATTTGATTCTTCTGATGATGTTTCTCTTCCGGTTTCGAAATCCATGGCAGAGAAGACAAAGGTCAAGTTGATTTTGAGGCTCTTGAGCAACTGGAGAATCCAGATCACCATGCGACCTCAGTGCAAGCTATAAATCTGTACAGCAAAGTGAAAGATATGTTAGATATGGTTGATTGTCCTCTAAAGTTCACTTTCAAGGACCTCTTACGCCCTGAATCATCACGCACCGAGTTCTTCGTCAGCGCACTCTTGAATTTCGGTCTACACAAGTACGTCCTTGTGCTTATCTTCCTAGTTTAGCTTCGTTTCTCTATAGTTTCTTCTTCAAGAAGATGACTTTGATGGTTTCATGATTATTTTACATCTTCTGTTTTTGTTAGGGATTCAAAAATGGAGCAAGTAAGGGCAAAGGCAGAAGAATTGACTCTTCTTGATGAGCAGAGGAAGCAGTGGGAGGCGAAGATTGCGCAGTTGAATGCAGAGATTGCAGAGTTTGATGAAGCCTGTGAGAGAGACTCACCGTTTGTTAAAGAGCTCGAAGTGAGTATTGAAGAGCTCAACCAGAAAATACTAGGACTGAATAATCAGCAGCTGTCACTGAGAGCAACGTTCCATGATATGAGAGAGAAGAGTACGGAAATGGATAACAAGGTAAGAAAGCTGCAAGATATGGCATTGAGAAGTTACCTTTGGTTAAGTTTGATGAAAGAAACAAGCTTTATCTCTCTATACAGATTTCCAAAGCAGAGTTCGACCTTGTACAAGCTGTCCAAGAAAATGCAAACCTCCGCTCACAAATTGTTCAATCCCCAGACAAATTACAGGTATGTTTTTGTTCCTACTTGCAGCAGATGAGTTCTAAGACCCTAAACCCTAAACCCTAAACCCTAAACTAAGAAAAGGTTTGTGTATGTAACACTAGTTCAAATGTTTGTTGTGGAGACAGGGGGCTTTAGAAGAGAAGAAACAAGTGCTGGAGGAAACAAAGAAAGCTGAACAATTAGCAATAGAAGCTTTCCAAGAAAAGGCTTCCATTCTTGAGGTGTATGAAAAGGTATATACTTACCCAATCAGATATTGTTGTCAAACGATTTGGTTAGAGAAATAGGATTTCAGTAACATCATTACTCTTCTAAGTTTGTTGTTTATTGCTGTAATCCACTGTCACTTTTGTTCACACTCCACGAAATTCTGTCCAGGAGCTTTAGGTAGAACTTAATTTAGTTTGCTGTATAGTGGATGAGAGTGAATCCATGTTGTACATTTAGTTAGATTGAGACCTTATTATATGCTGTAAATTATGTACTTTTTGTGTGTGTTTAGTCTTACAACAGTTTTATGCTTTCATTATCTTGAGCTTAATAGGTGTACCATCAATGTTTTGCAGGCATTCAAGAAAATTTCAAAGTCATCTGCGCAACTGCAGTTAATTAACGAACAGGTGACCAACGAAGAAAGATTCATTTCATCTTTCATTGCTTGTAGATTGTGAACCATCATTGCATCTCTAGTATATCGGAATGAGATAGTCTCAGTGGATTTATCTTTCTTTTTGATGTGTGTTTTGATGATGTTACAGGTAACCAATGTGAAAGCAATTGAGAAAGATTTAAAAGCTCAGAAAGCAAAGCTGAGTGAGGATGAGGCAATGTACAAGTCACTTGAGGCGAAAGTGATTGAGAGGGAAAGAATAGGCAAGGCTTTGTTGGTTTTGGGTTTATCTCTTCCCTCTTTAGATTTTGTTTCTCCATTTGTGTAACTTTCTATTCTTTAAACAGTGAAACAGTTGCACGAGTCATTGAAGCAGTTAGAGAAAGAGAAAGCAGTCATGTTTGATGATTGGACGAAACAGTTGAATGCATTAAAACTGGAAGTCGAATCCAAAAGAGGTGGTCTTGAAGCCAGGCAAACGGATGTTGAATCAGTTTTGGCTATGGTTAATGCTCCTTTACTTTTAGAACATCTAACAAATATGGATCTTTTGTGCACAATGATTTGAGTAAGCTTTCTTTGTTTTTATATATTACAACAGGCTGATGCGAATACTGCCAAGACTGACCAGGTGAAACAGTCAGGAGAAGCTAAAGTGAAACGCTTAGCCGCTAAATACGAAGAGATCGTGAAGCAGGTTTTTAATTCTCATTTCCATGTTTTGTCACTCGTTTCTCATGTTATGCTGCAACAAATTAAGAGGCTATCAAAGTTACTACTACTAGGTAGGCTTCTTCTTGATTCTTTGCAAGACATGTGTATTAAGAAGATTTTGTCTTTCGTGTTTGCAGTTTCATAATTACACGGTGTCGTTTGAAGAGTTTCTGCCTAAAGAAGGAGAAGGCATGCTTGACTGAGCTTAGCTAAGTGACTTAGTGAAGGTAGAGAGAGAGATTGTGAATTTGTGATGTTCCCTAACAGAAAGGACACTACTAAATTCCTATTTTGGTTGACTGATTGTATCAAACTTGTTTTCTGAGTTTTCATCCTCAGATTCCATCTCTAATCGAATGGTATCTATTTAAGTACATTTGAAAAGGTATAATTTTTTTTAAAACAAATTATCAAATGTGCAGGATGAAAAAAAAAAAACTGAAAATTTATGATGGTCATGAGAGTCGAACTCACGTCCTCGCGTGCAATTACAGTCTGCAATATTTACAAAATCACCAACTGCGCCACTAGTGTAGAGATTTTGTACGGAAAATAAAACATTTATAAATGCGTACTTAAGTATACCATTCGCGGTGTTTTCAATCATTTTCAATCTTCAATTTCTCTGGATTTGGTATTCTTCTTCAATCTCCCCAGAATAAGAGGAGGAATCAGCAACGATGCTCGCTGTGGAGTGATTTCGAATTCGATGTCGACGCACTTCTTTTGTATAAGCAGACAATTCTGAGAAGAAGACGAAGAAGTGCATCGGAGATCGAAAATATGGATCCGGAGCAGACGTTTATCAGGGTTCAGGAGAGGTTTTCGCAGATCTTAACTCCTAGGATTAGGGCGTTCTTAGAGTATACGTACCTCTTCGTTGCCATCACTTTGTTCTGCATCCTCGTTGTTATGCACGCCAATTATGTTCAGCAGGTAATTTGATTTGACTCTCTTTTTGATTTTTTTCCCTTTCGTTGTCTGTACTTTTATGAACTTCAATGAACGAGAACAATCCAAAATTCTTCCTATTGGCTTTAGCTGGTTGTGGAAAAGATTAAGGTTGTTTAGCGGAAAAGTTTGGGTCTTGGAAATGTAGCTTCAGGATTAGCCGAGTATGTAGAAGATTAAGGTAGTTTACCAGAGAGCTTTAGGATTCTTTATGCTGTGAATTGCCTCGGATAATGACTTCATGGTTGTATTTCAAGTATGAGATACTGAAATTAGAGTAAGGATGATGTAGCAGTTTCATATGGTAGGAGATGCTAAATCATTTTTTATGTGTTTGTAACTCCGTAGTAGTTTTCTTGCTTAATCAGATTTTCATGGAGTTATGTTAATACGAAAATTGTGGGGATGAAGCTATACGTGTAGAAGGTTTTGGCATTAACTTGGCATGGAGTATACTGTTGTACCTTCTCTAAGTTGCAGTGGTCATAATTACATAGTTACCACGTGAAGGCACTTTTCTGATTTCTTTAGGTGTTTGTGTTTTCTTTCACGTCAGATGGCATATTTTTACACGCACACTTCATATTTTGATGTAAATACTAGTAAACTTTCCAAGATGATTACTTTCCATGCATATATCATCTCCGACGTTTGATATGATTTGTAAATTTAGAAGCATTCAAATGCATTTTTTTAAATATAGAAGACTTTCTTGTAGCCTGCATGCCTTCCTAAGATATTCCTTGCTAGTGTTTCAGAAGCATTTATTGTTCCTCTGTTACTAATCTTCGTTATTTGTTTCCCCTTGTAAAGCCTGGTTGTTCAAGTGAGCTTACTGGAGTTGAGTTAGCTGAAGCAGAGCTTTTACAAATCAAGGTATGCAGATTTTATCCTTTCTGATGTTAGCTCACATAATTAGTGTAAAATTTCGATATTTTCCTTGCCCATCAGTCTCATTCAGGAATAAGTTAGCGATTCATAAAAATTGTATTCATCGTCAGTTCTATACAACATATATGGCACCAACTTATTTTTGTGGTATAGATAACAAGCGCGGGGCTGTGGTCACGTAATGATGAGAGTACTGCTGCAGATGTTCCTCAAGTTGAAGCTAAAACTGACAATTTAGAAGTCTCAAAGAATGTTCAAGGTGATTGTTTATCTTCGGGAATAGATTGTGGTTGAATTGGTTTGGAAAGACTTCATGTAGGTGTAGGAGCTAAATATCTTTGAAGTTTTCTGGGACTGATGCCGTCTTTTTTGCAATCATGCAGAAAGCTCTACCAGTGAAGAGAGTGCTGATGATATATTTGTTAAAGTTGATAAGGAAGAGCCCCGCATTAGTTTCTCAGTCTCTGCAAAAGAGACTGTCAGAGCAGCTATTATTCGCTTTTTCAAGAAGTGTTATAGGCGCATATCTTTTGTTTTACAGCATGCAGCACGGATCCTCAGGGGTGTTAGAAAAATATGGGTGAGTTGTCTCTCATATGACTTTGTAACTAGTTACGCTGACATTTCCCCTTGATTCTCAAGTTCTGATTTAGATAATGCTTATGGCTGTCGTATATAGACGTTGTATCTCCTCAGTGAGAGGTTTAAAGCATGGTTCTTAAGTGGTGTTCGTATGATCGTAGTTAATATGTTACTAAAAATTTAAGTGGCAAGTGTTTACTAGTTAGGGTGTAGACAATCTTCAGTAGTTTCTCCCTTTATTTTGTGAGGAAAATAGACTTAGGTTTAGCTACGAAATTTAGCTCTTTACAAATATCTGTATTTTGGTGCCATGGTACTCGTGTCATCTGCTGTTACAATCCTGAGTCTTTATACTTTGACTAAAACAAATTATTTTGCTCTTCAAATTTTTAAATGCAGAACATCATCGGCATACCGTTGAACCTTGATGTGCCTAAGTTGTTGCATGTGCTGTATATGGATAAGGTCAACTACTATGCAGGTAAAATCCACCTCGCTAGACCTCTGCTGTATATTTATAGTGGTTTTGTTCTTCTCTTTTGGATAAACTTATCAGACAATGATGGCCGTTTACACAAATGTAAAACTGAATCTGAATACATACATACCCTTGTGAAAAGCATTAATTGTTTTGAGATACCCAAACTACAAAATGTTTACTGGCCTCTTCTTAAAAGCCTTTCTACTATTTTCAATTTAAGAGGTTTAGTTATTAGAAGACTCACACATGTTCGGCTTTTTACTCTGCTTTGGGTGGGGAGATGTCTGCATGAAATGCTATGTATAAAAATAATTTCTTTGTTGATTTTTTGTCAGTTCAATGGCTTGAGAGTAGAACTCAAGAGTTTGAGCCCACATATCTATATACTATGGAAAAGGTAAACTCTATTCTCTATTATGAATTTAAAGCTGACAGTATATACCCTAGCAAAATATATTTTATTAAGAAGATGTGAAAATGAGGAATACTGCAGTTGAGTTTTTTGTTTGGTCTTAATACTGCTTCGCTTTTTTTCCGTGTAGGGTTACTTTCTGCTACCTGATGAAGCAAAGTCAAGGCATAATATTCGCACTGCAAATGTCAGCATATCAGCACGACATCCCTGCTTTGGCAACAGGTAGTACTCATGTTATTGGCCCTTCATTTAACTGGAAAGGCTGTATCCTGATGTTTAGCTTCTTAATATTGAATTACTTTTGCAGGTGGCAGCAACTTCTTATAAACAGAGTTGTAGGATACGATACAATCATAATGAATAGCTTACAGAATTCCGCTGGTCAAGGTAGGTATTAGCTGTTTACCTGGTTGATAATGCCCATGACTATGCATAATGTAAAATGATAAATGTCATTGTTTGCCCCTTTGATTCTTTCAATCTATGTGATACTGTGAATGCTGCAGCTTGCAATCCATATGACTGCCAACTTCTTCCATTACAGGTTATCTTTACAATTATCAGTCAAGAGAATTTTACAATCTTAGTTACTCCCAAGAAATTCCTGAAGGTTCTGCACAGTTTGGAGGTTTGCCATGTTCTGTCTCGTGAACAGCATATGTTGATTATTAGCATTATATTGGATTGGAAGATCTCACCGAGGCTGCTTTATCGGGTGTATTGAGTGATATTATACTTCCGGGTGTATGCAGATTACTTGGTGACGAAATGTGGAGTGCTTATGATGTCACTTTTTGTGTTTTTCACAACTACAATGTCTGTGTCATTCACATTGCGAGAGACACAAACTCGCATGTTGAAGTTCACAGGTTTGTCTTTCTTCTATTCCAAATTTCCAATAGCTAATGGTTTTCCCATCTTTTGCTTCTCAACAATCATTTTTGTTTCGATATCAATTTGTTTGCAGTGCAGCTTCAACACCATGCTCAGCATCGGTTACCAACATTTCAGTTGATCTTTGTGCACGTGATTGAATCCCTCGTCTTTGTACCGGTACGCATATATGCTTTCTCATTCCAAATATCTCAGAGGATTCTCTTAACCAAGATTATACAATAACTAATTGAAAATTTGCAGATTATGATTGGGATTCTGTTCTTCCTATTTGAGTTTTACGACGATCAGCTATTGGCTTTCATGGTTCTAGTTCTTGTTTGGCTATGTGAATTATTCACCCTGATAAGGTTTTGGTCTACTCTTTTACCTCAGTACTCTTGCTTTTGATGATCTCTTTGTTACTTAACTGTTCAATGGAATAGTAACAAAGTCCTTTCTTCCGAATATTGCAGTGTCAGGACACCAATATCGATGAAGTTCTTCCCGCGTTTCTTCTTGCTCTACTTCTTGGTGTTCCACATTTATTTCTTCTCGTACGCATATGGTAAGAGATTACGTTTCCTACCTTATATTTGTCTCACTAATCCGTTCACTCACTGTGTAACTCTCAAATAGGCTTTTCGTATCTCGCCCTTATGACAACCGCTGCGTTCATGCAACACTTGATTCTATACTTTTGGAACCGTTTTGAGGTAAACCTCTGATTCCAACAGCTCCAAGATTATAGCCAAATCCAGATAAGCTTCTGTTATAAGATTTTTTGTTTATCGGAAACCGCAGGTACCGGCTCTTCAGAGGTTTCTTCAAAGCCGACAGTCACACCTTCAGCAACACCCAGACTTCCACATCACTTCCTCGACAATCCTAGCGTCAACACTTCACATCACAAGGCTGAACAGAACAACAACAACAAGAAACCAAGGTCCCAACAACACACCTCCTAACCAAAACACAGAAACAACAAGATCTCCAGCAGCAGGAGCATCAGCTGATGGAGGAGGAGGAGGCGAGAATCCAATGCAACATCAAGAGCAAGAAGGGAACGCAGCGAACAACACCATTCCCGCAGGGCCTAACCCACAAGCAGGCGCGATGAGCTCGTTCAGCTCGATGCTGCTATGGATTTTAGGTGGTGCTTCCTCAGAAGGACTTAACTCGCTTCTCTCGATGTTTAGAGATGTGAGAGATGAAAATGAAGCTCAAGTGTTTGCAGATACTACTTCCCCTCAAAACCCTCATCATGATCCTCTCTCAGTTGACTAAAAGTTTTATCCATCTCTTTTGTATGCTGTATATTTGTATTTCTTTGCTTTTTTTGTTCCTTGTTTGCTTGTATACTGTATAGAGTCAGTCACTTGCGCAATGAAAATCAAGCATTTGAGATATTAACAAGGTGAACAAAAATTGGTACAGAAATGTATTTGACGTTGATTCTTGAGTATGATTATAGTTCTATAAAAAAAGTCTTCACGTAGCTTTCCTCAAGATGACATTTCCATGGTGAAAAAGATTATCAAGTTTTTATGAGTCAACCAACATAGCCTCACAAATTTGTTTATTACCTCAAAAATTTCAACTCTTTGTTACAAAAAAAAAAAAAAAAATGCAGAGTCAAAATAGTTTCTTCTTTTTAGTGATAGAAAATAAATTAGTTTGCTAGAGTTTTACGGAGATGGCGATGATGAGGATAGATTGCGTTTGCCACATCACAGCTACTGCTACTGCTCGGCTTCCGTCTCTCTACGACGGAACACTTCTTCGCCGCCGCTCCCTTCGTCTCCGAAATGGCAGCTCTCGAGAGCGAAAGCTTCAGCTCCGATGCGTCTCGGCTTCTGATTCGTTGCAGTTTGATTTCTCGCCGCCTCCAATCGACCACGATCTCCTCGTAAGCTTCTTCTCTAATTGCAGCCGCAAATAACAATTTGTCGATTATAAAGTGTTAAGTTAGGAATTTGCTAATGCATTTCCTCTTTTTTGTTTATGGACTTGTGAAAAAGGATACAATTAGTGTTGCTGGAGGGAAAGTCTCAGAGGATGGTATTGTTGAGAGTTTTGATAACGACGATGAGGCCTTGGATGCTTTTGATAATGGAGTAGTGGTAATGTAAACTTTACCTTCTCTTCGTTTTTAGTTTTCACTTTGAAGCTCTTTGGCTGCTTTTTGCATTCTGAATTTTTGTTTGAATCAAAAAATTTGATTGTAGGTTGTAGACCTCTCACATTTTGGGAGAATACGAGGTACAACACTTACAGCTTTTTCCTTTAACTTTGCCTAATATTTGTGGTTTTAACATTTTGCTACATCGTTTGTGCTATTGCCATCAAGTAAGTGGAGATGACCGCGCTCATTTCCTTCACAACCAAACTACCGCAAATTTTGAATGCCTTGGTGAAGGAGAGGTGAGTCTTTTTTAGGGATATTTGCTTGCATAGAGTGTATGTTGTTGCTTCTGTGACTAGTAAGTAGTAACCATTTGTGGATATGTTTGCTTGTTTCTTTAAGGGATGTGACACTGTATTCGTTACCCCAACAGCACGGACGATTGATATTGCACATGCTTGGATCATGGTAAAAATATGCAAGTGGCTTATGTCATATCTTGTGTGACTTATATGCAAGTTCTCCGTTAAAACGACTCCTTTTTTCTTTCAGAAAAATGCAATAATGTTAACAGTTTCTCCAACGACGTGCCAAAGCATAATTGAGATGCTGAACAAGTATGTTAAAACGTTTCATCCTTGCTCTCTCTGGTCTCTTTGAGATTTAGGCTTCGTCTTTTGAGTACTATGACGTCACTTATTTCTTGTCTTTGTCTTCTCAGGTACATATTTTTTGCTGACAAGGTAGAGATCCAGGACATCACCAAGAAGACTTGCTTATTTGCTTTAGCAGGACCCAAAAGCAATGAAGTAAGATTATTCTACAAGCAGGGTGACAAAACCTTGTCGATTCTTCTCTGTTTATCTTGTATGGAAGCTCAAATGTATTATGTTTATGCTAATGTAAAGAATCTGAAACAGATTATGTCGAAACTGAAGCTGGGAGAGCTTATTGGGCAGCCATATGGCAAGCATCAGCATTATAGTGTAAGCCTTTTTTTCTTTATCTCGAAACAGATGTTATGAAGTAACATGTAGTAGTAACAAGCTCCTTTCTTTTCTCAGTTTGATGGAATGCCGATAACAGTTGGTGTCGGAAGTCTTATCTCAGATGAAGGCTTTACCATGTTAATGTCACCAGGTGGTGCTGCTTCACTCTGGAAGACTCTTTTATCTGAAGGTGCCATTCCAATGGGTTCTGTAGCGTGGGAGAAACTTAGAATCACTCAAGGTTAGTAATACAAAGCTGTTCAGATTTAGAAGCAGTGTTGTGAAAAGCTGTTCTTGATGTATTTGCCTTGCATTAACGAGATCATAATTGTTAGATCACATAGCACTGTTTAGTTAGTGAATAAGCAGAGTAAATTGTATGTTTTCTTAGGCCAAAAGCATTGATGTTTTGCAGGAAGACCAGCACCAGAGAGAGAACTCAGCAAGGAATTCAATGTTTTGGAAGCGGGTCTATGGAACTCAATCTCTCTAAACAAAGGTACTAAAGAGGCTTTGGTTTAGTGAAACTCAAATGATACAAGAAGCGTCTTGGTTAAATAAATTTTGATAACTTCTCAGGATGTTATAAGGGGCAGGAGACTATCGCAAGACTCATAACATACGATGGAATCAAGCAAAGGTTATGTGGACTCAACCTCTCTGCACCAGCAGAACCAGGCAGCACCATCACATTCGACGGAAAAAAGGTTTTTGAGCCTTTCTGTGCATACCTTTAGTAACTCGAAAACTGAGAAAAGCATCTGCATTTCTTCTATAATTCAAGAAACATTATCATTTCAGGTTGGGAAGCTAACGAGCTACACTAAGGGAAGAAATGGGTCTAGCCATTTTGGGTTAGGCTACCTCAAGAGACAAGCAGCCTCATTTGGTATTGAAGTGACTATAGGTGAAGACGTTTCCGGGATAGTATCTGAAGTCCCTTATCTATCTCGGCAACATCCTCCACCAACCAACCCGAGTTCTTGAGTAGAACAAAAACGAACACAGATACACACACTGGTTCTTAAAACAATACTTTCTTACATATTTATTATGCGAGTATATTGTTATATCATGGTTCTCATAGGAAACTGAGACATTGTTAATTGATAGATATGAAAGTGATTAGAACAATAGTTTTTTTTAGGGGCAAATCATGTTGGGACAACTGCAACGACGCCTGTTGTTAGGTTTAGGAGTGCAATTGCAGGAGACTGAGCTGACATTTGAGTCCCATGTACGTTTTAGGTCACCTAGACATTGTTGTCCTCCATCGCTTGAGCATGAACCTTTGAATATTTGGTTTTTAAATGGACACCAGTGCCTTTTCTCTGTAGCGATTAAGCTTGGTTCTTCACCTAACTCATCAACAACAAAAAAAAGAGTTAAACCGATCTGGTTTGGGTTAAACCGGAGTTACATTTGCAATGAGTATAATGATAATGACCTTGTGATAAGTGACTTTGGAGAAGAGAGAATAAGACACAAGTAGCTAAGAATATTGCAGCCAACTTCATGTTTTTTATATTTTTGTAATCTTTTTGTCTCTTGCTTATATGTTGTGATGACTTGTGATTATCTCCAAGCAAGCAATAATATAGGACACAAGTACATTTGACTGTGCATAAAGAATATGTGTTTATATGGTAAGCTATCTTTTGTTTTTATTTTGTCTTTTTATGGTAAGCTTATCTATTTGTTGCATTTTTGTGGGTTTGAAAGATAATTATTAACTTTTACCTTTGGATTTAGTATTGTTTCTACGATTTAATGATTTACATGGATCACTTTTATACACATGCTAGTGGACGTCTTCATCATTTCAAACCCCTTAGTAGAGAGATAGATTGGATCCAGATATTTTGAATTTCAGGTTACTCGGATCAGGAAATTTGGATCTATATCAAAAATAAAACATAAACTAGTAAAACCAAACGAAAATGAAATAAAATATAGATTATATAAAACGTTTTTAAGTACAAACTAGTAGTTGATCAAGGAGATTGACATAATTTTGTCAAGCAAATTTAGCTAACACAATTATTGGCTCCCTTAATTATTTGCATAAAGCTGAATTTACAAGTGGGATAAGCCAATATCTTTTATATATATGTATATAATAGGCCAAAAGCTGCAACTGCAACAGTTTATGGGATCTGAAAATAGAAACTTTCTAGGGGCAAATCAGATTGGGACAGTTGCAGATACGCATACGCTTATGCTTATGATGAGGAAGGCAATCGCAGTAGATTGGGCTGAGCCTTACACTTGGATCCCATGTACTTAACAAGTCATTTAAACATTCTTGTCCTCCATCTTCGTTTGAGCATGAACCACCAAACACTTGCTTCTTCGTTGGGCACCACTGCCTTCTTTGCTCACCTAATTCATCAACAAACAAAAGATAAACGGTGTTAAACCAAACCGGGTTGTGTTAACCGGAGCTCAGTGAGGAAAGTGGTGATCTCAGATATGATGATTACCTTGTGAAAGGAGGTTTGGGAGAAGAGAGAAGAAGACGCAAGAAATCAAGATGATCGGAGCCAACTTCATGTTTTCTTTTTGGGGTAAAGTTGCTTCTCTCTTGTTTGTTTTTTTTATAGTATGCTTTTATGACTTTGTGAATGTTTCCAAACAAGCACAAATGTTTTTTTATATGGACGATTAGATTTGACTGTACTTGATTTTTTGTAATCTTGGTTTTTGCCGTTTTGGGTAATCAGTAATCACATAGATGTTGAGATTAAACAAAATGGTAATTTCGTGTTTTAGGCTAAGCTATGTATTTTTTGAACGATAATTATACATTTTTTCCTTTAGCAATAATTTTGTTTTTCAATGATTTCATGGCTAACTTTTTCTACACGTGTAACATGTTAGTGACTTCACCTACCCCTTACTTTTTTTTTTGTCGACAGTCCTCATTTTCTTACATAGATTATTGTCAAGAGATGAACAATATTTGATTTGAAGGTGTTGCTTTTATTTTTGACTGCTCAAAACATTATTATTGATAACAACAGTCTGGGGTCTTGTAAATAGAATAAAGTTTGTTTAGGGACAAATCATATTAGGACAACTACAGAGACGCATGTTGTTGGATTGAGGAGAGCAATTGCAGGAGATTGGGCTAAGCCTTACACTTGGATACCATGTACTTAATAAGTCATTTAGACATTGTTGTCCTCCATCGCTTGAGCATGAACCACTAAACACTTGTTTTTTCGATGGACACCAAGGCCTTTTCTGTGCAGCGGTCACACTTGGATCACCTAGTTTCATCAACCAAAACATAATTATACAAAAGCTGGTTTGGTTTACCTGGAATTAATATGATGGATAACATGGGAATCTCAACATGATGGTAAAACCTTTTGAAAAGTGACTTGGGAGAAGGGAGATCAAGACACAAGAAAACAACAAAATTGCAGCCAACTTCATCGTCTTCTTTTTTGTTTACTTCTGCTTATATTTGTGACTTGGGACTTTTTACAAATAAGCACTTATATTATATAAAAATAATAGGGACACATCTGGCTATATATACACATATGTACGTCTGACCGTACTTAATTTTGCATCTTAGTGTTTTAGCAAATGCAATAATGTTGAGATTTTGAAAGAAAACCCATGTTGAATAGTCAGCTAATTTGTTTTCAAGTAATTAATTATCTTATTATATAAAGCTGGATGCGCGCGACGTGGTTGCGACACGTAGGATTTTTATAAATTATATGATCGTGACATGTGTCACTTTTAATGTTAAGACCGTTAAGATCGTGACACATGTTTTGAAAAAAAAAATATTAGAAAAACGAAAATTAAGAAAAAAGAAATTTTAACATATAACATTAAATATATATATATATATATATATAACATTAAATTTTTACATTTTTTTAAACAGGAAAACACAATTCAAGGAAAAATAGGAAACAAATAGCAATTTTTTTAAAAAAAATGTTATATCCATCAAGAAAAGGAAAAAAACATACTCCCAATACGAAAAGGAAAAATAATCGATATTCAGAAAAACATGAAACAAATAATAAAAGAAAAAATGTTACATCCGTTAAGAAAAGGAGAAAAAACATATTCCCATTAAGAAAAGGAAACAAAAAAAACAATATATAATAAGTTATAGCTTTCATGATTTATATCTGTGATTCTATCTTTTGTTTAAACTTTCTCTTTTATTACAAAATAAAAATCATGTACTTTAAAGTTCAAGATATCAATGAAAATATTTAACTTTAGATAAGTTGGGTAGAAATTGAAAATTTTGTCGCAAAATGTTTCTAATATATGATCATGTGATAACATGTGTTAACAAAAGAAAATTAGAAAAATGTAATAAGATAAATAAAAAAACTAACAAAATAATTTTAAAACAACTAACTAATTATGAATAAGAAAATTTATAATGGTCTGAGGCAAAACAAAATTGAACAAAAAATATGATAAATAGAAAATTAACAAAATAATTATAACATTAAAAATATATCTAATTGACCGATATTCTAATTCTAAATAGATTAATTTAGGTAAAACAATATTATGAAAAAGATTTCATCAATCGAAATCTTTTAAATAGAATAATCAATTATAATTAAATATTATAATTATAATAATCAAAATAATCTTTTGAATATTATTCTACTTACTTTTAAAAGTGACCAGATTTTTGTTTAGTATTTTCCTATGATTTATTTCAATTATATTAAAATAAACCCGCGTATACGCGGGGCCTAATCTAGTACTAAAATATTGCCCAATGTGTTCTTTAAAAAAAAAACAGTGAATATATTTATGTATTTTTATATTAACAACTTACTCCTCCTCACTCAAGTTTTCTTTTTGATCAAAACCTCTCTCAAGTTATTATTTTTTTCAAAAAAGGTTATTCTTTTGTTTTCACATATATTTAAAAACTTTGCTTAATACATATATTAGAAATAATTAGCCGTATTTTCTATTAATTTTAAAAATTATTTATCTTTAAAGCAACATAAATTGATAAGGATTAAAAAGGAAAAATATATCTAACTCATTTATCAATTTAGGGAAAAATGCAAAGAAAAATAGATAAAAAATAAAGGAATCTTTGCTTCACTATAAAAACTAAGGAGTCTTTCTGTGTAAATTAAAATCCAAGTTTTTTTATGTAAGGCAAATGAAACCCTCAATAATATTTTTGTTAAATTACTAACGATAAACAATACACCATTATTGCAAGGTTACTACTGTATTATTAGTGTTGAATTTGATATCTACTATGCACATTTTAGAATAATAATTTACTAATTTCAAGTATTTGATTATGTTTTGATATAATTTGAAATAATATAATTTCTAATGGTATGAAATATTATAATTTCTACCGGCATGCAACAGAGAATTTACATCTTTTGTTGAGTGGTTGTAAAAAATACCAGCACTTTACTGGCTGTCACAAGTACTCATAAACCTTGTAGTTTTCATCTCAACGTTGATACTAAGATGCGAATATATCTTGAATTAAACCATTATTATTTATTGAGAACATCAGTATAGGAGAACATTCGCTTTTAGGAATCTTTAATTAGAGTAATTAATAAGGACAAGGCAACAAACGACAATAGCAAAGATGCTTGTGCTGCGGTTGTATAGTGCAATCGCAATCGGTCGGACCAAGATCTCCAACATCATCCCATGTGTCTCTTAATTCATCAAAGCATTGTCCAAATTTTCCGCATGAACCACCATCAAATTCTTGTTTTCTTGTTGGGCACCATGGTCTCATCTCCGCAACGGCTAAGCTTGGGAGAAGGGAGATTAAGACACAACAAAGCAGCAAAATTGCAGCCAACTTCATCGTCTTTTTTTTTGTTTACTTTTGCTTATATTTGTGACTTGGACTTTTTACAAATAAGCACTTATTTTCTATAAAAATAATATGGACCCATTTAGCTATATATACACATATGTACGTTTGACCTTAATTAATTTTGCATCTTGGGTTTTAGCAAATGCAATAATGTTGAGATTTTGAAAGGAAATAGTCAGCTAATTTGTTTTCAAGTAATTAATTATACTGAAATATTTCCCAATTTGTTTTTTTTTAAATAGTGATTATATTCATGTATTCTTATATTAACAACTTACTCCTCCTCTCTCAAGTTACTACATGTTTTTATTTTTTTCACATATAATTAAAAACTTTGCTTAACACATAAATTAGAAATAATTAGTCGTTTTTGTATATTAATTTTTTTAAATAATTATCTTTAAAGCAACATAAAATGATCAGTATTAAAAAAAATAGATCAAACTCGTTCATCAATTTAGGGAAAAATGCAAAAAAAAAAAGAACTAAATTTTGCCTCACTATAAAAAAAATGGTGAGTTGGTTTAATATTACTAAAAAAATTCATAATTTGAAAACTAACCATGATTTTTAAAATTTTGATACACATGTTATTTCGAAAATATATTCATATTTATCATAAATATGAATCAAACTCTATAAATAGTACACATAAATATCATTTTAGAACAAAAAAAAACTGACACTTCATTCTTAAAAAAATATGATGGAATGTGTTAAAATTAAGGGTGAGTTGGTTTAATATTACTAAAAAATTTCATAATTTGAAAACTAACCCTAGTTTTTAAAATTTTGAAAACTAACTTTTTTAATAAGTGAAAGACAATAAAACCATTATCATTTTTCTATTAATAATGAGAAACATATTTCTTATTTAATTAAGATATTAGATATATATTATATATATATAATATTTTCGAAAATTATTTTAGATATTTATAATAACTATTTAAAGATACACATGTTATTTTAATAATATATTCATGTTTATCATAAATATGAATCAAACTTTATAAATAGATACACATAAACATCATTTTAGAACAAAGAAAAATTCATTCATTCTTACAAAAAAAGATGATGAAATGTGTTAAAGTTAACTCATATTCTATATTTATGAGATGTTAAATTTCAAATAAGATCTTCTAAATATTTTTTTTTTGTTTTTTGTTGTAGATTTTATGGGAAATCTCCCACAAGTTTTTTTTCTTCTCTTTTTTTTTTGTTATATAAAATAAAAATAATTGTTTAGAATTATCTTTTGAATAACATTTTTTTTACAATTTAAATAACTTTTAAATTAGATAAACGATTTTTAAAATAATTTTAATATCTAAAAAACTGAGGGTATTTTAGTAATTTTGAATATTAGAAGATTAGTTTTCCAACAATCTTAAAAAGGGGTTAGTTTTCAAAATATGATTAATTTAGGTAATATTGGTCCAAATTTTCTCTAAAATTAACTCATATTCTTTATTTATGAGATGTTAAATTTTAAATAAGATCTTCTAAATATATTTTTGTTTTCTTTTTATAAATTTTATTCATATTTTATGGAAATATCTCACACTGGAGTTTTTTTTCTTCTCCTTTTTTTGTTATATAAAAAGAAAATTAATTGTTTATAATTATTTTAGAATAACAGATATTTTTTTTCAATTTAAATAATTTAAAAATAACAGATATATTGTTACATGTACTCATAAATCTTGTAGTTTTCATCTCAATGTTGATACTAAGATGCGAATATATGTTATTTTAAACCATTATTATCGAGAACATCATTATATGAGAACATTCGCTTTTAGGAATCTATAATTAGAGTATTTATTAAGGACAACGCAACAAACGACAATAGCAACTATGCTGGAGGGGTTTCGATGTTTCAGTGCAAGTGCAATCCCTTGGACCAAGATCTCCAACATCACCCCATGTTCTTTGTAGATCATCAAAGCATTGTCCGTAATAAAAGCATGGACGACTGAATACTTGTGTTCTTGACGGGCACCATGGTCTTATCTCCGCAATGGTTAAGCTTGGGAGAAGGGAGATTAAGAAACAAGAAACCAACACAATTGCGGCCACCTTCATCGTTTCTTTGCTTTTGTTGCCTTTTGCTTATATTTGTGACTTGGGACCTTTTACAAATGAGCACTAATATTCTATACAAAGTATTATGTACACAAATGCTCTAGCTATATATACACACATGTACGTTTGACTCTACATAAGTTTGCTTCTTGGGTTTTAGGAAGTGCAGTAATGTTGAGATTTTGAAAGGAAATCCGTGTTTGATAGTTAGCTCTTTTGTTGAACAGTAATTACTTAAACATAAATATTGACCCATTTTTCTTGACCCATTTTTCTTGGCTTGACTGATTTTTTTCTGTTTAACGAATCTTTGTATATTTCTTTGTTTTGTTTCCTTGTTTTTATCTAATTTTGCCAGGGAAACAAAGAACTAGGATTACCAGATGTGAATCCCTCCTTCATATTTATATGATATTTGCAGTTGAGCAAAAAAATATAGTGAAGCTACTAATTTATTTTTATCTAAACAACTTGCTCCATCTTTCTCAGATTTTAAATGTTTTAGTTTTTTTTCCATATATTAAAAATTAGTTTCCATTAACTTAAAAAAAAAATCTACAAATCAACAAAAAATATAAGGTTGAAAAATAGTATAATGATTATACATATAATTAGAAAACATTAAACTTTTCAAAAAAAAAAAAAAAAAAAAACATCTACCAATATAAATTTGGAAGAAAATATGAAGTTGGCTGCTAAATCTCTACATGGATCAATCCACTTAGTGTCAATCGGTTTCGCATCAAATATCATAAACCTTGTATTTTTAATCTCAATGCTGATACAGTGATACTAAGATGGGAATATATGTTGAATTATATCATTATTATTGAAAATATCTATATATGAGAACAACAATCGCGTTTAGGAATTTTTAATTACATGCCAGGACAAGGCAAAAATTTACAATAGCAAAGATGCTTGTTCTGGGGTTGAGGAGTGCAAGTGCAATCGGTTGGACCAAGATCTCCAGTATCACCCCATGTTCTTTTTAAGTCATCAAAGCATTGTGTGAAATCTCTTTTACAGGTACCACCAAATACTTGTGATCTTGATGGGCACCATGGTCTTATCTCCCCAACGGTTAAGCTTGGGAGAAGGGAGACTAAGACACAAGAAAGCAACAAAATTGCAGCCAACTTCATCTTCTTCTCTATTTTTTTTTCCTTTTGCTTAATTATATGTTGACAAGACTTGGGACTTTTGACAATAAGAATTAGTATTCTGCACACATATATAATATGTACACATCGGTTATCTATATATACACCTGTACGTTTGACCTTAGATATTTTTGCATCTTGGGTTTTGAAGGTGTTTCGAATGCAATAATGTTGACACTTACTGACTTACATAGGAAATAAATCTGTACTTAATAGTTAGCTCATTTTTCAACAATAATTACCCAAAAACAATTACCTCATATTGACCAAAAATTCTAAATAGTGAATCTAATTCACTTAAACATTTTCTTATGAAAATAAATAATTTACTCCTGTTTCAAATGATTAAATGTTTTGATTTTTTTACATATATAAGAAGAAAATAATCATTTTTCTATTTAAATATTTTTTTTAGATATCTTTTTCCAAACTAAAAATCCAAAAAATCTACCAATATAAAGTTGGGGAAATTTCAAATATACGTTGGGGTTTTTCTTAAGCAATGATTGATATAGAAACAATTATCTCAAATAGACCCAAAAGTTTTCAAAATAGTCAAAGATAATCCATTTGTTGAACAAAAAAGTTGAATAAAAAACAGTCAGCAATGGTGCTGAGAGCCTGAGACTAATACTGCATTTATTTTTGAAATAAAATAATCCAGAGACTAAAAGAGGGAATAATGTTTGACAGTTTGAGACTGAAGAAGATCTGGCGTAGAGAGCAAGTAACGATGCTTCTGCTTTAGATGAGGCATTCTTTTGTTTTTAACACTGAATTATTGTTCTTTTGCATATATGAGCGGTTACATGACAATTCTACAAACAATTCTACTCCAATTAAAGTAAAAAATTAACTCAACGACGTAGAGAGCAAGAAACGATGCTTCTGCTTTAGATGAGGCATTCAGAAATTCTCTTTTCTTAAATTTCTATCATTATATGTGCCACATTAGACTGGATTAGTCTTTTTTAACATAATATGATTTATTGCTGATTATGAGTCATTGCAAGCAGACTGTAACGCAACAAAAAAAAAGGAAGAAGAAAAGGTTAAACTTTTTTTCGTGTTAAGAATGACATAAATGTGGATTTCTTATTCTGGCTCCATAAATTCAGTAGTTGTTATCAGCTGGATTTTGTCTTCAGAATTTTTTTTTTTGGTTTTAATGTTAATCCTTAAAATTTCTTTTTTCACTAATTCATACTTCTTTCGTTTCATAATAAGTGTCGTTTTCACTCTTGACTTACCCAATGTATCTAGATGTATATGAGTGTATTTAAGACTCAAAACAAATCCATATACATTAATAAATAGTCTAGATTCATTTTGTCAAAACGACACTTATTATGAAACGGAGTACTATTGAATTTATTTATTCAAATTCGACTGCCAATTTTTTCATTAAAATTACTCTAAAAACTAGTTATCATCATAATAAAAATAAAACTGTGTAAAGCTCTTCAACTCTTTAATAATAAAAAGAAAATAAAAACTAAAGCTCCAAAACCAACATCTCCAGGGAACTTATGAAGCCACTTTATGTGCCACAACACTTATTGCCTCTTCCTTTTGCCCAGATCCATCACCAAGACTTCCTCTGTTCTTGAGCCAATGTGTGAACTCTTCAAGAGTGTTCATGTCTGCTCTGTAATGATTCGTTACAAAGTCAAGCAACATAGACCATGTAAAATCCGGATACGCTCTTCCACCTTTTAATTCCACTGGTGCCTTCACCACTTTGTCAAATTTTGGACATAGAAAGAATGCAAGTGACTTCCTTTCTATCTCGCTATTCACCACCGCCCGATGCAAGCAACTCTTGTATATTCCATTCGTTAGAGCCTATCAAAAAGAAGAAAAACAAATTATAAGTAATTTTTATTTGTATTATTACTAGCTGGAAAAAATATTCCTAAAATATTGATTCTTCATGCATTGATCAAAAATTATATAATAAGATATTTAAATTACTTAAAAGTTGTTCCTTTATTCGTTAATTTTTTTTTCCTTTTTTTCATTTTTTAATCTAAAAGAAAAGTTACCATGAAAGTGTCGCCAATGTTTACCACCAATGCTTCCGCATTAGGAGGGATTGATTGCCATTTGTTGTCCACGAAAACTTGAAGACCACTGACTTCGTCTTGTTGAAGTATGGTTAGAGAGGTTGGGTCGCAGTGTGGTCCTGTCCCTAGCACAACATCCGATTGCTTGCACTTTGGGTAGTAATTCAATCTCAAGATCGATTCGTTGTCTTCGAAAAAATCTTTGAAATGATTCCTATTGATGCCAAGACTCATTGCAAGAAGCTCCGTGATCTTCAGTGAGAGATTGCTCATGGCCTCCGCGTATTCTTGAAAACCCCTCCTGCATGCATAAATGCATGGAAATGTTTTAACTAAGAATTTCAGTTACACATAATATTTTAATTACATAATATAACAAATAAATAATCGTTTTGTCTATACCCAAAATCTTTGTAATCTTCTCCCATTGTCTTTAAAACGAAATCGTTAACGTTTTGTGCGTGGTTCTCGTTCTTCTCCTCTGGGGTGAACAAGAACGACAGCGTTTCCTTCCACGGAAGATTCGTCTCGAATCTCCCTACAAAGCTACTAGCGTAACCTGAGCTCTCTCCCCACTTCCTTTGAGCCTTCTCTTTCTCAAAAGTCGACGACTTAAAGAATGTGTCCATCAACATATAGGCATTAGACAAGAGCCTCTCATCGACTCCGTGATTGGTGACTAGGAAGAAACCATGTTGCTTTGACGCTTCTGAGACGAGTCTTGTAGCCTCCGTGACCAAGAACGGGTCGCCGGAGAAGAAGCCGGCGATGTCAATGATAGGGACTTGTAGGATTGGAACGTTTGTAGAGGGTTTGTCATGGTCGGGCCATACGAATTGTTGAGGTATTTGGTCTGGTTGATGGTTTAGAGCTGTTGAATCAAAGATCACCGAAGGGTTCTCTTTGAATGTTTGAGGGAGCTTTGCTATGGATTCCATTTCAAGTGAAAATGAAAAGATAGTTAAGAAGTACAAGAACTTGAAAGGGGATATAAGTTTAGTGTTTATTGTAGTGTAAATGGAGAGGAGTAGAGTTAGATATTTATAGGAGCGAAGAAATATAACGCCCATGTTAACAGTGAAGCTGTACACGAGAGGTTCATTTTTGTTTTTGTTTTTATTTTCAAACTATTTTTGTCCTTTTTTGTGAGCCAATCAAATTCATTTGTCTGTATCTTGAAACGGCCAGTAATCTTCAATTATATAAGGAAACGGTAGAAAACTAGAAATCAATACTATAAAAACAAAAACAAATATTTTCATATTAAAAACAAGGGTTATTTAGCTGGAGCAACAAACCAAAAAAAAATCTCACTAATTTGGGGTGATTTTGGATGATTTATATTAAAATGACAAGTCATGTGTTAATTGAAAAAATTAGTGTAAAAATCCAATGTTATTGAACTTGTGACTTTAAAATGTAATATAAAACTCACTGTTATTGAAAATACTTTATGCAATGGATTTCAAGAGGTTTATCATGAATTTAAAGTGTTTTGATAGAGTTTCTTTGTTAAAAATATGAAAAATCCAAATCTCATGATTTTAGATAGAATCATAGAGTATCTAAATTAAAATCATAGCAATGTCACTGATTCCACCCAAAATCATCTAAAAATTCACCAAATCTCAAGTTTAAGATAAATTACTTAAGAAAACTAAATATATAAATTAGATGGGGCACGTGCCACCTTACATTTTTTTCTGTTCAAGTTGGGTCTTAAAATATCCTTTTTCACCAATTAAGACATTAATAAATTTACTTTTTATGAAACTAGAAATGAATGTAGACAAATTCGTTTCTTTTATCAGTTACAACGGCCCAAGAGAAGACTGGTATACTAAAAGGCCCAAATCTCGGCCCGAAACATATATGATATACAAGACTCTAAACCGGACAATGTGACGTCTGGATTCTTCGCTACTAAGAATAGTGGTAATATTAAATTACTAATCACGTAATTAGTTGACCACAAGAAGAAATAAAAGGTAAGCAGTAACTAAAACAATTAAGATTAAGAAAACGAGTGTTTACTTGAAAATTTTGGCATTACTGAAAAAGGCAAGCAAATATAAATTTGACTATTCCATTTGTAACGTATCAGAGAATTTCCTCTGTTTATACTTTTAACTTTACTCGAGGAAAGAGATCGAGAGCTCTTCTCTTACAAGTTTTTTAAAGCTTTCTCCGCCGATTTCGTCTCCTTAAGCCATGGTATAAGAACTCTATCTTTCGTCTTCTTTCCCTGAGATTTTTTCTCTCTTGCACCGATTTGGTTCGTATGGATTCTCTGCGAGTTTGTGGAAATGTGATATGGCTCTTTGTTTTCGAGGAAAATCAAAATGCATGTGGAAAATTACAATCATCTTAGATCTTTGTTAATCTTGCCATGTGAAAACTGAAATTTGCTTGACTGTTCTTGGTTTGCATTACGGTTAAATGTTTAGAATTGTTCAATATATGTGATGGTGCTTCTTTGATTTTGTTTCTGTGGCATGTTGAATTCTTGGATAAGTTTGAATTAGAAGCAAGAATAGATAAAATTGTCAATTTAGTTTGTGTAGATGTTTTTGGTTTATATATTTGTCAATTTAGTTCACTGTTTCATGCTTTTGATATTTACCACAATTTGGAAAAAAAAAAGGATAATTAAACCTTGTTCTTTGCTATTTGATATTTAACTATTTGATTGAAGTTAATCTGGTTTTACTCACCAAGTGTTAGTTTTAGATGTAATTATTTTTTTGTTGCAGTGAGAAATTGTTAATATGACACTCATTCATGTTCAAATTACCTTTTCAGCTCTCAAATGGTGTTACCATTTACTTTTTCCTCATGTTCAATTTTGATTGCTCCTATGCAATATCTCATAATCTTTTATGTTTTCTGGTGTATTTTTTTGTTTCTTGCATAGGAGTTGCCCCCAAAAGTGAAGAACATCTTGCTTCTTGATTCCGAAGGAAAGCGTATCGCGGCTAAGTATTACTCAGACGACTGGCCAACGAATGCAACAAAAGAAGCATTCGAAAAATCTGTCTTCACAAAGACTCAGAAAACAAATGCTCGTGCCGAAGGTAGGTTTTCTCTCTGCGGGTCCTAACTTTAAAAAACTCTGTCTTGTGAGAGTCTCTTTCAGTCAAATCTGTGTTTTCAAATCTGATAATTTATGTCTGCATGGGCTCTTGTAGTTGTAATCTTTTAATACTATGCATTTATTTTTATCAACAACTTGCTTGTTTATTGATATATATGTATAGTGGAAGTGACGGCAATGGAGAACAACATTATTGTATACAAAGTCGCGCAAGATCTTCATTTCTTCGTTACGGGTGGTGAAGAAGAAAACGAGCTCGTCTTAGAAAGTGTGCTTCAAGGACTCTTTGATGCAGTGAATCTTCTCCTTAGGTTTGTCTAATCACACAAGTTTAAGGTTTTGCTCTATTATTTAGACCTTTTTTTTTTTAATTGATCTCATTTTATTTATTATTAAACCACAAAATACAGAGGCAATGTTGATAAGAGAGAGGCATTAGACAATCTTGATCTCATCTTTCTATGCTTCGACGAAATTATCGATGGCGGGTATGAATCTTTCTTCTCCTTTTCATGATTCTTGAATGTAGAATCATTAGATGATATATTGTTTCATAGGATATTATGTAATCTAATACTATCTTATAATATATCTTAGTATTGTTCTGGAGACGGATGCGAATGTGATCGCAGAAAAGGCGGGAATCAATAGCAGTGACCCTAACGCTCCTCTCTCCGAGCAGGTACTATTGATCTTTCTTGACATTTACATCTTCTTGATACAAATTTTGGAAAAAGAATTCATTAACTTGTTATATTTTTGTGGTTTGTTTGCGATCTAGACGATAAGTCAGGCACTAGCGACTGCAAGAGAGCATTTTAAGAGGTCACTTATGAATTGATGTGCGTATTGTGCTGTTCGGTTATGTGTTGATGTTGATGTTTAAAATATGAACTCAAACTATGAATGTGTGTGTTTTGTCTACTGTGATTGAGAGAGATATTGAGACTTTTATAAAAGTTGAGAGTTACATTGGACTTTTGAGGCATTGAAATGTTGGTTGCCAAAAAGTTATGTGGTGGTCGTTTCGTACACTCTTTTGCATTTTGGACAGGACAAACAGTTATGTGGTTATTTATATATTCCAGATTTTATATATACAAAAAAAAAAATTGATGTAACTATAATAATTTCAACAATTCGAGTTTGTTAGAAATATCTGATATCTAAAGATACTCTAAATTCTAAAATTTTGCGAATGCGTAAAAATCAATATTGTTTGAGTACAATCCGGTTCAATTTTATTGTTTTCCAAATATTTATTTTTTCAATAATAAGCAGTATATCCACTGTAAAACAGAATCAAATATGATTAGTTTTGTATGGTTTATAGGTTTGGAGTATATATTATTATTTGTTTGTTTTTTAAAATAAAAGTTAGGACTCGGTTTTGGATTATATTAGAAGTAATTTAGTTTAAACTAAAATGTGGCTTAGTTTTCGAATGATGGTTTGGGTTAATCCGGATTATCAAACATAAAAAAATCAACATTCGTTCAAAACTAACGTTCATCTGTAAGCATCAACCTATTAGACCACCTCCATCCCTAAAACCATGTTTTTGGTTCTAAACCATTTTTTATTATTATTTTTCACACAAATCAATTTAACAAATTTTGTATGGTTTCTTAATTATTTCTTTCTCCAACCCTAAAACTTTTTATTTGGTTCTTAAGGCAACAAAGCAATAAAAGTAAAACAATTTCACATAAGTTGAACCAAAACTATATATTCGCAGAGAACACTACAAACAGAAACTATCATCTACTCACTTCAGAACACTACAAAGAGGAACGGAGATTACATATGGATATTTGATGGTCTAGCCTTCCATTTTGCTACCACCCGCCAATGAGCTTTGTACCTAACCATGGAAATACATCCAAGTGTCAAAACCAAATCAAATTAATAAATACTATGATGAGCTCGTGAAAAAAAATCTACACTTACATCACAGAAATCAAATAAAACTTCAACACAAGTAAGAGAACAATATAACTTTCGGAAACCATTATACAGAGACATATTTGATTTCCTAACTAAAGACTGCACATAATCATAAAGCACCTATAACAACTAATATATCACTGAGGCACTACCAACATATACCAAGCATCTACTCAAAGCAAAACCAATTTCACAATCTAAAAGAAGTATATACTTAGCTAGATCAAGAACATAGATTACCTATGCATCATGCTTGGTTCGGATGCAATGAGTTTATTATAAGATTACTTCATATGTGTTTAAGATATTGACAACACAAGAAATGCAATGTAATTACCTCGCTAATCATCTGGCTCATTTCAGGAGAAGTAATGAAATCGCCTTGAGCTACAAAGACGTCACGATTCATGTAGTATCCTGCTCTGGGATTAGTCAAGACCTCCTCCATATATTCCACCACTGAGATTTGGCCATCCCAAAACTGTGATGATGCATACCAAATTCATACATTTGATCAAGCATATTTCTAGAATCATAACAAGTTTCAATTTTTCAATTATGGAGGTCAAAATGAGTGAACCGAAGTTACCTTGATAATGCTCTTGAGGTGCTTAACGAGCTCCGATTCCGGTGAAGATTCATGAGAGTGGTCTAAAATTTCAAAAAAAAAAAAAATCAGACCCCAAATCTATCAAATTGAATCTCACACCGCAAACATATAGAGTGAGGTGTCAAACACGTACCGAGAGGGATGAAGAGAGCAGAACGGTCGACGGAGATGGTGGTTCCAGCGGCGGCACTTGCCTCCTCGACATTTTCAATTGATAGAGATAGAGAGACAGAGAAGGATAGAGATAGAGAGACAAAGAAACATTGATAGAGAGATCAAGAGATGGAGAAAGAGACATGCAAACAACATCTCCCCAGATCGGAGGTCGTTCGCCGGAAACGAATCATGAATCTGGAGGAAGGCGATTCGACCCAGTGGAAGGAAATGAGAGAGAGAGAGAAAAAAAAATCGTTTTGTTTTTTGTAAAAGTCCGATTAATGTGGTGCTGACACGTGTCGGGTTTTAAGCAAGAAGAAAAACTCTTGCTAAGAGTTTGGTTCCAGAGTTTTATTTTCTTTTTTCTTTTCTTAATTGCCTTTAATTGTTAAAAACTTTGTTAAAACCCTCTTTAGATACAGAGATGGATGGAGATGCTCTAAGAGTTATGAACTTATGATGATTAAAAAAATACTAAACATTACTTTAAATCAGCTAAATTGGTTTAGGTGGGTAGGTGACAAATATACTGTTTTTCTAATTGACGATTTATAAAGAAAACAACAAAATTAACCAAAACTGTAGTATTAGTTTTTTTTTAAAAATGAGAGAGAATAAATTACGTGAAAATGTCGACATAATTGGCGTGTGCCTACAATATTCGGAGAAATGTCTCCGATTGTCTCTCTTCCCTCAAAGTCTCAACTGCAAACTTTATCACGATGTCGACATTATCTTTTCTCCAACTTGGGTTTCCGTCTGGACTGGACTTTCAGATTCTCGTATTTATTACTTTCTTGGGTCTCGCGAAAATCCTGCGCAGAAATTTCTCCACTTTTCATGATCCCGACGCAATCTTAGACCCCAATGTTCTTCATCGATGTTCGTCATCTCCACTTTGATTACTTTTCAATCGAATTTGCTCTTTGAAGGGAAACTGATTCTGGGTTTTAATGGTTTTAGGTTATTTGGAAATTGTTTCCTCTATACTTGTTTGGATCAGAAAGAGACTATCTCTCAGGTATTTCGTCGAACACCTCGTCAACTGTTTCCTTCGCATTAAAGTTTCGAACTTTGAAAAATTAAAGTCTCATACTTTGAATTAAATATCCATCCTTTTCTTCTTCTTCTTCGCCATTCAAAGTCTTTGCATGTGCTTTGATTAAATAGCTTCTCGCAGTTTCCCATCGATTTGCTATAAATTTTCATGAACGTAACTCAATTTTAACCATAAACTCTCAGTCTTGAAATGTTTGATTTGTTGCAATGGTCCTCTGTTTTTACAGAAACAGAGTCCATTTTGAATGTAATTCAGTTTTTTAAAGTCTCATACTTTGAATTAAATATCCATCCTTTTCTTCTTCTTCTTCTCAATTCAAAGTCTTTGCATGTGGTTTGAGAAAGTTTGATTAAGTAGATTGCTATAAATTTGCATGAATGTAATTCAATTTTAACCATAAAGTCTCAGTCTTGGAAATGTTTGATTTGTTGAAATGGTCCTCTGTTTTTACAGAAACAGAGTCCCTTTTGCAGATACTTCCAGAGACAATGGCTGCTTCTTCATCAAGCATCATCCTTTGCAATGCCGGAGAATCAGACATTTGCCGAGACGATTCCGCCGCGTTTCTACTCAAACTAGTAGCAATCGCTTCGATTCTCTTAGCTGGAGCAGCAGGTGTAGCTATACCGCTCATCGGCAGGAACCGCCGGTTCCTTCAAACCGACGGCAGTCTCTTCGTGGCCGCTAAAGCCTTTGCAGCCGGCGTGATCCTCGCCACGGGGTTCGTTCACATGTTAGCCGGTGGCACGGAGGCTTTGACCAACCCTTGCTTACCGGAGTTTCCTTGGAAGAAGTTTCCTTTCCCGGGGTTTTTCGCCATGGTTGCTGCTTTGCTCACTCTGCTTGTTGACTTCATGGGGACTCAGTACTATGAGAGGAAGCAAGAAAGAGAAGCTACTACTCATTCTGATCAACTGCCGCCATTGTTGTCTGGTCCTGAACAGTCGCCGGGGATGGTTGTTCCGGTGGCTGCGGAAGGAGGGAACGACGAGAAAGTGTTTGGAGAAGAAGACAGTGGAGGGATTCACATTGTTGGCATTCATGCTCATGCTGCTCACCATACACATCATCACACTCAAGGTCAAAGTTCTTGTGATGGTCACCGTAAAATCGACATTGGTCACGCTCATGGACATGGACACGGACATGGACATGGTCACTCGCATGGAGGTTCGGAGCTTGGAAATGGAGCTAGGCATGTCGTTGTGTCTCAGGTACAAATCTTGATTCTTGATTAGTATTTCCTTTTTCTTGATTCTTGTCAAGTTCTTGATTTGTATTTCCTTTTTCTTGATTCTTGATTCTTGATTCTTGGTTCTTGATTTGTATTTCCTTTTTCTTGATTCTTGGTTCTTGATTCTTTGTTCTTGATTTGTATTTCCTTTTCCTTGATTCTTGTCAAGTTCTTGTTTATTAGTCTCACCTTTTCTTGATTCTTGTTAGGTTCTTGTTTATTTATCTCACCTTTTCTTGATTCTTGTTAAGTTCTTGTTTATTAATCTTCTCATGACCATACTGATATTGTTTAGGTTCTTGAGCTTGGAATCGTGTCACACTCGATTATCATCGGAATATCACTCGGAGCATCTCAATCTCCTTGCACGATCCGGCCACTAATCGCTGCGCTGTCTTTCCACCAGTTCTTTGAAGGATTCGCGCTCGGGGGATGCATCTCTCAAGCGCAGTTCAATAACAAGTCTGCAACGATCATGGCTTGCTTTTTCGCACTCACGACGCCGATCAGTATCGGTATTGGAACGGCAGTGGCTTCGTCTTTTAATGCTCATAGCGTGGGAGCATTGGTCACGGAAGGTGTATTGGATTCGCTATCGGCGGGGATTCTTGTGTACATGGCTTTAGTTGATCTCATAGCTGCTGATTTCTTGAGTAAGAGGATGAGTTGTAACTTTAGGCTTCAGATTGTTTCTTACCTATTGTTGTTCCTTGGTTCTGGACTCATGTCTAGTCTTGCTATTTGGGCTTAGACTGTTGAAATTACATACTTTTTTTATAGCTATAGCTTCAACACAATGTGTATAGTTTATATAATAATCAATCAAATCAATCTCAGATTTCACAATTTCTAGCAAATAGATGTTTTCTTGTTTCTTGGAACTCGGAACTTCTTGGCAAGAACTGTTGAGAATAAGGATTCATTGTCTTCAAAAACGGTTTTGGGAGTTTGAATTTGCATGAGTGTAACAAAAAGAAACGAAAAATCATGTGGCTTTCATAATGGTCCAGATTTTTTATGTCCAAAAATTCTAGAGACATTTTGATTAGCTTAAAATTGTGAATTCATTTGACTACATAGCTAAACATTCTTGAAAATAAATTGTATTTCCAGTTTTTATAGATAACGTTATGATTTTCAACAAAAGAAATGAAATTGTTTGTGGTTCCCAATAGTTTCAAAACCCAACTTTTGAGAGTTTGAATTTGCATGAGATTATTTTTGTTTGAAACAATAAGAAAAGAAAGATGGTGTTTATATTTTCTTTTAACAGTACTCCAGATTTTGTACTTTCTAGAAAACTAGAGACAATTTGATTAGCTTAAAATTGTTAATTCATTTGACAACATAGCTAAACATTCTTGAAAATAAATTGTATTTCCAGTTTTTATAAACTTGTGATTTTCAACAAAATTTTTTCAAGAAATTGTTTGTGGTTCTCAATTGTTTCAAAACGCAACTTTTGGGAGTTAGAATTTGCATGAGATTATTTTTGTTTCTAACAATAAGAAAAGAAAGATAGATAATTCTAGACTTGCATATACAGTGTGGTCCAGATTTTTATATTTCCAAAATTTTAGTGACATTTTGATTAGCTTAAAATTGTGAATTCATTTAACAACATAGCTAAACATTCATGAAAAGAAAATGTATTTCCAGTTTTTAAAGATAAAGTTAGGATTTTCAAGAAATTGTTTGTGGTTCTCAATAGTTTTAAACTGTTATCCATTGATTTTACCAAAAGGTGGGTCAAACCATAGAACAATCACAACAGACAACAATAGAGTTTTTAGTAAGGTAACAACAAACTCAACCCAAAAGGTAAAGACATGATTTTTAAACCATCAAAAGCAATAAAGCATGAAGCTTTTCTTCTTTAAACAATGTCTTCTTCTTTGTGGGTTTCAATGGTGACATCAGAAGTAGGATAAGCCGCACAAGTGAGAACAAACCCTTCACCGATCTGGTCATCGTCGAGGAAGCTCTGGTCAGATTGGTCAACAGATCCAGAGACAACTTTACCGGCGCAGCTGGAGCAAGAACCGGCACGGCAAGAGTAAGGCAGATCGATTCCGGCTTCCTCCGCGGCGTCGAGGACGTAGACGTCGTCGTCGCACTCAACCTCTAGCTCTCCTTCTGGAGTGATGAATTTGACCTTGTAGGTGGCCATGGCCGTGACGCCGCCGCGAGTTGTGGATGATTTGAGACCGAAGAGGGATTGAGTGTTGGCTGGTTTGAGGGAACGGAGGCTGATCGGTGATGTTTGACGGCGGATGAAGGAAGTTCCGACGATGGCGCTTGAGAGAGCAGTGGAAGCCATTTTCTTGGTTTTGTGAAGATATTTGAGAGTTTGAGGATTTTTGTGTGTTGTGTTGTTATGGCTTGTGGAAATGGCGTGGAGAGTGTGAAGAAGATTAAAAGGTGGGATTGTTGTGGAATCCTATCTTCCACGTGGCGTCAATCGTGTGGATTGTTGGATTATCGTCTTTATTTGGTGATTTTGTGATTTTTGTTTTCCTTTTGTGTGAGTGATTGTGTTTGACACACTTTGCACTATCTTGTTTGAGGTCAGTTATACGTGGTCTCACTTAATACAGCTCTATTTCGAACTCTTTCTTGTTTGTATCTAAAATAAATAATAAAATTTCTTATGCATTTTTATCAATTACTAAAAATTATATAGCAACGAAGAGAAAACATGTCGGCTTTAACAACATATTCTTTAGTTTTCATTTCAATATTGGGAATGAATTTCTTGTGAGAAAACTGATTTTATGTTTGGGGGTTTAATTCTAGAAAATGAGTTTTGAGAGAAGGAACAGTTTTTCTGAGAGAACCAAACAGTATTTCTTAATCCTAAATTAAAAAAATAGAGCAGATTCCACTTTACCAAAAAGGGAGATTAAACAAAATAAAAAGAAACAAAAAAGGCTCTTCTAGCAAAACAAAAAATAATATTTCAAGAAGAATATAATATAAGCTGGATTTTTTTAATCACCACCATACAACTTCTTCCTCCATTCATTCCCCTCTTTCCTTTTGATTATAATCTAAAACCCATAAGAAGCTTCTTCCTAACAGACTTAACCGTCTCCAAGAACATTCCACTTTACCGCGTTTTTTTTAGTTGTTTTTGGTTCGGTTACTCTCTCTAGTCGCACTTGATGTTTCTGTAGATCCTTCTTACAAACAGATTTGATCCTAAGAACCCAACCGCTCCTGCACATTTATTTCCAATTAACACCAAACCAATGAGACGATAGACTGAAGAAGAAGAAGATAAAACTAACCGCAAAGGATTCCGAGGCCGAGACAGAACATCAACGTGTATCCAAAGTAGAAGCTGGTCTGGAAAAACCCAAACATCTTGGTCTTTACGTAGTAGTAATAGATCGAGTACAAGTAGACATAAACCGCAGTGGAAGCAGCAGAGAAGAACGACGTCCATTGCCAGTGATAGTTCTCCGCATTCAGCAAAAAATACGTTCCCACAATCGTCACACAGACAGTGACCACAACGAGAATCAAGAACACGAGCAGCATAAACCCGTACACATAGTACACCTGTTCATTAAACCAAACAAGAATCAAAAACACAAGCAGAGCATGAACATTCTATGTTGTGTAAGAGATTTTTTTTTTTTTTTTTTTTTTTTTTTTTTACCTTGTAATTCCAGAAGGATGTGAAGACGAAGTACATTTCGATGAAGATGCTGCCAAAGGGTAAGAGACCTCCCATGAGAGAGACTACTGATGGAGTCAAGTACCATTTCTTCTCTGGGATTGGGCGTGGGATGGTTTTCACACGGCATGGGTTGTTCGGTGCGCCGCTCCAGTTTCTACCGACGACTGTTCCGAGGAGGGCGAGAGGGAACGAGATGAAGCCCCAGATTACGAACACGACCACCATTGTTCCAAAGGGGATGGCCGCTAGAGATCCGTAGAATATGGCGATTGTGTTTAGGAGGAATCCGATTCCGAAGCACAAGAATGGGAAGAGAGAAGCTGTGAGGATCATGCACTTGATCCAATGTTTACCTGAACAAAACAAAGCATACGAGATATTCAAAAATGAGTCTGAATATTGGAGAGCTTGCTGCATTCAACAAAGAGTGCAATACATACCTCCGCTTCTTGAGTACATTCCACCGCTCACATAACCAGAGATAAACGACGTCAGAGCGTAGCAAACAATGAAAGTTGTGACGATTGCTCCTCTCCTGAATAAGGTTAAACCAGAATAAGACGTTTACACTACAAGAATCTTCAGATAAAAGCCAAACTCTTATTCCATGAGAAATTACAGCATAAAGAGTGCAATACATACCCAACGTAAAGTGTCCCAATGATTGCCATTAATATGACAAGAAGAACAAGCAGAGCCAGCTGTGCACCTGTACCAACAACAGCCGAGAGAAGAACCAGGCTACGTGGAGGTCTGAATACATCTCCGTGTACGAGTTTCCATCCAGATTCTTCACTTACGTCCCGTTCCTGTGCTCAATAATACCAACTGTCAGAAGTTGACAACATGATATTAACAGCTAGAGAACTTCTGCAACTATTCTAGATAAGAGGTTCTGGGGACATCACCAAGCTCTCTAGGTCGTCATCTTCACGCGCATACTTCGCATAATCATTTCTGAGTGTCCTCATCAATATCATTGACACTAAACCAGTGAGGAAGATAACCATCATGAATGAGTTGAAGATGGAGAACCAATGGATCTGCACGATGAAAGAAAGAATGCCTTATAAAACCTTAGAAAAAGAGCCTTCATAGTAAATACGTATCAAACCAAGAAGCAAATACCAATTTAGGTTTGATAGCAGAGGGATGAATACATAAGACAGTGCATGCTATGATTTACCTGGTGTTCGAAGAATGGATAGTCTAGATAAACATCAAAACGACGAGCAAAAGTGATATTGGTTGGGATCCATTGCACAGAATATGTCAAGTCCACAGTCCTCCCTGCTTCTAACGGCCTTGGATTGTCTTGTGTGAGATTCACATGAATAATCTATGTGCAGAAGAAAACATTTAGATTACGAGATAGTTTATAAGAGGTCCTTAATACTGCTCAATGGCAAGAAACAACCGACCTGGTCTTTGTTGTACTTGACAATAATATTCTTGTGGGTGTAAAGAACATGCTTGCCGTTTTCACTATTTTTGCCAAGAGGCAGCTCGCCCACAAAGCCTACAACAACAATGAGATAGTAAAAAGTTTATGTCTAGAAACCGAAATTTAAAATTTTTAATGTTCAAAGTGAATATACGAAATATCATACCCCACAAAGGCAGATCATCTGAGCTTGCATCAACGTACGCCATAATACATCATTTGTGACAAAAGGAAGCAAGACAAAAGATTAGCAAACAAAGGATGCTAAATATTTAGTTCCAGCGATGTAAAAATAAGTGGATATATGGTGATATTGTATCATGTTTTCAATCAAGAATCCACTTTTTTCTTTCAACAGTAATATACAAGTAAAGTGCGATACATACCCATAAACAGTTCAAACCAGTAACTATTTTCGATGGCATCTTTGAAATGCTTGACCTTAGCTTCATCAAGCTCCAACGGACAGATCACGCTTCTGTCAACATTTTCTGGAAGTAAAACAGAACAAAGCACAATATAACTTTTTGCCGCAATTAAGATGACAATACTGAAGATAACAATCAAGCATAAGAATTTAACATACTCAAGTACTTGATGTCTATCTGGCTGTCGATAAGCTCGTTTCCTCCAAGAACCTCACCAAGACCACCCCATTTGTGAATGCTGTTCTTAGTCTTGCGGCAAAACGGGAGGCTGTAATAGTTATATGTTTCTTGTGGATTATTATATGGACCGACTTTGTTCACCCACAGCGTAACCTGCTCATCTGCTTGATACTGGAAAAGTAAAACCAAAGACCAAATTTCATGAGAAGTGAGAACATTTGGTATGTTTGGCAAAACCGTCATAAAATACACATTACAAATCTTGTTTTCTTTTCTTAGACTACAAGATTCGCATGATCTGCTTCATAGGTATATATATATATCATACATGACAACTAGATTCCAGCTCCACTGCTCTCTACTAAATGTTACACATTGAACAAATTATCACACCACAGAACATCCATTGACAATGATCGTTACAAAAAACTAAACCCAATAATGATGAAGACTAGACTTAGGCGACTCAAATCAACGAAAATTAGAAACCATATCAAAACCTAATCCACAATGCCGTGAAAACGAGAAACCTACAACACAGTGGAGAAGCAACTAAGCTAGAATTGCAAGGGGAAACAAAAACCAGCTGGATCGAGCTTTCGAGCCCCAAAATCAATAGATCCCAGCCAAAATAAGAGCACAAAGCAGCATGCAACAGCGAGATCTACGAGCAAAGAGCTCGAATCGAGCTACAAACAAAAACGGAAGTCAGTGGAGAAGATTCGAATCGAACCTTGTGATCTGACTCGGAGGCGAAAGCCGGGGAGAGAAGAAGGAAGACGCAGGCGACGGCGAAGAGAGATTGGACGGCGGAGGAAGACGGCATATCGGAATCCGGCGAGAGGATCAGATCTGAGGGGGAGACACAGACGGTGATTGAGATGAGTTTAGACCAATGACTCGTCGTCTCGGAGATTACGATTCAGGTGGCATATATATGTTTGTATGTATATATGAATGAGATTTATGATGTTACAAATTTGTATCAGTTCTCAATTATTTTCCTCGGACGCGAGCGAGATCGAAAGAGCGACCAGAGATTCTTTACCATGTCGTTTTCGTAGATATGCACTCGGTTTACTAATATTTATTGGGCCTCATAAAGCCCACCACTAGACTCGTCGACTATAGCCTGATCTTTATCATAGGCCCATTTAGTTTGGGCCTGATCTTTGTGTATGCATTATGGCCCATATCGTTTGAGCGAAAACCAATTATCGTTAATGTGTGTGTTTTGATCACTAACGGTACACTAATCTTAACGGTCTTTTTAAAGATTCGAAATTTTGTAAACACTAATCCGATTATCAGAGCATTTCTCTTTCTCTCTCTCTCTATCTTCGTAAGCTTTTCAAATTTTCTTCATCTTCATAGAGAGAGAGAACGAAACAGAGAGAATTTTTTTTTGCTTTTCTTCGGATTTTGATTTCGCCTTGTCTTACAAGAAATAGATTCGATATCCACAGTGAACGACGTCGAGATCAATGCTCTACGGTTCCGGTGGATTCCGAAGTAACGCCACCGACTTGTTCTCCGGGCGAATTCCTGATTCCCAGTTTGTTAGCGATGCGACTGATAAAATTAGAGACTGGAGATACTTCGCGGATGGGAATTTGACGATTCTATGGTGTCCGATCAGAAATTCAAGGCTGTTTTTTCACCGGAGCTAATCTAACAGGTTTCGATCTTCTGGCTTGCGATTTCAATTATGCAAACCCTAGTTTTCCTTTTCGCTTAGTGAAATTCGAATAGTGGCGAGTCTGGGCTTTTTGGATCACGCTCTTGATTTGGAAATCGGAGATTCCAGTTTTCCAATTTGTTAGTGATTCAACCGATAAAAATTATCATTGATCAGGTTGATGATTCGCTTGTGGTTTCATGGTGTTGATGATTCTCTGGTTTCGATCCTCTGACTTACAATTTCAATTTTGCAAACTTTAGTTTTCCTTTTCACTTAGTTAATTCAAAAAGTGCTGAATCGGTGTTTTACTGATCCTGATTATTTACCGGAGAAATGATGATAAGTTTGGGTTTTCATTTTTGCCTCTCTCTAACACTATCATCTTTGAATTGGTTTCGCATTCCCTTGTTTTATGTTACATTACGAGTGTTGTGAAATATGTTAAATTCTCTTTGCAGCATGATGGTGAAAGCAAAGAACCTAATGAATGGTGGGTGATTGCACAAAAAGCAAACAGCTTTGGCTTGTAGATTTAGCTCGCAAGTGTGAGTCTGCCAAAGACTTGACGTGAAAGGTGAGAGAACATTAATAGGTCACTTTCATCTCTTGAGAATTGATACAAAAGAGTCATAAAACTAGTCATTTCAGGGATATTTCAGGTAATCGATGATGGTTTTCTTTGCCGATGCTTCTACCATAAATCATTGCTCCAACAGTTACAACGCTAAAAGGTTAGTTTTCTCTTTTTTTTTTGGTTAACATGCACTTATAATTCCGGGCAAACTATATTAATTAGTTAAAGAAATAAATAAAAAACTCTCGAACTTACAAATTAATCATATATAATTAAAAAAAAACATTCTTCATCTCCCAATTTTATTTATGACCTAAAACCTCTTAAAAATAATTAGTTATTCACATATTTTCCTACCAATGACCAAATCCTATTAGAGATTTTAGATTGTCAAATCATTATAGAAACTTGAATAATTTACAAATTGTGAAAACTAACATAGCATGGTATATAATCATTTATTTGTCCGTAATCGGTATTCATGCTTAATTTGTTTTCACATGAAGTAAGTCAATCAAGGTTCTTATTAGTTTGACAGTTATAGATCTCTAACTAAAAACATTCCTAATCTCCCAATTTTATTCATGACCTAAAACCTCTTAAAAATAATTAGTTGTTCACATATTATCCTACCAATGACCAAATCTTATTAGTGATTTTAGATTGTCAAATCATTATAGAAACTTGAATGATTTATAAATTGTGAAAACTAACATAGCATGGTATCTAGTCATTTATTTGTCCGTAATCGGTATTCATGCTTAATTTGTTTTCACATGAAGTAAGTCAATCAAGGTTCTTATTAGTTTGACAGTTATAGATCTCTAACTAAAAACATTCCTAATCTCCCAACTTTATTCATGACCTAAAACCTCTTAAAAATAATTAGTTGTTCACATATTATCCTACCAATGACCAAATCTTATTAGAGATTTTAGATTGTCAAATCATTATAGAAACTTGAATGATTTATAAATTGTGAAAACTAACATAGCATGGTATCTAGTCATTTATTTGTCCGTAATCGGTATTCATGCTTAATTTGTTTTCACATGAAGTAAGTCAATCAAGGTTCTTATTAGTTTGACAGTTATAGATCTCTAACTAAAAATATTCCTAATCTCCCAACTTTATTCATGACCTAAAACCTCTTAAAAATAATTAGTTGTTCACATATTATCCTACCAATGACCAAATCTTATTAGAGATTTTAGATTGTCAAATCATTATAGAAACTTGAATGATTTATAAATTGTGAAAACTAACATAGCATGGTATCTAGTCATTTATTTGTCCGTAATTGGTATTCATGCTTAATTTGTTTTCACATGAAGTAAGTCAATCAAGGTTCTTATTAGTTTGACAGTTATAGATCTCTAACTAAAAACATTCCTAATCTCCCAACTTTATTCATGACCTAAAACCTCTTAAAAATAATTAGTTGTTCACATATTATCCTACCAATGACCAAATCTTATTAGAGATTTTAGATTGTCAAATCATTATAGAAACTTGAATGATTTATAAATTGTGAAAACTAACATAGCATGGTATCTAGTCATTTATTTGTCCGTAATCGGTATTCATGCTTAATTTGTTTTCACATGAAGTAAGTCAATCAAGGTTCTTATTAGTTTGACAGTTATAGATCTCTAATTAAAAACATTCCTAATCTCCCAATTTTATTCATGACCTAAAACCTCTTAAAAATAATTAGTTGTTCACATATTATCCTACCAATGACCAAACCCTATTAGAGATTTTAGATTGTCAAATCATTATAGAAACTTGAATGATTTACAAATTGTGAAAACTAACATAGCATGGTATCTAGTCATTTATTTGTCATGCTTAATTTGTTTTCACATTTTTGAACAAAAAAAAAATTGTTTTCACATGAAGTAAGTCAATCAAGGTTCTTATTAGTTTGATAGTTATAGATCTCTAATTAAAAATATTCTTCGTTTCCCAATTTTATTCATGACCTAAATCATCTTAAAAATAATTAGTGTATAATTTTATACAACTTTAATATTAAAAAAATATGATTATTTTATAAGTATGTAAAATAAAATTGAAAACGTGATAAAAAATCTCTTAATAACTTAGTATTAAGGATTCATTTACTTATAAATCATAATAGACATTTTTTTTTGAATTGAGGATATGTAAAAGGAATTAATTTTATTTTCAATTATCTTTATCTAACTATAATAATTACATGTGTATTTAATCGGCTGCTTTTTAGTTGGGAAAAAATGTTTTTAGTCATAAATCTGACAATTAAAATATTGGACCATTATAATTTTTCCTTTTTATTGTTAAATTAGTTGTTTGATAATGATGTTATTCGTTTTCAGTTTCTAATAAAAAATGGAATTTAAGCTACTAAAAATTAGAATATTAGACCATTTAATTTTTTTCTCTTTTCTTTACTGAAAAATTGAAGAATAAACTATTGGAAGTTGGAATATCTGGCTATTAAGAAATTTTCTTGTTTATTAGTCATTGTTTTACAATATTTTGTTAATTTTTCTTATTATTATTATTTTATCAATATTAACTCTATGAAAGTTATAAAAATTTAACGGTGTTAAGCTTTTGTTATGCTCATCCAACTTCATATAATAAGATAGTGAATATACATAAACATAAATTTGTATACATTCTTAAGTGTAATTTTATCTTATAGTTTCACCTGAGAGAATACAGTGAAATGTCGAATAAAGTGAATTAAGGCTCTTTCTTTTACAAATTATGGTACTGATTGGCATTTTTGCTTTGAAAGCTTTCAGGACTTTAATTTTTTTTTTAAGTCTTTAAAGCCATAAATTATCCAATCACACTTTTAAAATTTTAAAGTTTTGAAGTCTTTAATTGCCTCCTTAAAATTCTCAAAGCCCATTTTACATTTTTTTCTTTACAATCGTTGGCATTTTTTAAAAGCTCGAAAACATGACTTTCAATATTTTCTAAAGCCACACTTTTTTTATTTCAAAGTCACAGTTTCCATAGCCACACTTTAAAATAAAAAACTCACAGTCAAAGTCTTAGAGCCTATGTCCCTAAGTTATATCTTATGGTGCTTTGTTGGATTAGTTTATATGTGGAGGCTTTTTTGAGGTTAAGCCTTGAATATATTTATCATTCGGATAATTGAAAAGATGTTGTTGAACCAAAAAGAAAAATTAAAACAATCTCTCATAATCAACAAATTAAACAAGTCAACAACCCATGCTACAAGTACTGACATACATGCACATAGTCAAAGTTTTATCCAAAAGTAATTTGGACTTAATCGATTAATTCCACAAACCATAGTCAATATCTTGGCTTTAACAACAGATGAGTTAACTCATGTCCTTTTATATTAGCATTTTTGTCAATTCTAATATAAGATTTCTAACATATTGTTGTTGTCTTTTTTTTTTTTTTCATTATTTCAATAGCATCTACATCTATATTGGTACGGAAATCCATATTGGTGGAGTAATGTTTACATAATAGACATCTTAAAGGAGATTTCGTACACTTCGTGTTAGTTTGTCTACCTTCATATTTTCGTCCTTGCTGTGTTATAAAAAGATATGGTAGTAAGCCTCTTCCTACATTTGTCAATCTCGTCAAGAAGAATCGAGAGCGCCGGCCACTCCTCTAATTTAGAGATCATTTGGATCACATCTGAGCAATCCGTCTTAAAAGCGATCTCAGTTTTATTGTGCTGAATCATACACTGCATGGCTCATATAATAGCATCTACTTCTGTTTGAAGTGGTGTAACCCTTTGCAGCAAGTTGCACGATCCCATAAGTATCTCTTCCGCAACTGGGTTATGGTAATACCATCACAGGCCTGATTTACGTTTTGTCACCTTCCATGCCCCATCAATATGGCAGTATTCAATACACGAGCAAGGTTCTGACACACCTCCCTCCCACGGGTATGATACATGAAGCAACAATAAATCATGCCTTATTTGAATGTCCTCCTGCCATACAATTTTGGGCGTTATCAGCGATTCCAACTCCACATATTTTTCCCACAAATGCACTTTTTACTAGTATGGCACATTTGTTTTGGAATTTGCCAAATGACGACATGTTGGTATTCCCATGGATTCTCTGGTACATTTGGAAATCAAAGAATGATGATTGTTTCACGGATCGGAATAAAGATTTACGAGAGTATTTGGCCTGGGCGGAGGCAGGCTATTGCATGGGCAGAAGCAACAAATATATGATATATCCCACATCTAGTGCATTGGGGATCGATCGGAATGCCCCGTTGTCGTAAGCGTGCTCCAACTGACACACATTCTGATATAATCTGCCACATAAAGTGGTTCAACTTTGACTGGCAGCACGCCGTCCAAGCATGTGCTTGTAAACGTTAGGTATCGGGACCAAAGGCAATAGGGGGCTCGATATATGGAAATTGTTGAGCCGTTTGGCAGCCAGATTTTACTGTATGTTTTCTCGTTTTGGTGAAACACCATGTGTATGAGTTTGGTCCAAACTCCAAAAAGACAAAACAAACCAAGAAAAATATACAAAAAAAACTTTTTATCGTTAAATCCAAAAACGAAACCTCATTATTTTTCATGGCTATAGTTACAGAACACAACCAAAAACAGAGTTTTGTCTTTTTGGAGTTTGGACCTACTTCAACTCTTATTCATGGAGAAGAAGGTATAGTCATGGTGATCATGAACATTAAGCTGTTTCAGCCACGATCCGCTGCACTTCGAAGATAAACTAGTCATTCTTGGTCACATGATTCTTGTTTTCCACACAAATCTCCTTGCAATTTTCTAGTAACTAAACCAAAAGGAGCCATAAGAAGCCTCTTGATCACTGGTTCATCATCACACCACAATATTTCTTGATTCTCATTGTCTCCCTCTACCAGTTTCCCTAAGCAATCGAACATCAAAAAGCTAGATGTTTCAAAAGTTTGTACCAAAGTAATGTCTTAAAGCTATAACTTTTTTTGTAGAAACGAGTTTTTAGCAAAACAGAAAATGACTCACAAGGATAGATAGAAAATCAAGTACATTTATTATAATGGATGCTATGTGTTAGGAGACATCAGTTAAGCGTGCCCAAGATTAATCAACAACAGCTAATCCTTTTCTTTTAATCAGGTTATAGTCCTCTTTGGAAACACAGTGTCTACCAACTGGACTGCCAAAATCATAATTCACAGGTTATGATAATGAAAAAAACAGAGAGGATTAAGAGTGTCTTCAAAAATGACGCTGAGATAGAGTAATAACAGGTAGAGATACCTTAAAACAACTCCTCCGAAAATCCAGTGTTGACCCCTAATTCCTACAAAAATATTGTACTCAGATTTTCAATTGAAACATTTAGAGGCAAGCAAGACGACATATCTAAAAATCTTATTAGCTCATTTTTTTTTTTTTTTGTTCAAATCTTATTAGCTCATTATTCTTACTTTTAACAAGCTGAATCTAGCAAGCTTACGACCAATGCACCTCTTTGCATCACATTGACCAAAATCCTAAACCAACACAATACTTTACAAGAGTGACTATTGATGCCATTTGATCTTCGAAATTTTACTTAAGGATAAGAATGTATGTAACTGGACTATCATAATTAGTTGACCAAGAGAAAGCTCGACCTGTGACTAGTACACCAACACCAGCGTCTCTTACAACAAAGATCAAAACACATCTCTTTCGATATATACCAATATACCAAAGTATTCCATAACTTTGTATTTACTAAATACCCACACATCTTTTAGTTTTTACAAAGTAACCCATAAATTTACACTATGTACCAAAAAAATCTAATGTTTCAACATCTTACAAAAACACTCCACCGAAACATCTGAGATTTTATGGTATCAACTAAAATACCGAAATCTTCAAGTATCTACGTAAGCAAGCCATAACTTCCATTATTTACTAATGCCACCCACAAAACTTCAACTTTCAAACATTTTGAACTTTAATCCAAAACTTTGATTACCAGCCACTTTGTGAATCTCCTAATCCATATAACTCCAAAGACCAAACTGTTCTACGAATAACAACAAGTCAATGTTCACATTATCAAAAATTCGGAACTCCTCCGAATCGAAACACTTTCTTTGAAGTTAAAAACATAGCTGGATTATCTAGTAGAAAAGTCATACTGTATTCACTATTTAGATGACGAGAGGATTTCAAATTTTGTTTTGTTTAATCAATTTTGTTACAAGTTGCTTTCGTATAATCCGGCAACTAGAAAGTGCATAGACGCAATCACGTAACTAAAAATCCTTTTCCCATATAACGACCGCTCACTCTCTCAGTCAGCAAAGGAAACATTGAATTGATTGAAAGGACTTTGCGGGTCCCACATTTTTAAATACACCTCTTGATTAAAATAAATAAAATAAAAAATTGGTATCGTGACTTCGTGAGAACAAGCCAGCAAGAGCAACCGAAGATTACTGCATCATCATCATCTTCTTTGTAATCATATATATCTTGCTCTTTGAAAATTCTTCGCGGATAAGAAAATCGAAGAAAGAATAAACAATTCCACTACACGATTCGCCGCCGCTTTGCTTTCAAATCAAATCTCTTTAAATCCATTTCTCACTCACATTTGGACATTTCGTCCTTGAATTTGGGGGTTTGTTTTTGGGTTTTCTTGTCTCGTTTCGAATTTTCACGTGAAATCGGTGAGTTTTGTGAGCTGGGTAGGGCATATAATGAACTGAAGTTGAATTTTACTTTGAGAATTTCGAGATTGTTCCTGGGTTGTGCTGAGTCGTGGGAATTAGGGATTGTTGATTTTGCTTCTGCGACGAGAAAAATGGAGAAGTACGAGCTGGTTAAAGACATAGGTTCTGGGAATTTCGGAGTGGCGAGACTCATGAGGGTCAAAAACTCCAAGGAACTCGTTGCTATGAAGTACATCGAGCGTGGCCCAAAGGTCTCTCTATATGTTTCTACTTTTCTCTTCAATTTACTTCCTTATACATGAAATTGTGTGTAAATTGTAAGTTATCGATGTTTCTCTGAGCTCATGGGCTGTGATTTCAGAATCCCCAGATGCGAAAAAATGAGTTGATTGTTCATAGTTGTTGTGTTTGTAAAGATTAAAGATTTGAGTTTTTTTGTAATTTTGAACCTTTTTTCTGGTTTTGGTTTGGTAATTACAGATTGATGAGAACGTGGCGAGAGAGATTATTAACCACAGATCACTGCGCCATCCGAATATAATCCGGTTTAAGGAAGTAAGTGCAGTCTTCTTATACGTTCTTGATGGTGTTGGAAATGTGAAAAAAAGGTTTCAACTAAAGTTGGTATCTTTATATCTGTCCAGGTGGTTTTGACACCAACACATATCGCCATTGCCATGGAATACGCTGCTGGTGGTGAGCTATTCGAGCGTATATGTAGCGCTGGAAGATTTAGTGAGGATGAGGTATATGATTTATCTTGTACATCGTTTGTTGGAGCTGCTCTGGTGATGAGATTTAAGCTTAATATGTTAATCCTTTTTGTTTGTTTTTTTTTTGTTCAGGCGAGGTACTTTTTCCAGCAGCTCATATCAGGAGTTAGCTATTGCCATGCTATGGTAAAGGAAATATATGACTTATGAAGTTCTTTAACTCTGTGGAGAGTGGAGACGTACAAATTCATTTTTGTTTATCAGTTATTTTAGCTTATATTATCTCCTTATTGTCACAGCAAATATGCCACAGAGATCTGAAGCTCGAAAACACCCTCTTGGATGGAAGTCCTGCTCCACGTCTGAAAATCTGCGATTTTGGTTATTCCAAGGTCTGACATATATCTCTGGCACATGATTGCTTCTTGTGATTTCTTAATTACACCTTCATGTGATCTGTTTTTCTCGTCTTTTGTAGTCCTCTCTGCTTCACTCTAGGCCCAAATCAACTGTTGGGACACCAGCATATATTGCACCTGAGGTTCTTTCTCGCAGAGAATATGATGGCAAGGTATAATAATCTTATCTCTATGCAAGCATTGACGTATCCAGTGTGCTTAGCACCTTCAGAGACGATGATATAGGTTGAAACATCTTCCTTTGTAATGATGTAGATTTTCAATTTTCTTTGCTCATGCATTATACATTAAGATACATGCTTGTTACGGCAGAGATAAGCCCCATCTTGGCAGAAATCTGCAGTGGCCTTGGTTGAAAGATTAGGACCAAACATTCCATGTTTATTATTTAATCAGTTTGTGAGGACCCATGCTTGCATTTTAGGATCTTAGGTCAATGATAAGCTTTCTTACATTGAACAATGCATAATGAAATGGACGGTACTTCTAGATATGCAATGGATCCACAAATGCTAAACTTGATTGATTCAAAAGCTCTATGAAACTTTTATGATGTGCTTATATCTTGTTTCTCACGCAGATGGCTGATGTGTGGTCTTGTGGTGTGACTCTCTATGTGATGCTGGTTGGGGCATACCCATTTGAAGACCAAGAAGATCCCAAAAACTTCAGAAAAACAATACAAGTAGGTTTCTTTGTTCTTTCTGCAACTCTTTTGCTTTAAGAAATGAATGTGACGCACACTAATCAAGCAGCCAACACGTTGTTTACAGAGAATAATGGGTGTCCAGTACAAGATCCCAGACTATGTCCATATCTCACAGGACTGCAAACATCTCCTCTCCCGTATATTTGTCGCCAACTCAATCAAGGTAACTATCAAGAAGAAGCTGAATCCATCCTTTGTGAGACTATTTACTTGTATAACTTTGTTTTTTTGGTAATTGCAGAGGATTACGATAGCTGAAATCAAGAAACATCCATGGTTCTTAAAGAACCTGCCGAGAGAACTTACAGAGACGGCTCAAGCTGCGTACTTCAGGAAGGAGAACCCTACGTTCTCTCTGCAGAGCGTGGAAGAGATCATGAAGATTGTGGAGGAGGCGAAAACGCCACCGCCTGTTTCTCGTTCTGTTGGAGCGTTTGGGTGGGGAGGAGAAGAAGATGCAGAGGAAGAGGTTGAGGAAGTAGAAGAAGAAGAAGAAGAAGTAGAGGAAGACGAAGAAGATGTGTATGATAAGACGGTGAAGCAAGTGCATGCTAGTGGTGAAGTCCGAGTCAGTTAAAAAAGTAAAAAAAAGGTTTGGTTTTTTTTTGGTCAAAGAAGAAAGTTTTCGTTGGTCTGTCGAATTTATCTTTCGCTCATTTTTAAGCTTCGTTTTGTTCGTAATCTTTAAGGTTTGTTTCATAATTGCTTTGGGATTTTCATATTTGGAAGTCTTGTAAAATTTGCAGTAGAAGATGATATTTGGGCATTGTGACCTTAAATAAAATATTCTGTAAAGTATGTTTCGAGTAATAATAATTATACAAATGTTCTCAAACTTTATTCTTCGAATTATTTGAATTTGAATCTAATTATTTAAATATGTGAATTAAGTGTATGCTTTTGATGATATATATTTTTCCGTACCCGCCCTCTTAAGAGTATATCTCTCTCCGAAACCAAAGAGATAGAAGCGTTAATTTGAAATTTTCTTTTCTTTCAAAATTCAAAATTAGTCTTCTTTCTCCTTTCTCGTCTCGAGGTCTCAACGGACGAGTTTTCACCGCCGGACTATTCATCGCAGAAGCGAGATCGCGATATCGATTTGAAAATGTAAGCTCGGCTTCTCGTTTCTCACTCATTTCTAGGGATTTGGTTCGCTCTTTCTCACATCGATGCTTTTCTTCTTCCTTCTGCGATTACGATTACTGCTGAGTGCTGAGTGTTGAGTGATTTTGTCCGATTTCTGTGGGTAAAGAGAATCGTCGTTAGTCATAAGCAGGTCGCTACATTTCCGATTTCCGGAATTTAGAGAAATTATCAGCTTCTTCGCCATTTTCAAATGCTCGGATTCGTTGGGTTCTTCGATTTTCGAATAGGGAAACTATGCGGATTATGATATTCATCCAGAAATTCGTTGTGTCTTACAATTGCATTTGCTATAGAGCTCATCGATTCACAGCTAAAATTCCTAACAATTGTATCTCCAATTAGTGATAATATGGAATTTATGCAGTCATTGTTAACCTTATGTTTTTGTTTTTTTTGTTCTGAAGTATACGAAATGGTGGTGTCAAGAGAAGATAGATTTGCTGGAGATCTTCGGCATGTTAAACCTATGATCGGTGCTAACAAATTGAGGCAAAATTGATCTTCTCCCTGTACATTTTTTGGTTTTGATATAACTTTTTATATAAATTTTCCTGAATGGTCTTTGATTTCTGTGTGTTTCAATGCAGTGGGAGTTATCACTTTCCTCAAACAAATTGGTCAGAACATGCCAAGGCATTCGAGTGTATACCATCCTCGAATAAGTTTATGTGCTCCAATTTCTTTTACTCTCTCGAAAGTCAGAAGCCTAAAAGAACAAGAGAAACATCTGGAAGGTATTTGCAATATCCTAGCAGCTCTTTCTGTGTGTTTGATGTTGTTCTTCCGTTTTCGTATCGTTTGAAATCTTTGTGTCATCACTTGTTCTCATCATGCATATAGGTAACTTCATGAAACCGTTCTTTGATATTCTAGTAGAATAATGTTAATGATGAATTGAAAACTCTTGTGAGGTTACTCAGTTTTCTTCAGATATCAGCGTTATATATTAGCTGAAGTGGTTTATGTTTATCGGAAAAAAAACTTGTTCCTCTCTCTTTCAAGGTCAATTAACAACATCATCCATGTAAATGTGCAGAATTTGGCTCCCCAACAAATTGATAAGGTAAGATTGTTGGAAAGAAAACCTGTGATGGAAATTGAATTTTTGACTGATCCAATCGTCTCATCATGTTTCTTGTGGAAAATCTTTCTTTTCCTGTCTCTGAGTTAATAATTTAGGCCATTGTAGCTATCAAATTCTTGTTTTTGTCGGATTGATCTTCCCCTGGCAGAGAAGGCTCTTTTCATTCTTCTACGTATAGATAACTTGAGTTGTTATCTTATGTTGTCAGGCTTGGAGTGCTCTTACAAATCTCTCAACAGATAATAACTACCTGAGACCTGGCATTACTCCTGCAGTTGATTATAGCGGCACTAATTGTTCATCTTCTACGAGAGGAAGATCCACTGTTAAAGTTACACCAAACGCCGATGGACCTTTGTACGCATCCAATCATCAAGAGCATAGTCAAAAGAGTGTTACAGGAACTACACGATCTTTTGACCGTTTCTCCTCCTCTTCCCCAGCTGCTGGGAAGGTTCCGGGGGTAAATGATGAGGTTGGAGGTTGTAAATATACAAATGGTACGGAAATAGTACCAATGAGAAACTCTGCAGTCCCAGCTAGGCAGGTGGAACCTAGGGAAGCTAGTCTTGGTGTGATTGATGATGATGACATGCTCAAGGTAATGTTCTCGATGCAAATAGGGTACCTTTTTGAATTTTATGAATCTTTTCCATGGATAGCAAGCAATATTTTCTCCATTTGGATTTGGATTTGCAGTATTTCTCAGCTCTAGCTTAGTAAACAGTAACATAGTTTCTTACAAAGTTAGTAGTAAATTTTACAGCCAAATTTTTAGTTTGCAACGTTTTCTAGTGGATCCAGAAGGAAATCTTTAGTTACTTGTGCAGAATGAATATATAGATTTAAACTCCAGCATGTGCTTACTTTGGAGTGCAGTATACTGACGTAGACGAAATTGTGATGGAAATGGAACACTACCAGTCAACGTGTACCTCCCAACCATCAGTATCTGAGTTTCCACAAAGAGCTCCATCTGGTAATATATTTGCTTCCAGAGGAGAAGAAGAGCCATGTTTGCCTCCTGAATTATGTTCCAACTGTAGTCATGGAATTAAGGTATGGCTACCATTTCTCTCGTTTTCTAAATAGTTATTTCAATAAACCAACTGGTGTTCTCAGTTTGATTTCTTTAATATCAACACAGCTAGGGCTCTGTCTTGAAGCTTCCAGCCATGTGGAACAAATGAAGGACGCACTGCTTGCAATTTCAAATGAACTACTTGACGATTCTGCTGACCTGAGCCCTGATTATTTTCAACAAATTTGTCAAGAGAGGTTGCATTCTCATCAATTATATTTCCTTTTCCTTTGCTTTATTCTATTCAGAAAATAATTTGGCTTCTTTCAGAGGCTGTGTGATACAGAAAGAAGGAATTAGGCCTAAAGAGATGATAACGTGTCTGCTCTGCTTTTTGATATTTATTTCGTTATGTTTATAACAACTGAGAGTGTGGCATGAGTTTTGGGGTAGCTTCTAAGCTGTTGAATCTTGTATTGTTGGTAGGTTACTGTTGATAAAGCAAATCCAGCAGCTCGAGACCATTATCCAAACTAAAGCAAGGAAAAAGTCATCTACACCTACTCATAATTTTCAGTACGAAACACCTCAAACAACAAATCGTACGATGGATAATGCGCAAACAGATTCTAGAACCGGCAGCTACGTAACTGATAACTTGGATATGCCAAGAGACTATTTATCTTCTGAAGATCGGTCTGGTCTTTCATATGATCCTGTAGTGAGGGAACGATATGTTCCCAAGATAATAGATGTCACTTATACCGATGGTTCAAATGACAAAAAGTGGAGCAGTCGTGACTTTCCTTGGACGAAAAATCTGGAGGTGATTGATTCTATCTGTCCTGCGATGTTCTTTTATTTACTTCCATCCTGTGTACTCATGTGGTCCATTGAAATGGTTAGGTAAATAACAAAAGAGTGTTTGGAAACCACTCATTTCGACCCAACCAAAGAGAAATCATCAATGCTACAATGAGCGGTTGTGATGTTTTTGTTTTGATGCCAACTGGAGGAGGGAAAAGTTTGACATATCAGGTAAGGACATCTTAACTATTATGTTGTTCTAATTTCAGGCTTTTATTCTTTACTCAGATTTGTGCTTAAAATTTGTAAAACCGAGATGAAAATTTGAAGTTGTGTTCTAGGGTGAAATTATAAGCTAGTATTTTGTTATGGTTGCGGATATACTTCAATGTCAGAAGAGTTTCTCTTCGTTTAGGACCTCAAAACTTCTTTGTAACATCTTTTTCTCTGCAGCTCCCCGCTCTGATCTCTGCAGGAATAACACTAGTCATTTCTCCACTTATTTCACTCATTCAAGACCAGATAATGAACTTATTGCAGGTGAGATCTTCAGTAACCCCAGAGATGTTATTTCTGTGCTCGGAAACTTTGTCCTGATTTACACTTTGGTTTCTTAATCATTGCTATAGACCAATATACATGCTGCTTCCTTAAGTGCCGGAATGGATTGGGGTGAACAACTAGAGATACTTCGGGAGATGAGCTCTGAGAATTCTAAATACAGATTACTCTATGTGACACCGGAAAAAGTGGCAAAGTGAGTCATTTTCTTCTTTAGTTGTTGATTCTAGAAAGAATGTGGGTATTTGATTATATCATTGTTGATAGGAGTGGAAAAAATCAAATTATAGGATTGGTTAATAGCGTAGATATGGGAAACTATTCCAAGCCTTTCCTGTTGTGATAGATATTACCAGTAACATCCATCTGAGAAGCTTCTCTTTCTTGTCTACAGAAGTGATTCCCTTTTAAGGCACCTTGAAAGTTTAAACTCCCATAGTTTGCTTGCTCGATTTGTAATTGATGAAGCTCATTGTGTGAGTCAGTGGGGGCATGACTTTCGACCAGACTACCAGGTTAGCCTGTTTAAAGCTTGAAACAGACACTCCTTTTACATTTCTGCTTTTAAGAAACTTAATCTTCCTCTTTTTTTTCCTCCCAAAACAATGCTTGAAATTGCAGGGTCTTGGTGTTCTGAAGAAGAAGTTTCCTAACATTCCCATGTTAGCTTTAACAGCTACTGCAACAGCAAGCGTGAAAGAAGATGTTGTGCAAGCTCTTGGCTTTGTTAACTGTGCTGTTTTCCGGCAAAGTTTTAATCGTCCAAATCTATGGTAATTTACTTAACTAGCTATTAAAAAAACTCTGTTTTCAGAATGTTGCTTACCCAAAAAAATTGCAGGTACTCTGTTGTTCCCAAGACAAAGAACTGCTTGGAAGATATTAACAAGTTTATCAAGGAGAACCATTTTGATGAGTCTGGCATCGTTTATTGTCTTTCTAGAATGGACTGCGAAAAAGTCGCTGAAACTTTGCAGGTTCGTCGTCTATTTGCTTTTCTTGTATTGTATCACTTATGGAGGCTTTTGCATATTGTGATCGTCCTGCATGTATTACTTTCAGGGTTTTGGCCATAAAGCAGCCTTCTACCATGGCAGTATGGATCCTGGTCAACGTGCCTATGTACAGAAACAATGGAGCAAGGATGAAATCAATATAATATGTGCTACAGTGGCATTTGGAATGGGTAATGACATGGTCTCTGCTATAGCACACTTAAGATTGATTGAAGTTTGTATCCTGCTAATTTTTATATTTCAGGAATCAATAAGCCTGATGTTCGCTTTGTAATTCATCACTCTCTTCCAAAGTCCATAGAAGGCTATCATCAGGTGTTTTATTGAACATTCAATTATGAAATAACTTTTAACTGATTTTACATCAATAAACTGATGTCAACTAGAAACTCACATTGGCTAATTTTGTTTTCATGCAAGGAATGTGGTCGTGCTGGTAGGGACGGGCAGAGGTCATCATGTGTGTTGTATTACAGTTATAGTGATTATGTAAGTTTTCATAAAATCTGACACATTATCAAGTTACAAACTTTGGAGGAATATCGATCTGTGTTCTTGGTCATGTGTGTGGTTACACAATACTTTTTTTTCAGATACGAGTGAAGAGTATGATTAGTCAAGGAGGACTTAGCCAAGGCCCCATGAAAACGGGATATAACCGTGTAGCAAGTTCTGGGAAGATACTCGAAACCAACACAGAAAATCTTCTCCGCATGGTATTTAATATTTATGATCTTTGCTTTCAAAAGTTATAAATCTACTCGCTGAGATAATTGCTGCTTCAGGTTAGTTACTGTGAAAATGAAGTGGAATGTCGACGTTTCTTACAGCTAGTTCATTTGGGAGAAAAATTCGATTCGATAAACTGCAAGAAAACATGTGATAATTGCTCCAGCAGCAAAACTTTGATTGACAAAGATGTGACTTTGATCGCAAGGCAACTGGTATAAGAATGAATCATCTCAAGTTCATTATGTACTTAACCATCTGGATGTTGTATCGGTTGACAGTTTTGTGGCTGGATAGGTTCAACTGGTGGAGCTAACAGTAGAAAGGTTTTCTTCAGCTCATATTATAGAAGTCTACAGAGGATCTTTAAACCAGGCGGTATGCAAACAACCAACATTACATTTATTTTGTTTCTATCCAAATTTTCTGTTAATTCAAACCATTTCTGTCTCCTAGCGCTTGCAAGTAAAATGTCTTTGGGCTTTTTAGGTCAAGAAAAACAGACATGACTCTTTGCACCTCCATGGAGCTGGAAAGCATTTATCTAAAAGCGAAGCCTCTCGTATCTTGCACTATCTCGTGACACAGGAAATTCTGGAAGAGGTTGTTAAAAAAAGTGATGTGTATGGATCTGTTTCGTCGTTGTTGAAGGTACAATTACTTCAAATTCCGCTTTTAACTCGTTGATGTCATAAAGAGAAACACTTGTGGATATATATCACCGTAACATCCATTTATTTATATTTTTGACATAGGTGAATAGATCAAAAGCTGCTTCACTCCTCTCTGGAGGCCAGACTATAACGATGAGGTATGACTTAGCAATGCTCACATGAACTTCTTGCAATTAGAATGGCACAGTGTAGCTCAAATATCTAATCTGTTCTTAGTGCAATGTCATTGCTGCTACTAATAGATTCTCTTGATAATAGTTAGATTAAGCTGAGACTGTACATTATCTTTTGCAGATTTCCTTCGGCTGTAAAAGTGTTAAAGCCGAGCAAATCAGTAGCAACCTCAGGAAAAGCTCCACTAAAGCAAACTACTCTTCAAATGGCAAATGCTCCCCCACAAAATTTGGTATAGTCTTCTTGTATTCCTCTGTTTTCTTTTATCTCTCTCAAATATTTTAACCACCACTCTGTTTTTGCTAAAAAGCTGGTTTCATTTAATTCAATGTTGAGCTAGATTTTCTCCGATATCATGCTTAAAGCCTTGAGAAAGCTTCGTACCGATATTATCAAGGAAAGCTCAGATTTAACCATGTCATACCATATATTCGGGTAAGTTTCAAAAGCTGTTTCTTTCTCAGATCATATGTAATATGATAAAAATGAACAAAACCTTGTGCGTTTGTAGCAATGCGACGCTTAAGCAGATAAGTAAAAGACTTCCGAGAACTAAAAAGGAACTACTCGATATCAGTGGTCTTGGAAAGTAAGTATATATTTACCTTTTTTTACTCTAATCTGTTTAACCAAAGCAAATTGGAGAGAAAACTCATGGTTTTGATAATGGTTAACTAAACAGAGCCAAGGTGGTCAAGTACGGTGATCGGTTATTGGAAACCATAGAGTCAACCATCAATGAACACTGTAAAACTGGTAAGAACGAGAGTTTCAGTTTAGGGAAGAGGAGAAGAGACGAGAACAGTTGTCCAAATCTAGCAGATGATTACGATGATGATGATGATGATCCGGATTGGAGTTTGAGTCAGTCCCATAAAAAGGCATTGAAGAACAAGTAGTCACTTTGGAGAAGCTTCATAGTGATTTTTAAAGACTATGGAAAGAGACTGTTACTAATATTACATTCGGTGAAATGTGACCAAAATAAAATGGTAAATAAAAGGAAGTAATGTTTAATTGCAACGATTGATTCTTATTATAGATGAGATAAATTTGTAGTTACATGATTTTATACTACAAACTATACTATACTTGTTGTGACACTTGTCTGTTTGTAATAATCACAAGTGTTTCTTTTTCACATGTGTTACACTTGTCCGAGGATCTTTAATTCAAAAACCGAGCCAATTTTGTTTTGACCTTTTTCCCCGGTTTTTTTTTTTTTTTTTTTTTTTTTTTATAATCGTGGAGATCCGGTGACCGAGGGCAACCAACTAATCTCATGAGACCTATGGCAATCCACGTATTCTTGCGATTTAACACTAGCCCGGGTGGCCAGTAGTATGTAACAAGGGGAATCGAATCCCAAGGTTTTGAACTTCCAAAAGAAATAAATCGGTATATATATATATATATATATATTCAAAAGGAAAAACGAAAAAAGACTTTTCTGTATTTACTAAAGTAGTTAAAAAAGGTAATTCATATGACTGCCCAATATGGAAATATTCTAATTAGAAGAAGAAAAATGTAAAAAAAATAGTAATATATATAATACTATAAAGAGAGAAAGAGTCGCGAAGATGCAAATAATTTGAGTAATTCGCTTTCTTTCTTACACATTAGCAATAATGGGAGGCAAAAAGCGTGCAATCAAGATTGAGCAAATCGAAAAGAAGACAGTAAAATCTGTTGCTTTCACTAAACGACGTGACGGTCTCTTCCGTAAAGCTTCTGAGCTCTGTCGTCTCTCACCGGAAACTCAAATCGCAATCTTGGCCACTCCTCCTTCTTCCAATTCTCACGCTTCTTTCTACTCGTTAGGCCATCCATCTGCTGAACATGTTGTCTCTTATCTGCTCAACGAGCAGTCTCCGTTTTGGTGGGAAGACGAACGTTTTGAGAGATCGGAGAACGTTGATGAACTGAGAGAAGCGGTTGATGCGGTTACGAGGATGCGGAACAATGCGGGGCTTCGATTAGATGCTGTGAGGAGTGATCAAAGAGATAAAGGTAAAGGGATACAACAAGAGGAGGAGGGTTTTGATCAGCTTTGCAACACCATGACGAACAACAATGAAGAAATTACGACAAAGCAAATCACAACGTTTGAAGGAGCTTCTGGTTCTGGTTTGCTCGAAATTGAGGACGGTGGTGTGGATATTGATGATTTTCTTGCGATCGATTTCTAAGTTGATCCATATTGATTTGATGAATGCTCTTTTATGCACCATGTTCGATTTAATAAGGGTTAATATATACTCTCTACTGGGGCATTGTTTTTTTTTTTTTTTTTTTTTTTTTTGGGGAATAATGCAACCGTATGAAAACCAAACTTTTATATAGTCCGGTTCGGTTTGATTGGAAAAATTTGGGTTGTTTAAAAAATACTAAATTTCTTACTTTAATTGAGATTATATGTTTAAATCTTGTTGATATATCATGTTTAAGTCTTGTTCTTGGTTGTCTTCGTCTATCGAATCAATGTGTACTAATTTTTTGTTCTTGGCTGATTTTGTTTTTTAAGATGATCCAAGAATAGTTTATGGTCAATGTATATCTATGAAATATACTTTTACGTACGCATTCTTAATTGAAACTTAGTAGACAAATCTCTCTTCTTTTTATAAAGGATTTGATAGTAGACATATCCCTCAATGACAAATATTTGGGTATGCACAATAGTTTATTAAGTGTACTTATAACGAAGAAGAGGGAGTAGAAAAACTTATACGATTCCCCTTTTAGGGTTCTCAATGTAGTTGACCGTAGATGCATGCCTGGATGCATGTGGGCTGTTACTTTAAACACAAGCTAAATCAAATAAATCATTATATATCGTAAGAATTATAGACCATTTCCCCCCTCATATAAACAGATATAAAATAGCAACCATGTAGGTGGGGATATTTGTTTAACACAAATACAAACAATCATCACTAATCAACTTACCATGTGTGTGGTCAAGCAGAAATGATATAATATAATGTAACGCCACTCGCATGCACATTAATAAGTCCAAAACGGTTTCATCTCTATCCACTCGTCCGTCTCTCACATCCTTTTTCTTTATATCTCAACAAGAAAGCAGATCTTCGACTATATCGTCCCATGAGCTATGTTAATATGTTATAAACTCATTGTGTAGCGTAAGCTGCGTAACAAAGCAGTGAAAGCATCCTTTTTAATTATCTCACCTTCCAGATTTTCCTGTTAATTAGGTTTTTAACTCATGCCCAAGTCAATATTTCCCAAATTGTCTAATTAATTGGAAGCCCTCGTTTCAATCGGATTACATGCATGTCATCTCAATTCAAGATCCTAAAATATTTTTTTTTTTTTTTTTTTGTGTATGAATGTTAAGATCCTAAAATGTTTTTTTCGTGAACTCTGTCTCTTATCTCTTCTTCTACCATTCAGTCCATTAGCACGTCGTAACCACTCAACCGCATGAAGAAGACCATAGGGTGTTTCTTGTCCTAGAAGAAACCGTCTTTAGAGACCTTGTTCTTGAGCATGCATACGTAGATTGTGACTCGATAGTTTCCAGTTTTGCTGCATTTTACAATAATGTTACTTTAATACTATCGACCATTGTAAACGGTATCAATTTATTAAATGGTGTTTTTAAAACGATGACCATATTTTCAACATTTTCCCACCCACTACTTCACTGGCATCTCTCACAAATCGCTAGACGTTGAAAAAAAACAAATCGAATCAAATTATATACGTATCCCAACAAACACAAATTAAATTACGAATAATGAACTAGTGGAATATATTATATTGTAATTTCTAACTACGAACACACTGTAGCTAAAGTCAATAAGTAACCCTTTGTATATAAATGTAAAGCGGAGCCATCCCAAAACAAAAACAAAGAAACAAAACCAAATCTAAAACAAAAATGGATTACCGAAAATGGAGTTTGAGTATCATATCTTTGGCTTTCCTCTTCATCACCTGCTCGTCAGCTGATATCCTCATTCAACAGGTTTTGTCATCTTTCTTTCTTTCTTTTGTTTTTGAACCTTCTCGATCGATTAGCTTTTTCAGTAAAAGTAGTTTTTAACAATGAAAAATAAATAAATCTAGGTCACAAAGGACAAAGGAGCAAAAAACAACAGTTCTTACAGTCTCGAGGCGAATCTTGGTATGCTTCTTCTTGTCTGAAATCGTTTTTCTTTGGATTTTCTTGGTGAAAGACTTTAAGACTCAAAACCCATTATCTTGATTTTTAAAAATTGTTGATAGGAGTGACAACAGTGTTGAGAGAAGAGCGTCCATCGAGTAAGATAGTGACAATAGCAAACTACTCCGTGATTAAGGGGATATTTGAACCCTATCCCTATGAGTCCTCTGTTTTTGAGGCTGCTGGTTACAAATGGCTTTAAGCAAAACGCAGTCTCTACAAGCACTTGGGCAGATGCTTATATCCGGTTAAAGAATCAACAAAGCACTAGCCACAGACAAATACGTGGTAAAGAAACTAACAAAAAAATAATTACATATATTATGTCTAGTAGAGAAAAATCACTCTATGAAACTAATAGTTGGTACAAAATGTTTTTTTGTTTTGTTTGTTTGTTTGTTTGTTTGCAGCTTTACTTTGGTACCCGAATCGATATCATGCTATGGGAACGACCAATATCATATTGCTAGCAGATTTAAACGATGCATCGAAAGGGTATTTGGTGAATGATGCTATTATCTTTGAAGCTGAATTTGGTATGGTCTCTGTGACCAACATAGTTTCTGCCTAAACAACAAATGCTACTTCTTTGTTATCAACCAAACACGCTTACGAATAAAGAGACGTTTGATGACTTTGCAATAAAATGACGTTGTAATTCCTTGTTATTTCTGTTAGTTTTTTTCTCTCTCCGTTTTATTATCAATGATATAAAAGTAAAACTCTCTTTGTTTAATTTATATGGATAAAACTCAGCCTATTCAAAAACACAAATAAGTTTAATTTTTGTTTTTTTTTTTTAATATATAGCTGAAATTCAAGCAGAACCCAAAAAGGAAACAAATGGATAAATATTTTTTCAGAAATTTAAATCTATAGTTAATCAAACTTTAAGATATTTTGATACAGTCAACTGCTCAACTGCATGAAGAAGACCGTAGGGTGTTTCTTGTCCTAGAAGAAACCGTCTTTAGTGACCTTGTTCTTGAGCATGCATACGTAGATTCTGACTCGATAGATTCCAGCCAGGGTTTTAGAGAACATTTTGAAGTTTTGCAATAAATTTACTTTATCCATACTACCGACCATTGTAAACGGTATCAAGTCATTGAATGGTGTTTTGAAAACGATAATCATATTTTCAACATTTTCCACCCACTACTTCATCGGCATCTCCCACATTTCGCTAGAAGTTAAGAATAAAAACAAAAACAAATCGAAAATAATTCTATACGCATCCAAACAAACACAAAAGTACGAATAGTGAATGAGTGGGATATATTGTATTGTATTTTCCCACGACGAATCCACGTTCAGTATTTTAGATCTGTAGCTAAAGTCAATAAGTAACCTGTGTATATAAATGTAAAGCCTTCCCAAAACAAAAACAAAAAACAAAACCAGATCTAAAAAATATGGATAACCGAAAATGGAGTTTGAGTATCATATCTCTGGTTTTTCTCTTCATCACTTGCTCTTCAGCTGATTTCCTCATTCAACAGGTTTTGTCATATTTCTTTAATTCTTTCTTTTCTAAAGCACCTTCTCGATCGATTAGCTTTTTTAGTAAAAGTATTGTTTAACAATGTAAAACCAATCTAGGTCACAAAGGACAGAGGAACAACATACAACAGTTCTTACAGTCTCGAGGCGAATCTTGGTATGCTTCTTGTCTGAAATCGGTTTTTCTTTGGTGTAAGACTCAAGACTGAAACCGAATATCTTGATTTTTAAAAATTGTTGATAGGAGTGACAAGAGTGTTGAGAGAAGAGCGTCCATCGAGTAAGATAGTGACAATAGCAAGTTACTCCGTGATTAAGGGGAGAGGTGAACCCTACCAGTCCTCTGTTTTTGAGGCTGCTGGTTACAAATGGTAAAAGATCTGACACCATTATCAGAAAAAAAAAAATGTGCAAAGATCTTCTTTTCGTTAAACTGTTTTTTGGTCAACACACTCTTTTCATTTTTTTAACATATTAATTTACTAATATTATTTTGATGGCAAATGTTTTGAAAAAAAATTCAGGAGATTGGTTTTGTACATGATTGGTAATATAAACGACGGTGGAGCTGGCTATATTTCACTATACGTGAGGATCGAAGAGACAGAATCACTTCCAAGTAGCTGGGAAGTCAATGTTGATCTCAAACTCTTTGTCCACAATCTAAACCAACGCAAGTACTTGACTGTCACAGGTATGGATGTTACTTACTACAGTATATCATTCTATTTTCTTATATGTTTTGCTAGCTACATCTATCGAGGCTGATTGTGATTGGAATTTTTTGTTTCTCCTAATTTTGGATTTGCAGATGGAACAGTGAAACGATTCAACAACGCGAAAAAAGAGTGGGGATTTGGACAACTGATACCTCTTTCAACATTCGAAAACACGAATGAAGGTTACATTGTTCAGGACACTTGTTCTTTTGGTGCTGAGATCTTTGTTGTTAAACCGGCTGAGCAACAAGAGAAAGTCACATTCATATCGAACCCTACAGACAATGTTTTCACTTGGAAGATACTTCGTTTTTCGACCTTGGAAGATAGATTCTATTACTCTGACGATTTTCTCGTTGGAGACCGTTACTGGTTAGTACTTAATTTCTCAGCATATTATGTACTATTTGCTTATATTTCTGTAACCAAATCTTTTAGGCCAAAGTTTAAATTAATCTCAAAGCTTTAAACTGTAATAACGGTTTTTTTGTTGGTTATGTATAATCAGGAGATTAGGATTTAACCCGAAAGGGGATGGAGACGGAAGACCAACTGCACTTCCAATCTTTCTTTTTGCTCAGGGCTTCAAGCAAAACGCAGTCGCTACAAACACTTGGGGAGCGGTTAACATCCGGTTAAAGAATCAACGAAGCACTAACCACAGACAAATATATTGTAAAAAAAACCTAACAAAAAAAATATATATATATATATATATATATATATATATATTATTTCTAGTAGAGAAACAATTCACTATATGAAACTAATAATTGGTACAACTTTTTTGTTTGTTTGTTTGTTTGCAGCTGCAGCTTGGTACCCAATTGGAAGTGGTTATGGTGTGGGAGTCAACAATATCATATTGCTAGCAGATTTAAACGATGCATCGAAAGGGTATTTGGTGAATGATGCTATTATCTTTGAAGCTGAACTGGTTAAGATCTCTGTGACCAACATAGTTTCTGCTTAAACAACACATGCTACTTCTTTGTCATCGACCAAACACGCTTACGAATAAGGAGAAGTTTGATGACTTTGCAATAAAATGACGTTGTAATTCCTTGTTATTTCTGTTAGTTTTGTTTTTCTCTGTTTTATTATCAATGCAATCAAAGTAAATCTCTCTTGGTTTTAAACTTTTTGAAAGATGTTGGGGAAAGTTGGAGTGTTTAGCTATATGGATAAAACTCAACCTAGTCAAAAACAAAATTAAGTTTAGTTTGGTCTAATTACATTTTTTTATAGCTGAATTCAAGCAGAGATTTTGAATTTATAGTTGATCGAAAATTATATTTGTCTCCCTTCACTTCTGTTTCATACACTGACTTATTTTCGATCTTGTACCCAAATATATATTTTTTTTAAATGAATATAATTAAGCATAGTTAAGTCAAAGATCTTAATTACTTGCGGGCAATTGGAGAAGAAAAGAGAGGAAAAGGACTGCAACTACAACTGTGGTAAACCTTAAGCTGCCAATCCATACCTTATATAAAAATATCTTATCTAATTTGGTCAAGTGAACCTCTTCTTAACATCAGATGTACATCTGATAATTTTATATAGCCTTATTCCACAATGTATTTGGGCATGGCGAAGAGGCAGTCGAGAAGCTTACACTAATCCATTTTAAATTCATTCTAAGACACTCAGGCAGTTGACCGTTGATGCATGTGGGCTATTACTTTAAACACAAGCTCAAACAATTAATCATTATATCTCGTAGGAATTATAGACATTTTTCTTTCTCTCATATAAGCATATAATATACAACAACATGAAGGTGGGGGTATTTATTTAAACAAAAACCCAAGTAAGCACTAAATACTAATCTACTATGACGATCTTTAATTTAGCAATATGATTTTATAATATAGTATTTTTGTAACATCAATGGTATGATATATGAAACGCCACTCGCATGTACATTAACTCTATAATAGACATATAGATATGTATGTAATTTTAGTGTTTAAAAAGTGTCTAGGCATTCAGATGTACCTAGGAGTTACGGTTGCAAATATGAGTGAGACAAATGCCTCCAGTCCAGGTGGTCGATATACCAAAATAATCCTGGATATACCTGTAAAAGAGATTAAAGAGGCACAAAATACAGTAAGAGATGGGGCTTGGCAAGCCTCCAACGAAAATCTACCAAACTTTTCATAGTGTTCATATTTTTTCTCTTTTTTTGGTTTATTTGTTTTGTTCGTTGGGAGAGGATGTCACCTTTGGATATGTATATAGATAAGCTTTCTAAACCTTTTTATTGTAAGCAATCTCTTATTTCTACTACCACACTTTGTATGATTATGTGCGAATAGCTCATCGTTTGGTTTAAGGGTTTCTAAAGGGGATCCTTTCGTGGTTTGGTAGAATGACCTCGTTGTTAAAATAGTGAATTCGCTAGGTTGATTTGATCCTAAGTCTTATTTATTTTTATACTATCTTTTGTTCTTATTTAAATGTTTGGTCTTTTAAAATGTCTTTTTATATGTTTGGTCTATTTAAATGTTATATGTTTGTTGTTGTAATGTCTCTGATCTTTTAGAATGTCTGATCTTTTCAAATGTTTTATGTCTGTGTATATATAAATGCAAAGCCTTCCCAAACAAAAAACAAAAACACATCTCAATAAAATGGATAACCGAAAATGGAGTTTGAGTATCATATCTCTGGCTTTTCTCTTCATCACTTGCTCTTCGGCTGATTTCCTCATTCAACAGGTTTTGTCATCCTTCTTTTGTTTTTAAAGCAACTTCTCGATCGATTAGTTATTTCAGTAAAAGTAGTTTTTAACAATAAAAAATCAATCTAGGTCACAAAGGAGAGAGGAACAAAATACAACAGTTCTTACAGCCTCGAGGCGAATCTTGGTATGCTTCTTGTCTGAAATCGTTTTTCTTTGGATGTTCTTGATGAAATATTGAGATCCATTATCTTGATTTTCCTGGATTATTATTATTTTTTTTTTTTGTTCATAGGAGTGACAAGAGTGTTGAGAGAAGAGCGTCCATCAAGTAAGATAATGACAATAACAAGCTACTCCACGATTAAGGGGCAAAGTTCATCCTACGAGTCCTCTGTTTTTGAGGCTGCTGGTTACAAATGGTAAAAGATCTAATCACCATTATAAAAAAAAAAACAAGTATTGTGCAAAGATCTTACCACATTAAACTTTTTTTTTTTGGTTAAAACACTCTTTTCATTTTTTTTTTTGAACTTATTTATTTATTAAGATTATTTTGATGGCAAAAAAAACAAAAAAAGGAGATTGGTTTTGATCGCTGCTGCATATGACTATGTTACACTTTACCTGTCGATCGAAGATACAGAATCACTTCCAAAAGGCTGGGAAGTCAATGTTGATCTCAAACTCTTTGTCCACAATATAAAGCAACACAAGTACTTGACTGTCACAGGTATGGATATTACAAACTATATCATTCTATTTTCTTATATATTTTGCTAGCTACATCTTTAGGAGTTAACTGTGATTGGAATTTTTTTTGTTTCTCATAATTTTGGATTTGCAGATGGAACAGTGAAGCGATTCAACGATTTCCAAAGAAGGTTGGGATTTGAACAATTGATTCTTCTTTCAACATTCGAAAACCCGAATGAAGGTTACATTGTGCAGGACACTTGTTCTTTTGGTGCTGAGATCTTTGTTGTTAAACCGGCTGAGCAACAAGAGAAAGTCACATTCATATCGAACCCTCCAAACAATATTTTCACTTGGAAGATACTTCATTTTTCTACCTTGGAAGACAAACACTATTACTCTGACGATTTTCTCGTTGGAGACCGATACTGGTTAGTACTTAATTTCTCATCATATTACATATTTGCTTATTTTTTTGTAACCCGATTCTTTAGGCCAAAGCTTGAAACTATTAATTACGTGAATTTTCGTTGTGGCCAAGTGTAATAACGGTTTTTTCTTTTTTTTTATCAGGAGATTACTATTTTACGTGAAAAGGAATGGAGACGTAAGACATGATGCACTGCCGATCCTTATTTCTACTCGAGGCTTTAAACAAAACGCAGTCGTTACAACCACTTGGGGAGAGGCTTATATCCGGTTAAAGAATCAACGAAGCTCTAACCACAGACAAATATATGGTAAAAAACCTAACAAAAAATAATTTTATATATACTATTTCTAGTTGAGAAAAATCACTCTATGAAACTAATAGTTGGTACAAAATGTTTTTTTTTTTTGTTCTTTTGCAGCTGATACTTGGTACCCGATTCGAAGTGATTATACTATTGGAGTGCAAAATATCATATCGCTAGCAGAATTAAACGATGCATCGAAAGGGTATTTGGTGAATGATGCTATTATCTTTGAAGCTGAATTTGTTAAGGTCTCTGTGACCAACATAGTTCCTGCTTAAACAAATGCCACTTCTTCGTCATCAACCAAACACCCTTACGAATAAAGAGGCGTTTCATGACTTTGTAATTGTTATTTCTGTTTGTTTTTTTTTTGTTTTTTTGTTTTTGTTCTGTTTTGTTATCAATGAAATAAAAGCAAAACTCTCTTGGTTTCAAACTTTTTGAAAGATGTTGGGGAAAGTTGGAGTGTTTAGTTATATGGATAAAACTCAACCTATATTCAAAAACACAAATAAGTTTAATTTGGTTAAGTTTCATTTTTTTATATCTGAATTCAAGCATAACCCAAAAAGGGAAAAAAATGAATATATTTTTTTTTTCAGAAATTTTAAATCTATAGTTGATCAAAATTTAAAATATTTTGATACAGTCAGACTAGATTTGATTTCATATTAATTTCTATAATTTTGAAATCGAATAATAAAAATACAGACACATCGTACCAATATCTAGGAGGAAAAAATGTTGAAGATTAGTCAAATCATGTGCGCTTAATGTTTTTTAGTAATTTTTATTTGATGATCCTATTTCAGTGCATCATGTTCTATATAATTAGGTTACTAAAATAATGTACTCTCCACTGGTGCTTTTATTTATTTTTGGTTCGGGAATAATGCTACCGTAGGAAAACCAAGCTTTTATTGGGTTTTTTCTTCTTCTTTTTTTGTCGTCTAAAAAAGTTCGCTTTGGTTTTACTGGAAAATTTTGGATTGGTTTTAGTGACAGACAACAAAAATTGAAATACGTTTATGGCCAATGTATACCTATGGAATGTTACGTTTACGCATTCTTGAAATTTCCACAGGAGAAAGAAGGCAAATAATAAGCGTTCAAAAAAAAAAGTTTATTATTATACATAAAACAAGAAACGGAAAACATCAAAGAAGGTTGCAAAACAGGTGGGGTGAAATAAAAACATGAAAGAAATACATAATAAAAAACACAAAAGTGAAGCAAAAGCCACACATTTACATATCGATTTTACACTCATAGTAACAGTAACAAACACCAAATTCGCATTTGGTATCTCCCACAAAAGGTGTGGAGTATTACATTTCCCTATAGAGTGTCTGCATTGTTCCCCCTTCACTTCTGTTCCATACACCAGCTTATTTTCCATCTTATACAAAAAAATATATAAACTGAACATAATTAAGCATAGTTAGATCTAAGATCTTCATTACCTGCCGGCGACTGGAGAAGAAAAGAGAGAAAAAGGACTGCAAAAACAACTGTAGTAAATCTGAAGGTGCCCATCTCTTTCTTCGTCTTGTTCTTATTAGTATATATGATTCTTGATCTGTGGAGTGTATTTATAGCAACGAAGAGTGAGTACATAGGCTTATATTAATCTTTTTTTTTTTTCAGACTCTCAACGCCATTGATCGTGGCTGAATCATCTAGGCTATTACTTTAAACACAAGCTTAAAACATTAATCATTATATATTGTTAGAATTAATGACCATTTAATTTTCATATAAACAAACAATAACAACATGTAGAAAACAAATCCATACATTCACTAATCAACCTAATCATGCATGTGGTCAAACAATTTTTTTAATATATGTTGATAACATCAACGATATAATAGATGTAACGCGGCTTGCATGCACATTAATTTAAAGAGATGTAATTGTTGGAAATGTGTCTAATTAAACTGGTGTTGAAGATGAATATCATGAGTTTAAGCGATTTTTTTGGCTTTACGTGTAGTTTAGTTTAGACAGATCTCTTAATGCCATTTATTTAATTAATTTGATTATTTTTTACCGACTCCAAAAATATTTGAACATACGCTATAGTAATCAATTAAATCATGTATTTAGAAATTATAACAAAGAAGAGGGAGTAGAAAACCTTATACTAATTCCTTTTCTTATTTTAAGACTCAACGTGGTTGATCGTGGATGCATCCTCATCTGATAATTTAGGCCTGAGTATTTTATCCGGACCCGAAGGACCCGAAGGACCGAATCAAACCCGACCCGAAAAAGATGGAACTTAGCCGAACCGAAACCAAGACAAATACCTGATGGGTCCAAAATTTGTATACCCGAAAAATCCAAACTCGAACCAAATGGAGAACCGAATGAATACCCGAATATCCAAAATATAATTATATATCCAAAATATTAGTTATTTTTAGGCTTATAATAATAAAAATAACTAAAATTACAACTAAAAATCTAATATAATAGTTATATTTACAACAAAATAACCAAAATATTTGAAAAGTTCAAAAACTATTAGTAGAAGATAGAGTAAAGACAGGTTTTTTGGTTATTTTATAAGATTTTGGATATTTAATTAAAAAAACCGATAAAAACCAACCCGAATCAGACCCGAATAAGAACCAAAATTTGTAAAAACCTGAACGGGTTCATAAAATTTAGCCCCGAACCCGATAGGAACCGAACCGAAACCGAACCAAAATTTCCCTAAACCCGAACAGGTTTAAAATTTAGCAACCCGAAAAAACCCGATCCCGAATAGAACCGAACCGAACCCGAACCGAAATCCGAATGCACAGGCTTATCTGATATATTACTTTAAACACAAACTCAAACAATTAATCATTTTATAGATCGTAAGACTTATTGATATTTTCTTATAATATAAACTGACAATAACAACATGTAGAAAACAAACCCAAACAGTCACTATAATTGACTAATCATGTATGAGGTCAAACAAAAATGCCGAATTTTGTTTTCAATACATGTTGATAATATCAATGTAGTATGTAACCCGACACGCATTCCCATTAATTTAGAGAAATATGCTATATCAATGTTAGAAAAGCGATCTTAAACCGATCTTGGAGATAAATATTTAATTTAAACAAATAATCCAATTTACTTACGAGAAAAAGGTTTTTTTTAGTTATATCCGGTTTTAGGATTACATCCGATTTAGCCGAGTATTTTTACATCTTCTGTGCTTTTGAATCTCAACAATAATACAACCAAAGTAAAAGCAAATTACGAAACGAAATGGAAAAAAAAAAAAAAAAAAAAAAAACCCCAAAAAGAGAGCTCAGTTACAAGGCCAGTTATCATCTGAATAATCAGAGAGATGCGAAGGACCAAGCTTCGCTATAGCCGTAAGTCATCACAGCTCAGTGCACCAGCCGGGAATCGAACCCGGGTCTGTACCGTGGCAGGGTACTATTCTACCACTAGACCACTGGTGCTGTTTGTTTAACTAAGTCCCTTTTATTTTATTTATACGTAACAGTATTAGCTCCTACTCTTTTTTTTTTTTTTTTTTGTCATCGCTCCTACTCTACCACTAACGTTTTTGGTATATACTTTTGGGTATTTCGGATACCCCATACAGTTCTCGGTTCGGATCCCGTTTCGAAGATTATAATTATATTCGGATATTTGTGCCGGTTCAGATCGGTTCCTTCTAATTTCTAATTTGGTTAGGTTCGGGTCCTTTTGTTAAAGATCAAAACCCAAAACCCCTTCAGTTTCCTCTCTTTTCGCTACCAATATCTTTCAGTATCCTAAACCCTAATCTTTCTCTTCTCTATTTCTCCTTGCCATCGATCAAATTTCGAAGATTGGCGGTGGACTTTTGTATCTCTGCTCAGTATCTTTGAGAAACTTCAAGAGCTACTATACTTGGTTAGTCGTCGTTCGTTTTGGGTTTCGCTCAAGTGTTCTTCTTTTTTTTTCAGTTTCGATTTGTTTCTTATTTTTTCTGTCATGGACATAGTTGGCAGATTGGTTTTGTTTGTCAGATTAGTGAGTGTTCAATTATATAACTGGTGTTATATTTGTGTGAAACATTGTCAGTTTTTCTGGCAATTGATGGGTGTTTACAATTTAGTTGACTAGTTTGTGTGAAATGTAAGTCTTGTCTTATGCTCGAAATAACAAAGCCTAAGAAAGGAAGTGTTTTTGTAAAGGTATGGAAGAGGATCAAGAGCAGACGAGTTTCACGTTTGAGATAGATAACTTCTTCGACAAGGAAGGTTTTATAACATCACCAACATTCTCAAGCGGCGGCTGCGAATGGTAAAGGAAGAGATTAGATATTTATATACATATACATAAGTTTTGATTCTTGACAACTCAAATCCTCTAGATCCAACAAAACAACTTGTCTCTATAAAGCGTTTAGTTTAATTTGTTTTCTTTCTTTTTTTCAAGGTATGTTGGGGTTTATCCCAAAGGAAAATATATTGATGATCACTTGTCTCTCTTCCTCCAAGTTGCGAATCCGAAGTCATTGAGACTTGGATGGAAAAGACGAGCTAATTATTCCTTCTTTCTGGTGAATCAATCAGGCAAAGAGCTCTTCAAAATAATTGGTATTATACTTATCAGATGTACATGTATATGTATGATTGTTGAGGAAGAAATTTTTTAATCTAATCTCTCTGGTTTTTGTTTACAGAATTGTCGGGCCAATTGTTCTGCGCTCAGTTCTCAGGATGGGGTAGTCCAAAAGCTTTACATCTTAAAAAGCTTCAAGAAGAAGGGTTTATGGAGAAGAACAAACTGATAGTTAAAGTGGAAGTCAAAGTAGTTCACTACAAAAAAAAAGGCTTCTAACGTCGTTTGTTTTAGAGGTTAACGTCGGTATTTAACTGACACGAAAATTATAGCGTCGGTTTCTAAAACGTCGTAACATCGCACGACGCGAACTTTTTCTGCATCGGTTTAACAAGTGACGTCAAGTTTAGCATCAGAATTATAACGTCGGTTTCTTTTATATTAGCGTCGTTTTAAGTTCTGACATAAAAGAGTATTGAGTCAATTTACAACCGACGCAAGTATGCAATATCTTTTAAATGTTTATATTCTTTATTTATTATTAAAATGTAAAAAAAAAATCGTAAAATTTTAATTCAACTAGAATTTATAAAACATGATTCCAAACACAAATAACCATTCCATTAATTTGTTTATACATAAAAAGTAACTCTGACTGCATATATGTAAACATAATAATATACACAATACAAATTTAATAATTCCTACAGATCTGAATTACTCTTCGAATGCTAAACCTCCGTCTTGTAACTAGCCTGAAATCATATAAAAATTATATAACTATTCAAATTTTGATAATAGGATATCACAATATGTATATACATACATACACACATGTGTTAATTAGTTGTACCTGTTCATGGACATGTAAGATGGTTGATACTTCCGCTAGTTTCATCCAGCTGTAAGAATAATACATTGTGTTTCCTGTGAAAATGATACAGTGCTGAACAGAACAATCGTAAAATTATTCTCAAATGAACAACCATTTCTACAAGTATTTCGCACTAGAATAGACACGTTACTTGATGCCTGTTTGAAAGATTGTGATTCAATTAGGTAGATTTATCCAAACTTTGTACTAGACAAGCTGACACAGACAAGTAGTATACTCAAGCCTCAATAAGCCTCACGTTGCAAGGACTAATCAATGTATAAGGCATTAGAAGAATCCAGTCTATATTAAGCCTCAATAAACAGTTAAACTACTTAAAAGAACACAACTCACCTTAACCATTCAGGTTTCCTCTTGGATTAACTTTGTCCCGTTCTCATCCAAATGCAACAACAAGCTAATCTTAGAATTAGCTGAAGCCTCTCTCTTCTTGCTGAGACAAATAAATATATCCTTCAAGGTTAAAGTATATGAAAATATATCCAATAAAGCAACCATTACAGAGATAACCCGCAACCTTTTAAGCCAAACTCTGTGCTACTCCGTAGGATCAACATACGAAATCATATCAATTTCGTTTTTTCTCCTGCACATCTGCAAATATCACAAAGTTTCACTACAAAAAAAAGTGTGTTTTACATCACTTATTTTTTATATTTGTATTACATATAATTGATTCAAATAAAATTTACATCACTTATACAAACGACCTTAAAAGTGGTGATGCAAATAATTTGCATCAGTTTTTGATAAATCGATGTGAATATGCAAAATATTTGCATCGGTTAAAAATCGATGTTAATATATGTCAATTGAAAAAAATGATGTTAACTTTTACATCAATTCTTTGAACTGATGTTATTATTTTCAATTGTTTATATCATTTATTAATAACTGATGTAATAATATCAATTTAAAAAGTAATTTAATAATTTTTTAGTTACAGTTACAAATTATTATTTTTGTGCGAATTTACAAATTATTAATAAAATTATATATTAGATATGATACACACGAAGAAGTAACTGTTTTTTTCTTCATCTCTTTTCACTGAATAATTTGATTAGATTAAAGAAAAGGGTCCAGTACAGAGCATCCAAATACATGGAATCAATGGATATCATAACAAAAGCTCTTAAATACATACTAAATCTTCGCTGTATGTAGAAACAGGAGAAAAAAAATGAAATCCCTCATGTAAATGCATTGTAGAAACAGGAGTTAAAGATCGTGGGAAAATGGGACCCACCAGTGGCTTCGTCTTGTTCATTCGAAGCTTCGGATCTAGGGACAGTGAGAAGATCGCTGAGCCAAAAGGATTGGTATCCCTCGGGTAACACTTATTGCAAACTTTAGCGATTTGCCATGATCAAAGATTGAAGATGACCATGTTTAGCGAATGTTGCTCAGAAGTCTATGAAATAAGATGAGCATGAATATGACTTTGCCCTCTCCGAGTGCATTACGTTCCTCCTCCTCCACTTTCTTCTCTCATCAGCCAATCACAAACCTGATCAATAAATTAGAGAAACAAATCAATAAACTCCATATTGACGAAAGAAAGAACTGGAGATCCCAGAAGAAATAGAGACTTACAAAAAAAAAAGAGAGGAAGAGGCACAATCGAAGAACACTAAAAAAACGAACTAGGGTTTTCTGATTTGTTTAGATGGTTAAGGATTTATTTGTGGATATTTGTTAGGATAAATTTAAGCGGGATTTTTTTCTTTTCATTTTCAGACAAGCTACAAATTGTTTTTGAAAATAACATCATTAATTAAATTGATGTGAAAGGAAAATTTAGTTACATAATTTTTATGGTATTAAGATAGTTTTATTTAGCATCAGTTTTAAACTGATGTAACTTTTATTAATTTTGAATAAGTGACGTTACATAAAGAAAAACAGATAAATCAATTATCTAATTGATGTAAACTTGTATAATAATATCAATTTTGTTAAAGTGATGCAAACTAATCGAAATTATATCAGTTTATTAGATTGATGCAAAATTAGTTATTTACAACATCAGTTGTTTATAATTGATGCTAAATCATATATATTTGTCTCATTTAAAAATAAATGATTTAAAATAGTATCACTCAGTTTTGTGATACAATTTAAGTGATTTAATTCTTCACTTTTTTTGTAGTGTTTGATTTGTATGAGTGACGGTGCTTATCCTATAACAGTCTGAATAAAACCATGTTAAAATACTGGCAGGACTACTTTGAGCTTGGAAGAATGAAGATCCTCTGGATCCTTCATTTCTCTGAAATGATCATAAGTACTACACGAAAAACATCCAATGTGTGATGAAAAGCTTTCCCATTGCTCTATCAGTAACGAGAAACACACATTATTTTCATTGCTTTTATTGCACATATTCAAAAGCACCAAGCAGAAAACAAAATATGTAATCCTTATTTGCTTATGATCAATGTGCTTACTCTGTATATTATCTCATCAAATAGACTTACAATGTGTTTAGGTCAAGACTGCATGATCTATCATCTCATTCTCTAACTCCCATCTCGCATAGATAATAGATTCCATCTGAAAGTTCAGTTCATCTTCAGAACAAGGATTATGATTGACTAAATAGCAATTTTGAGATCAAAGATCAAATGACACCACAATTTCTTCAAAATTAAGAGAGATCAAAGCAGATCGAATTCTGACTTAAAAAAATTACCTTTGAATCAACCTACGATTTCTGGAATTGGAGATTCCTCTCCGAATCCATCATATCTTCAAATCAATCTAAAATCCTTAACAAAATCAAGTAATTCAACCAGAAACACGACAAAATGATCATTAAATTTTTCGTTCTCGAACCGATTATCAGTATTGCGATTCACGAGACAGAGAAAAAAAACTTCAGAATCGAATTGAAACCTGAACTTTCGGATTTGGAATCCGATAGGAAACCATGGAAGATTCAAAAGACTCCGAGGTGGGCGATTACGAGAAACCATATGCTCCAGAGTCTCGAGACTCGAATTCAGTTCTCCGAATTTTCCAGAAAATGAAAGTGTGGCGTGTGTTCATCTAAAGCGATGAATTAATTTACAATAGTTAAAACAACATTAGTTACGTCGCTTTTTAAAACCGACGCCAAACCGCGTCTTATTTCTAATTTTGGGTCGGTTTACTAAACGACGTTAAAAAAGTGACGTCTTCTACCGGATCTCTTGTAGTGGTTGAAGTTGTTGCTCAAGGAGTTGCCACCGGGAATGAGACGTTTGATTATTCTTAATTCTCAGGTATTTTTAATATCTTGTTGTTTCTTTCTTGCTTTCTTTTTTTAATTTTCTGGTAACATAATTACATGTTTCTCTTGATGACAGGTTCTTTCAGTGGATTCGCTTTTCTTTAAACACCCGGACTTTGCAGTGAATGTCAGACCAAAGAACCAATTGGTGAAGACAACGTACATGAATCTCCTCCTCTGTCTCATCAAAACACTGGACAAGCCTCCACATAGCATCACCGACACTGAGCTAAGCAACGCTCACAGCGAGTTGATCGAGCTAACAGGAGCAGCGGGATTCAAGCTAGACTGGTTAAAGACAAAGCTTGATGCGATTTCCTTGGAGAGGAAGAAAGAAAATGCTGATGGTTCTCGAGTCCGAAAATTCGAGGAACAAATCCACAATCTCAAAGCTGAACTGAACAAGGAGAAGACCAAATCTGTAACTTCTTCTGCTAAGGTTTTGTCATTGGAGCAGACAGTGTCAGATCTCAAAGCTGAACTGAACAAGGAGAAGCTCGAATCTGATACTCATGCTGCTAAAGTTGTGTCGTTGGAGCAAACCTTGTCGGATCTTAAAGATGAGCTGAACAAGGAGAAGGGCAAATCAGATACTTATGCTGATAAGGTTGTGTTGTTGGAGCAGACCTTGTCTGATCTTAAAGATGAGCTAAACAACGAGAAGGGCAAATCAGATACTTATGCTGATAAAGTTGTGTCGTTGGAGCAGACCTTGTCGGATCTCAGAGGTAAGCAGAACAAGAACAAGAACAAGAACAAGAAGCGGAAATTAAGCCGTAAATAAATTTCCCGAAAATTTGGTTATTTTTATAATTTCGGTTATCTGAGAGCAGAAGATGTCAAGACTTCGATCACTATGTGTTTTGGGATTCAGTGTCGTGAATGAACAAAAAGGTGGTAACAAAATCTTAGTTAGTTGAAGCTGTTTATTCAAAATGAGTGAAATACTGGTAACATTTGCGAACTGAGTATTATAAAAGAGAACTTATAACCATTTTATAACTTTGATTAAACAAATCTTGCGGACTAAACCGGCATGGACTAGGTCAAATTGTTTATGGAATTGATGAATCTAACATATTGCTAGCCACACTGCATTTATAGCAACGAAGCGTGAGTACAGAGGCTTATATTAATCTCTTTTTTTCAGACTCTCAACGCCATTGATCGTGGCTGAATCATCTAGGCTATTACTTTAAACACATGCTTAAAACATTAATCATTATATATTGTTAGAATTAATGACCATTTAATTTTCATATAACAAACAATAACAACATGTAGGAAAAAAAATCAAAACACTCACTAATCAACTAATCATGCATGTGGTCAAACAATTTTTTTAGTATATGTTGATAACATCAACGATATTATATATATAAATATATTACGTAACGCGGCTTGCATGCTTGCATGCACACTAATATTAGGAGATATAATTAATATCAATGTTAGAAATGTGTCTAATTAAACGGGTGTTGGAGATGAATATCATGTCTTAGTTTAAGCAAAAATTTTAGCTTTACGTGTAGTATAGTTTAGACAAAGCTCTTAGGGCCATTAATTTACTTGATTATTTTCTTAATTACAAACGATTACAACGATTCCAAAAACTTAAAGAAATATTCAGAACTTAACTGAAAAGAATTATAAGAAATTATAACTTAATCTATCCTTGCTCTCCGGAGAGCTTACAAATCTTACTCCGGTCCCGATTCATTAATACCTCATAGTTGTATCAGAAGCCTCTGCATAGCATGTGAAGATCATGTTCGGTTCTAGATTGTATCAACACAAAAAGGAAATAACACTCAAAATCAACTGGAGCAAAAAAAAAATGGAAATCAAAGAAAAAACCTAATTAAAGACAGATAGCAAAGAGGCACACGCTAAATCTATCCTATCCGGTTTTAGGCTTACATCTAATTTATCGGAGTATTTTACATCTTTTGTGCTTTTCTTTTTTTTTTTTTTTTTTTTTTACATCTTTTATGCTTTTCATTCTCAACAAAAATACAACCAAAGTAAAACCAATTTACGAAAAGAAATAAAAAGGAAAGCTCAGTTACAAGGCCAAGTATCATCTGAATATTCAGAGAGGTGCGAAGGACCAAGCTTCGCTAAAGCAGAAATTCATCACAGCTCAGTGCACCAGCCGGGAATTGAACCCGGGTCTGTACCGTGGCAGGGTACTACTCTACCATTAGACCATTGGTGCTATTTGCTTAAATCTGATAATATTCGTATTCTAAAGTTCATCAGCTAAACTTCTACAAACTTGAAAATTAATTAATACATTAATTTTTGATAGAGAATAGAGTGGAGGTCCTCGAGGAAGCCGGTGGATTTACATTTAAAAAAAAAAAAAAAATCTCTGATTCTCTGTTCGGTATACACTTTTAGGTTTTTTCTAAGCATTTTTGTATGAAATCTGGTGTTTTCTTTATAAAGGGACCTTAATATTAGAATGGAGAAGAAAGAAAGATCGTTCTGCAAATGGTATATATAATCTGATATTAGATTTGATGTTGTTTGGGTCTTTTAATTGGCACGAGGAAAATAATATAACTCTAGTGATAATGTGTTATAATGAACCAACAAAAGCGACAATAACCAACACACTCCATGATTGTTCCTAGACAAGTAGTACTACATTGATATCATATTCCAGCCTGCACGCCTAACTTGAAGTGTGTTACCTTCTATCATAATCCCATTTAGAGCTTCGCAAGCAATATCAGTCACTAAAGGATCTTCGTAAACACAGAACGCATATCCCTTTGAGTTTCCTGTTTCCCTATCTTTAACTAAGTTGAAACATCTTAAAGGACCAAAAGATGACTCCAAGAGTTGCTTGACTTGTTCCTCTGTGAAGTAATAAGGAAGCCCACCCACAAAAATGCGGCCCGAACCCTCACTCCCAGCAGTATCACTTGAAGACATCTTCTGTCGGAGAAAAGTTTTCTCTTCTCTCGACTAGTCTCCTAGAAACCAAGAGAACAGATAATTAGGGTTTTTACGGGAACAAGAAGTACTTTTTAATCAGATATGTCGCGAGTCTCTCTTTTTACAAGCAAACAGCTCTATTTATAATGGCATGTCAACTCCAAAAGCAAAATCACCGACACAAAAAAGGAAATAACACCCAAAAGCCTAATACTAAATGGTAAAAGCAAGAAACTGAAGAAAAAAAAAGAAAAAAAACGAAATCAAAGAAAAGGAAGAACATTAAAACACCTAATTAACTACAGAAACAGATGTACGTGAGCCACACGCTACATCATTGATGATTTGATCGCTTGCCGAGACAGACAAGCTTGCCCCTGGGACCTTTTGCCTGAAAGAGAATGGACCGGTATGTGACAACTTGAGACATTTGGTTAAGCAAACCGTATTGTCTCATGTCCCACGAGTTGATTAAAAAGGATATTCCTTATTTGGATAAATTCGTGGTTGTTAATTTTATTAATCAGGTTTCCTTATTGCTTTGAATTAGGATTTTGGAAAAAAAAAATCTATAAATACTGCTTACGGCCTATGGGTGAAGTATCCCATAACAAGTTTGAGAAAATTCGTCTTTTGCTTGAAGTAACAAAGATTATTAAGAATACATAAACCAAAAAAGCGTTTTTGAAGTAGAGATATGGAGGATCAAAAGCAAACGAGTTTCACGTTTGAGATAGATAACTTCTCGGAGAAGGAAGCTACGATATCATCACCAACATTCTCAAGCGGTGGCTGCGAATGGTAAAAGAATTTTTTGTATATATGTGTGTGTGTGTGCGCGTGCGCTTTTGATTTTTTTTTTCACGCTTTTGCTTTAACAAAATAACTTGCGTTTTTCCAGGTTTGTTAATGTTTATCCCAAAGGAAGTTATAATGTTGATGATCACTTGTCTATGTACCTCCAAGTTGCCAATCCTAAATCATTGAGACTTGGATGGAAAAGACGAGCTGATTATTCCTTCTTTCTGGTGAATCAATCAGGCCAAGAGCTCTTCAAAATAAATGGTAATTTACTTATTGGATGTTACATGTATTTGTATTTTTGTCGAGGAACAAAATTTTAATTTTTAATCTTTCTTGTTTTGGTGTGTACAGAATCGTTGAGCCAATTGTTCTGCGCTCAGTTCTCAGGACGGGGTATTGCAAAGGCCGTACCTCTTAAGAAGCTTCAAGAAAAAGGGTTTCTAGAGAAGAACAAATTGATAGTTAAAGTGGAAGTCAAAGTAGTTGAAGTTGTTGATCAAGGAAAAACAACTAGAAAAGAGACGATTGATTATAATGGTTTCCACGTTCTGAATTCTCAGGTATGATTAATATTTTATAGAGTTTTGTTTTTCTTCCTTTGTTTTCCCTTTTTTAGGGTTAAAATTGTTTCATCCTTCTCTCGTTGACAGGTTTATTCAGTGAGTCGGGTTTTGGTAGAACATCCTGACTTTGCAGAAAAGTTGAGATTTAAGAACCAACTGCTGAAGACAAGTTTCATGAATATCCTCCTCGGTCTCATCCAGACACTGGAAAAGCCTCCACATAGCACCTCTGAGACTGAGCTAAGCAACGCGCATAGCCAATTGATCGAGCTAACGGAAGCGGGTTTCAAGCTGGACTGGTTGAAGACAAAGCTTGCTGAGGTTACCTTGGAGAGGAAGAAATCAAATTCTGATGATTGTCAAGTCCAAGAACTCGAGGAACAAAACAAGAATGTCAAAGTTGAACTGAACAAGGGGAAAACAAAGTCTACTGCTAAAGTCGTATCACTGGAGCAGAAAGTGTCGGATCTTCAAAGTGATGATCTTAACAAGAAGACGGCCAAATCTGCTTCTCCTAAAGCTTTTTCGTTCAAGGATGTTGTTTACTTTTGGAATACCAAGAAGTAAAAGTGGTGATGAAAAACTACGCTGAAATTGTTTTTTTTATTACTTGGTGTTTTTGTTTTTGCTAATTAATAAATTCCGGATTTTAAACACGCCCCCCAGAGTTTCTTGTGCAGAACTTCTCTTTCTTTTAGTTATAGAAAAGAAAAAGTTAAACAGAAGATACTAAATTAATATGCAGAGATCATCGATCCTTTGATTCTTTGTTTTTGTCATCAGCATCACTTTTCCTTTAAAACTTAGCTTGAGTTTATATGTTACACTATCGTTCAGTTACCACTTCTGATTTCTGTCACTCGCAAATTAACATGTGTGCGTGATGCGTGAGACACAAGCTACATCATCATTGATGAATTGAAAGATGAGATCGATGCTGTAATAGAGACTAGAGTATACAACTCAGGTTATATTCGGTTTTAGGCTTGCATACATCTTAATTTAGCGAATTATTTTTACATCTTTTATGCTTTTGATTCTCGACCAAAGTAAAAATGCAATTTACGTAAAGAAATGACAAATTACAAAAAGAGAGCTCAGTTACAACGCCATGTAACATCTGAGTAATCAGAGAGGTGCGAAGGACCAAGCTTCGCTAAAGCCGAAATTCATCACAGATATCAGTGCACCAGCCGAGAATCGAACCCGGGTCTGTACCGTGGCAGGGTACTATTCTACCACTAGACCACTGGTGCTTCTTTGTTTATTCATGACACTTTCACACTTTGTCCAATATATACGCAATCATCAGCTCAACTTCGACAATCAAGAAATTTTGGATGAAGAATGGAAGACATCTTGCATGACTTGTTCCTCTGTCAAGTAACAAGGAAGCCCACCCACAAAAATGCGGACCGGACCCTCAAGCCCACCGGTATCAACTCGAAGACATCTTCTGTCGGAAAAAGGTTTTCTCTTCTCTAGATTAGTCTCCTAGGAACCAAGAGAACAGAGAATCAGATATGTCGTGAGTCTCTTTTTACAAGCAAACAGCTCTATTTATAATGACACTAGGTTACACCCCGCGCTACGCGCGGGTGGTGTTTTCAACGGTAAACACTCTGATTTCTAAAAATTCTTTTCAACTATGACAAACCTCGTATGGAGCAGGGCACGATTGTTGGATATTGGCTCATCAGTTCTCCATCGCCAACATATTATTCTCATATGTTGGATATTGTTGCATTGGACCGATGGAAAAACTTGACACCTGGCAGAGAAGAACCACTCCTGGATGAAATGGATACAGAGTTTCAAACCACACAATCATGCATATATCTGTATGAGCGAGCTTCCTTAGCCATATCTTGACTGTATCCAGTCCTCCAACTATGACATATAATCCTTGATCTGCCCACATTACATATATTCTTGCGTTTAGAATATTTCAGGAGATACCAAATGATCGAAACTGCACACATACACTACCGAAGTCAATAAAGATAACATTTGAAGCCTAACAATGCTGTTCAAAAAAAAAAAAAAAAAAAAAAAAAAAAAAAAGAAGCCTAACAAAATCATTTACAATCTCCTCTCCCTTTTTCTCTTACATCTTCGGTCAGTCCTGTACTAACCTCGCCGTCTATAAGGAGTGGGTACATGAATCCAAGAGAGATATTAGTTTATGGAAGCCCAAATTAAAATGACAAAGAATTAGCCTGTATGCTTTTTTATTTTATTTTTGCAGTCACGGACGAAATTATTCACATCAGCTTTGATCTATTTGTTAATTTTATTAGAAATAAAGTAATAAACACATCTACGCTCTATTTGTTAATTTCCCTTTTATTAATCAGGTTTCCTAATTGCTTTGGATTAGGATTTTGGAAAAACAAAATCTATAAATACGGTTTACGTATGGGTGAGAAGTATCCCATAACAAGTTTGAGAAAATTTGTCTTTTGCTTGAAGTAACAAAGATTATTAATTAAGAATACATAAACCAAAAAGCGTTTTTTGTAGTAGAGATATGGAGGATCAAAAGCAAACGAGTTTCACGTTTAAGATAGATAACTTCTCCGACAAGGAAGGTGCGATATCATCATCAACATTCTCATGCGGCGGCTGCGAATGGTAAAAGAAATTATTTATACATATATATATGTGTGTGTGTGTGTGCGCGTACGCGTACGTGCGCTTTTGATTTCTTAACTCATCTTTTGATTTAACAAAATAACTTGCGTGTTTCCAGGTACGTTGATGTTTATCCCAAAGGAAGTTATAATGTTGATGATCACGTGTCTATGTACCTCCAAGTTGCGAATCCTGAATCACTGAGACTTGGATGGAAAAGACGAGCTAGTTATTCCTTCGTTCTGTTGAATCAGTCAGGCATAGAGCTCTTCAGAAAAGATGGTAATTTACTTATCAGATCATGTACATGTATTTGTATGTTTGTCGAGGAACAGAATTTTAATTTAATCTTTCTGGTTTTGGTGTGTACAGAATCGTTGTGCCAGCTGTTCTGCGCTCAGTTCTCCGGACGGGGTTTGGTCAAGGCCGTACCTCTTAAAAAGCTTCAAGAAAAAGGGTTTTTGGAGAAGAACAAATTGATAGTTAAAGTGGAAGTCAAAGTAGTTGAAGCTATTGATCAAGGAAAAGCAACTGGAAACGAGACGTTTGTTTATAATGGTTTCCATGTTCGGTATACTCAAGTATGATTATTAATATTTTATAAAGTTTTGTTTTTCTTCCTTTGTATTCCCTTTTTCAGGGTTAAAATAGTTTCATCTTTCTCTCTGTGACAGGTTTCCTCAGTGAGTCGGCTTTTCGTAGAACACCCGGACATTGCTGTAAATTTCAGACCAATTTGCTATTCGGTGAAGACAACATACATGAATCTCCTCCTCAATCTCATCGAGACACTGAACAAGCCTCCACATAGCTTCACGGAAACTGAGCTAAGCAACGCGCATAGTGAATTGATCAAGCTAACAGAAGCGGGTTTCAAGCTAGACTGGTTGAAGACAAAGCTTGCTGAGGTTACCTTGGAGAGGAAGAAATCAAATTCTGATGATGATGATACTCAATTCCAAGAACTCGAGGAACAAAACAAGAATGTCAAAGTTGAACTGAACAAGGGGAAAAGAAAGTCGAGTGCTAAAGTCTTATCACTGGAGCAGATAAGAACAGAGAAACCAACAAAGCGTTTTTGTAGTAGAGATATGGAGGATCAAGAGGAGACGAGTTTCACGTTTGAGATAGATAACTTCTCCGACAAGGAAGCTGTGATATCATCACCAACATTCTCAAGCGGCGGCTGTGAATGGTAAAGAAAATATTATTATATTGTGCTTTTGATTTCTTAACTCATCCTCTGGATTCAGCAAAATAACTTGTCTCTGTTATTAGGGTTACAACCAAGCTTGATTTATCTGTCTCTCTTTTTTATTTCTTTCAGGTACGTTGATGTTTATCCCAAAGGAAGTTATAATGTTGATGATCACGTGTCTATGTACCTCCAAGTTGCGAATCCTAAATCATTGAGACTTGGATGGAAAAGACGAGCTGATTATTCCGTTGTTCTGCTGAATCAATCAGGCCAAGAGCTCTTCAAAATAAATGGTAATTTACTTACCAGATGTGTACATGTATTTGTATGTTTGTCGAGGAACAAAATTTTAATTTAATCTTTCTGGTTTTGTCTTGCAGATTCCTCGTGCCAATTGTTCTGCGCTCAGTTCTCAGGACGGGGTATTGCAAATGCTGTGCCTCTTAAGAAGCTTAAAGAAGAAGGGTTTCTAGAGAAGAACAAATTGATAGTGAAAGTGGAAGTAAAAGTAGTTGAAGTTGTTGATCAAGGAAAAGCAACTAGAAACGAGACAATTGATTATAATGGTTTCCACGTTCTGAATTCTCAGGTATGACTAATATTTATATAAAGTTTTGTTTTTCTTCCTTTTTTAGGGTTAAAATAGTTTCATCTTTCTCTCCGTGACAGGTTTATTCAGTGAGTCGGCTTTTCGTTGAGCACCCGGACATTGCAGAAAACTTGAGATTTAAGAACCAAGTGCTGAAGACAACTTGCATGAATATCCTCCTCGGTCTCATCCAGACACTGGACAAGCCTCCACATAGCATCTCTGAGACTGAGCTAAGCGACGCGCATAGCCAATTGATCGAGCTAACGGAAGCGGGTTTCAAGCTGGACTGGTTGAAGACAAAGCTTGCTGAGGTTACCTTGGAGAGGAAGAAATCAAATTCTGATGATGATACTCAAGTCCAAGAACTCGAGGAACAAAACAAGAATTCTGCTTCTCCTAAAGGTTTTTCGTTCAAGAATGTTGTTTACTTTTGGAATACCAAGAAGTAAAAGTGGTTATGAAAAACTAGGTTGAAATTATTTTTTATTACTTTGGTGTTTTTGTTTTTGCTAATTAAGAAGTTCCCGGATTTTAAACACTCCCCCCCCAGAGTTTCTTGTGCAGAACTTCTCTTTCTTTTAGTTATAGAAAAGAAAAAGTTAAACAGAAGATACTAAAGAAATATGCAGAGATCATCTCGATCCTTTGATTCTTTGTTTTTGTCATCATCATCACTTTTCCTTCAGAACTTAGCTTGAGTTAATATGTTACACTATACATTACTGATAACTATATAAATATAGCTTGATGTATAGATCGGATCCATTACAGTGAAGGAACTTCCACGCGCGTATCAATATATCTCGAAAGGTCCCTTGCGGTACAAGTTTTCTTTTAACGAATCTACTCAATTTGATCTCTGGAAAATTGTGATATCTTGTTTTAAGTTTTTAATAAATGCTGAAACATGTTCCAGTTTAGGGTTTTAAACAAAAAAAAATATGAGGAAATTTTGAAAAAAGATTCGAGTGGAACTTGATTTTGAACATATGAAAGCCTGAGTGTTAAGATTTTCCACGCTCTTGACATTGACTAGAGAAGATGGAAACCCATTCTCAACTAGTTAGTTTATGCTTTGTGGTTTCAGTTACCACTTCTGATTTCTGTCACACTACAACAAAGACAGCATTTACGATGCTTAATATAGGAGTTAACGTGGTTACTAAATGACTCGAAAATAATAACGTCAGTTGTAACATGCGATGACGTTAAATTTATGGGCGTCACTTTACCAAACGACGTATAGTTTTACGTCGATTTGGTTTTCATGACTTTTGTGTCGGTTATAAACTGACTCAAAAAAAACCCAGTCTTCCTTTGCGTCGTTTTTTTTTTTAACACTGGATTGACTAATATATTACAACGGACGATTCTACCATCTTTAAAGGCTCCCCGACCGACGGCTCCACGTGCACCATTCTGTAGATCTCCTGTAAGCTTGTCTCCAATAATTTGCATAAATTATTAGCAAATCGCATCCGCCGGGATTCGAAACCCAGACCTTCTGGTGTAGAATCATTAAATCCCTTTAACCACTAGGCTAAGGGGCTTCCACTCCTTTGCGTCGTTTGTTTAAATCCTTTGCGTCGTTTGTTTATTTATTTTTTTATTCTTGTTTTTATTATTAAAAATGTTTTATTAGCAATGCATAAAATAAATAAATTAACAAAAACATCGAAAACTTAACCAAATAACTGTTGCTTTCATTAAATAAAATATGTTTTACATTGCACATAACAATTTTTTTAAAAGTTAACCCATTGAAAAAACAAAAAACAAAAAACAAACATATCACTCAAGTTTCTTCATCCTGAATTCCTGATCTTGCTTATCGCTTCGAAACACCAAATCGTGCTCTGTTTCCTGAAGTAAACGGAGATGAAGAGATACAAGTTTGCCTTGTTCAAGCTTTTTCACCTGCAGTAACATAATGGTTTTAAATATCAACAATTGCACATTACTTTAAGCTTACTTGATCCTTTCCATTCCCTGAGATCGGTTATATACTTATATGGAATCTCAAAAACAAATGCAAGCAAGAAATTGAACATAGTAACATCAGCATATCCTTAGTGAGGCATTGCCTTCACGAGGGGCTGTTCATGAACAGCTCACAATCACAATATAATACTCTCAACCAAACTTATTCATGGCTTGAGAGCTCTTTATGCTTGTGTCCTTGTGTTTGTCACTTGAATTCTCAAATATTAAATCCACTATATACACACAATTGTCAGGAAAAGCTAACAACTTTAACCAGTATTTTTCACTTAATCTCTAGCAAGCATCTCATTTGTAACTAGAAGCTAAAAAGATACAAGAAAGTTCAGAAGCAAAATTACCTGGCAAGAAATAGATGCACTCTCTCATCAACTTTGCGAGGCCATTTGAACATTATGAAACACTTTCGAAGATTTTCTTATCATCTCCGAAAGAATCTGAACACAAAAAACATGAAAATAAAACTTTAAACTCCTATGCGTCATGTGAGTTTAATCATATGCGTCGATACTTCAAAATCTAATCGGGAGAGATAGGATCAACTGATTTTGAAGGAATCAGCGCAAACTCACGAGAAAGTAAACTGAGCTCCCAGATTTTTAGGTTTCCAGAAGCGACGAATTCGCACACACTTTCTGAGTGAGTACTGATAATTAATAGGTTTAGGTTTAGAGTTGGTTTCTTTAACCGACGCCAAATCGCTTCCAATTAGAAAATTTAACGTCGGTTTAATAAGTGACGTCTTTTTTGAAGTGGGATCACTCGCAAATTAACATGTGTGCGTGATGCGTGAGACACAATACATCAGCATTGATGAATTGAAAGATGAGATCGATGCTGTAATAGAGACTATAGAGTGATAAAAAAAAATGAAGATTTAAAGATTTTTTTTTATATACAACTCAGGTTATATCCGGTTTTAGGCTTGCTTACATCTTAATTTAGCGAAGTATTTTTACATCTTTTGTGCTTTTGATTCTCGACCAAAGTAAATGCAATTTACGAAAAGAAATGTCAAATTACAAAAAGAGAGCTTAGTTAGAAAGCCAGATATCATCTGAAGAATCAAGCCAGATTTTTTTTTATATACAACTCAGGTTATATCCGGTTTTAGGCTTGCTTACATCTTAATTTAGCGAAGTATTTTTACATCTTTTGTGCTTTTGATTCTCGACCAAAGTAAATGCAATTTACGAAAAGAAATGTCAAATTACAAAAAGAGAGCTTAGTTAGAAAGCCAGATATCATCTGAAGAATCAAGCTCCGCTAAAGCCGTAATTCATCATAGCTCTCAGTGCACCAGCCGGGAATCGAACCCGGGTCTGTACCGTGGCAGGGTACTATTCTACCACTAGACCACTGGTGCTTCTTTGTTTAGTCATGACCCTTTTTCCAATATATACGCAATCATCAGCTCAACTTCGACAATCAAGAAATTTTGGATGAAGAATGGAAGACATCTTGCATGACTTGTTCCTCTTTTTGATTATCATGGCTTCAGTAAACCTTTTCTTTGTTTACCGATTTGATTAGACTATACATGGATTCGATTTGTCTTTGCACCCACATCCAATTCTTGTGGTCTTACTATCTTCGAGATCATGTTCAGTAAAAAAACGACGGATCAAAAACTGATTGTGACTTGTCTTGTTCTCTTGCTAATTTATGGTTTCTCGCTTTGTCCACCAACTGTTTGCTAGAACTCCGGTTCGTTTGCAGCTAATGAAACCGCTGAGCCTATGGAGAGAATACGAAGCAAACTCTTCACTCAAAAGCCAAAGTTGTGATAAGCTTCAGATGATACTACAAGCTTTCGAATATGCAGAAACTAGAAGAGTTAGGTATTGTATTTTGTAAATCATAATCCAAAGATGTTATCAGTATATGGTTTAAAGGAAATACCAGGCAAGTACCGACACTAAAAAGGAAATACCGCGTTGAAACAGAGAGGGAAATAAGGTAATAAACACTTTTCTATTTGTTAATTTGTTAATTCTAATTTTATTCATCAGATTTCCAAAATTGCTTTGGATTAGGATTTGGAAAAACAAAATCTATAAATACGGTTTACGGCCTATGGGTAAAGTATCCCATAACAAGTTTGAGAAAATTTGTCTTTTGCTTGAAGTAACAAAGATTATTAAGAAATAGATAAACCAAGAAGCGTTTTTGTAGTGGAGAGATATGGAGGATCAAAAGCAAACGAGTTTCACTTTTGAGATAGATAACTTCACGGAGACGGAAGGTGCTATATCATCACCAACATTCTCAAGCGGAGGCTGCGAATGGTAAAAGAAATTATTATATATGTTTGTATGTGCGTACGTGCGTTTTTTATTTCTTAACTCATCCTGTGATTTAACAAAATAACTTGCGTTTTTTCAGGTACGTTGATGTTTATCCCAAAGGAAGTTATAATGTTGATGATCACGTGTCTATGTACCTCCAAGTTGCGAATCCTGAATCACTGAGACTTGGATGGAAAAGACGAGCTAGTTATTCCTTGGTTCTGTTGAATCAAGCAGGCAAAGAGCTCTTCAGGATAGATGGTAATTTACTTATCAGATCATGTACATGTATTTGTATGTTTTGTCGAGGAAGAAAATTTTAATTAATCTTTCTGGTTTTGGTGTGTACAGAATCCGTTGTGCCAGATGTTCTGCGCTCAGTTCTCGGGACGGGGTTTGGCAAAGGCCGTACCTCTTAAGAAGCTTCAAGAAAAAGGGTTTTTGGAGAAGAACAAATTGATAGTTAAAGTGGAAGTCAAAGTAGTTGAACTTGTTGATAAAGGAAAAGAAACTGGAAACAAGAAGTTAGATTATAATGGTTTCCACGTTCGGTTTTCTCAGGTATGATTAATTTTTAGGGTTAATATTTTATAAATTTTTGTTTTTCTTCCTTTGTATTCCCTTTTTTAGGGTTAACATAGTTTCATCTTTCTCTCCGTGACAGGTTTACTCGGTGAGTCGGCTCTTCGTAGAACACCCGGACATTGCAGAAAACTTGAGATTCAAGAACAACCTGCTGAAGACAACTTGCATGAATATGCTCCTCGGTCTCATCCAGACACTGGAAAAGACTCCACATAGCATCTCTGAGACTGAGCTAAGCAACGCTCATAGCGAATTGATCGAGCTAACGGAGGCGGGTTTCAAGCTGGACTGGTTGAAGACAAAGCTTGATGAGGTTACCTTGGAGAGGAAGAAATCAAATTCTGATGATGATGATACTCAAGTCCAAGAACTCGAGGAAGAAAACAAGAATCTCAAAGTTGAACTGAACAAGGGGAAAAGAAAGTCTAGTGATAAAGTCTTATCACTGGAGCAGAAAGAATCGGATCTTCAAAATGAGCTTAACAAGAAGAAAGCCAAATCTGCTTCTCCCAAAGCTTTTTCACTCAAGAATGTTTTTTACTTTTGGAAGACCAAGAGTTAAAGTGTTTATGAAAGACTAGACTGAAATTGTTTTTTTTAATTACTTGGTGTGTTTTGTTTTTGCTAATTAAGAAGATCCAGATTTTAAACACTCCATATTTTCAGATCTGATCCAGAGTTTCTTGTGCGAGAACTTATCTTTCTTTTAGCTATAGAAAAGAAAAAAAAAATAAACAGAAGATACGAAAGAAATATGCAGAGATCATCTCGATCCTTTGATTCTTTGTTTTTATCATCATCATCACTTTTCCTTCAAAACTTAGCTTAAGTTAATATGTTACACTATAGCTTGATAGATCGAATCCAATACAGAGAAGGATCTTCCACGCGCGTATCAACATCTCGAAAGGTTCCTTATGTTACAAGTTTTCTTTTAAAACGAATCTACTGAATTTTATCATTGGACCACTGGTGCATTTGCGATATCTTGTTTTACAAACTGACCTTTTAACTTTGCTCTATCTCCTTAAGTGCCCCCATCTTTTATTCATATAATATTTTCCTTTGCTTAGCTTAAACAGGATAATCACACCCATGTAATGTAAAACAGATACAACAAAATGAAGTCAGATTCTCAACAGAGATACTCAGATACAACAAAATGAAGTCCCACTAACACTAATACAGGTCCTTGGTTCTTCTGTGATTATATGTTCTTGGCCTCGAGAATTTTTTTATTATGCAAAAGGTCTTTTTTTTTATACATTCGATATCGGCCATGACGATCTCGCATCTAAAATCATGAATTAACGTCATGCGTACATAATAAAAAGAGCTGAGTTACAAGGCCAATTTATCTGAAGAATCAGAGAGATGCGAAGGACCAACCATCGCTTTAAGCCGAAATTCAGCACAGCTCAGTGCACCAGCCGGGAGTCGAACCCGGGTCTGAATCGTTGCAGGGAACTATTCTACCACTAGATCACTGGTAACCACATTAGACCACTGGTGAATTCGTTGATGCTCAGTCATTTGATAATCCCCTGTTAATTGATTCATTCATTCCGATTACGCATAAAAAAACTACTGATGGGACGGTGTTGCAGTAAAAAAAAATTAAAAGTTACACTCTTCCCTACACAAACGTTGCAGTGTAACAAAAGATTTGTCATTATTTTGTTGGATAATTCATAACTTGACAAGGAAACTATCTCAAGGATAAAGAATTCAAATAAGGTTTAGATATAGATCTTATATCTAGATAAGTTTTGTATACCTAATAAACTTAGGAGTCTATTTCTATATTTCTGTCATTCCATGAGACTCAAGAGAAGAAGTTTAGTTTTGAGAAGTTTCTAAATCTAATAAAGGAAAGTTCTCTTTTTATAACTCTAAAGTCTATATACTATCGACTTGATATTTTTTTGTCAGAAAGATTTGTTATTATTTTTTATATTTTTTGCTCCCACCTCATCAGTTTCCTTTCTCTATTTCAGTTACCTAAACCCTTAATCTTTCTCTTCTCTGTTTCTCTTTGCCATCGATCAAATTCCAGATTTTGTATCTCTGCTAAGCTTAGGAGCTTCTACTTGGTGAGTCGTTCGTTTTTGGGTTTAAAGTGTTTTTGTAGAGAGATATGGAGGAACAAAAGCATACGAGTTTCACTTTTGAGATAAATAACTTCTCCGACAAGGAAGGTTTTATAACATCACCAAAATTCTCAAGCGGCGGCTGCGAATGGTAAAGGAAGAGATTATATAGTTATATACATATACATAAGTTTTGATTCTTAACAACTCAATCATCTAGATAAAAACAAAACAACTTGTCTCTATAAAGCGTTTAGTTAATCTGTTTTATTTTATTTTTTCAAGGTATGTTGGGGTTTATCCCAAAGGATATAATGTTGATGATCACTTGTCTCTCTACCTCCATGTTGCGAATCCTGGAACATTGAGACTTGGATGGAAAAGACGAGCTAATTATTCCTTCCTTCTGTTGAATCAATCATCAGGCAAAGAGCTCTACAGAACACCTGGTAATTTACTTACCAGATGTTCGTGTATATATATGATTGATTTGTCGAGGAAGAAAGTTTTAATTTAATGGATCTCTCTGGTTTTGGTTTACAGAATCTCCTTGCCAATTGTTCTGCGCTCAGTTCTCATCATGGGGTAGGCCAAAAGCCGTATCTCTTAAAAAGCTTCAAGAGAAAGGGTGTTTGGAGAAGAACAAACTGATAGTTAAAGTGGAGATAAAAGTAGTTGAATGAGACGTATGATTACAGAGGTTTGCACGTTCTATATTCTCAGGTAATTTTAGTATCTTGTTCTTTCTTTTCTTTCTTTCTTTTTTTGATTTTCTGGTTAACATAATTAGTATATTTCTCTTGATGACAGGTTGTTTCAGTGGATAGGCTTTTCAGAGACCACCCGAACATTGCAGTGAATGTCCGACCAAAGAACCAATTGGTAAAGACAACATACATGAATCTCCTCCTCGCTCTTATTGATACGCTGAACAAGCCTCCACATAGCATCACCGACACTGAGCTTAGCAACGCTCAGAGCGAGTTGATGGAGCTAACAGATGCAGCGGGATTCAAGCTAGACTGGTTGAAGACAAAGCTTCATGAGATTTCCTTGGAGCGCAAGAAAGCAAATGCTGATGGTTCTCGAGCCCGAGAACTCGAGGAACAAATCCAGAATCTCAAAGCTGAACTGAAAGAGGAGAAGCTCGAATCCCATACTTGTTCTGCTAAGGTTTTGTCGTTGGAGCAGACAGTGTCGGAACTTAAAGATGAGCTGAACAAGGAGAAGGGCAAATCAGATAGTTATGCTGATAAGCTTGTGTCGTTGGAGCAGACAGTGTCGGATCTTAAATATGAGCTGAACAAGGAGAAGGGCAAATCAGATACTTATGCTGCTAAAGTTGTGTCATTGGAGCAGACCTTATCGGATCTCAGTTCTAACCAAAACAAGAAGCGGAAAGTAACCCGTCAAGAATTTTCCCGAGCATTTGGTTATTTTAGTTCTTAGAGCAGAAGATGTCAAGAATCTGACTATGAATTTTGGGATCCAGTGTCGTGAATGAACGAAAAGATGGTGACAAAATCTTGGTTAGTTGAAGAATATATTATGAAGATGTGTTTATTCAAAATGAATGAAATCTGATAACATTTGCGAACTGAGTTTTAAAACAAGTCATTAGCCACACTGATCAATTTTAGTACTTAATTCATACAGTTAAAAAGACAATGGACATGTGAAGTGGAGACACATCAATTAAAATTTGTAAATTTTCAAACAAAAAAAACATGAAATGAAAAGGAGAGCTCAGTTACAAGGCCACTAACTGAAGAATCAGAGAAGTGCGAAGGACCAACCATCGCTAAAGCCGAAAGTCATCATAGCTCAGTGCACCAGCCGGGAATCGAACCCGGGTCTGTACCGTGGCAGGGTACTATTCTACCACTAGACCACTGGTGCTACTTGTTTAGCTATAACCCTTTATTCAGTATATACTCTATCATTAGCTCAACTCGGACAGTAAAAGTTATTTTTCTAATGTCTTTGACAGTGTGGCGCAGGCAAACTTCCACACGCACGCTTTAAGGTTTCTTCTAAACATTTTGTCTATAAACTGGTGTTTTTTAATTGGTAGGAGGAACATTATATAACTCTTAAGTGTTGTTTTTAAACAAATACCAACAGACCTTAATCGTGGCTAGACAAAGTACTATTGCAGTCATATTCTAGACAAACAAATATCTCCTACATTCAGTAGAGAGAGACCTAAAACACGTTAAAAGATAAACAAAAAGATCCAAATTTTGTTTCTAAGAGATCCACACAAAGTAAAACAACAAGACAGACAATTATAGATTTCAGCCTTCGTAGTCTCCTTGCACATACTTGTCTTCAGGGTAATACACAGCCACCACTTGGTTCCCTCCAAATTTCCTTCCGTTCATCCCCAATCTCGCCTTTGCCGCACCATCCACATCCGCATACTCCAAGAAAACCTGCATTGATACAACATTAGCCTAATGTGTTTCTCAACTTAATTGGTAAAAAAAAAAACAAACTGATTCTGAGAGTTGAAACCGAACCTTTCCAACTCCTGGTGTAGGATCATGTTCCGGATTAGGCCTCGGAATCACAACATTCACCAAGTTACCGTATTTGCCACCTTCTTGTCTCATGTCCTCCATTATGTCTTCATACTCTGCATCGTCTCCAAGATCTTCAGCTTTCACCACTTCCGTCAAGCAGACAATCTTCGTCGGCGTGGCTCCTGGTTGCAGCATAAGCCTCTGCTACAGAAATCAAGACAGAGTTAATAAGTGATCTTCAAAAAGTTTTATATATATATAGACGAAGCAAGAAACCTTCACCTGCAAAGCAATCTGCTGTTGGGCATGAAGTAATATTTCTTCTTGCTCGGGTTTAGGTTGGATAGCTCCTTGGATTGCACGCCGAACGGTAAGCGTTTTATCGCCCATCTTAATCCCGTTTAGAGCGGCACACGCGATGTCAGTTACCGAAGGGTCTTGGAAAACACAGAAGGCGTATCCTTTGGAGTTTCCTGTTTCTCTATCTTTCACCAAGTTGAAACCTCTTAGGGGTCCAAAAGACTCCAAGAGCTCCCTGATCTGTGCCTCTGTGAAGTAATAAGGAAGCCCACCCACAAAGATCCGGTCCGGACCCTCGAGCCCACCCGTAGACCCGGAAGATAATCCGACAGCCGCCAAGTTGAGATTGGGATTAGGCTGGCTTGGACCGAGAGTTGCAGCAAGGGCCGGGTTGTAATCAGTTGGCCTCCTCACCTTTACAGGAACCCCCTCCAATATGATGCCATCTAGTGCCATTGCGTTACTCGCTTCTTCCACAGATCTCATCTCTACAAAAGCGAACTTCTTTTCATGGTTTATATAAACATTGACCACTGCGTCACCTGGCCCAGCAGTGTTTCCTCCAATGGCCGACATCACTTGGCTGAAAAACGTTGCCACCGACTAGAACATGAAAAAAAAAAACATTCTCAGTAGTCATACAATGGAAATTGTCAAAAATTGTGGTTTTAAACAAACGATAATAGACAAGAAAAGTAACAAACCTGTTCGTTTGCAATGGGTGAAAGACCACCAACATAGACTCGTCGAGCATGCCTAGTTGCCTGTGATCATAACACATTCTTGGTAAGGGAATCTTGACAAAAAAGTGAAGAGCCTAAGTGAATAAGAAAGGTTTGACGGAACTTACCTGCTGAGTCATTGCTTGAACTGGCATTACAGGAAGAGCGCCTAGCTGCTAGGTGAGAAGTAAGAATGAGAGAAGTTATGACTTTGATCAGAGAGAGAAAAACTAACAGCTACAATTATATAGAATATGTGGTTAAAGGGTTTCTAAGAGTTTCTAAGAGTTTTGGTGCTTTTCCTTTTTATATTAGGTTTAAGTTTTGGATTTTCCTTTTCCTTTTTATATCAGGTTTAAAGTGTAAAGGTCTCGTATGATCAATAAACTTATTCTCTAAGAGAGAGTAGGCTTAAAAGGAAACTTAGCCTAAAATCTTTTAACTCTTTCTCACGTGAACAAAGTTTATATCATTTCATAATAAGAGAGTAAGAGAGGAAAACGGTGTGTGGTTCATACCTGACCAGGGATGGTTGGGAACATGTTGGGGAACATTCCTGGAATAGTAGCATTGGTTGGCAAACTAGGGACCTGGGCTGCTTCAACAAATAAAAAACACATCAGATCGTTCGTCAGAAACTATTATTTTTCCTGACGAGCAGACGTACCAACAAGTACAAAGCTATAGATAACATTCCTAGCAACAAAACCCGCAAGTGCAGAATATCACAACATCTTATGAATACTAAAAGATGAATGTGAGGCTAGAAAACAGGCATATAGTTGCCAGACGAAGATGAAGAATACCAATGACAACCGTTGCACAGATTCCTCCTTTGTACAATTTAAAGCTAGAGAGAGGGTCGTCTCACAGTGGGGCAACTAACCCAACATAGCCTTCTTACTACAAAGATAAGACACAAAAACAAACAAACACCACCAAAGAAAAAACAAAACAAGAAAAGTTTCTCAGTTCATAAATTCCACCATGCAACCAAAAAAAAAAAAAAAAAGTAATACATCCTATGATATGAAGAGAGCAAAACAAACAAACAAACACCATTGAAATGCAGCTTACCAAAGTCACAGCGTGTAATTGATTATCATCTTTCCAAACTACGTAAAACCAAAAACAACAAGCAGTTAAAGAAATATAATCACGTTGACTAGTTGATCAAGCTTATACCTGTTGCAGCAGCAACAGCAGTAGCGGCTAACATTGCGGAAGCAGGAGGCGCCATATCAAATCCACTTATCCTCTTGCTGATATAGAGTAAACAAAGTGGTCAGAAATCAATGGATACACAAACATAAACATCCAAAACCTTGATATTCTTTAGATTAGTTCAAATATAACAGAGAATTGTGTACCTCTTAGACCGTGAGCGTGAACGTGATCTATGTTCAGACCTCTGCCTATGTTCTGATCTTGACCTACGATCAGAGCGGCTCCTTGAGCGAGAGCGAGACCTCCTTGACCGAGACCTTCTTGAACGAGAGCGAGAGCGTGACCTCCTCGAACGAGAGCGTGACCGTCTCCTGTGTCTCTCCTCTCTCTCACGATCGCGAGACCTCCTCTTGTCACGGTCTCGACTTATGCGATGATCATCATCGTCCAAATCATCTCTCCGGCGTCCCCTTCTCTCACTACGCTCTCTGCTACTACGGTCCCTATAACGGCGATCTCGTTCCCTCTCTCTATCTCTGCTCTTCTCCCGTTCACTGTCCTTCTCTAGATGCCGTTCTCTGTCTCTATCCTTGTCACTTCTTGGAGATTCCTTTGCAAGATAAGGAGACTCCTGCTGTGAAACAAATGTCAAAATCTATCTCCATAAGTACATAATGAAACTTGACATCATCGTGTAGCTAATATCATAGTCTAAAATCAGAGAACGCCTTTAAAAGCCAATTTTTTCCAGAAACAGAATTCAACGAAACGAGTGAATTTGTACCAAATTTCAACAGAGAGAAGACTAGTGGAGACGAAATTGGAACTCAGGAATCCTAAATAACACTCTTAACACAGCAAAATCGAAAAAGCCACTGAATCGAACAAAATAGCATGAGTAAGATAAAGTATACATACTCGAGATTTGGGGTTTTCGTGACGGTCCTCGCCACCAAGAGACGGATGAGGCGAGCTCTCCAGAGCTATGTAGTTCTCGTTGTCGTCGTGGTGGTTGTAGTTGTGGTTGTTGTTATCGGTAGCGACAGCGACGCCGTCGCCATTGCCTTCGTAACTCATTCCTCCGTTAGTAATCAATTGCTTCTCCGATTGAATTTTCTGATTGTATGAAGAAGGATGAAGAAAACCCTAGGGGATTCTATGAGTGAATTAATGGCGAAACCGAATTGTATGAAGTTTCTAGGAGGAAGAAGGCTGAGGGTATTATGGTAAATTGATGAGAATGGTTTCGGTGTTTCATCTGACGAAAACGGGCCTTACACCAATGGGCATAATAAGAAGTGCAAATTTACAAATCACGGTTCTCATTATGATTAATGGGCCTTTCATGGACCTGTATTGTGGTGACACCACATTTTCATTCTCAAACGAACTTAAAATTAGATAAGTTTGCTAATTAAAACGATTGCAATAACTAACGAAGTCAAAGCCATGACAAAAATCCTATTTTTGCCATTTAAAACGTTCAGAGAAACTGATTAAAATTGGAATCACAACAGAAAGATTCGTAAATATAATCCATCAACTCAAGAAATGAACATTTCAACCAATAAATCATTATGAAAAGCGTCTGATAAGTAATGAAATGAAACGTTTTGTATATTTGAAAATGGTTTTGGCATGTGTCAATTCTAATAATTACTAGTATGATTTTGTCTTTCTGCCTTTCTTGAATATTCCTTTCGAAAAGCGTCTGATAAGTAATGAAATGAAACGTTTTGTATATTTGAAAATGTTTTGGCATGTGAATTCTAATAATTACTAGTAGATTTTGTCTTTCTGCCTTTCTTGAATATTCCTTTCGAAGAAGGATTCTGCTGTGAAAAAATCAAGGCTTCTCAATGTAAGTACGACGAAAAGTAGAATGCAAATGATATCTTCGAAAAGTAGAATGCAAATAATATATCTCTCCTTATTTGAAATGATCGATTGAACTTTGCATAGCCAGAGTCTCCCCCACCAATGAAAGGAAGGCTCTAGGGAAACATAATAGGGGAACATAATATGCCCAAAGCCTACCAACCTACCTTTACAGTATGTCATTAGTTAATGAGATGCATGATAGCTCCTAAAAGTATTGTCTTTATTGTGGAGAACAAAGTACTATAAAGATTTTAGGAGCCCATGCATTAACCTAGAAAAAAACATTGTCTCACTATTATTAATGGGCTTAACAATTTTAATTTAATTTTCTTGTATCCCAAAGAAAACATATAGTTTCATTGGTATTATTTGCATTCTGCGTTTCTGCTATAAATAAAATCAAATGCATAAATTAGAAAACCTATCACATTTCATCCATATAAAGTTTCTAAACTGAAAAAGTTTGTCACCACTATTTTATAGGTAATAATGAAACGTAATAACCATCCTTTCTCGATAAAGAGAGACACGTGCGAAGGTGACCCATTAGATTGCTCACCCATATTTGTTTCAACCTGTATAACATATCTTCAGCTTTGTTTAAGACAATATTTGGTTGACTAGAGCATGAGAGCCGAGAGATGCATGAATGATGCTAGATTGCTAGTGAAGAAAAAGGGTAAGAGGGGGAGGAAAAGAGAAAGATATAGACGATAGATGTGACATTGACAAATGATAGAAAGCGATGAAAATGGGGTGAAAAAATAATAACTTTTCTTTTGTTGGATTAAAAGAGGTAAAGACAACATAAAGTTGTATTATTAACAATCCTATTTTCAGTATATTGTTTTGGAATTTAATTTGGTAATAATAGAACTAAATAATGTTATAAATTAAAAAAAGCTACCGTATTGTCACAATCCTAATTCCAACAACTTGCAGACTAGAATCTTACTTCAATAAATTGGACCCAAGATAGCATATACTTATTATTATGAAAAAGAAAAAGAAAAAAAACTCGATAGTTTATTAGACGGATGTGCTAATCATAGTCACAATCCTATATCTCACTCTAAAAAACAAACAGTTGTTAGATGTAATGTGCTGATTATATTTTAAAAAGGTCATCGTGAATAGGAATGATCCTTCGTGTGGTGGGTGGGGAACGAATCAGAACCATATTAGAGAAATAACTGTTTAAAAAAATGAGATTAAATTAGGCTAAACAATATTTTAATTAGGTGATTAATCAAGGTAAGATCTTGATACTTAGCAGCGAGAAGTACGGCAAGGAGAGGGACAAATTAAAAGGCAGAAAACAGAAGAGGGCCACTCTCTTTTTTTGTCTCGATGCGTTACGTGACAACCACATCACCTCGTCTTTCAATATTTTATACATACTTTCTTCGCAATCACATGCAAATTCTTCTGTTTTCAATTCATTATTTCGTCTTTTTCCTTTCTAACAACTATTTCAATTCTTTTATAAAACTTGTTTAGACTTTTATTAAACAACCTGAAGTTGTTAAATCATTGTTTATATTCTTGTTTATATCAGAAGAAAAGACAGGAATGATCATATTTTATCTACTGTTTACCGTTTACTTTTGGAGTTTTCGTCTTATTTATAGATATGTCGACGAATAAAAACACATTATTGTAAAGAATTTCGTACGCATTTTGTGAATTTGGAGAAGAAAAAAAAAAGCACGTATATTATGGATATGACGTAAAGGGGGAGTGCATTAATTTGAAAGCATATTCTTTTGTACGTCTCTTCGAAGATATTCAATAACAAAGAGAGTTAAAGTTTTTTCTTTTCAAAGAGAAATTTTGTAAGACAATACTTTTGTTTGATTTGTTTGTTTTCTTCTTCAGAATCTAAGTCAACCTAAATTTTCAAAGTCGAATGGAAATGTCCACATTTAGAATTCATTCAAAAACAATTAATCGAATCTAGTGATTCTATATTGAAAACGATTTATTTGAATATCAAATCAAAATTTGCGTAGCTTTCTTATACGGCTCAATTATCAAAACTAGACTGGTTTTGTTTAAACTAAATTATAAATAGTATATTATTGAGATGCAATGATAAATGATGTGAATTGTGATCGATTTTTTTTTTACAATATATCAATTTCTAAATCTAGTAAAGTATTTCAATCAGATATATGAAAGTAATATTATTCGAGCTGTCGTCTTTCATGCATTTTATACGACAGCTACACCATCTAATTTTCAACATTGTTGAATTTCTTTCTATATGATGTCAAACTTTGATTGGTTTGTAGCTATTTCTCATATACGATGATGAACGAACATAACGCTGGATTTGGTTTTGTACTGTAGTATAGTTTCCCATATGCTATGATGCATGAGAGACGCTTATACTTTTTCAATTATAGTTTTGAATGAAAGTTATCATTGGATGCTTCGAACGTTGAACTATATAGAAATAGAGAAATTGATAAAGAACCTAAAGTATTCGGATGCGATGTTTGTCTTTTTGTGTTTGGTCATGTTCGGTTGAGTCCAGATATTAATTACACAAGTTCGGTGACAATTAAAGTCAGATTTGAAGAAACGGTGACAATTGAAGTCAGATTTGAAGAAACTACAAACCAAATTTAACGAATATGAATTCACTTTTATATGCGGATGCGAATCTGTAGAACTTGTTAATATAGGTTGATTTCGGAGGAAAATAGAGCTGTGAAGGGTTGAGAGACTTAGGTACTGGAGCCCATAGTGATTTTTATTACGATATTGGCAATATTGAATCGTATCTTCTAGATGTATATTGTGTGTATCATACTTTAGGTATGTTTCCATTTATCTTTATGTAAACCCTAAAATGTTAGGGCGGTTAATCTCTTGTATATATAGAGCCTCTTGGCCGATCAAATAAATCATCAGAAAATCTTCTTTACGTCTTGGTTTCTGACATGGTATCAGAGCTTACACGATCCTAAAGACTCTGTTTCTACTCTTCTTTCCTTACTTTTCTTAACCTTCTTCTTCGATCTCTCTTACTATCGTTGAAGTTTTCTTTTTGTTCCACTCATCATAACTGGAAAAGACACGCTAAGTGGTGCATCGACAGAAACTAACGATGGTCCCAAAACGCCCGGTGTTTCATCATCCTCTGCCGTGCCCAACACGAAACCTAGTGAACGAGTTGAGATCCGACGTACGATCTCGCCTTATGATCTTACCTCCAGTGATAATCCCGGCTCAGTGATATCACAACCTTTGTTGAAAGGGTGGAATTACGATGAATGTTCTACCAATATGTGTGTTTCTCTCTCGGCTCGGAAAAAGTTTGGATTCGTTGATGGTACAATTCCAAAACCGAGTGAGGAATCCGGTGATCTTGAAGATTGGTGGACTAACAACGCTCTTGTTGTTTCATGGATCAAACTAACAATTGATCCTCCGTTACGTACATCGATCTCTCATCGCGATGTTGCGTACGATTTGTGGGAAGCTATTAAGAAGCAATTCTCTGTTAAGAACGGCCAGAGAGTTCAGCGACTTAAAGTTGAATTGGTGACTTGTCGTCAACGTGGCTCAACCATTGAAGAGTACTATGGCAAGATGATGAGTCTCTGGACGTCCTTGGCAGATCATCGTCAAGCTAAAAATTGTGGTTGTCCTCTTGGTTACGATTTGGAGAAAGAACGTGAAGAGGACAGACTTCATGAATTTTTTATGGGCATTGACGAGTCTGTTTACAGTGCAGTAAAGTCCAATCTTCTCTCTAGAGATCCTCTCCCATCTCTTGACGAAGCATCTTAATTCAAGATGAAGACTCCAAGAAAGCTGCGAGAGCTTTTGATGACCGCAATGAAATAATGGCTTTTGCAGTACAGAATTCTTCTCGTTCTGTAACCATGAGTCATGAAGATCGACAACGTCTTCTCTGCTCTAGCTGTGGGCGTAATGGTCATGTAGCCGAGAACTGTTTTCGCACTCCTGGCTATCCTGATTGGTGGGGTGATCGTCCCAGAAACAAGAATACTCTTGGTCGTGGCGGTGGAAACTCAACGAGTCGTGGAACCTCAGCGTGTCGCGCTCCGTCCACCAATCAAGCACCTCCAGCTCGTGCGAATGCTGTCACTACCTCCGATCGTCTCGGTTTCAGCGGACTAAATGATGAGCAGTGGAAGTCGTTGGTTGAATTTCTTGATCAACGTAAGAAACCTCCCACTGATCGCTTAACGGTACGTTTTTTCTTTCCTCCTGGATTGTTGATACAGGAGCTACGAATCATATGACTGGTTCACTTGATTATCTTACGGATCCTCATGATATGGCTCCTATGTCAGTTAAATTACCGGATGGACGATTTACTGTTGCTAGTAAACAAGGTTCAGTTCGTCTAGGATCTCATCTCACACTTCAGAACGTGTTATTTGTGGATGGACTACATTGCCATCTGATTTCAGTGTCTCAGTTGACTAGGGAACGGACTTGTGTTTTACAGATTACTGATGAGCTTTGCATTATTCAGGACCGCATGTCGAAGAACCTGATTGGGGCGGCTGAGCAAGCTCGTGGATTATACTTTTTTCGAGAGATTGAGGCAGTAGCGGCAGCATATCAGATGGAGTTTGCTTCTTACGACATCTGGCACAAGCGCCTAGGACATCCCTCTTCAAAAGTCATGGATCTTTTATCGTTTTCTAGTTCTGGTTTTGATAAACATAGTTTTTTATCTAAGACGTGTGAGACTTGTTTGAGTGCCAAGCAAACACGAGATGTTTTTTCTACTAGTATCAATAAAACAAATGATTTGTTTCAATTGGTTCACGTTGACTTATGGGGTCCTTACCGGACGACTGCTCTTTGTAGAGCTCGCTATTTTCTTACAATCTTGGATGATTACTCTCATGGACTATGGTTATACTTACTTCCGTCTAAACATGATGTTTCCAAAACGATAAAGAACTTCATTGCTTTAGTGGAACGCCAATTCGACAAAACAGTAAAGACAGTTCGTAGCGACAATGGCTCGGAGTTTGTTTGCTTATCCGAGTATTTTCGTGAACACGGGATTATTCACGAAACTTCTTGTGTTCACACTCCACAACAAAATGGACGAGTGGAGCGTAAACATAGGCACATACTTAATATTGCTCGAGCCTTGAGATTTCAATCTCATTTACCGATTGAGTTTTGGGGAGAATGCGTCTTAACTGCGGCTTATCTTATCAACCGCACACCAACTCCGCTGTTACAAGGAAAAAAACCGTTTGAGCTGATACATAACAAAACCTCCTACTCTTCATCATTTACGAGTATTTGGCTGTCTTGCTTTTGCTCATAGTAAGAATATCAGCGGTGATAAATTTGCATCAAGAACTACCAAGTGTGTTTTTATTGGTTACCCATATGGGAAAAATGGTTGGAAGCTTTACAATCTGGTTACTGGCGTGACATTTTCTTCCAGAAATGTTGTGCTGATTTTCCATATCCTATACCTACACGAACAGAGAAAGTTCCTCTGTTTTCTCCGAATTTGGCTGAGGATTTTATTGGGAATCATCCTCTCCTTGAATGGCCCGACTTACCTGACTCCACTGATGCTCCAGTCTCGTTAGATACATCACTGGTTTTGCCTACATCTCCATCTTCTGCTGTTCCTTCACCTGCAGAAGAACAACCTGCAGTTTCTGATCCTCATGATTCACCTCAGACCTCTGTTTTACCTGATTCTGTTTTGGAAGAAACTAAGATTACCACAGACAGGGAGGGAGATGCTATTACAGAAAGGGAGGGTGATGTTTCTTCTCCTGCTCCTGAAGTGCTTGGTCGAGGTCGTCGTACACGTCATTTGCCTACCAAACTTCACGACTATGTTCTCCAAACTACAGCATCTCCTCCGCTGACTTTTGATGAAGCAAGTTTTGCAATTACCAACTATATCGATTGTGGGCAATTCTCAGAAGCTCACCGTGTTTATTTGGGTTGCTATAACAGCAGGTATTGAACCTGTTTATTATTCTGATGCATGCACAGACGAGAATTGGTGTGAAGCAATGAGACAAGAGATTGAAGCATTAGAGGAAAATCAGACTTGGACTATTGAAACTTTACCGAAAGGAAAAAAGGCTATTGGAAGCAAATGGGTTTATAAGTTAAAGTTTCATGCTGATGGTACTCTTGAACGCTATAAGGCACGTTTAGTTGTTCTTGGTAATAATCAGATCGAAGGTGAGAACTTTAACGAGACTTTTGCTCCTGTTGCAAAAATGACATCGATTCGTTCATTTCTTCAAGTTGCGGTTTCTCGTAATTGGGAGATTCATCAAATGGATGTTCATAATGCATTTTTACATGGAGACTTGGAGGAAGAAGTCTACATGCGTTTACCATCAGGTTTTAGAGGTTCCAATAAATCTAAAGTATGCCGACTACGCAAGTCATTGTATGGCTTACGTCAAGCTCCGCGTTGTTGGTTTGCGAAGCTATCTACGGCGTTAAAAGAGTATGGTTTTACTCAATCTATTTCCGATTACTCACTGTTCACGAAGGAAACTAGTTCATCACGGCTTCATGTCCTCGTTTATGTTGATGACCTTATTATTTCTGGAAGTTCTTTAGCAGTGATCTCAGAATTTAAGGAATATTTGAGCTCTTGTTTCCACATGAAGGACTTAGGTATTCTTATATACTTTCTGGGTTTAGAAGTTGCTCGTAGTCCTACTGGTATCTATCTTTCTCAAAGAAAGTATGTGTTAGATATCCTTACTGAAACTGGGATGCTTATGGCAAAACCTTTAGCTTTTCCGATGGATCAAAACCATCGCTTAGCCTTGGCAGATCGCCCTACTATCGATGATCCCACTGCTTATAGACGTCTGGTTGGGCGGTTTATTTACCTCGGAGTCACTAGACCTGATCTCGCCTATTCAGTTCATATACTTAGTCAGTTCATGGAGGCTCCAAAACAAGCTCATTGGGATGCAGCTCTCCGTGTAGTTTGGTACTTAAAAGGTACTCCTGGCCAAGGTATACTTCTACGATCGGATTCGCCCTTATCTTTGATTGCTTGGTGTGACTCAGACCACGGAGGTTGTCCTCGCACTCGTCGCTCTCTCACCGGTTGGTTTATTCAGTTAGGCCAATCCCCCATTTCTTGGAAGACACAAAAACAGAGAGTTGTTTCTCTTTCATCGGCAGAAGCAGAATATCGTTGTCTTTCGGAAACAGTTAAGGAGATTTTGTGGTTAAAAGAGTTGTTACTTGATCTCGGTGTTACACATACAGGTCCTATTCCGGTTTACTGTGATAGTCTTGCTGCCATTCATCTTGCAGCTAATCCAGTCTTTCATGAAAGAACAAAACATATTGAAAAGAATTGCCATTTCATTAGAGATGAGATAGTCCAAGGCACCATCGTCACCCACCATGTTCCTACACAAAATCAGCTAGCTGACATTTTTACTAAAGCTCTTGGACGAAAAGAGTTTACTTCGTTTCTTGGCAAGTTGGGTATTTTGGATCTTCATACGCCAACTTGAGGGAGGGTATTACGATATTGGCAATATTGAATCGTATCTTCTAGATGTATATTGTGTATCATACTTTAGGCATGTTTCCATTTATCTTTATGTAAACCCTAGAATGTTAGGGCGGTTAATCTCTTGTATATATAGAGCCTCTTGGCCGATCAAATAAATCATCAGAAAATCTTCTATACGTCTTGGTTTCTGACAATTTTTGGTCTGAAACTTGCAGGAAAACGGAGGTCGCGGAGATGAAGAGCTTGCACGACGGCGATGGAAACCAAGTCGTCTTCGAGAAGACGGAGAAAACGATGTGGTTTTTTTTTTTAATTAATTTGTCATTTTTTTTAATGCTATGAATACTATCTCTTCATCTCATGACCGCCAAATCGTGTTTTTTTTACTAAGTGTTGGCGCTTAGTTGATAAAATGGGCGGATTATCAAGTTTTAATTTCGCGCTTCTATTTTTTTGTCATAGCATATGGATAATGCTATAATAACGTCACCCCAAACACAAATTCCGGTTTAATAGCAAACAGCGAAAATGTGCTATTGTGATATGCTATGAATGCCCATATTTGTTGTAGTGGTGGCAGTGGGTGGACTCTCCATTTAGCAGCGCCTGCCTTGCCGCAACGTTCTTCAGTGGCGGAGCCTTCATCGTCGGGGCGAATCAAGTAGTTCGCATGGTGGTTTCACCTATGATGGTGGTGGTCCGGTGATCCGGAATCCAGCTTCGTTTTGACTGGTCGGAGAGCGAGTGCAGGACGGCTGAGACGACAACGGTCGTGGTGAGTGGAGGAGGCAGCATCGGCTGCGAGGCGACGGAGATTGAGGCGGCGAGGCGGCGTTAGGGCTTCGAGTCTGCGTGAAGGAAGAGTTAATTTTGGGTTTGTTTTGCAAAAATGTAATTGTATAAGGACTCTGAAACAATTTTTTTTTAAATGATTAAAGATGCTGTCTCGTGTCTTTTTATTGGAATGAGTATATTTGATAGGTGTCACTTAATTCGAGAGTGATATACTCTAATTATATATAAGATTATGCATAACATCCACGTCTATATTTTTTTAATATATATTTCTATCAAAATATCCGCGGCGACAGATTTTGAATGCACGTTCATATGAAAACAATCGCATTAATTAACAGTTGTTAAAAAAAAACAATCGCATTAATTTTCAAGCGGATTTCGTCATAAACAGGTAGGACTACATAATTAAGGTCATGTTCATGTAGTATTTTAAGTCTAGTAATGGCCGAATAGTTTGGATATAAATAAAATTTTACTTTTGTAAACCTCTGTAATAACCACCATTCACGCAAAACCAAAACCATGGTTCGGCTTCAGGTTCTAGGGCTTATAGTTTATATATATATATATATATATATATATATATATCCTTACGAAAAATCATATACTTTGATTTCGTTTACGTGAATCATGTTTTTTATCATTAAAAAGTTTAAATACATTAGATTAAGCTGCTGATGATAAAACATGACTACGATGTAATTTTGGATATCAAGACGTTTGTCTTTAACATTGATTCCCATTAGATAACTAGTGTTATCTCTTTCAATGCAAGCGTTCCAAGTTTTTTTTGGCATTGTAACAAATATCTCTTCACGTCTTTTTTGGTTGTTTATGTCGTTTATGTTATTTTTGTGAAACTAATTTTATGGCGGAAAGGATTGAAATAGCTTTATGTATTGGCACTTTCATCACTTCGACTGTTTAGTATAATGGATTTTTTTTACCAAAATATCTAAAGTGAACCTGATAAGTACCTAACGTATGTTGACAAAGAAAAAGATGAAGTACACCTAACGTCTACGTATTGCATGCAACAAACTATATAGCGGACAATATCGTTACGATCAAATTCGAATCGTCGAAAATCGTTTTAAATTTTGGTATCGTGATAATATACGCCGATTCTTATAAAAAAATAAAGTCAAAGGACAAAAAATATCATTACAGTATTGAATGGAATTGTATTATGCGTAGGTGTGACCCACCTAGGTGTAGAACAAGCTCGTAGTAAAATAAATATAAATTTAACTGTCAAACCTATATATATAAAAGTCTTTAGGCAAATGTTTTGCTGGTCCAATAATTGATTTATCTGAGTTAATTAGTTAAAGTGAACTAATGAGACAAACAAAATAGTGATACGTCTCAAACTCTCAATTTGGCTGTACATGTAGTGTGTTTTTACCAAATTTAATATCATAGGAGGAAGATTAGGATCAGAAGCTACTCCAAATTTCGCCTAAATATTCATTAGATTAGTTTGGATTCCAAAAAAATGTTTTAAATCATGGAGTAAATATATTCTTTGGTTAAAGTTAAAAATGTAGTAATAAAATTTATATTCAGGGGACATCATCATTCACTTGGATTTTTCTTTTTACATTCAAAGTTTAAAAAGTAGTAATAAATTTACCTTTTATAAAAAAAGAAAGAATATGATTACTGTCTTATTCATATTTATCTTTTTAGCCGTTTCAGTTTCAACCGTACAATCTCCAAAAATGAAGAACAGAGCTTGTGGGGGCCAAAACAGGAAAAAATAATTTTCTCATAAAACTTTTCAAATTTTTTTACAAAACTAAAAACAATAAAAATAAAAAACACAGATCGGAAAATTCGCTGAAAAAAAAAAGAAGAAGACTCAGAGACTGAGAGAGAGGACCTTCGTGCATGGGCAAACACAACATTTATACCACAACAAATTCTCTGATTCGAAGCAACGGAAACGAAGAAGACTAATCATCTTTTCCTCAATTTCGGGTTTCCTTCTTCCTTCTCTTGCTTCGTCTCCAGTTTTCAGCGAGATTCCAAGCTCCATCTCGGTGAGTTTCCTGCGAAATCGAGCCGATTATCGTATCACTTCGTCTGTTTCTCGAAATCTATTCGCATCTTCGTAGCTCGTGAACTCGTTTTCCGCGACTCGAACTCGAGATTTCTCAGTGTTTCCTGCTGATTCTTACTTTTTTTCACTCCAATGATTTGCTCTCTTTCTCTATTCACTTGTATAATCAATTAATTGGATTTAAGGCTATTTTGTGATAATTCGCTTCAAAATTTAGTAATTGTGTGCTTGGTGAAGCTGCAATGTGCTCGTAAATTTGGGAATTTGCTGCTCAATTTCTTGGAAAACACTGGAAATTTCCATGTTTTTTCAAAAATCAAAACCATTGATTTTGCTTTTCAGTATTCGAACCTAATTTTGGTTTAATCTGAAACTCAAGCTATTTTTCTATTTATTTTTTTTCAGTGAAATTGGATGCTTTGAAAGTGATTGATCATTTGTGATTGCCAGTTTCAGGAGAGAATCTGTCATTTTCAGCACATTGCCTGGAATTGACTGGAATTGAGCATCTCCAGATTGTTTTCCAGCTAAAATATAAAGGAATCAGAATCCATGAAGATCTGAGTTTGAAGCATTGAGATTCCACGAAATCATTCGTTTATTGGTGTCTCCTCTAATGTGATTCTAAAATCACCAGCTTCTTGTGAAGATGGAAACGAGGTCAAGGTGTGTGTTTGTTTTCATCAATTTGACTTTCTGTGATTTTCTTAGATCTGAAGTGTTAGTTTCTTTGTGTTCCTCCTCAGGCCTGGAGAGAGAGAGTTCTCAAACGGTGACGTATATTCCGGTCAACTAAGAGGCACACTTCCTCACGGGAAAGGAAAATACGAATGGTCCGACGGAATCGTATACGAAGGCGACTGGGAAGAAGGAAAAATCTCAGGGAAAGGGAAACTAACATGGTCATCCGGAGCCAAATACGAAGGAGACTTCTCCGGAGGCTACCTCCACGGGTACGGAACCATGACATCCCCTGACGGATCAGTCTACAGCGGCGCATGGAGGATGAACGTCCGGCACGGTCTAGGAAGAAGAGAGTACTGCAACTCCGACGCCTACGACGGGTCTTGGAAAGAAGGGTTGCAAGATGGGAGTGGCAGTTACACTTGGGGAAACGGGAACAGGTTTATTGGGAATTGGAAGAAAGGGAAAATGTCTGGGAGAGGGGTGATGAGTTGGGGGAATGGTGATTTGTTCAACGGATTTTGGTTGAATGGTCTTAGACATGGCTCTGGGGTTTACAAGTACGATGATGGAGGTTTCTATTTTGGGAGCTGGTCTCGTGGATTGAAAGATGGGACCGGAGTGTTTTACCCCGCCGGGAGTAAGCATCCGTCGTTGAAGAAATGGCATCGGAGTTTTGGTTATGATGACACAGGGAACTTTGTGCTCTCTCATCATGATACGTCGATAAACCTCGAGGAGCTTCGGAGCTCGAGGGTCATGTCGAGGAGTCTCTCTGAGATAAGTGGGATGACGAGGCATTCGGAGAGGTTTCTTGATGAGAACTGGACGACGAGTGACCCTCCGAGGGATTACATGTCTCACGGCGGCGGGCCTGTGTCGAAGTCTGCGCGGTCTGTTGAGTCTGAGTGGCATAACCGTGACAAGAACCCTATTGTGTTTGAGAGGGAGTACATGCAAGGGGTTTTGATTAAGGAGAGGATCATGAGCTCTATTGACATGTCGCACAAGGCTAGTCCTTTGAACCGTCCTAAAGAGGTTACGATTAGTGCTTGTGTGTCGTTTCTTGGAGGGAAGTGGAACTACTATCTGATGCTTAATCTCCAGCTTGGTATCAGGTAAACAAGATTGGGACACTTTGAATAAATGCTTGAACAAGTTATACCTCTAACACAAGTTCACAGGTATACTGTTGGGAAAATCACGCCGGTGCCAAGGCGGGAAGTTCGTGCTTCAGACTTTAGTGAAAGAGCGAGGATCATGATGTACTTCCCTAGTGACGGTTCTCAGTACACACCTCCTCACAAGTCCATTGATTTCGCTTGGAAAGACTATTGCCCTATGGTTTTCAGGTAAACCCTCTGTTTTCTTTTCTGAGTGTATTCAAGATTACATGCTCTTCAGATTATTTACAATGGCGTGTGACAGGAATCTGAGGGAGATGTTCAAATTAGATGCAGCAGACTACATGATGTCGATCTGTGGTGATGATGGTTTGAGGGAGATCTCGTCCCCTGGGAAAAGTGGCAGTATCTTCTACCTCTCTCACGACGACAGATTTGTGATAAAGACATTGAAAAGATCAGAGCTAAAGGTTTTGATATAACTTAACCAAGCTGTTATCTTTTTTATCAGTGGCACACATGTTATGAAACAGAGCATTCTTGTAGGTTCTACTCAGGATGTTGCCTAGGTACTATGAGCATGTAGGGGACCATGAGAATACACTCATAACGAAGTTTTTTGGGGTTCACAGGATAAAACTAAAGTGGGGTAAAAAGGTAAAGAACTTTGTCTTCTCCTCCTTTCTACATTTTAGATTCCATTTTCTTTTAGCATGAATCGTTTGTGCTTCTCTCTGATAGGTACGCTTTGTGGTCATGGGGAATATGTTTTGCACAGAGTTGAAGATTCATCGCCGCTATGACCTTAAGGGCTCTACTCAAGGGAGGTTCACAGAAAAGAGTAAAATCAGAGAAAAGACTACCATGAAAGATCTTGATCTCGCTTATGAGTTTCACATGGACAAGCTTCTCCGAGAGGCTCTCTTCAAGTGAGTTTTCTACAGTGGAATTGCTGTAGTTTTGCATTTGTGTTTGTCTAACTTTTGGTGGAACCTCCAAAATGGCAGGCAGATTTTTTTAGACACCGCCTTCTTGGAGTCTCTGCAAATCCTTGATTACAGTCTTCTCTTGGGATTACATTTTAGAGCTCCCGAACAACTTAATGATATCCTGGAGGCTCCTAATGAAATGTCAGATCAAGAAAGTGACAGTGTTGGTTCTGTTGAAGGTAAGCCTCAATGATCACACTCGTGAAGCCTTGTATTTGTCTTCGCTTACTGTTTTCTCTTTTCTTGTGTGTTCATCAGTCAGTGTGCCTCACGAACCATCCATTCCTCCGAAAGGACTGTTACTGGTGACTCACGAGCCAAACTCCGTCAACACCGCCCCTGGTCCTCACATCAGAGGAAGCACACTACGAGCGTTCTCTGTCGGCGAGCAAGAAGTCGATCTTATTCTACCTGGAACCGCAAGGTCAGTCACTTCACTTACACTAACTTGTCTCCACGAGAACACACATTCCAATAACGTTTTTGTTCCTGTTTTCAGGCTCCGGGTACAGTTGGGAGTGAACATGCCGGCGCAAGCCCACCACAAGCTCCGTCAAGACGGGGAGGAGCCGGGGACGGTGGAGCTCTTCGAGGTGTACGATGTGGTTGTGTACATGGGCATCATCGACATCTTGCAAGAATACAACATGAAGAAGAGAATGGAGAACACTTGCAAATCTGTGAAATATGATCCCATGACAATCTCAGCTATAGAGCCTAAGCTTTACTCTAAACGGTTCAATGATTTCCTCCTCAGGGTATTCCCAGAAAAAGCATAGAAAGAGAGAGAAAACCATTCGTCTTCCTTTTTAAATCAAATCGTCGTCCATGATTTTGACTCGGTCGATATTCTTTCTTACTGTTTATAAGCCATAAAAAGACAGACATTTGGCTCGTAACATTTTAGGAGTCTTATTATACTTTAAAAAAACAATTTCGTGTATTATTTCTGTTAGTCTAGATTTGTGTTACTCTCTGAATGGACACATTCTCCACGAGCCATAGATGTTGATCCCACGATCCGGATAAATAAGAGTGTCGACATTTAAGTCATGTAACATCCTTCTATATATTTGAACAATAAGACTATATAAAATGTCTTACAACAAATAAGTCAACAACGACCTTCTTTTCGGGAAGTTGTCTAAGACAAGTGCTTCATTAAAAATTTAAAATAGACAGGAAAAAAAAATATAACATACATCGATTGTGACGACATTATGGCAATGTTACAAAGTTTAAACAATTGTAAAGTTATAAGAAAGTTACAAAGTTTTGACTATAAATAGATCACCATACATATGGATATAATATAACTCACAAAACTTAAAATTGTTGACAAGAGAGAAAAGCAAGTTTTTAAGAAAAAGCAAAGCAACACCAAAAGAAATGGCAAAGAACTTCAATTCCGTCAGCTTCACCGTTCTCCTGCTTGTCCTTATGATGGCTTCCACTGGTATTCATTTAACATTTGTTCTATTATTCGTTGCATTTGTCTTTTACTCATTTATCTCGTTCTGATGATGATCTTGATCATGACTATGTCAATATGTAGTAATCCTCCAGAGCGAGGCTACGCGCAATGGCCAAGGAAAATGCCTTCCACGTGGATGCAAAAGTACTCCTATGTTCTCCGAGGAATGTGGGCCGGATCCATTCCCAGGCTCAAACAACGATTGTTGTCACTGTTGCGTAACCAAATACGGGAAAGATGCAGTCTGTAAAGGGGTTGTTGAGGGAGCAGACAGCCATTGCCATTGCTACAAAGAAAGTGCTTGAAGTAAACTCATATAATCACCAAATATAACTTTTGTATTCATTCCGTGTGTGGACATTACATCTGTGTATGTTTATGTTCAAGTTTCTTTTATTGCTTCCAAATAAAATACTAAGGGCAAAGCTTATCATTGCTTGCCCCCAAGTGTAAGCTCGATTGTGTTGTGTGCACTTTGTTTCATTTTGAATTCTAAAGTCGTGTTGTGTTTGTGTTCCTCATTTTCATTCAAATATATGTCCCAAGAGATTATTTATAAATATTGACCACATGTTCCACATCGTGAGGTATAGACTTGGACGACAACATCAATTTCTAAGATGCATGTTTCAATATGCTCAAAAGAATACATATCATTTTAAATAGAACTCTAGGTTGGATTTATGTTGATAGTTGGTACTAGAATGCTAAAAACTGACTATGATCAATAATAATTCGAGGGATGCATGCAACTTGTGTTTCAACCTCAGTTTCTATTCATACACAGATGAAAGTACCTCTGTGATTATACATATAATTTCGTAACACGCAATTAAAGTAATAAATTAAAGATCTTTCTCTTGCTATAAACAGAATGATGCAGCTTCTTCCCAAAAGAGCTTCAGACATATATTTCAACCAAACGGAACCAGAACAAAAAAAAAATCGCTTTACATTAGTATAGCATTGTATCTTATTCCAAAACCCAAAAACCCAAAAAAAACAAATAAATAAATACACACTTAGGTATAAATCTAAACTGGACATGATGCATATTACGGCATGTCCATCCAGGGTTTTAAACACGGTTTTAAAGAAAATAGATGATTTAAATAAATATATAATCTACAAATAAACTAAAACCGAGTCTACTATAAGCTTTGTTAGCTAATTTTAGAACCTGACACGCGTCAAGCTTATGTTAAATGACATTTAAGAAAATAAAAGAAATTTAAAAAATCTCTCTCTCTCTTCCTCTCTCTCTCGACTCTCCACCCGGCGGCGACAAAATTCGACAATCGAATCGTCGATCGGATTTGGTCCGATCTATTCTCGGGAAGGTGTCTCTTTCTCCGTTTGAGTATCTACGTCTTCTGATTCACATCTCTTCAGGTTCACACCTCTTCCGATTCCATGCGTCGACGGACTGAGAAAGCCGGTGGCTTGTTGTATGTTTGGCATCCCTCTCAACACCGGTCGGAAAAGGAAAGTATATGTCTTGTCTCTGGAATCGTATCTAGTCCTAATTTTAAAAGTTTCTTGATGTTTTTTCTTTTCAAGGTGAATGATGGAATTGTGACATCAACTAGAGCAACGGCTGAGGATGTGATGGCGGGTGTTGGGACTAGATCAAAGTAACTCCTTTTACATTCAGGTACTTCTCTCTCATTGTCTCTATCTTCTGCGAAGTCCCCTGTAATTGAATGTTATTGTGTGTTTACATTTCGATGCCTTTTTGGTTTCATTGCTTGGTTAGAGTTCTCGAGAAATAAAAAGATGTTTAGTTTTCTTTTGGTTGCTAACTAGATCTTTAGATTAGTTTCTCTGTGATATTGCTATGTATCGTTTAATTCCACTTGAAAAGATACATTCTCTGTAGATTAGTTTCTTTTTGATAAAGTATTCTTATTGCTCTACCTTTTACATTCAGGTACAATCATTGTCGCTTCTCTTATCTACATACTGGTTAGTCTCCTTCTCTTTCCCGATTTTTTTTATCTCAATTCAAAATTAGACGAAGGAATGGTCGAAATTGATTAGCATTAGGGTCAGTGATCATAAAGTTGAGATCTTTGAAATTGACTTGAGCCGGATTTCAATGTCAGGGTTTAAAACTTTTGAGTTTATCTGCGTTTTTGGTTCCCATCACTAGCGAGAACACAGAAGTGACTTCTTCTTCTTCTCTCTGTATATACTTGCCATTGGACAAAGTGGACGTAAGCCTTGTGTTCAAGCTTTTGGGGCAGATCAGTTTGATGAAAAAGACCCTTAAGAGAGAAGTCACATAAGCTCTTTCTTCAACTGGTGGTACCTTAGTATGTCTGCAGGAATCTGCTTGGCGTTGGTAGTCGTTGTGTACATTCAAGAATCCGTAAGCTGGGCACTCGGTTTTGGAATCCCATGCGTGTTCATGTTGGTCTCTCTAGCTTGTTCTATTCGTTTTAGGAAGAAGGAGTTACAGGTACACTAAGAGAAGACAGGAAAAGGATATCAACCCCTTTACGAGGATAGGTAGTGTCTTCTTGTTAGCAGTCAAGAACCGAAAATTATGTCAAGATCAAGTTGAATCTGATACACCATCTTGTGTATTTTGTTTTTGTAAAATTTAATCTTGTTTTTGTTAAGAACCAAAAAAAGATTTTAGCGATGGAGGAAGAATTAGTTAAAGATTCCACACAAAAGTTAGTTAAATTGATTTGTGTGAAAATTAATAGTAAAAAATTGCTTAGAACCAAATATTTGGTTTTAGGGATGGACATGGTCTAAGAGAACATCATCATAATCAAAATGTATCATTCTTGACATCAGTCAAAATATCATCAATCGGCAGAACATCTTCCTCATTCTCCAACAAACTTTTAGAACCAAAAGCAGTAGTAGCTTCAAAGCTAGGAATCTGTCTTGTCGTCGTCTCTTCGTTGGTGTTTCGAACCTGAAGATCCTCCTCCTGTTGTTGTATCCCTTTACCTTTATCTCTTGGATCAACCTTCACAGCATCTAACCGAAGCCTCACATTGATCAACATTCTTGTGACCGCATCGGCCGCTTCTTTCAACTCGTCGACGTTCTCCAACCTGTCAAAACCTTCGTCTTCCCACCAAAACCCTAGCCCTAAATCCTTCTCTTGGTTTGTCCTCGAAAGAGGAGGGTGATCGTTAAGAAAAGAGGAGACAACATCATCGACAGAGGAATGTCCGAAAGTGTAGAAAGAAGCGTGTGAATTGGAAGAAACAGGAGTCGCTAAGATTGCGATTTGAGTCCCGGGAGAGAGACGACAGAGCTCAAAAGCTTTGCTGAAGAGACCCTTACGTCGTTTAGTGAAAGCAACCGATTTTTTTGCGTTCTCTTCGAGGTTCTCAATCTCTATTTTACGCTTTAAGCCTCCCATATATTATTGCTTACTGTAAGAAAGGAAAAGATGGTTTTTGCATCTTCGTGGCTCTTTCTCTCTTTATACTTACTACATCTCTCAACTTTTTACCTTTTCTTCTTCTTCAATATTCCAATGGTTTGATTCCATATTCAGAAACTTTCCATAACAGGCTTATCTCTGAATTACCTTTTTTAACTACTTAAAGTAAGTAAATACACAAAGATGACTCTTTTCTATTTGCTTTTCCATTTTTTTTTCGGTTCTTTATTGGACAATTTCTTTCCTTCTACGTGAATCACACTCTGAAAATGTTGGAAGTCAAAACCCTAGAGGTCATGATGGCAAAGCCGTACCTTAGAGACGATTGCTTGCGCACGAAGCAATACCCCATCGTTTCCTTGTTTCTTGTTTGTTTAGTGGCTACGACGTAAAGATGGTCAGGGAAGTCAGTAAGATGAAGATTTGGGCGGGTGGATCGTCTCCGGAGATCATAAAACAATATTCGGTGGAGATAATTTGATTGAAATTAGGGTTTCCAAATAGAGAAATTGGGGAAACGATCGTGGACGTGATATGGCCATATGGGCATGGCTCATGGGACATGCATGGTGGTTTAGGCGTAACGGTTTGCTTAACCGAAAATCCTATTTTATAACCTATCCTGGTTCATTGCTCACTCTGGCAAAGTGATTATGGCCTTATGGGCAAATCTGTTTCTCGACAGATTGCCTCGGTCCATTCTCGTGGACGAATACGAGTGGGTATGATCTATTGATACACATAGATTCATCTACTCGATCAAACCTAGCAACTTCTTAATTATCCCTTTTTAAGACAAGATATCTTTCTGATGTAGATATTTACTTTTTTTTCCTTACTTTTCTTTGCCATCCGAAAGAAATCTTATTTTCCTTGTCAAACACATGTTTTTCTTCACCGTCTTAAACATAAATGAATCTTCTGATTTTGCATCCAATATTCTACGTTAGGAACTAGTCTTCGTTAACCAAATCTCAGCTTTGAGCACCTCGGGCTGGTCCCACCCATATTCTGCTTGCCACATCTTCACTACCCGCAAGTAAAAGAAGAGGCCTATCTCAAAGGTGATTTCTTGTCGAGCAATATCATATTACTTATCTTGATTCTTGAGCACTCATTAGTTTTTAATATTTTAAAACCTGACCTTTGCGAGAGCTTCATCAACAATGTCGGTTCCTACTAGATCTCAGCAAACTACTTCGGTCAAACATATATACCGTAAATGACACATGGTATTGTATGGAGACATTCTTATGCTCCCATCATATCTATTGTTGGAACTACGAGCCATAGATGTTGATCCCACGATCCGGATTATTAAGAGAGTGTCGTCATTAAACAAAATGTAACGACATCATTCTCTTTATATAGACAATAGTTATATTAAACTTGAGGAAAATGGAATTATAAAATGAGTTACAACAAAAATGTCAACGACGCGAGACCTTCCTTTTGGTTAATTATCTAAGATAAGTGCATACTTAAACTAGACTTGGAAATTGTGTAATATAACATACAGGATACAGCAATGATTTAATATAACATGTAGCAGTGGATAATTGTGACGACATTATGAAAAGTTCCAAAGTTTAAACAATTATGACAAAATTACAAAGATTAAACAATTATAAGAAAGTTACACGGTTTTGACTATAAATAGATCACCACACATATGGATATGCCTCAGAAAAATTAAGTTTATATATTAACAAGAAAAGAACAAACGAGTTTAAGAGAAAGCACAGCAAAACTAAAAGAAATGGCAAAGAACCTCAACTCCATCATCAGCTTCACCGTTCTCTTGCTTGTCATTCTCATGGCTTCCAATGGTAGTAATTTAACAAATTTTTCTATTATACTTTGCATTTGTCATTTAAACATCTATCTCGTTCTCATGATCTTGATCATGACTATGTCAACATGTAGAAATACTCCAGAGCGAGGCTACACGCAATGGCCAAGGTAAATGCCTTCCTCGTGGATGCAAAAGTACTCCTATGTTCTCTGAGGAGTGCGGGCCAGAGCCGTTCACAGGCTCAAACAACGATTGTTGTCACTGTTGCGTAACCAAATACGGGAAAGATGCAGTCTGTAAAGGGGTTGTTGAGGGAGCGGAGAGCCATTGCCATTGCTACAAAGAAAGTGCTTGAAGTAAACTCATATAATCACCAAGTGTAACTTTTGTATTCATTCCGTGTGTGGACATATTACATGTGTTCAAGTCTCTTTTGCTTCAAAATAAATCACATTAAAGGCAAAGCTTATCATTGCTTGCCCCCAAGTGTAAGTTCATGTTGTGTGCATTTTTATTTCATTTCTGAATACTAAACTCGTTTTGTGTTTGTGTTCCTCATTTTCATTCCCGTCTACCTACATTCAAGTTTCTGCATGTCCCAATAATGTTTCTTAGCATGAATATGGACCATATCTTGACGTATAAACGTGGACAATAACATCACTTTTTAAGATGCGTATATATGTTTCATGCTCAAAAGAATATATATGATAGCCCTTTTTCGCAAAAAAAACAAATAACAAAAAAATATAGATGATTATCTCGTACGTCATTTTAAATAGAACTCTTAGTTGGATATATGTTAACAGGTGGTACTCGAATGCTAAAACTGACTGATCAATTCATTTGATGTGTTAGAAGACAACATACTGTAGTTTTGTTAAGTTTTGGAAATTTTCTTTTTGTTTTATATATGTTTGATTTAATATAATTTGCTTTATTCAATCGACCCAACCGGGAATCAGAGTTGGTTTACAGGGGATTAGAGTAACATTGAATGGAGCCGAAACTGAATTTTTTTAATTGTTATAAGTTTTTGCAATAGTTCTAATTGCTAAAGATGTTCCTAATCACACATGCATTTAGTCACGACATGCAATATGGATGAGCTTAACCTTTAACCTTTAACCTTTCCGAGCTATTACAATGGTTAACTACTCCTATCTAAAAGCTGAATTCTTCCCCTACGTTGTCGTTATTGAACACTCCTTAGATTTCATTAACAAAAACTTGACCATTGCGAGGCTCCATCAATAATCACGGTTCCTACATAAATATCTCAGTAAACTACTTCGGTCAGACATAACGTGAACGACACGGTTTTGTATGGTATGGCGACATTCTTATGCTCTCATGATATATATTGTTGTAAGGGAATTCCACGAGCGACAGGTGTTGAACTTGAACCCACGATCCGGATAATTAACAAAGTGTCGTCATTTAAGAAATGTAACATCATTCTGGATATATACTTAAACAAGCATTGGTTATTTTAAGCTTAAGAAAAATGAACTTATAAAATGAGTTGCAACAGAATGTCAACGACGACCTTCCTTTTGGTTTATTATCTAAGATAAGTGCATAACTAAAATAGACTTCGAAAATAAAATTATAAGACAATGTACAGCAATGATTTAATACAACATACGGCAATGGACAATTGTGGCGACATTATGACAAAATTACAAAGATTAAACAATTATAAGAAAGTTACAAAGTTTTGACTATAAATAGATCACCACACATATTGATATGCCTCACAGAAATTAAGTTTATATATTAGCAGAAAAAGAAAAAACGAGTTTAAGCAAAAGCAAAGCAAAACCAAAAGAAATGGCAAAGAACTTCAATTCCGTCAGCTTCACCGTTCTCTTGCTTGTCCTTCTGATGGCTTCCACTGGTATTAACTTAACAAAAGTATTCTATCAGACTTTGCATTTATCTGTTAATTATGTCCGTACTGATGATCTTGATCATGACTATGTCAACATGTAGAGATCCTCCAGAGCGAGGCTACACGCAATGGCCAAGGTAAATGCCTTCCTCGTGGATGCAAAAGTACACCTATGTTCTCCGAGGAGTGCGGGCCAGAGCCGTTCACAGGCTCAAACAACGATTGTTGTCACTGTTGCGTAACCAAATACGGGAAAGATGCAGTCTGTAAAGGAGTTGTTGAGGGAGCAGAGAGCCATTGCCATTGCTACAAAGAAAGTGCTTGAAGTAAAATCATATAATCACCAAGACACCAAAGTGTAACTTCTGTGTTCATTGATTCATTCGTTGTGAGGACATTACATTACATGTGTGTATGTTAATGTTCAAGTCTTTTTTGCTTCCAAATAATTTACATAAAAGGCAAAGCTTATCATTGCTTTGGCCCCAAGTGTAAGCTCATGTTGTGTGCTTTTTTTATATTTCATTTCTGAATATTGTACTCGTTTTGTGTTTGTGTTCCTAATTTTCATTCCCAATTAATTCTTTATATAGATTGACCACGTCTCTAGGTCAACTTTTGAAATGCATGTTTCATGCTGAAAATAACATAATACAAGATGACTAATTTATCACGTCCGTCATTTTACTAATGCTAAAACTGACTATATATGATCAAATATCAATTCATTTGATATTTTGAATGTTGTATCAGAAAATGTTCATAACCAGAATATGTAACCTGGTCAAAAAGAGTCGAGCAAGATAAATCACAAAATATGAAATATCTTCTGTATAAATACGCTCAGTTTCTTGTCCATGTAGCTAATTCACCCAATAATAAAACTGATACTGTGATTATACACTCCAATAAGATCATAGTTAAAAGGAAATAACTATTTAATACATGGACATTAATGCCTTTAATTATCATCGTCTATGTCATCATGTCGTTATCTTACCACATTCATCATCATTCAGACCAGACACAGACGTAATACACTTTTGTCTTACTTTAATTTTATCTTCCCACTTACAGACTCGAAATCCGATCAAGATGGATGAACCTTGTTCCCAGATGCAGTCTTCCAAGCCGATCTCATCGAGGCAGCAGCCGATCCCATCGCCGCCGCAATATGCCGTTTCGCTGCGATCGTCGCCGCTTTCTCCATCAGATTCCCCGTTCTCCGAGCAGTCTCCGCCTTCTCCTCAAGCTCTCTCAGCTCCGCCGCCTCCATCCTCTCCATCTCCTCCAACGTCCTCCTATACTCCTCCATTCCCCACTCCATATCCCTAAAAAAAGTTACCAAAACTGTCAATTTGTTTCAGATCTGAGAAAAGTAGAAAACTGAAAAAGCTAGGATTAGGAAGGTGAAATTCTTTTTTTTTTTTTACCGATCGAGTTCGGATTCGGCTTCACGGATAGATTCTTCAGCAGCTTCGAGCTCTTGTTGCTGCTCGGATTCCAAGGCAGCCCAAGCTTTGTAGGAGTCGAGTTCGAAGAGACGCATGAGGTCTTCGATTGTGGAAGGGTCGAATGTTTTGTCGACTAGGGCTTGATCGGAGAGGAGCGTGAAGTGGTGGATTAGGGCTTCCATGGTTTTGGTTGAATTGAATTTAGGAGACGATGATGAAAAGAGAGAATCGTATCGTATGCTTGTTCTAAAATGAGAATATTTTCAACAAGTGGATGATGATAATAATGTAAGGCCGAGAGAAAGAGAGAGAGAGTAAACTTTAATTACCGTTGGGGATATTTTGACGAAATTGTCAAAAGATAATGAAATGATTGGTGAATGTAATAGTAGGCGAGTGACTTTTACCCAAAACTCGAATCCAACCCGAAAAACTGAAAAATCTAAACCGAAATTAAATTTTTTTTTTTTCTAAAAATTCGGACGGCGAAACAAAAAAAAAAACCCAAATGGAAACTTTAAAAAACCCAAATTAATTTTATATCTCCAAACCTAAAGACGGAATTATTCGTTGCAAAATCCGACATTTCTAATAATTTGTGATTATAAATTAAGTGAAAGAAAAAAACTCGAAAACTCAAACCCGAAAAACTGTATCCAAACCAGAATGGAAATACAAAATGCCAAGTCTAGTTGAATGGTAAAATGAAGTGGTTTGACCTTTTTTTTTTTTTATGTTATTGGTTCAAGTTGAGTTTGGTTTTAATTTTGTTTACGTGCTAAAGAAAAAAAAAACAAAAGTTGATAAATTTCTAATAATTTGTGATAATATTATAAATTAAACGAAAGAAACAGCTTGAAAATTCAAACCCGAAACACCCAATCTGAACCAGAACCAAAGCCAAAATCCTAAGCCTAGGTGAATGGTTTGACAATTCCGTTTAATTTTTTTTTATGTTATTCGGTTGAGTTCGGTTCTAATTTCGTTTATCTGCTAAAGAAAAAAAAAAAAAATTGTTGACAGTGGGATTTGAACCCACGCCCTTTCGGATCAGAACCTTAATCTGGCGCCTTAGACCAACTCGGCCATATCAATTTTGATGTCCGTTTCGGTTCAATTTCGAACAACCCTCAAACTAAATTCTTTTTGCAAATCAAACCCTCAATTTAAAGTTGTGCAAATCAAACCTCTGAAGTCAAAATAACCCCGCAATATAAGACATCTCTATATTTGTGACAAAATTTAAAATGATTTTATGCAAAAAAACCCGCGAACTATTTTTTATGTGCAAATCTAACCCTCAACTTAAAAAATATGCAAGTCAAACCTGCAAAATCGAAAGTCACTGCTAAAATGGACTTATATGTATTTGTCCTTAACTACAAACGTTGACTCAAAACGTCATGACATTTATAATATTTTAACCATTTTTATTAAAAGTAAATTAAAAAAAAAACAAAAAACTTTAATCTTTAATTTCCTTTCTCTTTCTCCTCTTATTAATGAATTTATCTCGAGTAATCTTATCGCGAATAAGTTGATTCTTTTCTTCATGATCTCATTAACTAATGACGACGAAGAGACAAAGATAAGAACTAATTTACTCGCAATAGAATTATTCGAGAGAGGCTCATAAAGACATAGGACTTCAGATCTTCCAAGTAATTATATTGTGAGTAAGTTGGTTCGGTTTTGATTTTCTGGATTGGTTACGGTTTAGTTTTTTTGGATTTGGTTAAAAATCCTAACCCTCTCCTTATTGATGGAGAAAAAAGAGAAGAAATATTGAATTATTGTTTTAAGTATTTTTAATAAAAATGGTTAAAATATTATAAATGTCATGATGTTTTGAGTCAACGTTTGTAGTTAAGGACAAATACATATAAGTTCATTTTACATGACTTATAAGTTCATTTTAGCAGTGACTTTGATTTGCAGGTTTGACTTGCATATTTTTTAAGTTGAGGGTTAGATTTGCACACAAAAAATAGTTCGCGGTTTTTTGCATAAAATCATTTTAAATTTTGTCATAAATATAGAGATGTCTTATATTGCGGGGTTATTTTGACTTCAGAGGTTTGATTTGCACAACTTTAAATTGAGGGTTTGATTTGCAAAAAGAATTTAGTTTGAGGGTTGTTTTGCACAAAACCCTTTTATCATCTGTTACTATTTTCTCCCGTTTCTGTAATAAACAACAAAATGAAGGGTGTATTTGTAAAACAATTTAATTCCCAGTTTTTTTTTTCTGTTCTGGCTCTTCTTCCCCAAATCAAATCAAAAATATAAACAACAAAACAGCTGAAAAACGCCTCTGGATCTCGCTTAGATCCATTTCGAATCGAAGAAGGAAAGCGAAAAGACATCACAAAATCTTGGGTTTACTTTGTGTTAACTCAATTCGGTCTGGAGAACCTTCTTCGGCTCTCTTGTCTTAACAATGGCGTCCTTTATCAACCTTGAAGATTCCCCAATGTTTCAAAAACAGGTACAAATTAAAGTTTTGTGATTTGATCGTCTTTTTCTTTTTTCTCCGGTGATAATTCTGATTTGATTGGATCAGGTTTTCTCCTTAGAAGGAACAACTGATGAGCTTAAAGATCGTTGTCAGAAGCTATACAAAGGTGTCAAGAAGTTCATGTAAGTGTTTAATTCCGTTTTCGTCGTTATGTCTTTATCAATCAGACAAATCTCTTCAACTGTTTGACCATTCAAGGCTTAACCTTTGTTAGCATTTTCCGGTAAACTGTAAGATTTACTGCCTAAGGACAATTGTTGTTGTTTCCTTTTTGTTTTTACTCTATGGTAAAGTTTGTTTATTTTGTTACAATTCCACTTTTTGGTTATAAGGGGAGCTTTGGGAGAGGCATCAACTGGAGTCAGTGCCTTTGCAGATTCTCTTGAAGAGTTTGGTGCTGGACATGATGATCCCGTCAGTCTTTCTATTGGAGGTTGTTGTTGAATTCACTTTCATTTGATTTGGATAGAAATTCTACAGGTTGTTGATTCTGATCTTGTTTCGTTGTTATGCACCAGGTCCAGTGATATCTAAATTTATAAATACACTTCGGGAGCTCTCATCTTACAAGGAGTTTCTTCGCTCACAAGTAACTCTCATCCGTATCTTGTGACTTAGTAGTTACACATTACTTAGTAGTTTTAAAGCTGTTGCGTTTTTTATAGGTGGAGCACGTATTACTTGAGAGGCTGACCAACTTTATGACTGTTGATTTACAAGAAGCAAAGGTAACTTTTTCTCTTGTGCTGCAAAAGTGTCAAATGTTATGGACTAGAGATTGATAAAATAGTACCAAGCTAATGATCTACTTTACTGTTTCCTTATCTCTTCAGGAGTCTCGGCGTCGTTTCGATAAAGCTGTCCATTCTTATGACCAGGTGATTGATTTGACCCTGCTGCATTAAGTTTGTACCATGCATGATGTTATATTGCTAGTAACATGAGTTTTTAGACATGGTGAGATTAATAGTTATGTTAGTTGATGCTTAACCGTTTTCTTGCTCTCAAGCAATGCAATGAACTTTCTTTCCCATTTTGAAGGCACGTGAAAAGTTTGTGTCGCTAAAGAAGAACACTAGAGGAGACATTGTTGCTGAGTTGGAGGAGGTGTGTGTGTGTGTGTGTGTGCAACATATAATATACTTACTTTATACTATATCTCTGGGATTCTAAGAACTTGTAGTGTTGTATATACAGGATCTGGAGAACTCCAAGTCAGCATTTGAGAAAAGTAGATTCAATCTAGTATGTTAAAGTCTTAAGAACATAAGCCACTGCTAACTATTTGTCTTTTGACCTTTTTCTTGTGTCTAAATGGGTTCTCTCTTTGGCTTAAGGAATGCAGGTAAATTCATTAATGACTATTGAAGCCAAAAAGAAGTATGAGTTCTTGGAATCCATTAGTGCAATTATGGACTCCCATTTGAGATATTTTAAGCTTGTATGTTTCTTCTTCTTCTAGTTATTTTGCATTTTGTATAAGCAACATCAGTGCCATGTTGTATCCCTTAATTCAGTCTCTTTTTTTTGCTTCAGGGATATGACTTATTGAATCAACTGGAGCCTTATATCCATCAGGTACATGCATCAAACCCTTTTCAACAATGCAAACAAAACATATTTTGGTTCTTACTTGCTGCTTTCTTCTTCTTACAGGTATTGACATATGCACAACAGTCAAAAGAACAGTCCAAGATTGAACAAGATCGGTTTGCAAGACGGATTCAAGAATTCAGGACTCAGTCTGAATTAGACAGCCAACAGGTCTCTGAGCCCTCTAGTGCCGATGGAAACCATGTTTACAGAACAATCCCGCATAAAAACATTGAAGCGACATCGATATCTACCGCAGACAAGGAAGTAAGGATCTCAAAGCTCACTCATGTCTTACTCTAGTATTCAACTTCAATAACGTCTTACTCTTGCACATGTTCTCTTCTGTGTCTAATGCAGGTAATCAAACAAGGGTATCTACTAAAGCGATCAGCTAGTCTGAGAGCTGATTGGAAAAGAAGGTTCTTTGTGCTTGACAATCATGGATCCTTATACTATTACAGAAACACCGGTAACAAATCAGCGGTAAGATAGATTCATAACCTCTTTTCTTCATTCTCAGTTTTTTTTTTTCAGTCCTTTTAATCATTTGTCTCTCTCCCTCCATAGGGATCTCAACATTACTATAGTGGTTTAGGTGAGCATAACAGTGGTGTCTTTGGGAGATTTCGTTCAAGACACAACCGATCAGCTTCACAGGGAAGCCTAGACTGCAACATGATCGATCTCCGTACCTCGCTGATAAAACTGGACGCAGAGGACACAGATCTTCGTCTCTGTTTCAGAATCATCTCTCCTCAGAAGACTTACACATTACAGGTTACCAACCAAAATCTGTTGCATGTAGAGAAAGCCAATATATTAACACAGCTTATTTTCTCAGGCTGAAAATGGAGCTGACAGGATGGATTGGGTGAATAAGATCACAGCAGCTATAGCAACACGCCTGAATTCTCATTTCCTGCAACAGGTTTACAACAATATGACTCTTCTTTGTAACTCATAGCCAAAGCTTTTGTGCTGATACATAGTGTGTTTATCTCTTGCAGTCACCAAATCAATATGCTAGTGATGACCTCTCCCTGCACCAAAAACAGAACTATAACCAAAGAGTAAACATGGGGGATGATGTCCTTGCAATATTGAGAATAATCCCTGGAAATAACGCATGTGCAGAGTGCAACGCACCTGACCCTGATTGGGCCTCACTGAATCTTGGAGTTTTGATGTGCATCGAATGCTCTGGTGTTCACCGGAATCTCGGCGTTCATATTTCCAAGGTGGTTTCTGTAGCTTCTTGCTAAAGTAAATGTTGTTGTAAGCATTTTGAAAGATCCATTGGTTTTCTTGCAGGTGAGGTCGCTTAGATTGGATGTGAAAGTATGGGAGCCTACAATCTTGGACTTGTTTCGGAAACTAGGCAATGCATACTGTAACTCGATATGGGAGGAGCGGCTTCACCTTGACATGAGCGACAGGTAATATTTTAAAAACACTATCAAGAAGTCAATATTACTGCTCAAGAACAATTTTTTTGTTGGATTCTTGCAGTGAAAATGACACACTTGCACTGATTCCGAAACCATCTTCAAAAGATTCTTTTACTCTCAAGGAGAATTACATTCATGGGAAGGTATCATTCATCTCCATCTCTTAACGTTTCTGCATACACTTTCGATGAATATACTTAAAACTGCTAATGTTTATGCCTAGTTAGTACCTGGAGAAAGCTCTGGTTGTGAAAGATGAAAGAGAAGCAAACCCTAACCCTACAGCCTCGAGAAGAATATGGGAAGCTGTTCAAAGCAAGAACATAAGAGAAATCTACCGACTCATTGTAACAGCGGATGCGAATATCATCAACACCAAGTTCGATGATGTTACTGGCGTTGATGCGTATCACCACCACCACGACCATGTTGTAGAGAAAAGGCACGATCCAAACGCGTGTCAGAGGATCAAGGATTCGAACGGAGCAAGAAACTGTCTTCAGGGCTGCTCGTTGTTGCATGTGGCGTGTCAAAGCGGCGACCCGATCTTGCTTGAACTGTTGTTGCAGTTTGGCGCTGACATAAACATGAGAGATTATCACGGAAGGACTCCGTTACACCACTGCGTCGCATCAGGGAACAACGCATTTGCAAAGGTTTTACTGAGAAGGTAACTAAATGATTGATCCCAAGTCATCAGGGAACATTTTTTTTTGGCTTTTAATAACTGTCTGGTTTTTTCTTTGAATGTTGCAGAGGTGCTCGTCCATCAATAGAGGATGGTGGAGGATTAAGTGTATTGGAAAGAGCAATGGAGATGGGAGCCATTGCCGATGAAGAGCTCTTCCTTCTCTTAGCAGAGTGTCATTAATATATACCATTGTCCCTTTTGTTCAGACAAGAAAGCTGATTGATTGATTGATTGATTGCTAAGTAAAAGATTATACAAGACAGAGAGACAGATGCTATTTGGTCGTGTTATTGTAACTGTTGTAGTATTTAGTTATGAGTGGCTTCATTGATGCTATATAAGGTTATTTTCCCTTTTTTTTTTCCAAACCCAACTATAACACCTCTCTCTTTTTGCCTTTCTGTTTGTGCCACGCTCTGACAAATGCAAAAGATAAACAAAGGCATGTGATAGATATCGAACCAGATTCCAACAGTTTTATAACAGGTTGGTCCACAATTAAGAATTTAAGTTAGCGTATGGGTTTAAGACAGTAGAAGTTATGCTTCTGATAATTTTATTCGTTTTTATTTATATATATGATGACAATAAGCAAAATATATCTCTTGATCCATATATAAAAAAATGATGTATAAAAGAAAGCTTGCAACATAACACAACACTACAAATATTTACATAGCATTGTTAAAAATAATAAGTCTCCAAACATCTTAGAGTTTTGGGCCTTTTGGCTTTTTAAGTTTTTGTGGTGATTTAGAATTTCAGTTTATTTGATTTTATTTTATCGGATAACCGTATTTTTCTATGTTCAAATGAAAAGTCTTCTTCATCCAATTTTATTAATTGGTTCATGTTTGTTTTTTAATTTAGCAAACGACATAAATAGACTGTTCAAAAAGTAAAGACAATAATTTTCACACAAAAACTTATAAATACTGCACATTGATAAAAACTTATCACTCCAAAATACATTCCTTAGAAATGAATATTTTCACAGTTTTTGTGTTAGCTATTTTTGTGTGTTTTGGATTGAGTGAATCTTGCGGATTAAATCATGTAATGATTAATAACCAACTCGGTTCTGGTATTTCTCTCGACGTGGATTGCAGTGAGAAATTTACATACCAAAAATTCAAACATTTAGGAAGGGAATCTCTACACAAATTCAATTCTAGTTATATTAATCTTCCACCATTCGAAGATCGGCAATTTGAATTGAAGACAATTATGTGCGATTTAAGGTTTGTGGGAAAAGATAATCATTCTTATAGTTTTGATAAGCTTAAAGCATATCATTCAAAAGAGAGAGTAATGTGTAATGAGTTACGTCAATGGATTGCGAGACCTGATGGAATTTACTTCAAAAGAAATTGGCATTTACCTGTGGGGCATGTACTTAACTGGACAAGAAAATAAACTTCTCTTTTTTTTCTCTCTTAGGTATACCAATCTAATACTAATAAAGCACAAGTCACCTCATGGCTTATATGAGTGACATGTGTCTTTTCAAATTTCATTTTAATTTTTCTTTTTTTCGTTGCTTTTTCCTTTTTATTTTTTCCTTTTTTCTTCCATTACGTGTTGCTTTTCCCATTTTCTCATTTTGTAATTCTAACTTTTATTTCCTCTTTCACAACCGAGACCACGATCTGAGAAAACCGTTTTCTCACGATCTTATGAATAATCTCTCACATATGGTGAAGATACAAAAACCACCTAAGCCTATTCATCTTCAACTACTGTATTTTATTTTTCTAGATCTCGAAATCCATCTTCATCCTTTGAAAATCTGTGAGAAACAAAGCCATGAATCAAATCTCTTCTTCTTAAATCAGGTATCTCTGTATTCTGGGTTTTTCAACTTTTCTGTTAATTGATAATCTTGCTTCAATTTCAAAACAGAATATTGTTAGTGCTTTTGATTATAATCCTTAAATGCTTGATTTTCTATACGGTTTTCTATCCGATTAACATTTTGGTTCTGAAATTGGATGATTTAGACAATGAATAAGGAATTTGTTAGCTACTTTAGTTTGTAAGAGATTTTTTTTTTCTAACGCTTGAAATCTGGGTTTCAAATGCTTAATTTCTAGGGTTTTTTTCCTTGATTTCTGAGTTTTCATTAACAGCCGATGTTGAAGTTTGATTCGATGACTCTCGCATTAGACAATAACCAAAATATTATTTTTTCTATTCGATTAACATGTACTCTCGCATTAACATGTTACAGTTTTCTATTCGATGTAGACAATAACCGCAGCCGCTATTTTACTACAAGATGAAGCTTCCTCTCACACCAATTGTTGACTTAAAACCAGATCCTGAAAATGAAGTTTACAAGATTGAAGCTCGAATTAGCCGTCTTTGGCGATTTCAAAACAATGGCAATTCTGAAAATGATAGTGGAGTTGATTTAATACTTGTGGATGATAAGGTACATAAACCTATCTTACTTCATCATGTTAATCTGTTTTATTAAAGTGTTTTGCACAAGATAAACAAAATTTGATTGTATATTTTGGTTTTATGATAGGGAGATCGTATACAAGCCTGTATTAGAGGATGAAAGTTAATAGCCAAGTTCGAGAAGGAACTCGAAGAAGGAAATTGCTGTGTTTTGATGAACTTTAAGTTGTCTCAAAATCTTGGCAATTACAGGGGAACAAATCATCCTTTCAAAAAAAATTTCAGCTGGTCAACACATGTGAAGCCTTGCGAGCAGATTCCAGACCACTCCCTGCGTTTTAATTTGATATCTTTTGATGAGCTGCTCCCCGAGGCTCATGACTAAAAAGTCTTCGTCGGTATGTGCTATCACCACTGGTTCTTTTTCTTTTTTCATAGTTAAACATTTGCTTCATGTTTTTAGTGATTGGAGAGACTTCTTTGTTCGTTATGTACCTTCTCAAGTTCCACTTCTTTTACACACATATATTTGGAATATTACTATCTACTTCTTTAGTTTCAACGTATAAAGAAATTCATTGTTTGCCATAAGTCTCTGTCTCTTATTTATGAAAAAAAAAAACAATTTTTTAACTATGGGAAATGTTTGGTTGATGGTTGTGGGAAATCGAACTGTGCTCTCTTAGTGGAGATGTATGTTTTACACAGTTAGACTCAATTCCTAGCATTTGACAATATAGTTTATGAACATTTCCATAATTTGCTTCGTTTAGTTTTTTGTTTGGTTGGTTTTAGACTGCAAAGAAGCCCGATTTTAAGCAGAAGGCGAGTACGATCTAAGCGAGTTTGGAGTAGTCATAGTAAAGAAAGAATCGGTTATAAACGGGAAAAGCATAGTGGCTGGAGATGTTCTTATTCGCCTCCCTTCTAGCGGTGTTCATTCAAATGGTTTCTTTTTAGTAAGAAAGTAAGTTGGTGATAATATGACACTAGGAAGAATGTAGTCTATTGTCACTTGAATGAGTAAAGCTTAAAGACCACAATTGTTGCAGGTACTTTTACAGAAAGATGAGCTTCCAGGTGGATCATGTAGTCTTGGTGAAGCTTTAATGCCACATACTGTCATTTACGTGAATCAGGTTGATTTGTTTTTGTTCTTTGTCAGCCAAAAAGTCCATCACATTTTTTTAGCCAATTCCATGACTTATTCTTTCTCTATCCGCAGGTACTTGACTTTATCAGCAAATGAGGTGTTAAGGGTTTAGCTCATATAACATATGGAGGTTTCACAGACAACATTCCCCGAGTTTTCCCGGATGGATTGGGCGCTGTTATTCACTGGTGCTTGGGAAATTCCACCCTTATTCAAAGAGATCCAACAGATAATATACTTAAATGCTTGATTTGTGTTTGGTTATTGTATAGTTTGGGAATATAAAAGACACTGAGATGCAAATTAAAGAATGTTAATGGTGGTAACTCGAGAAGCAGCTACGGGAATACTTGGAGAAGATGAGAATGGAGACTAGAACATGTTAAAGATGAAGGCGTTATCTATCAGACTATCACTAGAACATGTCTGTATGAACTACCAATGTGTTTTTTTAATAGGAACTCAACGTGTTGTGTTTTTAAGTTGGTGTGTGAGAGATATTATTGTTTCTAATGTTTTTATCCATTTTTGTCTATCGGTGTTACCCATTTTGGGGTTTATAATGGAAGTGATATCATTTTTTTGTCTTTCACCGAACTATATAATATGTAACAATTAACAAAATAAAAGATAGTAGTTGTTAGTTAACCAAATATATAATTTTAGCGAATCATACATATTTCATAAAGAAAACATATCTTTCTAAGCCTTTATTTAAACTTTAAGTTATATAAAAAACTATCTACTTCTTTACGTTTTGTAGCTTTTTAGTTATCACCCAATTCTTACCTTTTCTTGGCTTTGTAAATTTATTCTCATTTCTTTTAACTATATAACAACATAATAGTTTGTGAAAATAAATTTTGATGAAAAATTGTTTCAGAAAAAATATTCCGTATGCGAACAAAAATTCACATGTATGAAAGTTGAAGGTAAATTTATGAAAAATTGTTTCACATGAATCTCTCACACTTTTTTAATGTGAGATCATTATGTTTTGTTTATTACATATATCAGATGTTCATGCCAGTGCATAGCACGGGCCAAATACTAGTATTTATATAAGTTAGTTGTTTATTTTAAGTCTTATGAACTAATCCATAAGATCTACTAATAATGTGCTATAATATATAGCACAATATTGTAATAAAGCATAATTCATTTAATATTTATGTATGTTGTTTCAATTTTTAAAAATAATAACACAATATAAAAAAGAGGATGTATGAGCCTACACACGGTTCTACCCTGAGAAACTCAACAGAAAAGCTTAGAATACCTTGTAACACACTTTCTTTGTTTTCATTGGTTTGAATTTTTTTTTTCTTTTAATTTAGTGACTTTGTATCATAGATAAAACTACCAAGGGAACATATGCTTTTGAGAAACATAGCACATAAAAGACAACAGCAAGAAAATCAAAAACAAAAAAAACCTTCAAACCAAAATCAGAATTATAATTCTAAATAACTAACTATGTATTTAAAAGCAGCCTTATTGGTGGGTTTTGGGAACTGGGGAGTATCACATGCTCTTAAAAAAATTTTGGTTCATTTAAATTTTGAATGTTTTCATTGGTTCTATTTTTTTTTAATCATTTAAATTTTGTTTTTAAGTTGATTGATTTTGTACCATAGATAAAACCACCATCAAGGGAATCTATTATGGCGCTAAAAGCTCTCCTATATACTATGAATCAACACAGCACCATTATGGTATCTTTACTCTCTTACAACCCACTGATATTAAGTTAACAAAGTTTTCTATAAGAATTGCATTTGTCCATTAATTATGTCTGTTCTGATGATCTTGATCATGACTATGTCAACATGTAGAGATCCTCCAGAGCGAGGCTACACGCAATGGCCAAGGTAAATGCCTTCCTCGTGGATGCAAAAGTACTCCTATGTTCACAGGCTCAGCCAACGATTGTTGTCACTGTTGCGTAACCAAATACGGGAAGAGTGCATGGTTGTTGAGGGAGCCGACCAACACTGCCATTGTTACAAAGAGAGCGTTTGAAAGTAACCTCATGTAATTACCAAGCGTAATTTTTGGATTCATTGGGTGTGAGGACATTACATGTGTGTGTATGTTTATGTTCAAGTTTCTTTTGCTTCCAAATAAAACAAACACCAAGGGCAAAGCTTATCGTTGATTGCCCGCAAGGCCGCAAGTGTAAGCTCGTGTTGTGAGTATTTTTATTTGTTTAACTCTGAATACTGTAACTGTATTGGTTTTGTGTCTGTGTTCCTCATCTTCATTCCCGCCTACGTACTACATTAACATTTCTTTCCTAAGAAATTCTTTATATTTGTCGACCACATCTTGAGGTAAAGACGTTGACAATCAGGTCAATTTTCAAAAAAATATATTAGTATTCCGTGTCATTTTAAATAGAACACTAAGTTGGATTCGGATATATGTTAACAGTTGGTACCTATGTTGCATTGCATGGAAACTCTATTATAAGTTATAACATAATATTATTAAGATAAATAACATGGTTACTACAAGCTTAACATAATATAATAAAGATAATAAATAGCATGGTTTCAATTTTCAAACACTACAAGCTTATTTAGTTCATATATATATGACATAGTGCATGTAACCGAAACGATAAAGTGCTTAGACCGATGCCGTCCAAGCCTCCAAAATGGTCTGACTTTTGGGTTTTGGTGACTTGAGCTGGATAGACCGCTTCCACTGGAAGAATACAAAGAGTATATAGCAAGGAAAGCCAAAAAGGACCGCCATTATCAACAGCGATGGGATTACCATCTGAGTACCCACAGCGACAGCGTTGAGAAACATCGAAATGCCGTAAGAACAGAAGAGGGGAACTGAGATCAATATGTAATACCAGATGTATTCGCGACCAAGGGGTAGAAGAACGAGGGTCAGGGTAAGAGACAGCCAAAACGCCAACGTATTGAATCCCGAATGGAGCATCAATAATAGGAGCCTATGTGGTTCAACGCGACTATCTGATTTAACGCGACTTTTTGAGTCACTTGGCGACTTCGCTTCATAAGTGGTCGACATGACAAGTGTGCTTATAACAAGGAGCGCGTTTCTGGTGCCGTCGGATATGGCGCTCCTGTAACGCACCGTTGTAATGGAGCAGTATTCTCTGAACGTAATCGGTGATCTTAAATATTGAGAGGAGGTCTTGACTTTAGATAGAGCATCCTTGCTCTTCCCTCCCGATCTTCTTATGATTTTTTCAGTATCGAAGTTCATATGATTACCCTTTGCTTTGACGATATCCAGGGGTGTAAAACCATCTTTATTCTGGATGTTACGGTCAAGCAAGAGGCATTTCAACAGAAGTTTGACTGCCTGTACAAATTCCCACACGAAACTTCATATATTGTATAACAGAATTATATATATATGTTTACCCAAAAAAAAAAAGAATTATATATATATGTATTATAAGCGGGTTAATTATCAATCACTTTAGCTTTAATATATCAGTTTCAAACTATGGGAAAAGAAAAACGAATATTTGGAATCATGTACATGCCTGGTGTTTGTCATCAGATGCTGCAATGTGCAAGGCAGTGTTGCCTTCCAGATCTTGTTTGTTTAGGACCTCAGTCTCCAATGACGTAGCGTCACGGTGGGTCATTCTTTGGATCCATCCGGTCAGTACTTTGAGCTCTTCATATCTACCGTGCCAGACCGCGACGTGTAGAGCCGTCTCACCTCTTACGTTCACGTCCACGATGCTCATGGGAGAAGCCATGAGAAACTCCGTGAGGAGATCAACATCACCTTTCTCCACTACATGATGCAGTGGTGTTGGGCCTGTTTGAACAAAATGATATTTTCTTGTTACCTATCTAAAGAACGTCCGGTCTAGAATTATATGATTCAGTAAGAAATTTTTGAAAAAAAATATATATATACCTCCTCTGCCGCGGAGGCGAACAAGAGCGGGATCCATCTTCACAAGCTCTATTGCTATCTCCACTTGACCGTTTTCCACGGCAAGATGTAAGGGGCTATACCCTCGTGTATTTAGTTTACTTGCAAAAGAGGGCATTAACACGGTTAGCTCTAGAGCCATGGCTAATTTGCCAGTAGCTGATGCCTCATGTAGCGGAGAGTGTACCAAAGGAAAAGCGTCGATGTTTTTTAGGATAAAGGGGTCTCTATCAATCAAAGAATACAACGTATCCACTGACTGAGCGACCCATGCTAGTTTGGTATCCATTGAAAGAGAAGAAATTTTGTTTGTTTTTCAGAATAGTGTATTCCTTGTAAGAACATACAAACTGTATGTTGTAATTATAGAAACTTTTTCTTACATGCATTATGGACACTATAGACTCCTCAACTGTACATTAATGAACATGGTAAATGTGATCCAACGATTTTTTTCCCCATAAAGTTAGTAACATCTTGACTTTTATTCACCACATGCCTTGTTGTCCTTGCCATGCTCATTTTCGCGCGACTGTCTCCATATTCGATTATACAGTTACGTTGTTTTCTATTATCTAGATATTGATTGCGAAATTTAATTAATTCAAATAACTTTGTGTAATCCTTTAATTATGTACATTTTTTAGTACATTGGATGATTTATACTAATTAAAAATATAAATTATCCAAACAGTGAATTATTACTGGAAAAAAAATCAATATGTATAGATTTGTTTTTCATTTTGGAGAAAAAAAATGTGTATGTTGCAGTTGAAGTGATTATAGACTTCTTAACTGTCGGAACTCTATTTATTTATTTATAGACTTCTCAACTTCCTACATTAATGAACTGATTAAATGTGATCCGACGATTCTAGTTTTTCAAAGTTGGTAACATCATGACTATCTCACCACGTACGTTCTTGCCATTCTCCTTTTCGACTGTCTCTATTCAATTTCCGTTGTTATATTGTAATCGATTACTTTGAACCAGTTTTTCTAAAGATAGTTAGAGTTTTTGTTTCAGTCTAGACTAATCCTACAATTTTCAGTTGTCATGTAATTATAACAAAATTACAAGATTGATAGTTGCTAGGTGACGTGATTATTACCATGTAAGTTGTTTATTTTAATTTATTTGATAAAAGGTTTTCGTATAGAATTTGTTTTCGGATTTTGGTGGGCTTTAGGAAACAAAACTAAATTAATAAAAGTCTACATAAGAAAATTTAAAGAAAAAGCCAAAATAGCCTAAATAATTGGCTCGGTTTACATACAAACCCTAACCAGATTGACCGATTACACAAAAACCCTAGTTAAGAAAATGGAAAATATATTCACAGATATATTGAAAATGAAAAATGTATTCATTATATGATCTATACACTTTGTATACTGAGAAATCGTGTTGGTTTAAGCTATACAATAACTTGTTTTTTCTTTAAAGTTTCTAAGAAATAAAAAGATATATTTTTGTTAAATTTTTGAATTTCTATTTTTTCAACTGAGCAGTAGTTGGAAATGAATGTGATGCATGCAGAATATTATTATGATTTAGATAATTTATATATTTATATTTTAATATTTATTATTTAGAGTTTTCTAGAATATTCTAGGGTTTAATTTTTTTTTATATATACTAGATTCGGGGTCATGTAAGCCTAATATTAATAACTGAAATAGATGGAAGAAATTGATAGGTCATTATTAATTATGAAAAGCCACAAAACAAAACAATGTGTATGATATACTTCAGTTCATTTCTTGATTGCTTTAGTTTGATCAAAATCATAATGGAATAATTTTGTTCTTCAGCATTCCTTAGAGTTTTTTTTCTTTAAACAATAATAATAAAACTCATTTGCGAGAGCTTCATCAATACACTGCGTGCTTCAGTTAAACATAACGTGAATGGCACAGTTTTTCATACCAAGTTTTGTATGGCGACATTCGTATGCATGCTCCTATGATATCTATTTTTTTTTTCAAACTTTATGATATGATATCTATTGTTGTAAGGTAATTCCACGAGCGATACATAGACGTTGATTTCCATATTTATAAGATTGAAATCCACTCTCAATCGTCTTTATATTAGGTCATTTTCTCTTAGATTTTTAAACAATGGTCATTTTAAACTTAAGAAAACTGAACTTGCAAAACGAGTTGCAACAAAAAGTCAACGACGACCTTCCTTTTGTTTTATTATGTTAGATAAGTGCATAACTAAAACAGTCTTAGAAAATATAAATTAAATAAATATAACCTACATCAATGGTTTAATGTGACATACGGCAATGGAAAATTGTGACAACATTGTGAGAAAAATACCAAGATTAAATATCAGAAAGTTACAAAATTTTGACGATAAATAGATCACCATACATATATGGATATGTCTCTCAAAAGTTGAGTTTATTGACAAGGAAAAGAAAAAGAGTTTGAGAAAAAGCACATCAGAACCGAAAGAAATGGCAAAGAACCTCCACTCCATCGGCTTCACCGTTCTCTTGCTTGTCATTCTGATGTAGCAATATTTTTCTGTTTTTGAAAAGCATATAAATCCAATCACAGTCCAACCATCCAATGTTATTCAAGTTATAATTCTAAATTATGTTTTACAGTTTCGTGTTAGTTAATCAATATTTTAAATAATCAAAATCCATAGTTATTCAAAACTAAATTGTGAATGTCATTTGAAATGAATTTTATTGGAGTTTAATGACTAAATTATCAAAAATAAAATTCAAACTTTGTCGCAAAATTTTTAAAATTCACATAGAACTACCTAGATTCTCAATAATAATATCAAAGATTTAAATCTAAAAAATTATAAAAACATAGAAAACTGATTTTAAATCTAGAATTCAATAAAACTCCCTAAGAGCATACAAATCATGTGCCGTTTGAAATTAAAGAAACGACAAACTTACTTGTTTACATTTTTCTCAGGTTTGTCTTTTTTTTTTGTCAACATTTCTGAGGTTTGTTTTGTAAGTATTTTTAATTAGTTGAAAGTTTGCAAAACAGGTTATTCTGAGGGTGTTGTTTTGCAAATTGCCTTAATACTAAAATTGTAAAAGACGACGGCTTTGTTTTTTTGTTTTTCTTTCAAACCCTTCACCGCCGTTTGTTCTTCAACCTCCTCGCCGCTACCTTCTCTCTCCCTCAAAATCACAAATCCTAATAGAAGAATCGTTCCAAAGTAATCTTCTTGACTTTCGTCTGTTCCTATCTAAATTTGAAGCTTTGTCTTTGCCTCTTTCTAAGGTTTCTATCGATATTCGATAAACCCTAGTTGTTCCCGTGCTCTGTTTTAGAAAGCTAAAACCTAAAGATTAGTAGTATCCCAGTTCTCACAAAATTCACAATCGAACTTTGCTGCAGAGAAATCATCATAAGATGGTGACTGAAGAAGACAAGATTTTCGCCAAGAATTTCAACATCGACCAACTCCCCGACGTCCCTGCCGGACTTCCTCCGCATCTCAAGCTCAAACAATCTCGCGTCGTCCCTAAAAATGTCGCTCCCCTTAACGTATGAAACTTTTCTGGCTTATGCTCTGTATTTGTAGCTTAATAATCTCAGCTGATTAGAAATTTTATTGGCTCTTCTCAGTGTTCCTATATATCGTTGCTATGTTCACGGATTTGGTGTAGAAATACAGAGTAAAGTTTCAATTTTTTTTTGCTTTTCCTGTGAAAAAGCTGTGATTTTGTGAGGTTGGTCTTTAGCTTGTAGCAAAACTCAAATGATATGAGTGTTAATCGTTTGAAAGTTGAAGTCTTTAATCTTGTTCTCTTTTAATGTGTGTGTTTTCTGTAGACTGAGGCTAAAGTTTCAAACTTTTTTTGTTTTCCCTGTAACAAAGCTGTGAATTTGTGAGTTTGGTCTTTAGCTTTTTACAAGATTACACTGTGGGTTTGGTAGTTTTTCTCAAAAATTCAAATGATATGTGTGATGTTTGTTAGAAATTTGAAGTCTTTAAATCTTGTGTTGTCTCTGTAGACTGATAGTGCAATTTACTCTGGAGGCTATGTCACCACGGGAGGGGAAGAGAGTGTGAAAGTGGAAAGCTTTTACGAGAATTTCAAAGTTGATGTGATTAGTTGCACAGAGACAGATATCGAATTCGATATGGTCGGTATCGATTCATCATTCGCCAACGCATTCCGAAGAATCCTTATAGCTGAGGTCTGTGTCCACTGTGATCTCAACATTCACACAAACCTCTAAATCTTTGTTTTTGATTAAAAAAGTGTTCCTTTTTCTTTTGCAGGTTCCTTCAATGGCTATTGAGAAAGTGCTTATAGCAAACAACACATCGCTTGTTATAGACGAAGTTCTTGCTCACAGGATTGGTCTTATTCCAATTGCCGTAGATCCAAGGCTCTTTGAGTATTTATCCGGTAAGTGGCTTTTGATCCATCTCCATAAGCAAGCCTGATATATCTTAATTCTTTATCTCTTTGTGTCCCAATAGAAAATGACCAGCCAAATGAGAAGAACACCATTGTTTTCAAACTCCATGTGAAATGTCCAAAAGGCGAATCACGTCTCAAAGGTAATGAACAATCTGTTCTTTTAGTTAGCATCATGAGAAGATGATTCCTTGTTTTTTTGTGATCTCAATCTCTCATGAAAAGTTGTCTTTTTTTTATGTAGTTTTAACGAGCGAATTGCAATGGTTACCAAATGGAAGTGAGTTTCTCAAAGAAGCAAAAGGTTCAAACGCAAAGCCAAAAACTTACACTTCATTCAGCTGTAGCCAAGACTCTTTACCTGAGTTTGCTGATAACCCCATCACTCTCAGCCACCTCGATATCTTGATAGCAAAACTCAGCCCTGGTCAGGTACTGTTACATCTTCAGAGGAACTTCACTTGCAATGAGCGAAACAAAACCAAACACTTGCCTCTTAGCTTTAATCATCTTCTCGTTTTGTTGCAGGAAATCGAGCTCGAAGCTCATGCGGTTAAAGGCATTGGTAAAACACATGCAAAGTGGTCTCCAGTAGGCACAGCTTGGTATCGAATGCTTCCTGAGGTGAGAGAAGTTATATACATCAGTCTATCATCCTTGCAGCGAGAAAGCTCTTTGTTTTAGTCCTAATCTTGCTCACAAATGCTTTAAGGTGGTGCTAAAAGGGGAAGTTGAGGATGAACTTGCTGAAAGACTCGTAAAAGCCTGCCCACAGAAAGTTTTCGACATTGAAGACATGGGCAATGGTAAAGTTGAAGCCTTTCTTCAAATTTCATTCAAAGCTTCATACTTTGCTTTAGAGTAACAACAGGAGATTCTGATGAAACTTGGCTGGAAAAACAGGTGGGAAACGGGCGACGGTAGCGCAGCCACGTAAGTGCACGTTGTGCAAGGAATGTGTAAGGGACGATGAATTGGTAGACTTTGTGGACCTTCGCAGTGTGAAGGACCATTTTATATGTAAGGAGAAGAAAGAAAAGAAAGAACATTACTTTTGCTCTGCAATTTCATGGTTTAATCTGGATATTGAGTTTTGTTGTTGTGTTTTTGTCAGATAACATTGAGTCCACTGGATCATTGCCTCCGGATGTTCTCTTCACTGAAGCTGTGAAGATTTTGGAAAATAAATGTGAACGTGTACTCGCTGCACTCTCCTGAGGAAAGAGGATTGATTGGAATTGGTTTAGCTCTACTGGTTTGGTTCCGGTTTAGTTCAATTTTGAGTGTTGTATCAAAAATTTCCAAAATTAACGAATAACACTGAAATGTACTTGTAGTTTTGGTTTGTTTTCAATTATCTTGAAGAATATTTTTTGGTTCAATTTGGATTTCAATTATCTTGATTAGTTAAAACAAAAACACAGAGTATAATAATTATAAAAAAAAAAACAAATTCAGTCTAGTTTTTCATAACGACGAATACCACTTTTACTCTTGGTATTCCAAAAGTACACAACATCCTTGAATGAAAAAGCTTTAGGAGAAGCAGATTTGGCCGTCTTCTTGTTAAGCTCATTTTCGACATCCGACACTCTCTGCTCCAGTGATAAGACTTTAGCACTAGACTTTGTTTTCTCCTTGCTCAGTTCAACTTTGAGATTCTTGTTTTGTTCCTCGAGTTCTTGAACTCTAGAGCCATCAGAATTTGATTTCTTCCTCTCCAAGGTAACCTCATCAAGCTTTGTCTTCAACCAGTCCAGCTTGAAACCAGCTTCTGTTAGCTCGATCAATTCGCTCTGCGCATTGCTTAGCTCAGTCTCATAATGTTAATACGGGCAGCCCAGGCCCATTTAAGCCATGCCCGTTTAAGCCCGAACCCATTTAAGCCATGCCCGTTTAAGTCCGTTAATTTTTAAACCCGTTTCGGCCCTTAATTTTAAGCCCGCCGGGCTTAGGCCCATCCACTAAAGCCCGTGTAAATTTTGAAGTAACAAATTTACTTTTTTTTTGTTTGTTGTGTTTACCCTTTATTAAAAGTTTAAAACAAAGAAACCCAGAAAATCAAAAATTAAAACAGAATGTAAAATCTTATATAAACGAGGGTTGAAACTTGAAAGAAGTGTATGAATGATAATTCTCACAATCTCACCCAAAAAAAAAAAAGGCATAGAAATTGGTTTCTCTAAGGAAGAGACTTAACCTGAGCAACAAAGACATTCTCCATAGCTAGTCGTCTTATGGCGCTGGCGACGGAAATAGTATCACTACGAGATGCCATTTACTTGTCAAAACAAATGTCCTACGAGCCAAAACAGACCGTTAGATCATTATGCACTGAAAAAGTAATCCAAACGTAAGCAGCTTTAATATCATACAATTTCTTTAAACCTATTCAAATGTTTACAAAACAAACCAAGCAACTCAACAAAGCAAATTTGCAGAAAGAAACTGACAACTAAACACAACACGAAACCTGATCAAGTAAAGTCGACAATTCTATAACTAAGCAAAACCAGATTCAAGGCTTCTTTTTGTATCAAGAGAACATTAAGATACTAAAAACAAGTTCAGAAAAAGAAGTAGAGAAGAATGATTACCTCATGGTCTAGGTCCTCTAGGATCTTCTGAAGTTGATACTTCTGTTCTCGAGCTAGTGGCCTCATTGTCATCTTCTATGATTTCTTCATAGTCTTCATAGCCTCTTAGCCAATTTCTTGTGCACAGTAATGCCTGGACATTCTTTGGCAGCAAACGATTTCTATAGGGCGTCAAGATCCTAGCTCCTATGCTAAAAGCAGACTCTGATGCAACAGTAGTTATAGGAATTGTTAAGAGATCCCGTGCCATTTCAGCTAAACAACCAAAGCCGATGTTGGTTCTCTTTCCAGTAGCCCAGAATATCCAAATCTGGAAAAGCACTCCTCGCTAGCCTCGGCTCATCCAAGTAGATATCTAAATGCGTTTTTGTGTTGCCCACACCAGAAGTCAAGGCTTCTTTCTAACTCAAAGAGATCCTGTAATGAACAATCATGTCATCAGTTACATGAAGCAAAGTCTTGAGAATAAAGCAAAGTCTGTTCTGTAACACTAACACACTAGTTATTATGAATATCATGAATACGGAAGCATCAATATCATCAATAAACCCTGCACAATATCATTCCCTGCAATCAAGCAAACTCACAAGTGCATACTAAAAATCATTTCCAGGGACTAAAAATCAGGTGCATACTAAAATCAGGTTCACAAGTGAAGAAGAGAATTTTACTTACATCATCAAAGTCATGTTCAAGTGGAGACTCAGTGACAATGTCATGTGGAGTTGGTGTAGCTGAAACACCACAAGAACTTGCACGATTCCTAGTCTGATAATCTTTGTAGAGCATCTTCAAATTTTCCTTGAGTTCATCAATTTTTAACCAAGAAGTAGTAGGATCCGCAGCTTCATAAGCTTTTTCAACATTTCCACTTTCAGCCTAGGATCAAGAACAGCTCCCATAGCCAAAATGACACTATAATCCTCCCAATATTTATTGAACTTTCCTTGCATTCTTCCAACCATTTCTCTTATTGCAGCATCATCATCATCAGCATATTTCTGCAGCAGCATCTCAATTCTCCATACTTGCGTGAAATAGACATTTGATGTAGGGTATTTCGAACCTGACATGTAGGTAGTAATAACACTGAAAGGTTTTAACAGCTTGGAGATTTTATCCCCACGTCCCACTCAGCTTGTGAAGGGAGTGTCTTGTAGTGAGGGTCAAAAGTCTCCATGCTCTCAAATGCTTTCCTATACCTCAAAGCTCTCACAAGCATATCGTATGTGGAATTCCATCTGGTCTTTATATCAAGAGACAATCCTGCACCAGGTTTGACCTTTTCTCTCTCTGCACAAGCTGAAAAAGCGTTTCTTCTTTGTGGAGATGCCTTAACATATCTAACACTTTCCCTAATGTCATTTAACAAATCATTTGCTAACAACAAGCCTTCTTTCACTATCAAATTCAAGATATGTGCACAACATCTCACATGAAAGAACTTACCATCACATACCAAACCACTTCCACCAATCATCTGAAGCTGTCCATTTAGGTTTCTTTGCATACTATCATTGTTCGAAGCATTATCCAAGGTAATGGAGAAAACCTTTTTCTCCAAGCCCCAATCTCTCAAACACTCAAGAACCACACGAGCAAGCTCTTCACCAGTATGTGCACAATTCATGTCCAAGAAAGCTAATATCCTACTGTGCAGTATCCAGCTAGCATCAATGAAGGAGGCTGTTAAGCAAATATATCCTGTCATTGTGGCACGAGATAGCCACAAATCAGAAGTAAAGCAGACCCGGCCATGATGATTAGCAAACACTTCCTTTAGCTTCTCCTTTTCTACCAGATATTTCTTATAGACATCAGATGCAGCTGTCTGTCGACAAATAGGTTTACAATCTGGATTAAGGTATAAGTTTCTTGCTCTGACCTTTTCATACTCCACATATCGAAATGGCAGATCGTGATAGATAATGATCTCGCTGGTCATCTCTCTGTCGATCTTGTGATCATATGGAGGCCTATCTGTCTTCTTGGGAGCCTTTGGACACTTTGCTAAATGGCGAAGCAAATGGTTTGTTCCATGTGTTTAGACCCGCGGGCTTCAGACCCATATTAACATCACTAGCTCAGTCTCAGAGATGCTATGTGGAGTCTTTTCCAGTGTCTGGATGAGACCGAGGAGGATATTCATGCAACTTGTCTTCAGCAGTTGGTTCTTAAAACTCAAGTTTGCTGCAATGTCCGGGTGTTTCGTGAAAAGATTGCTCACTGAAATAACCTGGGAACATGAAGAAACAAAAAAAACGCAATTATGTTACATAGAAAAGGGAGTCAATTCATTAAAGAAGAAAAAAAACAAGAAGAAGAAGAATCCTTTTAATTAAATCCCTTAAATAATACCTGAGAATAAAGAACTCGGAAACCATTATAATCAAACGTCTCATTCGCAGTGGCATCTCCTTGATCAACAACTTCAATTACTTTTACTTCCACTCTAACTATCAGTTTGTTCTTCTCTAGAAACCCTTCTTCTTGAAGCTTTTTAAGAGGCAATGTCTTTGCCTTACCCCATGATGTAAACTGAGCGCAGAACAACTGGCATGATTCTAAATGAGAGAAACTAAAAAGATTAATTTAAATTTTCTTCCGACAATCAGATATATATATGCATGTACAATTTACATGTAATAAATAAATTACCATCTTTTCTGTAGAGCTCTTTGCCTGATTGATTCAACAGTGCCAAGGAATAACTAGCTCGTCTTTTCCATCCAAGTCTCAGTGATTCAGGATTCTCAACACATAGGAACAGAGACAAGTGATCATCAACAATATCTCCTTTAGGATGAACCCTAAAATACCTGAGGGAAAAAAAAGGGAAGCAGATTAAATAAACGCTTTAGTTGTACTCCTAATAACAGAGACGACTCATTTATTGAATCTAGAGGATGAGTTAAAGAATCAAAACATGTATAGTCTTTTCCTTTACCATTCGCAACCACCGCTTGAGAATTTTGGTGAAAATATCACAGCTTCCTTGTCGGAGAAGTTATCTATCTCAAACGTGAAACTCGTCTGATCCTCCATATCTCTCCAATAAACGCTTTAATGGTTGTATATTCTTAATTTTTGTTACTTGAATCAAAACTTGTTTTTGGATACTTCACCCATAGACCATATAAAGCTTTCTTTTCAAAATCCTAACTCTAAAGCAAGTAGGAAACCTGAATAATAAAATTAACAACCACGAATTTTATTACCTAAGCGCACCATCTACACATATACATAACACCTAACCAATTTACTTTTTGTTGTGTTTGTCTTACACTAGTAGTCTAACAATCAGGCTTTCATATGTTCAAAATCCAGTTCCACTCGAATCTTTTTCAAAATTGCTTGATCTTTTTTTTTTTTTTGCTTAAAAAACCTAAACTGGAACATGTTTTCAGATTTTATTAATAACTTAAAACAAGATATCGCAATTGCTCCAGTGGTCCAGTGATAAAATTCAGTAAACTCGTTAAATAAAAACTTGTGACCCAAGGAACCTTTGGTGACGTTTAAAAGCGCGTGGAAGATCCTTCTCTGTAATGGATTCGATCTATCAAGCTATATATATATATTTATCATTGTTGTGTTGGTGTAACATATTAACTCGAACTAAGTTTTGAAGGAAAAGTGATGATGATGACAAAAACAAAGAATCAAAGGATCGATGATCTCTGCATATTTCTTTAGTATCTACCGTTTAATTTTTATTTTCTTTAACTAAAAGAAAGAGAAGTTCTGCACAAGAAACTTCTTAATTAGCAAAAACAAAAACACCCAGTAATAAAAAACAATTTCAATCTAGTTTTTCATAACCACTTTTACTCTTGGTATTCCAAAAGTAAACAACATCCTTGAATGAAAAAGCTTTCGGAGAGGCAGATTTGGCCGTGTTCTTGTTAAGCTCATTTTCAAGATCCGACACTCTCTGCTCCAGTGATAAGACTTTAGCACTCGACTTTGTTTTCTCCTCGTTCAGTTCAACTTTGAGATTATTAATATGTTTCTCGAGTTCTTGGACTCGAGAGCCATCAGAATTTGATTTCTTCCTCTCCAAGGTAACCTCAGCAAGCTTTGTCTTCAAACAGTCTAGCTTGAAACCCGCCTCTGTAAGATCGATCAATTCACTCTGCGCGTCGCTTAGGTCAGTCTCAGATATGCTATGTGGAGGTCTGTTCAGTAACTTGATGAGATTGAGGAGGAGATTCATGTATGTTGTCTTCACCGATTTGCTCTTTGGTCTGAAATTTACTGCAAAGTCCGGGTGCTCCGCGAAAATCCAGCACACTGAACTAACCTGTCACCGAGAAAAAGATGAAACTATATCAACCCTAGAGAAGTGAATACAAAGGAAAAAAAAAAGTTTATAATATTAATCATACCTGAGAATACAGAACGTGGAAACCATTGAAATCGAACGTCTCATTCCCAGTGACAACTCCTTGATCAACAACTTCAACTACTTTGACTTCCACTTTAAACCTCAGTTTGTTCTTCTCCAAAAAACCTTTTTCTTGAAGCTTTTTAAGAGGTACGGCCTTTACCAAACCCCATGTTGAGAACTGAGCGCAGAACAATTGGCACAACGATTCTGTACACACCAAAACCAGAAAGATTAAATTAAAATTTTCTTCCTCGACAATCATACATATACATGTAACATCTGGTAAGTAAAATACCATTTATTTTGAAGAGCTCTTCGCCTGATTGATTCACCAGAACAAAGGAATAATCAGCTCGTCTTTTCCATCCAAGTCTCAATGATTCAGGATTCGCAACATACAGGTACAGAGCCAAGTGATCATCAACATTATCTCCTTTGGGATAAACGACAACAAACCTGAAAGAAATAAAAAAGAGAAACAGATAAATCTAAGCTTGGTTGTAAACCTAATAACAGAGTTGAATCAAGAGGATGAGTTAAGAAATCAAAAGCACACACATAAATATGTATAGATAATCTTTTCCTTTACCATTCGCATCCACCGCTTGAGAATCTTGGAGTTCGTAGGAAACCTTCCAAGAAGTTATTTATCTCAAACGTGAAACTCGTCTGCTTATGATCCTCCATATCTCTACTACAAAAACACTTTTTTGGTATTATATTCCTAATCTTTGTTACTTCAAGCAAAACTTGTTTTTGGACGCATAGACCGTAAACAGTAGTATTATATAGAGCTTTTTTTTTTTTTTTCCAAAATCCTAAAACAATTAGGACACCTGAAAAAAAAAAAATTAACAACCACGAATTTAATTACCTAAGCACACCATCGACACATACATAGCCGTAACGAATTTCTTTTTATAACAAACCATAAATTTATGTGAAAGACTTGTCTTTTTGTTACATATTTTAATATCGTTTGCTTAACCAAGTGTCCAAAGGCTGGAGTGATGATCACTTGGCTCTGTACCTGTATGTTGCGAATCAAGTGTCCAACATACAGGTACAGAGCCAAGTGATCATCACTCCATACCGGTCCATACTCCTTCTGGTAAAGGGTTCTAAGGGCAAGCTTGTCTCTCTCGACAAGTGGTCTTGGTTAAAAACGTTTACTTATCCAGTTCCACTATACTCTTTTTCAAAACTGCTTGATCTTTTTTTGTTGAAAAAACCCTAAACCACTTGTATGGAAATATTTTAAATCCGGAACTTCTTGATTAGCCAAAAACAAAACCACAAAGTAATAATTAAAAAAAAAAAAAAAAAAAAAAAAAAAAAATCAGTCTAGCTTTTCATAACCGGATCTCCGTCGCTTAATTTCACTTTTACTCATGGTATTCCAAACGCAAAGAACAAAATCCTTTAATGGAAAATTAGGAGAAGCAGATTTGGCCTTCTTCTTGCTAAGCTCATTTTGGAGATTCGGCACTCTCTGCTCCAATGATAAAACTTTAGCAGTAGACGTGGTTATCTCTTTTTCCAGTTCTTGGACTCGACCACCATCAGAATTTGGTTTCTTCCTCTCCAAGGTAACCTCAGCAAGCTTTGTCTTCAACCAGTCTAGCTTAAAACCCGCTTCCGTTAGCTCGATCAACTCGCTACGAGCGTTGCTTAGCTCGGTTTCGGATAAGTTATGTGGACGCTTGTTCAGTGTCTCGATGAGACCGAGTAAGATATTGATGTATGTTGTCTTCACCAATTGGTTCTTTGGTCTGAAATTTATCGCAATGTCTGGGTGCTTCCCGAAAAGCCTACTCACTGTACCAACCTGTCAACGATAAGAACATGTAATTATGTTAAAACTAAAAAAAGGGAATCAAAAAGATGAAGGGAAACAAAAACAAAAATTATAATTAATTATTACCTGAGAATAAAGAACTCGGAAACCCATGAAATCAAACGTCTCCTTCCCAGTGACATCTCCTTGATCAACAACTTCAACTACTTTTACTTCCACTTTAACTATCAGTTTGTTCTTCTCCATAAACCCTTTTTCTTGAAGCTTTTGAAGAGGCACGGCATCTGCCCTACCCCATGATGAGAACTGAGCGCAGAACAATTTGCACGATCCTGTATGAGAGAAAATAGAAAGATTAATTTGAATTTTCTTCCTCGACAATCAGATATATATATATATATATATATATATATATATATATATATATATATATTACATCAATTACCATCTTTTCTGAAGAGCTCTTTGCCTGATTGATTCAACAGAACGAAGGAATAACTAGCTCGCCTCTTTTCCATCCAAGTTGCAGTGATTCAAGATTTGCAACACACAGGTACATAGCCAAGTGATCTTCAACATTATCTCCTTTGGGATAAACATTAACAAACCTGGGAAGAAAAGGAAACAGATTAACTAAACGCTTTAGTTGTACTCCTAAATCCTAATAACGGAGTCTAGAAGATGATTTAAGAATCAAAAAGTCTTATCCTTTACCATTCACAGCGGCCGCTTGAGAATGTTGGTGATGATATCGCACCTTCCGTCTCCGAGAAGTTATCTATCTCAAACGTGAAACTCGTCTGCTTTTGATCCTCCATATCTCTACTACAAAAAAAAACTCTTTTAGGTTTCTATATTCTTAATCTTTGTTACTTCAAGCAAAAGACAAATTTTCTCAAATTTGTTATGGGATACTTCAGCACCCATATATAGGCCGTAAGCAGTATTTATAGATTTTTTGTCAAAATCCTAATTCAAAGCAACAAGGAAACCTGATTAATAAAATTAACAACCAGGAATTTAGCCAATAATGAATTTCTAATCCCATATATATATATATATATATATATATATATATATATATATATATATATATATCGGTTCGGTTAATTACTACCCGTAACAAGGGTATGTATACGATTCATGCATACTCGTGGGACATGGTGGCTTGAGTTGAGACAATACGGTTTGCTTAACCAAGTGTCTCAAGTGGTCACATACCGGTCCATTCTCAAAAGGGGTCATAGGGGCAAGCTTGTCTCTCTCGACAAGCAGTCTCGGTCCATTCTCGTGGACTCATCGAGCGGTTGTACTTGTCTAGGAACAATCAAGAAGTGTGTTGGTTATTGTTGCTTTTGTGGTTTCTCATTATAAATTTATAACACTAGAGTTATATTATTTTCCTCGTACTATCTACATAACTAATAAGGCTTGGACAATCTCCAGCCTTTGACACGTGGCACTCTCTTTTTTTTTTTTTTTTTTCGCCTAACACCAAAACGACGTCGTTTTTTTTTTTTTCGTCTTACACCAAAACGACGTCGTTTTGCGCTTTTTTTTTTTCGTCTTACACCAAAACGACGTCGTTTTCGTAAAAAAAAAAAAAAATCTAAATCAAAATTATGTGTAATGTTGTTCGTTTTGATAGGCTTGATTATTTATCGGACCTCTTCGTTTCCATGGTAGCTTTAAATGGGCTTACTGGCTAATTAGCTCATTTCATTTCCTTTTAAAAAGGGTTGCAATTATTATTATCTATGAGTCTGTAGGATAATAATCAATCTATAATGATTGTTAGTATAAGGAAAATTAGAAGAACTCAACTCCAGTCGATAAATTATTGTATAAAAGAACAAAAAACATATGAAACTATTCACTATGAGTCTATATAAGATTTCACGTAAATAACAACTAAATTTTAAAACTATATGAAAAAAAACAAAATGCAAAACTTACAGAATCTAATATATTCGAGTAAAAAACAAATGATATATTCGAATCTAATGTTCTGAATAATTAAATTAAAAATATTTGGTTTAATAAACCCGCGCATTGCGCGGGTTCTCTCCTAGTCAAATATAATACCAGCTTATATATACCATTGTAGAACGACCTTTCTTTCTTCTCCACCCTAACAAAACAACAGATTATATACTAAATGCATAGAAGAAACCTAAAAGTGTATATATATATGTATGTGACAGTGGCGAACAGAGAATCATAGATTAATTTTTTCTTTTATTGATATAATTATAAATCACCGGCTAATTCCTCCAGGACCTCCACTCTATTCCTTGATATATTTCCAAGTTTGTAGTTGTTACTGTAATTTACGTATATTAAAGTAAAGTGATTAAAATTTAGCAATTAGCACCAGTGGTCTAGTGGTAGAATAGTACCCTGCCACGGTACAGACCCGGGTTCGATTCCCGGCTGGTGCACTGAGCTGTGATGACTTTCGGCCTTAGCGAAGCTTGGTCCTTCGCACCTCTCTGATTATTCAGATGATAACTGGCCTTGTAACTGAGCTCTTTTTTTTAGTATATAATTTTTTGCATCTGCTAAGTGGTATTTAAGAGAACTAACGTTTGTGGCTAAAATTAGGGCAAATATAAAAATGATGTAACGTGTGACTCAAGTGCATATATTGCTAGCTGTCTTTAATTAGGGTTTTTAATGTTCTTCTGTTTCTTTTTTTTTTTTTTTTTTGGGTTCAGGTTCTTTTGAGTGTAATTTCCTTTTTTAATCTTTATTTCCTTTTTGTATTGATGCTTTTAATTTCGAGTTGCCTATGGTATTTTATTAAAATAAAACTGCTTGATAATTGGCATTCTACTTGAACCAACAACGATCATCCAAGACAAACGAATAACGAAGACCTATCCTACACGTTCTCCGATCAATCAAAACGTTCGTCTTCCTCAAAAACCCTAATCCCCTCCTCTCTTGATTCCTTCCAAAAGAGGAGACTAAATCATGACACAGAGAGGAGGAGAAAACTTCAACGACAGAGGAATGTCTAGGAGAATTGCTGCTGGGCTTGAGGGTCCAGACCGTATTTTTGTGTGTGGGCATCCAGATGTCTTCACGGAGGCAAAGATCAGAGAGCTCTTGGAGTATTTTGGTCCCCTAAGAGTTTTCAATATCATCAAAGACAAGGAAACAGGAATCGCAAAGGGACAAGGATTCTGTGCTTACCAAGATCCATCGGTGACAGATATTGCATGTGCTGCTCTGCACAAGATGAGTATGGGCGGTAAGAAGCTTGCTGTTAGGCGTGCGGTCAACCATGCGATTCAACCTAAAACCGAGCAAGAACTTGAGATTGCTATGCAGAGGCTTAAGATACAACCTAGAACCGTACAAGATCTTCAGATTGCTTTGCAGAGGCTTATGATTCAACCATGAGGTGTTAGTAACGATAGGGAACCGTAATAAGTTTGAATCTTTGCTTTTTAACTTTTGGAATCCTTGTAATCTCGTTTTAGTCATTAAGAAAAGAGTTTCAAGTAATTATAAAAGCGTATTTTAATGAGTAGCTGTATTTCAACTTGAAAACAACTAAAAATATATATATTTTTCAATCAACTATTTGAGACATTTGTAAGATACTCGTCAATGTAGACAGTAAATTGGAGTCTTCCCAAGTATAGATATTTCACAAAGGAACTCTTGTGGTCTTTTGGTCCCATAAGATTTTTCAATTTGATAAAAGATAAGGAAACCGGAAGTCAAAAGGGATATGTATTTTGTGCTTACCATGACACTTCAAGTTAGGCGTGCATACTTACTACAATCAAGGAGTGTGTTGGTTATTGTTGCTTTTGGAGTTTTGGTTTTATTATAACACTAAGGTTTTGACCAATTTTTTTTTTTTTTTTAAATTCCTCGTACCAATGTAACATGTGTGACACAGTTCAAAAAGAGACTCATAGATGTATGTATAATTTTTTTTTTTAAAACTTATAAATCCACCTGGTTCCTCAATATATTAAAATTGTCGGAGTTTAACAAGAAGCACCAGTGGTCTAGTGGTAGAATAGTACCCTGCCACGGTACAGACCCGGGTTCGATTCCCGGCTGGTGCACTGAGCGATGATGAATTTCGGCTTTAGCGATGGTTGGTCCTTCGCATCTCTCTGATTATTCAGATGATAATTGGTCTTGTAACTGAGCTTTCTTTTATTTATTTTTGGGTTCTGGACGAGAGAACCTTGCTCAGAATTTGTGGCACTTTGACGACATATATTTCATCTTTTTGGTGTGTAAATGCTAAGATAGACTACATATATTTCATCTTTTTTAGATTGAAAATTTACGTGTCTCTACTTCATATGTCCAAAGTCTTGGTAATTGACAGAGGAATGTCTTGGAGAACTGCTGCAAGCCTGCAAACGATTACAAAGAATCAATGTCCAAGCTCTCTTCATTCATCCTAGAGCCGAGCAAGATCTTCATATTGATGCTTTGCAGAGGCTTAGGATTCACCCATGATGTTCTAGTCATTGTTAGTTTTGTAAGGTCCAATGCCATTACATCTAATGTAAACCACTCTTGGGATCACTCTAAGTAAATAAACCCATTGAATTTTACTACGAGATGCAAACAAATTTGATGAAGCTACAAGCACTTTTAGTGATGCTTTAATAGATAATTAAATTAAATATGTATGCTACCATATTAGGTATAGATACTATTGAATATAATAAAAGATGACTAATTCTTTTTTTTTTTTTGACGAAAAGGCTATGATGACTAATTCTTTTCGTATTACTAGTAACTACATTCAATGATTTGGCTCTAAATCTACATTATGATTAGGCTATTTTAGTGGCTCACATTGAAAATATAGAGGGTGCAATTATTTTTATGTTGTGTTATCATTTCATCACACAAATCACCCTTTTGGAAGCATATTTCGTTTGAGTTTAGAAAAGGAAAAAGAATTGATTTATCATGTGTCATCGTCACTCATGAAAAAGAAAATAAATAACTAGAATTTATTAGAAAAAAAGAAAAAGAAAATAGGCGAAATACAAGATAAAAACAAATTTCTGAATAACTTTATTTTCTGTTTTTTTTTATTAAAGGAAATAATGAAATATGTGAAGAAGCAAAAGTAAAATAGGAATAGAAAAAGTAAAGTAAAATCTATATAAAACTTAAAAAATCAGAAAATAGACTCGCACTCACTCTCTTTTTTTTTCTAAATCACAACAAGAGGTTAGGTTATCGATCCGAGGAAGGCGATGACGACGGAGACGGCGACTGCGACGATCTTCTTCCCTTCGTCTGAAGACCTCGTTCACGAGGAAATCGTGTTGCGAAACCCTAATACCCTTAAACCTTGGTGGAGATATCTGATTTCGAAGTCCGATTCCCCTTTCAAGGAGCGATTCGTGATCTACGAGAGGGCCCTGAAGGCTCTTCCTGGCAGCTACAAACTCTGGTACGCGTATCTCCGGGAACGCCTCAATGCTGTGAGGGATTTACCTGTGATTCATCCACAGTACGAGGGCCTTAACAACACATTCGAGAGAGCTCTTGTGACTATGCATCGCATGCCGAAGATCTGGCTCATGTATCTTCAAACCCTGACGGAGCAGAAGCTGATTACCAAGACGCGGAGGACTTTCGATCGAGCTCTCCGTGCTCTTCCGGTCACACAACACGGCCGGATCTGGGAGTCGTATCTCGAATTTGCGAGCCAGGAAGGTATTCCGGTGGAGACTGCGCTTAGAGTTCACCGGAGGTATCTCAGGTACGATCCTAGTCACATAGAGGATTTCATCGAGTTTCTGTTGAAATCTGGTCGCTGGCAAGAGTCCGCAGAGTCTCTGGCGTCTTTGTTGAATGGCGAATTTCAATCTAGTAAAGGAAAGAGCAAATATAGCCTGTGGATGGATCTGCTTGATGTTGTTGTTCACCATGCGGATGAGGTTTCAGGTCTCGATGTGGATGCGATCATCAGGGGAGGGATTAGAAAGTACAGAGAAGAAGTTGGGATGCTCTGGAATTCACTTGCTGATTACTACGTCAGGAAGGGTTTGCTTGAGAAGGCGAGGGATATCTACGAGGAAGGGATGATGAAGGCGGTCACAGTGAGAGATTCAGTGTTGTATTCGACGTGTACTCGAGATTTGAGGAAAGTTGTATTGCGAAAAGAATGGAATTAGAAGACGAGGAGGAAGAAGAATGTGAGTCTGTGGTAGATGATGGTGATGAGGAGGATGTTCGTCTTCTTCCTTCTCTGTCTTTAAAAGAGATGCAGAGGAAAATTCTTGGTGGGCATTGGTTGAATGATGGGAATGATGTTGATCTGAGATTGGCTCGTTTGGAGGATCTGATGAACAGAAGACCGGAGCTTGTAAACAGTGTTATGCTGAGGCAAAACCCACACAACGTTGAGCAATGGCTTCGTAGAGTCAAGCTGTTTGAGGGAGACGCAGAGAAGCAGATACATACTTACACGGAAGCTGTGAAGACCGTTGATCCCATGAAAGCAACGGGCAAGGTCTCCCCACACGCTGTGGGTATGCTTTGCTAAGCTCTACGAGTCTCACGGAGATTTGGATAATGCAAGAGTGGTTCTTGACAAGGCAGTGCAAGTGAACTACAGGAGCGTGGATCATTTGGCCTGTGTGTGGTGTGAGTAGGTTGAGATGGAGCTGAGGCACAATAACTTTACAGGGGCTTTAATGCTGATGAGGCGTGCTACAGCTGAACCGTCTTTAGAAGTCAGACGCATGGTTGCTTCTGAAGCAGAACCAGTCCAGAGCTGCACAAGTCCTTGACGCTATGGTCTTTATACGTTGATCTGGAGGAATGTGTAGGCACATTGGAATCAACAAGAGCAGCATATGAGAGGATGCTGGATTTAAGAGTAGCCACTCCTCAGATCATATTAAACTACGCTCAGCTTCTTGAGGAGAACAGCTACTTTGAAGATGCGTTCAAGGTTTACGAGAGAGGCGTGAAGATCTTCAAGCATCCCCACGTGAAAGACATTTGGGTGACGTATCTCTCGAAGTTTGTGAAGAGGTACGGTAACACAAAGATGGAGCGGACGAGAGAGCTGTTTGAGAACGCCGTTGCAAGCTCCTCTGATCCTCAACTGTACCTTGAGTATGCAAAGTTTGAAGAAGATCACGGTTTGGGGAAGAGGGCTATGGAGGTTTACAGAGAAGCAACGAGAAAAGTCGCTGATGAGAAGAAGCTTGAGGTGTATGAGATATACATAGCTCGTGCGGCAGAGAGATTCGGGGTTGCAGGAACCAGGGAGGTTTACAAGGAAGCGATAGAATCATCGGAGCTTCCAGAGAAGGATGTGAAGACGATGTGCATGAGACTTGCGGAGCTGGAGAGGAGCATCGGAGAAGTAGATCGGGCTCGTGCAGTCTTCAGGTATGCCTCGGAGTTTGCAGACGCTGAAGTGTTTGAGAAATGGCAACAGTTTGAAGTGGAGCATGGCAACGAAGATACGTACAGAGACATGCTTCGTGTTAAGCGTACTGTTACTTGCTCCGCCCTATCTTCTCCTGCTCCGGTCAAGCCTCTCTCTGACACTCCTCCTCCACCTCCTCTCTCAGACAAGACACCTGTCATCAAGAGATCCAGGTCTCTGTCCGACCTTCTCACACCTAAGAAAGCGCGAATCATTTATGCTCATCCTGTATCTCTCTCTAATTGTCTTCTTCATCATCTCTTTTTGCTCTGTATCTCTTTGTACCTTTGCAATCTTAATGTTCTCAAGGTCAGAGCTTTTAGTTTCATCTTTTTGGCAAATGTATGAAAGTTTTGTTCTTTCTTTTCGCCATTCGAAGAAATGTTCTTAGTTTCTGCAGCTAAGATGTTTGAGATCACTTTCTGAGGCAAAATCTAGGAGAACATGTGCCTAGTATGTTTTTGATTTCGTTTTCTAAGTTCCCGAAATTAGAAGTTGACATAACAATTGTGCCATTAAATGTAATAGCTTAGTTTGGAAATTTAATAATGTTGCATTAGTTGGTTCTACATTTCTAATGGATCAAAACTTTCAGTTTCCTACTTTGTTATGGTTTCTGATGTTTCTGTAAATCAAAAAACTATCAGCGGTTATTACCTTGAACCTTACCAAAATCAACTTCAACCAAAAATCAATTCAAATGAACCGGAATTTTTATGAAGTACCAAAACATAACCAATCTGAGCTCATTACTATTTTAATGTGAGATTAAGATAAATTTATTTTAACTGGAATTTTTATGAAGTGCCAAAAACTTATGTTTATAGTGGAAGTGTCTTTTTCACAATTGATACAAAAATACTGAATAGAAAAATGAACAAAACAAATCTAATGGTTGGGAATGGGTTGAAAGGTTGGCTTACAAGTTAGGTAGCTTTTATGGACGAACGTTCACCAGCATTGTCGTGGAAGAGTAACTCCAAAGGTTTTACAACTATTTATATCATTTGCATTATATTTGTCACACAGAATTATGTATTTTAGTAGTTAAAACAAAAATCGAAACAATAGATTTAGCATATGTGGTAAATTGGTTTGGATATGACTTATTATGAGGATCCATAATAAACAAATTTATTTCTGTTATAATTGGACTTTTTTTTGTTTCTTTCTTATTCAAATCGCTGTAATTACTAATTACTAATTAGACAGATTAATAATGAATAAAACAGAGGAAAGAAGGGAAATGTTATTTCGATAATGTTCAAAAATAAATACGGTCCTTAAGCTCAGAGGCCTCGATTTCGTTCGCTAACCACCGAAGCTGTACGTCTCTCTCCTTTCACTCTCAACGGTAAGATCCGCCATTTTCACCGATCTCTTCTTCTTCATTATCATACTCTGATCCGTTTCCAAATTAGTGAATGTTTCTTCTTTGAATCCAGAGGTCTGTTCATGACGAATTCTATTTCGCAGAGTAAAATTTGTTGAAACCATGACATTTTCATCGATTTGATGTTTCCACATTTCCCCTGAAGCTTAATCTGTTTGATCCATTCGAATTTCGCGAGTCTCTCGAATCGTCACTAAACTCGAATTTTTTTGCTGTTTGATTGCTGGATCCCTGAATTGATCTGATTGCGAAAGCGAGCGATTTTGAAATCCGATTCTGTGTATTTCACTAGTTTAGATCTGTGAGATTTATCGATTTCTTCTCGTATTGTTTCTCTAGTTTCGTTCTGAGAAAATGGCTCGCAAGAAGATCAGAGAGTACGACTCAAAGAGACTGGTGAAGGAACACTTCAAGAGGCTCTCTGGCAGAGACTTACCTATCAGATCCGTTCAGGTTAGATCGAATTTTCAGTATATATCATCTTCTTCTAAAACTTCTGTTTAGTGCATTGGTTTCTCCGTCATGAATCTCATGAAATGATAAAGCTTTTCTTTGTTTGATGCTTATTTTAATTCCTGGTAGATTAAGAAAGTGTCTTTTGAGTAATGCCAAAAGCTACATCATTTTGTCAATAGATTGTTGTTGACACTGTTATGTAATTTGTTGATCTGTGTGTTGCTTAGATTAACCAAGAGACTGATCTGAATGAGCTAGTAGAGAAGGAGCCATGGCTCTCATCAGAGAAGCTTGTGGTGAAACCTGATATGCTATTTGGAAAACGTGGCAAAAGCGGTTTGGTTGCATTGAAGCTAGACTTCGCTGATGTTGCCACTTTTGTGAAAGAACGTTTGGGAAAAGAGGTAAACTTGTTGAATTTTTTGATCTTCAGCCAATGTTCTAAGTGTACTCAATCTTTTTTCTTACCTTGTTTGTTGTTGCCGTTGTTGAATCCTTTCCCGTATCTGCAGGTAGAGATGGGTGGATGCAAAGGACCGATAACAACGTTCATTGTTGAACCGTTTGTCCCGCATGACGAGGAGTTTTATCTTAACATTGTCTCTGATAGACTCGGCTGCAGCATAAGCTTCTCAGAGTGTGGAGGAATTGACATTGAGGAGAACTGGGACAAGGTACTTTTTCTTGGAGGCCTTTCGATTTACTATCATCTTACCTTTAAAGCTGAAAATTTGAGCCGAGACTCAACTTTCTTATAGGTCAAGACTATCTCTGTACCAACGGGATCCTCCTTAACAGCTGAGATATGTGCACCACTTGTTGCAACCCTTCCTCTAGAGGTATATTGAAGCTGAATACCGATGGAAACTGATATTTTTTCTTTGCAACATATTACTGAATTTGGACTTGCATTGTTCAGATCAAAGGGGAACTTGAAGATTTTATTCAAGTTATCTTTACCCTATTCGAAGGTATGTTACAGGTCACTGATTTTTCACACAATGACGAAATCTGAAGCAAAAACTGAAGCTTTTTCATTCTCTTTTGTTTTTCTTGGGGCACTAGATCTTGATTTCACTTTCTTGGAGATGAATCCTTTCGCATTGGTTGATGGAAAGCCTTATCCTCTGGATATGAGGGGTGAGCTTGATGACACTGCTGCTTTCAAAAACTTTAAGAAGTAAGTTTGGCTCTTCACAGATTTCAACTGTTCGAAGCTAAGAGCTTTCAAGAAGGCGTGATAAGCGTTCCTACTCAATATGCTTAACCATCTCACTTTTTTTGCAGGTGGGGAGACATTGAATTCCCTATGCCATTTGGAAGAGTGATGAGCTCCACAGAGAGCTTCATCCATGGTCTAGATGAGAAGGTATTATCACTAATCTGTGTTTTGAACTTGGCGCTTACATAAGCTTCTTAGTATTATGAGTGTTATGAAAACATTTTGTAAATATGCAGACAAGTGCGTCTTTGAAGTTCACTGTTCTGAATCCTAAAGGAAGGATTTGGACTATGGTAGCTGGAGGAGGTGCAAGTGTCATCTACGCCGATACAGTATGTTTCATACCATACCTGCTTCATCAAACACTCAGAATCTTCTGCAGTTTTATAACTTACAAACCCTTCTGAAATGTTATGTTGATCAGGTTGGAGATCTCGGATATGCATCTGAGCTTGGTAATTACGCTGAATACAGTGGAGCACCCAAAGAAGACGAGGTTCTGCAATACGCTAGAGTCGTCATCGATGTAAGATCCTTCTTTTGTTTCCTCCCTCCATATGAAACCAAGCTCAAACATAAAGACACTTCACAATGATGCAGTGTGCTACAGCGAACCCGGATGGAAAAACCAGAGCGCTGGTGATCGGAGGTGGAATTGCTAACTTCACTGATGTTGCTGCTACTTTCAATGGCATAATCAGAGCTCTCAGGGAGAAGGTAAAGCGAAAGAAAGAGAGTGTATAATGAAAATGACTTTAGTGTAGAAATGAGATTTCTTCAACGTTTTTGAGTTTGTTGTTTTGATTTGAACAGGAAGCAAAGCTGAAAGCAGCAAGGATGCATATATATGTGAGGAGAGGAGGACCAAATTACCAAAAGGGACTTGCTAAAATGAGATCTCTTGGAGATGAAATTGGTGTCCCCATCGAGGTATATACACAATAAATAGCACTCAAAACACATTTTGGCTTACTCGATTTTAACTGTTTTCACATTTTGGTTTGATTCTTCAAGGTGTATGGACCTGAAGCGACCATGACAGGTATCTGCAAGGAGGCAATTGAGTACATCACAGCGGCTGCATAAGCTTGCCTTTTACTCTCAAATGCTCCTTCTGGTTTGAGCATGTTGCTATATATTATTAGTCAGTGTTTGTTGAGTTTGAGACTTGTGGTTTGTATTATGTGTTTCGTCTCTTAATGTTTCTTACTATTCTCATAAATAATGAACACGTATCTCTTTGTTTGACTGTTATTTTTACGTTTAGAATTTTAAAATAACTCTCTCATTGGTTGTCGAATCCGGATGAGACGAGTTTATAAAATTAACCTCAAGTCTAGTTTTGTTTTCTCTCTAAAATTCAGTTGGTACAAAATAAAAGAGAAAGAAAACAAAACTGTAAATTGATGGGGAAAAAGAAAACAGTAAAATTATAATGAAAGTCACCTAAATTTTTGACTATTTAGAAAAGAAAAAGAAATTTTTTAGAAATAATAAAATTCGTCGAGAAAAGGTGGACCACTTGGCAAAAAACTCCAACATTTGTCATAAACTTGTCATAAGCTTCATATTGTCTATCCTCACAAAATAATTTAAAAATATTATCGGTTTAGCTTAAATTAATTTAAAAGAAAAAACTCCAATACCTAAAACTCCTAAAAACAAAGCAAACCAGTAGCACACCAATTTAATTTCTTCTATAGTTTTAAAAATATACTATGCATTTTGATTCGGTAGTTTAGTTTTCGTTATTCGAGATATTTGCAAGTAAGTTTTCTCAATACGTTATTTGTTCTAGAATTTCCCATCTCCACAATCACAACTTCACGACCTCACAACTATTTGTGTGATAGGTCGAAAGAGAATGGAACATAATAAATATAATAAACAAACTTTCATTTTATTCTGTATATTATAAACAATTAAAGAGAATATTTGAGTTTTCCCAACGCGACAAATATACCCATTCTCGGGTTTGGGGCATATTGGTCAAATATACTCATAATTCGAGGTATATTTAAATTTCCGTGATTAATTAGTTAAAAATGTAACTTAATGCGTCTTCTTCCTATTTGCTTGTTTATTGGCAAAGGCATATTAGTTTATACTTTATACCACCTAAACCTCGAATCATAAGGTTTAGTAAGAGAAAAAATGTGAACGGCATCTTATTATATACGTGACCGAACGCATGGAGCTAGTTTTATAATTAGTACTATTGTTTAGTGGAATTCAGCTTTCTATAATTAGCACATGGAAAATAATTATTTACAAGGTTGGTGTAAAATGAGGACACTGTCAAATTAGCAACTTTAGTTCTTCTTATTTGTGTTCTAACAAAGTAGAAATGGATATGGTATATCCAATTCAATTTCATTACATTTTCAACATAAACTCAATCATGTGATTCAGTGCCTTCCCAAAAAGGAAAATTGTTTTCACCTAATGTAACATTTTCATGTGTGTAACTCCTAATATCTACGCAAAAGTATATCTAGATTGTTTGAGTATTGGTACCATACTACCATTTATCCTTTACACATTAGTACATGTATCTCTCTTAGTTACATGTACGATTATTTATATCTTTGTGACAAGACGATAAAAATTTACTCATTTTTTTCTCTTCATTTCGTCTTGCTATCATCCGCTCCTATCTATCCTTATAAATTGTTCTTTTTGACATCCTATAAATTTTGAAGCTAAAACATTCCCCTATTGCCAAAAACAAAACCTTAAATCTAATAAAAATATACATAAATCCACGTGAGCTACAATACACATTTTCACAGGTGTAAAATCATATTAATCCATGTTACAAGAATCTTGTTAGAAGAGAGAGTCAGTGGAATAATTCAAACCATATAGTTTAGTTAGGAATTAGGAAAGAGAGAGATTAGTTAGTCAGCCCCACCTACCCGATTACTTATGGGACAATTTTCCAATCTAAATACTGTGAAAAGGCATTTTTCAAGCAATAATACTGTACTTAATTGGTAACTAATCTAAATTCTAAACACTGAAAGTGAATATATTTTTTTATTTATTTCCCATTTTTTTTGTTTTTAGTTACATTTTTGTGTGATTCAAAGAAGCTAAAAGTAGTTTTCTATGAGTTCAAGACCTTAACAATTGTAACTAAAATTTCGGAAGTATGTATAATGGAATTTAAAAGTGAATGTTTTGTAACCGAGGTACATCAAAACTAGAAACACAATTTGTGTAAACTAATTCGTATATGATGCTAATGCTTATAGACAGTGTAGTTAAAATATAAGACTGTAAAAGGAGGTTATCTCTTTTTTTTTAAAGGATTAAAATTCATATTTTTGTGTGACAGAAAACTCAGAAGGGATAAAATAATTGAAGCCTGAAAAAGCCAACAAGATAGGAGACAGGCCATGAACGTGATCTGCCCAACAAAAAGGACTTCTTCTTTTTTTTTGCTCTGTAACTTTTTTTTTTTTTTTTTTTGAACGACTGCTCTGTAACTTTTCTAAAAAAGCAAAAATCAAATTAAAAATAAGAGATGTACTTTGTTCTTATGTTTTTTTCTTTAATCTTTCTCTCTGACCCATCCTTTCAGTCGAATCACATTTTTGTATATTAAAGTGTTTTCCTTGAATTATCTGTCCGAAAGCAAAAAAGAAAAAGAGTCATGAAACATAAATTACACTATTTTTTTCCTCCTACTCATTTTAATTTTCAAAAAAGTGTCCAAATAAAAAAAGGGGAGAAAAACAGAGTGTCTCTTCTTTTCTTGTTATTCTGTCAGTATCTTTCTCTGTGTGTGTGTAGAATTTTTGGCATTTTCATTTGGATTTTGCTTGTTTGGTCCCTTCTTTGATAATTTCTTAATTCCTTTTTTTCTTTTCCTTGTTATCTTTTTTTTGGTGGTCTGAAAGAGAGAAGAGTTGGTAATTAAACCATTTGAAAATTAGAATGTTGTAGAGATTAATTTAATTATACAATAATTACCCAAGTAAAAGAATGATTAAAATATTAAAACCAATAGGCAGCATCACTCAATAAGCTTTTGTGCATTCTCTTTTTCAGATCTCTAGAAAAAAAATTCTCAGACTTTCAGAGCATTTTTGTGGTTTTGTTTGCTTGGTTTCTCGGGCTAAATTCTCTTCACACACACACTCTCTCTCTCTCTTCTCTAAGCTCAAACTCACACACACACCCACACAAACACACACTCTCTCTCTATTCTTGTTTAGCACTCATTCTCTTGATACTTCATTCAAAAAATCTCTTTTTCTTAGCTGGGCATCTTTCAAGTCGTCATTTTTCAATCTGGGGTCTTCTCTTTTTTACTCCATTTGATTTGAATTGAAGAGAAAGAGGACCATTTGCTTGGAAAAAAAAAGGATTGATTCTGTGTCTGAAAAGGACAGGGGAAGAAGAAAACAGAAAGGGGAGAGACAAAGGCAAAGGCTTTTTCACATTTGGGAGAGAGAGAGAAAAAATGAGTTGTTGGGTTATCTGAAAACTTTCTTTCTCAGAAGAAAAAGAAAAAAGTTGATTGCTTTTAGAGAGAGTATTGCCATGGAAGGTGTAAGATTTGTGCTTTGGAGATTTGGGTTTCTGGTTTTGATATTGTTCCTTGATGTCTCCACTGCTACACTTTCTCCTACTGGTGTTAACTATGAAGGTCAGTCTTCTTCTTCTTGGAGCAATCTCAGTTTCTGTAAATACAAAAAAGTTTGCATTTTTTTCTCCTTTCCCCAAACTCAGGATTCAAGATTGGAACTTCTCTGTGTGAATTATTATCTTTGTTTGTCTATGTTTCTTCTGTGTGGATTTGGTCCTATCTTGTATTTATTGGATAATAAATGCTCACCAGAAGCATATCTTAACTTTTAGCCAATACCAGCTCAAGTATTAGTTCTTTTGTTGTTTGAGTCTGATTTTTCTTGCTTTTGTTTGGTCTGAAATGAGCAGTGACGGCTTTGGTGGCTATAAAGAATGAATTGAATGATCCAAACAATGTTCTTGAGAATTGGGATGTGAATTCAGTTGATCCATGTAGCTGGAGAATGATCACTTGCACTGATGGTTATGTTTCTACACTGTGAGTCTTCTCTTCTCTCTCTCTCTCTATTACACAAGACAAAGATTGATCTCTGAGACTTTTGTTTTCTCTGATTAATGAAACAGAGGACTTCCAAGTCAAAGCTTGTCTGGTACATTGTCCCCTAGAATCGGAAACCTCACCTATCTACAGTCTGTGTAAGTTAGTCATAGTCTTCTTTGGCAATGTTTGATTCTTGTTCTTGTTGAGTTTACTTAAAGGTTTGTGGTTTAGGTCGTTGCAAAACAATGCAATCTCTGGTCCAATTCCTGATACGATTGGGAGGTTGGAGAAGCTTCAGATGCTCGATCTTTCCAACAATTCATTCACCGGAGAGATCCCAACCTCGCTTGGAGAACTCAAGAACTTGAATTACTTGTGAGTGCTCTCTTTAGTGTCATGTTCATGAAACTTTCAGTTGAAGTCTCAATGTTTTGTTCTTGTTCTTGTTTTTTTCAGGCGGTTAAACAATAACAGTCTTTTAGGAACTTGCCCTGAGTCTCTATCCAAGATCCAAGGACTCACTCTAATGTATGTCTCTCTAAACTCTGACTTCTATTAACATTTTGAGAATGTGTTACCACCAAACTTATTTGTTATTGAATTCTTGAAATGTGCAGCGACGTTTCGTATAACAATCTTAGCGGTTCGCTGCCAAAAGTGTCTGCAAGAACTTTCAAGTAAGCTTATCCAAGAAACTTATGATCTTTCCTTTGAAGCGAAACAAAGATTCACCATTGTTTTTGTTTCTTTGTGGACTCAAAAGGGTGATCGGAAACACGTTAATCTGTGGCCCTAAATCTGTTGCAAACTGTTCTGCTGTCTTCCCTGAGCCTCTCACGCTTCCACAAGATGTTCCATCAGGTATTATCATCATCCTTTTCCAACTTCTCACTTGCTTCTTCTTCAATGGACAATCTCACTTACTTCTTTTGGTTTGTAGATGACTCAGGAACTCATACCACTGGCCATCACGTAGCTCTTGCGTTCGCTGCAAGCTTCAGCGCAGCGTTCTTTGTCATCTTCACAAGCGGAATGTTTCTTTGGTGGAGATATCGCCGCAACAAGCAAATCTTTTTCGACGTTAATGGTTAGTAGTTTCTTGAAACTTTCTTGCATCAGAAAAACTTAACATTTCCATTTCTTGATGATGAACATTTTTGCAGAACAATATGATCCAGAGGTGAGTCTAGGTCATTTGAAGAGGTACACATTCAAAGAGCTAAGATCAGCGACGAACCATTTCAACTCCAAGAACATCCTCGGAAGAGGCGGATACGGGATTGTGTACAAAGGTCACTTAGGAGATGGATCTTTGGTGGCTGTGAAACGTCTCAAAGACTGTAACATTGCAGGAGGAGAAGTCCAGTTCCAGACGGAAGTAGAGACGATAAGTCTGGCTCTTCACCGGAATCTCCTCAGGCTTCGTGGCTTCTGTAGTAGCAACAACGAGAGGATCTTGGTCTACCCTTACATGCCAAATGGAAGCGTTGCTTCACGCTTAAAAGGTAAATACAGTTTCAAGAACCAAGATTTCTTGTTTTGCAAGTTTGTTTATGGTTTATGATTTCTTGTTTTGCAAGATTATATCAAAGGAGAGCCAGCGTTAGACTGGTCGAGAAGGAAGAAGATTGCGGTTGGGACAGCGAGAGGATTAGTGTATCTTCATGAGCAGTGTGACCCGAAGATCATTCACCGAGATGTGAAAGCGGCGAACATTCTTCTGGATGAGGACTTTGAGGCTGTTGTTGGGGATTTTGGGTTAGCCAAGCTTCTTGATCATAGAGACTCGCATGTCACAACCGCGGTGCGTGGAACGGTAGGTCATATTGCGCCTGAGTACTTGTCCACTGGTCAGTCCTCGGAGAAGACTGATGTGTTTGGGTTTGGTATACTTCTTCTTGAGCTCATTACTGGTCAGAAAGCTCTTGACTTTGGCAGATCCTCACACCAGAAAGGTGTTATGCTTGATTGGGTGAGTTTCTTTCTCTCTCTCTCTCTGTTTCTTGCTTTCACTTCAAGAATCTTGGAGGTATTGGTTACAATTCTGGTTTGGTTCGGTTCAGTCTTGTCCAATAGAAAACTCTTAAACCAAAATAAATTTAAATTAGTCATGATTTGGATACGGAATCGGTTTAGATTAGATTTCGAGATTTGTTAAAACTTTGGTTCCTTGTTTGTGCTTGATCAGGATTTCAAGACTCGGTTTGGTTTTGTTTAATTTCGGTTTAGTTGATTAGGAAGAGTAAACCAGCATATTTGGATTCGGTTTAGTTTGAATTTCGGTTTGGTTCTGTTTTGTGCTTGCTTTGGATTCGTTTCGGTTTTTCATAGGCTTTGGTTCGAGTCCCCTATAAGCATAATTGATCTATAAGATTGGATTGTGTTTGGTTCAGTTAGGTTCGATTTGGTTTGGTCAATTGGTTTGAGAAATGAAATTAGTTGACAAGAAAGAGTAAACCATCATGATATTTGGATTCGGTTTAGATTTAATTTCGGTTTGATTCTGTTTTGTGCTTTGTATGGATTCGGTTCGGTTTTGGATAACGTTTTTGTGCTTCAATTTTGTTTGGTTCGATTTGGTTTAGTTAATTGGTCTGAGAAATGAGATTGTTGAAAATGGCAGGTGAAGAAGCTGCATCAAGAAGGGAAGCTAAAGCAATTAATAGACAAAGATCTAAGTGACAAGTTCGATAGAGTGGAGCTCGAAGAAATCGTTCAAGTGGCGCTTCTCTGCACTCAGTTTAATCCATCTTATCGACCTAAAATGTCTGAAGTCATGAAGATGCTTGAAGGCGACGGCTTGGCTGAGAGATGGGAAGCTTCACAGAACGGTGCGGCAGAGTCTCTGCCACCGCCGTTGCCGTCGGGGATGGTGAGTTCTTCGCCGCGGATGAGATATTACTCCGATTATATCCAAGAGTCTTCTCTTGTCGTCGAAGCCATTGAGCTCTCTGGTCCTCGATGATGTATGATGATTCATTTTTACGTCTTCTTATTTTTCTTGGGTTCGTTTATTTTGGTTTTGTTTTCATAATGTTTATATAGATGTGGAGTTGAGTGTAATTTTGATGTAAAAAATATTAAATGCAAAAGAAAATGTTGATCAGCCATGTGAAAAATGAACCGAAGTAGAAAATAGTTATTTTTGCTAAATATTTGTTGCACTTAAATAATGTTATTGATCTTTACGAGAATTTTCACTGAAACCGGACGAATCTAAACAAAATTTTATTGAATTTACTGAACCGAATCGAAACAAAGTTTACTACATTCATTCTCAGCCGATTTTATTTTTATTTTAACCGGACATGGTTTAGCCGAACCGGATATTATTCGGTTAAATCGTTATCCAGATTACACTATTGCCTCACATTTTGTAGCCACCGAACATAAGATGGTCGTTACTCTCAACTCCGTAAAGCGAATTTGGGCCAAGCAGAGTCGTAAACGTGGAGGCAAAATCCAGTGTGACGACAGAAGCGTGCACCTGCGCAACTGAGACCACATGATAACCGTCAGATCACGCGGCAATAAGCTGTCGCGATTAACGAGAATGTTGTCGGTCCAAAGTCCCGTGAGTGGTTCTCATGACACTTGGGCTTAGATGCAGTTGCAGTCTGTGGCCACTCTGCCGTAAACTTCTGGTCCTTAACACACGATCCATAAACTTAATCATCGTGATTAATGAAACTTTTATTTATGAAAAATATGAAATCAACTTTTATTTGATTTGGTTTGGTCCTTAGCACACGATTCATTAACTTCTTAATTTCTTTATTAACTAACTAAAAAAATATTTAAGAAATATACTGTATTAGCTACTAGCTCAATGATTTTATTGGTATATTGTTATAAATTCACTCTCTTTGTTTTACAATAATTTTTCTTTAAAAAATATTTACTCATAAATTAAGAATAAATTTAATTTTGTATTCTTTCAAAATTAAAACATTTTTTTGAATCCAACTAAAAACAATCTGCAGAATTCAAAGAATTCAAAAAAAAAAAAAACAATTATTGATTTATTTAATTATGTGGGTTTAATAATCTTCATTCAAATCAAATTATTACCCAAATTATGTGAGTTATTATAAAGTTTTAATTAATGGAGTACTCCAAACTTGATTACAAAATACAGTTATTGATTTATTGATTTACAAATAAGTATTTTGTAATCAAGTTTTGAGTACTCCATTAATTAAAACTTCATAATAACTCACATAATTTGGGTAATAATTTGATTTTAATTAAGATTATTAAACCCACATAATTTCCTAATTATTGACTTCCTTTAAATGAGAGAGACAAACAATAAAATCTTCGTTAACAAAGGTTAAAGCAAGTTCGTTATCTTTAAGAGAAACCGCTTAAAACCAAGAAATATTACTATTTTTGTTAATTGTTTCGAGTTTCCATGTTTCTGTGTTCACTCTAACTGCAATTTGAGAACCAAGAAGATGGAATCGTCGAAGAAACTCCCGTTTCCAGACCAGATTCTGTCTTCGAGAGGAAGAAACGTCGTAACCAGATTCAGTCTTGGAATCGCTGCTTCTCTCGCCGTTCTTCTCACGCTTCTCTCTCTTACTAACTCTTCCTTCAGTGTTCCCTTCGTCTCTCCTCTGCTTCAAGGTCTCAAGAGCTCCAATCTAAACAACACCTCTTCTGTCACGCAAGTCGACGAGAAGCCAGAAGTAGTAAATCTCACCGGCCAAGTTCCAGATGTCAAAGTTCCAAGCTTTGTTCCCACCGAACAAAGATCTGGAGAAACAGGAGATTCTGGTTCGAAGAATGCAACTTCGTCTGGGGAAGGTAAAGTTTCAAGCTTTGAATCCGGACAAAGATCTGGAGAAACAGTTGAGACGAATTCGAGTTTGGCTGCGAATGACCAAAACACCCTCGAAGCAAATGTTACAATGAGCGTGGGCAATAATAGCTCGAGTTTGGTGTCTGATTTTGTGCCTAGCTCTGAGGAAGTAGATCGAAGCAGAGGTTCTTCTTCATACGAGGATTGTGATATCTACGATGGAAATTGGGTGAGAGCTGATGATGATGATGAGACAATGCCGTATTACCCACCTGGTTCGTGTCCGTATATAGACAGAGATTTCAACTGTCACGCCAATGGAAGACCTGATGGTGCTTTTCTGAAATGGAAATGGCAACCAAATAAGTGTGACATTCCCAGGTATATTAACAAAATAAGTTTCTATTTTTGCTCTTCGTTAAGGTTTAGCTTGATTCTTGATCTTCTTGTTTTTGTTAATTTCTTGATTCTTTTGTGAAATAGAAATTGCAGCCATTCCCAGGTAAAACTACAACATGTTTCTAAATTTTGCTCTTTATTAGATAGATTATGTATAAGGTTTTAGCTTGATTCTTGATCTTCTTGTTTTTGTTAAACTCTTGATTCTTGATTCTTGATTTTTGTGAAATTCTTGATTCTTTTGTTAAATGGAAATTGCAGCCAAATGGTTGTGACATAATCACAACAAGTTTCTAATTTTTGCTCTTTGTTAGATAGATTTTGTTAAGGTTTTAGCTTGATTCTTGATCTTCTTGGTTTTGTTAAATTCTGGATTCTTAATTCTTGATTCTTTTGCTAAATGGAAATTGCAGCCAAATGGTTGTGACATACATAATCACAACAAGTTTCCAAATTTTTGCTCTTTGTTAGATAGATTTTGTTAAGTTTTAGCATGATTCTTGATCTTCTTGTTTTTGTGAAATTCTTGATTCTTGATTCTTGATTTTGTGAAATTCTTGATTCTTTTTTTAAATGGAAATTGGAGCCAAATGGTTGTGACATTCCCGGGTAAAATCACAACAAGTTTCCAAATTTTGCTCTTTGTTAGATAGATTTATGTTTTAAGGTTTTTGCTTGATTCTTGATCTTCTTGCTTTTGTTAACTTCTTGATTCTTGATTTTTGTTAAATTCTTGATCTTCTTGTACAATGTGTTTAAAAATCTAAAGGTTGAATGGAACTGATTATCTGGAGAAGCTAAGAGGGAAGAAGCTAGTTTTCGTGGGGGATTCTATAAACCGGAACATGTGGGAGTCTCTTGTTTGCATCCTCCGACATAGCGTCAAGAACAAGAAACGAGTGTATGAGATCTCAGGGAAAAGTGAGTTCAAGAAGAGAGGCGTTTACGCTTTCAGATTCGAGGTTAGACAATAAGCTGCAACAATGTCTGTCTTCTTAATTGATTGATGTTTGTTTATCAATCTTTTTCTCCTCTGTTCTTGTAGGACTATAACTGCACGGTGGATTTCGTCGGCTCGCCGTTTTTAGTAAGGGAATCGAGTTTCAAAGGCGAGAACGGGACGAAGTTAGAGACTTTACGTTTGGATCTGATGGACAAGACGACATCGACGTATAGAGATGCTGATATTCTCATCTTCAACACTGGTCATTGGTGGACTCATGACAAAATAAAGCTAGGGTATGAGACTGACCTAACCTAACCGTGTGCTTCAAGTTAACACTAATGGGTTTTTGATGTTCTTTTGGCAGTGAAAACTATTACCAAGAAGGTAATGTTGTGTACCCTAGGCTCAAGGTTCTCGAAGCTTATAAACGCGCACTCACCACTTGGTCGAAATGGGTCGATAAGAACATTAACCGCGATCAAACCCACGTCGTGTTTAGAGGCTACTCCGTTACACATTTCAGGTACATCGCAAATTGAAAAAAGATATGTTCTTGAGTTGTTGTAGAACGTGTTCTTGATCGTTCTGGAACTCAAGGTGTTTCTTTTGCAGAGGAGGGCCATGGAACTCAGGAGGAAAATGCCATAACGAAGCAGAACCGATCTTCAACACGAGCTACTTGAAAAAGTATCCTTCCAAGATGAGAGCTGTCGAGAGCATTCTCCATGACACAATGAAAACTCCGGTGATATACATGAACATAAGCCGGCTAACGGATTTCAGAAAAGACGGTCATCCGTCTGTATACAGGAAGGTGTACAGGACGGAGAAGGAGAAGAGAGAGGCTGTGAGCCACCAAGATTGTAGCCATTGGTGCTTGCCCGGTGTACCGGACACATGGAACCAACTCTTGTATGTGTCATTGTTAAAGGCAGGACTTGCGTCTAAGTGGTAGGCTTAAGTCCTTTGGCTTTTGTATTGTTGTTTGTATAATTGTACTGTTTGCGGTTGTAAAGTATAAATGTAGCAAATCAAAACTTTTTGGGTCTGATTGGTTGTGGCTGTAGATTATGGTGCTGTAAGATTTTTATTATAAATATATTTTTTATAAAATCTGTAGCATTAAAAATAAATAAAAGAGATATAGGAAAGAAACATTAAAAAAAGAATAGAGAGAGTGAGATTAAGGAATGAGAAGAGAGAGAATTCTCGGAGCCCTTAAATTTGTGCTTTGAAAAATCTTCTCTGCAGAGCCAAAATATTTCCATATTTAAAATTATGGCTCTGAACTTAAAAAATGAAATCAAAGCATGATTGGTTTAACACTGGTGCTCTAGAAATAATTATTGCTCTGCAGAGCACTCAAAGCACTTACCAATCACGCCCTTTGTGTCATTGATCAATTTAATCATAGGTGAGCATACTTTACGTCACCCATAATTTTTGAACAAACAAAACTATTTATAATATTTGAAATTTTTACCAAATTAAACTCTTTATTATTTTTAAATTTTATGTTACAATTTTTTTTTCTTCGCATTTATATATATATTTATAATACTAATAACTGTATTATTTGGTTTGATGGTATATTGATCTAACCAGTATTTATAAAATCTAAATACTTTGGACTATTTAATCAAAAATGATTTAAAAAAGTTCTGCGTGAAACTCATGTCGACCTCGTGAATCAATCTGAAACTCTCAATCATACGAGAGCTTCCAATGTCACCTTCGTTAGAAATCATTAGTTGGATAACATATATTTTTTTTGTTAAAGAAAATGATCTCCTAAAATGAAATCTCTATTTTACTAAACCCCAAATCTCACTAAATTCTAAAATATTTAGTTTTATATATCATTTATAATATATATTGAATGAATTAAATTAGAAGATTATATCCATTTTGAAGAGCTTATAGCCTAATGCTCTTCTAACTGCTTGCCTAGGACGAGAACTGAAGCAATTTAAAACATTTGGCAATAAGAATATCAAACTGCCTTGACTAAAATGTTTAAAAACAAAAAAAAACTTAAACCTTTAGCAAGAAAAAAATGCCCGTTGTTAAGCAATCAACTTGAGCCACACGTTTTACACGAAAGCCCATAATTATAAAATTCGAGGCCCATATAGAAGGAATCTATGTAAATAGCCGACTTACTTGTCTTCAACGGTAGTCTCAGATTCAAAATTTAGTCTATCTCTCTTTCTTTCTCTCTCGAGAAACCGAAACAGAAACAGAGACTCAAATTTCTCTCCCGATTTCGTTATTCCTTCACCAGAAATTGCTTAATTTCTCGCCGGAATCCAAAATCCAAAAGAGAATCGAAGATACTTCCATGGACGTGTGTGACGATCCTTCGCTGGGATTTCAATTCGTGTGATCCGTACACTGATTCGCGAAGGTATGATCTTATCTATTCTGTTTTTACAAAATCGAATTGCTTGTTCAAATCCCTAGGGTTTGGGTTTGGGGTTTCTTCATTCAGTTTCGGTTTCTGGATCCTGCTTTGTTTCCATGACTAATAGATTTAAATCCCTATGGTTCGGGTTTTTGTTGTTCGTCGGATTTCTTCGAGAAGTAATTTTGAGTAGCTTTGATTTGCGATTACTTGAAATCGAGGATGGATCTATACGTTTCTTCGATATCTATGATACTCTCAATTGTTAAATTGTCCTTTAGATGATATCGAGTCTCATTAGAACAGAGATTGGTATGGGTGTTTCATTTCTCGGGGTCGAATTTGAAATTGGGGAAGGAAATTTGAAATTTCGTAGTGTTGAAGATTATTTAATAAAAAGTTGAATTGAAATTGTAAATCACTCAACATAACGTAAGTTGGTCATGTTCTGCTTTTTGTTCCAATTTTGACAAATAGAAATTGAAAATTCGCACCATCAGATTCTTGTTTCTAGTTTGATAGGAACTTGGAAAGATTCAATATATATATTTTTTTCTGATTTTCGTTTTGAAGATTGTCATGGAAAGAGTTTCGATTGGCTAGTGGCTGCAGATGTGTTTAGTGAAAAGAACGTTCTTGCACAAGGAGGCTTTGAGAAAGGTCCAGATCGAGAGACAACAATCAAACTCTGTAAGCAACAGGTTTTAGTGAGATCAATATTGGTTGTTACATTAAAAAACTCAGCATCTTCTGTTGAGAGGTACCAAAGTTCGCTTAAAATGATGCACGCAGGTAAAGGATCTTGAGAATGAAGTTGAAAGAATCTAAAGGAAACTCTCTTGTGTGTTGCAACAGGTAAGGTTTAAGGTTTTTGAGCATTAGTTTAAATAATTAAGTATATAAAGACGTGAAAACTAATCATTAACAAAGTTTCGTTCTTGATCTTTCAGGTGATTATGATGACTTTGCCAATGCTTCTTCACCTATTTTCCGTAACTACAACGTTACAAAGGTTAGTTTCTTCTTTAACTTCTATAATTCTCGAAAACTATATTAATAATTTTCTAAAATCACAATCAAACCTTTAGAATTTACCATATAATTATAATTCTTTATCAAAAAAAAAAATTTACCATATAATCTAATACCAAAAGTAAATTCTTATTTCTAAAACTTATTTAAGATCCAAACCTCTCACATATTATCTAATCCTAACCTTAAACCAAATAGAGATTTTAAGTTGTCAGATTAGTTAAAGAAAACTGGATGATTTACAAATTGTGAGAATAGACAGAGTTGGTGGCCAGTCATTTATTTGATCGTCAGAGTCAATCATATTCAACTTGTTTTTGCATTAGTAAGTCATCCAGCTTTCAAGATTATTTTGACAACAAAAATATCTCTATTTTAAAAAATTCCTATGAAATATTTCAATTTATTCATGACTTAAACTTCTTTAAAAACTTTATACAAAAAAAATATTTCTTACTTCCAAAACTATTATCCATGATGCAATCCTCTCCCAAATTATCTCATCCTAGCCTTAAACAAAATAGAGATTTTAAGTTGTCAGATTAGTTAAAGAAAACCAGATGATTTATGAATTGGGAGAACAAACAGAGTTGGCGGCCAGTCATTTATTTGATCGTAAGAGTCAGTCATATTCAACTTTTTTTTTGCATTAGTAAGTCAATCGGTTTTCCAGATTAATTTGACAACAAAAATATCTCTATTTTGGAAAACTCCTAAAAAAATACTCCGATTTATTCATGACCTAAACTTCTTTAAAAACTTTATACCAAAACAAATATTTCTTATTTCTAAAATTAATACCCATGATGCAATCCTCTCCCAAATTATCTCATTCTAGCCGTAGACCAAAAATATCTTTATCCAAAAAAATATCTCTATTTTAGATTCCTAAAAAATACTCAAATTTATTCATGACCTAAACTTCTTTAAAAACTTTATACCAAAACAATATTACTTATTTCTAAAACTATTATTCATGATGCAATTATCTCCCAAATTATCTCTTCCTAACCTTAGACCAAATAGAGATTTTAAGTTGTCAGATTAGTTAAAGAAAACCGGATGATTAATGAATTGTGAGAACAAAAGTTGGCGGCCAGTCATTTATTTGATCGTAAGATTCAGTCATATTCAACTTGTTTTTAGCACCAGTAAGTCAATCGGTTTTCCAGATTAATTTGACAACAAAAATATCACTATTTTAAAAAAAATAATTCACAAAAATACCTCAACTTATTCATGAACTAAACTTCTTTAAAAACTTTTTACCCAAAAAAATACTTTTTATTTCTAAAACTTATATTCATGATGCAATCCTCTTCCAAATTATTCATTCTAGTCTTAAACCAAATAGAGATTTTAAATTGTCAGATTAGTTAAAGAAAACCGGATGATTTACAAACAGAGTTGGCGGCCAGTCATTTATTTGATCATAAGAGTCAGCCACATTCAACTTGTTTTTTAGCACCAGTAAGTCAATCGGTTTTCCAGATTAATTTGACAACAAAAATATATTTATTTTAGAAAATTCATAGAAAATACTCCAACTTATTGAAAACCTAAATTTCTTTATAAACTTTATACCAAAAAATATTTCTTATTTCTAAAAATTATTATTCATGATGCAATCATCTCCCAAATTATCTCATCTTAACCTTAAACAAAATAGAAATTTTAAGGTGTTACATTAAGGCTCTGATTGTTTAGGACTTTGACTTTCAATTTTTCTTTTAATGAAATGTGAGAACTGTGACTTTAAAATAATAATAGTGACATTTAAAAATAGTTAAAGTCATAAATTGTGGTTTTTGGAAAAAAAAAACAACGGCTCTGATTGGTATGGACTTTTAAGATTTTGACTGTAAGGTTTTTATTTGAAGGTGTCGCTGTAAAAACTGTGACTTTGAAATTAAAAAAAGTGTGGCTTTAGAAAATATTAAAAGCCATGTATTCTAGCTTTTAAAAACTGCCAACGATTGTAAAGAAAAAACAGTAAAATGGGCTTTGAGAATTTTAAGGAGGCAGTTAAAGACTTTCAAAACTTTAAAACTTGAAAAGTATGACTGGATAATTTATGGCTTTAGAGATTTTACATTTTTCTAAAAATCCTCAAAGCTTTCAAATTTCAAAGCCAAATTGTCAATTAGATCAGTACCTACGATTATGAACAAAATGAAGGAAATGGGCTGTGAAAACTTTTAGGGAGGTAGTTAATGACTTTTAAGACTTTTAAATCAATAAAGCTCTTAAACCAAATAGAGAGTTAAAGTTGTAAGATTAGTTATAGAAAACCGGATGATTTATGAATTCTGAGAACTGACAGAGTTGGTGAGCATATTATCATTGGTGTTATAAAATCTGACAAATTAATTGGAAGATTGTTTCCATTTTTGTCTTTTGACTATAAACTGACATATTATCTCATTAGTTTTGTTAAAGAAACTAATCTCCTAAAACCTCAATTTTCAAAAATTAAAACCTAAAATTTTCTAATATCTATATTTCATTTATATTTTATTTTGAAGGAATTAAAGTAAAATATTATATCCATTTTTTTACCATTAAAGACGTATGTGTTTTATATATAATCTTGATCAGCTGAAGAGAAAATCACAAACAAACAAATAGAGAGTAATTATAAAATGGATATCACCAAAAAGACTTTAATCGCATTTGTTCTCACTATTTTGTTAGTTATATCTTCTGATCACTCTCATGCAACATCTTATGATATTTCTGGTATTATCTTTTTTATATTCTCCAATTTTTTATTATAAGCAAATTTAATTATATATATATATACATATTTTTTTTATTGACTTAATGATTAATCTCAAACACTTTTTGGAATAGATAAAGGTGGTGATGAATGTTTCAACTTTTTCGAAGAAAGTCCATGTATCGACCGAAATGATATATATACAGGTTGCGATGTGTTTTGCAAGAGAAAGAAATTTACATCTAGTCAATGTCGTCAGAAAACATGTTGTTGTTTCTCCCACAAATAAATATGCCTTGAATGAAATAATTGAATAAATATTGATTTACGTTTGAATAACAACATCATTATATGTATGATTCTGAAGAATCAAATATATTAGCCATGACGCTAAATTTTCTAACAAGTGTTGAGAACTATTATTTAGTTTGTGCAAACCCAACATAAACATAATATTCATAACACATTAAATTAAGAAGAAACGTTAGAAAATATAACTAAATTATATAAAAAAAAATGTTATTAGGTCTTTTGTAACTTTTTTTCAGAATATGATTACTTTTAGTAAATGTACAAAATAACAATAAACAGAAGAGGTTACTTTTAAAATTAAAAGCTATGTTATTCTTTATTCTGAGTAGTTTTGAATTGCAATATTTACTGATTGTACGAGGTCATATAAAATCAATCAACCTAAACTATGGTGACCAGTCACCTAATTTCTAAACCGTACAATGAGGTTGACTTTACTCACATATGGATTGGTTAACTTGTATAAATACTCATTTCACTCTTTTAGAGAGAATAATATTAGAATTTTTCTTAACTCCTACACCATTATACAATCTTATTTAAGAGGAAAAATGACTCCTATGATGCCTTAGAGCATGTATAATGGTGGGTGCTTCATAAAAAGCTTAATAATATTTATTATTAAAGTTAGGGTTGAATTTAGCCAATATCATCAAATAATCTGACAATTAAGAATTTGGAAAAATAACTTCATAATTAGATTTGTAGGAGAGATGAATTATTGATAACACCCAAAATATCCTTCAACTTTAGTTTATTTACATATAATGCAATTGATTTAAAACCTGTTATAGATCGGAAACACTGTTCATCAACTGAAAACCGATTATACTGTTTATTGTCTGAAAACTCAGAACAATATATGATTTTAATAGATAACTATTCAATTATCATGCTAACTAATATGATATCGAGCTAACTATTCGATTACCATGCTAACTAATATAGTACTATAATAAATATTCAGTTACAATGGTAACTATTGTGGTACCGAGATAACTATTCCATTATCATGTTAACTAATATAAATTTATCTATAATACTCATGTTAACGTCTAACATAAATATATGTTTGCCAATCAAACTTAGAAGTTAACATGGTAACAATAGTAACATTGTTATTATAAGTTAACTTTATCAGTTATATTGATAACAACATAAACGACACTAAAAATACTTGTTACTAACAATGTTGTTATCATCGGCTGCCAGAGTTACCACCGACTTTTATTTCTTTCGTCGGAATGTTGTGTTATGAGAGAGAAAAAATAGTGTAATTATACTAAAAATATAAGGGTAAAACCGATTTTTGTTAATGAATAGTTAATGTCAAAATATCAGCTTTTTGGTCACTTAATTTCTATATTATCTGAGGCTATATATTACAATTTCCCTTAAAGTTATCATCGAGATTGGTAGAGAAAAAGAAAGAAAAGAGAAGAGAGAAGGAAAAGTGGAGAATGAAGAGAGAATGTGTGACACGTTGCACAAGCAGCATGCTTCTCACGGTTAAATAAGTTTCGGAGTTTCATTTTATCAGTATTTTAGATTTAATTTAATTTCAAGATTCTCTAAGCTCCCTCTTAAGCAACCAACATTAAACGTGCTCTCATGATCATTGTCGTATTTGAGAGACCTCCAACCGATTTCTTATTCTAAAACTCAGTTTTCTTTGAAATATCATAAATACTGGAATGAATTTACTATTAATTTTGGTAACTTAAATTATTACTAGCTGATAACCTGCGCTATACCCAGAATGAAAAAAATAAATAAACTATTATATTGAATATGATTTTGAAAGCATTTGAGATGAACATAATTTAATGGATTTGATGTATATGTTAATAAATTAAGTGATAATATTATTCAGGGTAGTTATGCAATTACACTTATACTATTATATTAAACCCATATTAACAATTTAAAAAACATTTGGATGCTTATTAGGTCAATATTTCTACATTTTGTGTTTTTCAATAATAATTTTGTTTATATTTCTTATAGGTTTCTGAAACCACCGCAAATATTTATTTCCAATGTGGGAGGTTCAAGATATATACATATTTCTTCATCGCTTAAGTAACCAATTTCATAGTTTAAAATTGTGATGAAATTATAATAGAAATCTTAAACATTATAATAGTCTAACTTTTTGAGCAACTTTAAATTTAACGATATTTAACTTATGATCAAGTTAAAGTTGTACATCACCCATACTTTTTAAACAATCAAAACTGTTTATAATAATTTAAATTTTTACCAAGTTAAACTTTTATATTGTTTATATTTATGTTACAAATGTTTCATTTTTTCAAATTATATATTATAATAAAAATAATAGTATTATTTTGTTTGATGGTATACTGATCCAAATATTTTTTTCAATCTAAATACTTTGGACTATTTAATCAAAATTATTTCAAAAATTCTACATGAAACTCATGTCGAGCTCGTGAATCAGTGTGAAGCTCTCAATCATATGATAGCTCCAAATCTCACTTTCCGCAAAGTACCGTTAAGAATCATTAGTTGGATAACATATAGTTTTTTGATAAAGAAAATAATCTCTTAAAATTAAATCTTTATCTTACTAAACCCCAAATCTCATTAAATACTAAAATCTCTTAAATATGTATTTTTTAATTTCATTTATATTATATATTGAATGAATTAAATTAGAAGATTATATCCATTTTCGCCATCTTTTTGACCGTTACAGACGTAAGTGTTTTCTATATAATCTTAATCAGCCTAAGAGAAAGCCACATACAAACAAATAGAGAGAAAATTATAAAATAGATATCACCAAAAAAACTTTAATCGCATTTGCTCTCACTATTATGTTAGTTACATCTTCTGTTCACTCTCATGCTACATCTTATAATATTTATGGTATTGCCTTTGTTATACTCTCTATTTTTATTATGAATATATTTAATTAGATATATATAATGATTAATCTCAAACATGTATTTGAATAGATAAAGGTGGTGATGAATGTTTCAACTTTTTCGAAGAAAGTCCATGTATCGACGGAAAAGATATATATACAGGTTGTGATGTGTTTTGCAAAAGAAAGAAGTTTACATCAAGTCAATGTCGTCAGAAAGCATGTTGTTGTTTCTCCCGTAAATAAGTATACCTTGAATGAAATAATTGAATAAATTTTGTTTTACGTTTGAATAACAACATCATTATATCATTATATGTATGATTATGAAGAATCAAATAACAAGCCATGACGCTAAATTTTCTAACAAGTGTTGAAAACTATTATTTAATTTGAGCAAACCCAACATAAACATAATATTCATAACACATTAAAATTAAGAAGAAACGTTAGAAAATATAACTAAACTATAAAATAAGAATATGTTAGTAGGTCTTTTGTAACCTTTTTTTTAAGAATATGATTGCTTTTAGTAAATTACTATTTTCGGTTGTAAAGTATAAATGTAGCAAATAAAATATTTTTGTATTATTGCACTAAGAATCGCAGTTTTATAGGTCCAAACGAAATCTTTTAGTAAATTACTATTTTCGGTTGTAAAGTATAAATGTAGCAAATAAAATATTTTTGTATTATTGCACTAAGAATCGCAGTTTTATAGGTCCAAACGAAATCTTGTATATAAAAGACATAAAAAACTGGTCCTGCTATTTAAAAGTAACTTATTAACAAGATCGGATCTCAATCTTGCATATTTTGTTTTTGCTTCGTTGACTTTCTTGCTGCTCCCATGGCGATGAAAAAGCTGGAGCATGTCTCCCATGAATGCCTGTTGACCTCGCCGGAGATTCTTGAAAATGTCATCTGCAATATCTGTTACAAAGATGAGCCTGTGGAGTTCGCTTGTATCCCTTGTAACTTCGATTTGTGTAAAGCGTGCTCCGATCTACCTCCGCAAGTGTCTCATGAGTTTCACTCGGAGCATCCTTTGGAGTTTTGTCTCCGAAAAGTTGATCAAGAACCTACACACATCATCTGCTCCTGTTGTGGGACTATGTCTTCAGGGTCTTATTACAAGTGTAATGATTGCGAAATCTACCTTGATCTGTCTTGTGCCCTCTTGCCGAGCATTTTCAGGAGCTGGGATGCTGAAGAAAAGCTCCATTACAGCCACGCTCACTTGCTTAAGAGGTGTAGACCAGGTCCAGACGCGAGAGGTTCTTGTCTCTTGTGTGAGCTTCCACTCTCACCTTCGGCGATATGTTACGGTTGCCTTCATTGTTATTCCTTTGTTCACGAGTCTTGCCTTGATTTCCCCATAGAGATTCAACATCATCTTGTACATCCGGCACACCCTCTTAAGCGCTTGGACTACACTCAGAACTGTGGTCCTGGAATCAATTGTGCTGCGTGTGGAAACACGATTGATAGTGTCCCGATTGGTTGTCTTGAATGCAGATTGTACCTTCATATGAGGTGTGCGGATTCTTTGTTGCGAGGTCTGATGCACAAGTCTCATGAACACATGTTGTTCTACAAAGCTGCCGGTGCTGGAAGCGTTTTTATGCATTTTACTAGCTGTGAACTATGCGGTAAGGGAAGTCCGATTACTCAGGTGGACTCGTATTATCACTGCCTAGAATGTGGTTGGAAGATTCACTTCGAGTGTCTTAGGATACCTAAGTTTGTGGTACAGAAAAATGTTCACATTCATCCACTTGTGTGCAAAATATTCCATGTTGAGGATGATGAGGATTTTTTAGAATATTGTGGTGTTTGTGAGACAATGGTTCATGTAGGACATCAAGCTTATTCCTGTGAAGAATGCGTTTTTCTTTGCCACATGGAATGCCTTTTACGCAAGGTAATTAATATGGGGATCACTAGCTACAATTCTAAATTATTCTTGATTAAAAATTGTGATGAAGAAAATAATAATGAGCTACTCTTACTTGTAATAAACAGGAAGTAGCTTCACCAATGTACTTAAAAGCTCTATATTCAAGTGGCAAAAACGTCGCAAAAGGAACATGTGGAGAAGACTGTGAAACCAAGAAATTGGAAATCGGACGAATGGTATGGCTTTGTATTCAGCTTAATCTTGATGTTTTTCTTTGTTTAGGTTGGCCTTCCTTTAATCGTTTTAGATATATATATATATGTAGGAGGTTAATGATATTGGCCATATTCATGTGTTGAGACCGAAATACAAGGACAAACAATACTGCGAAATTTGTAAAGATAAAATATATGGTAACCCATGGAAATGCGAGACATGTGAGTTCCAAGCACATGATTATTGTGCAGAGCTAGGGCGGCAACCATCAAGACATCGGCTGCATTTGAACCATGATTTGACACTCTTGCCAAGTTACCCTGCAGGGGGTATTGTAAACTGCAACACATGCAAAGAGGAGATACTTGGTTTCAATCTCTTATGTCGTACATGCAATCTAATCACTTGTATGAGGTGTGTGGTAAGATTAAATCAGCTAACTGGGGTCTTACGTAGGGGGCTACTGAAATAAAGTGCACAGTCTGTGAGCACTATTTTCTTGAAGTTAAGATATCAATGTCGTATCTGATCAAGTGCAATATTTGTGATGAGAGGCTGTGTGGAAAAGTTTTGTCATGCATGGAGTGTGGGGATATATATCATCGTCGTTGTACTCAACTTCGGGAACAATTGTGGCTCGATCATCCCCTTCATTCTCACAGTCTTAGAATGAACCAGAGAAGTGGATCCAAATGCATTTCATGTAAACTGGATATTACAAAGAGTGGCTTCTTTTGTCAATATTGTAAAGTCGGATTCCATATTACATGCATCAAAGGTGTTGATGCATCAGGGAAAAGGAGTAACTTCCACAAGCATATTTTTTATAACTTTTGGATTGGTGATGACTGGAGGGTGACTATTCCAGCCTGCATTGTGTGTAGTAGACCTTGTGGTGCGTCGTTCTATGGTTGTATTGATTGTAATTTCTGCGCCCATGTAGAATGTCTTGGGTTTCCAGATCATGTCAAGAACCAACAGCATCAGCATACGGTCCTAGAAGATAGAAATATTATTTATAGGGGTCAAAACTGTGCGTTTTGTGGATCAAATTGCTATGATGGTTGGTACTCCTGCAAACATTGCGGGGGAGTTTTTCATAAGAAATGCATTATGTCAATGGTAAGGATTCAAAATGTTCCATGTTCTAGAGCCCTAACGATTGCTTTACTGTATTGATTTAAAGCATTTTGTATTTTTTTTTTGATGTTACGTGTAGAATGACCGTGAAGCTGCAACAGAAGAACAGCTTGGAGACATATTTTTTATGTACATTGAGCGTCTTCTCTTAAACACTTTTATAAAAGAGAGAAGAGAAGAAGAAAACGAGTTGTGGCTGGCAAAAAAAAATTATTCGGAAGCAAATGCAAATGACACATCTGGTGATTAAGTTTTGTATTATGCTTTCTGTTTTATTTGAGGTTATATATGCCTCCCCAGTTCTTTCATTTTCTTATTTTCATGTTTACAGGTGGTGATGATGATGATGATGATGATGATGATGATGATGATGATGGATGGTAGTACAAGGAAAATGATGAAGTTAACGGTTTGTGGTGCGTAGTGCAAACCTTCTGTTATCTCATGTTACCCCTCAAACTCCTGTTACTCTTTTTTTTTTTTTTTATCATGTTTTTGGATTTATTTGGAAGATATGTTTATTTGCTTAAATTTTTTTAACTTTTTCTCTTCAGTATGATGTTGTTGTGCCTCCCCAACTCTTGTTTCTGTTTTTATCTTTCCACTAAAATTTTAAAACATATGATTTAGGATTACTCAGTTTATAGGGTTCAATGTTAATCTCATAAAGTAACAAGCCTTGTCTTGTCTGTGCTGGAGAACTTGAAAGGTTTATAGGATTAGTCTTGTCATTTGATTTTTTGGGGGCAGGGCTGACCCTGAAAAATGGGGGACCAGAATAATTTAGTAAGATTTTGATGAATTTTGGGGCCCAAAATTGATTTTTCATTTTTAATTTGGGGGCCAAAATCTATACAAATTTTCTTAACAAAAATGTGGGGGCCAAGCCAAAAGTCTCACTTGGCTTGCCTCAGGGCTGGCCCTGGGGTTAATCATTCTTTCAAAGGGTTAAATTTAGAGTTCGATCTTCACTTATAAGCTCCAAACCTCTCTCTTTTCCCAATAAATTCCGCTAGAAAGACAAATAAGAATAACATCAAAGACAAGATCTTGCAATAAAGGTAACTGAAGAAACACCAAACTTAGAAAGAGAATCATCAACATAAATTCACTTCACGAGGAGTGTGAGTATCCTTTCACCTGGGGAAGAGATTATGAAAAGGTCGGATCTCATGCAGTAAAAGTCCAAGAAAATGGGCATTCCTCTGAATCCATTAATGCCGCCACAACTTTAGACAAGTTGCTTTTGAAAGTGCAGTGGTCAACAAATTTCAAAGTGCATCTGCTTACAAAACCATAGAAGGCACGTGAAATTTTCTGATCACCCAAACCGAAAATTTTATGGTAGCATACTATCATCAAATTTTTAAAAAAAAACCAAACTTCACTTTAGTTCTTAAAAAATGTCAACACCTTTTCGTTCTGACAAAATCTTCCTATATTCGTGAAAGCCTTCTTAAATCCTTAAAAGTTTCCTAAAAAGTTGAGACCTGTCATTTTTTTAAAACAAAACAAACAATTAGGGTTAAAAGTACATGTTGATGAGGCTAGAGCCTTTTAAATGTTGAGATGCATTGTGTCATTTGCTACGCATGAACATGCAATGGTGAGATCGTACTGAATTGATCTTATCATAATAAATAGTGGTATCTTTTTTGTACTAAACTACATTCAAGATAAATAGAGACTACCATGTCAAATATTTGAAAATCCAAATATATAGACTACTGTACTGTATATGCTAAATTTCATGAGTTTTTTTTCTTTCTTTTTTATCTAATTGGCAAGAGTGAATTTTTCTATGTTATTGATATGTAAGATTATGTTATTTTAAATTCAGTATATGAGAATATTATTAAACCGTACTCATTTGAGATGAAGAGAAATTATCCTAATATAGGTTAGAATTTGGTTTGGGCCGGTCAGATTTGTTTAGCGCATACCATGCATATCAAGGTTAAATCATGATGGAATTATATGTAACCTCTTTCTCGCTGAGTGTCATGATTGGGAAAATATTATTCTGAATAAAAGGAGGAAATTCTTGTATCTTAAAATTTTCCAATCGTTTAGAAATGATCTTGGAACGAATATTCTAATTTGCACACTTAAAGTAACACACAAAACTACGTTTTTACTCCTTAATCTGTGAACAACGAACTAGTAAGTTTAGTTTATAAAAAAAAAACCGTACGACTCCCAAAATGAAAGTATAATTCTAAGTTGTAACGATCGATCAGCAGAGTTCCCAACATGTAACTGATGGAGAACCGGTAAAATGTGTCTCGAGAACAGCGAATCAAGAACTACCAAGAACATTTAAATATTAATCAAGTTTACTGAAAATTAAAAATTGTGTACATGAACATCGAAGCTCACTTACCTTTACTACTGTCCTAACTCCTTAAAAGAAAAATGATTGTGTCAAACGAAAATAACGCAGAAAACGCTTATGAGCAAAGAGCTAAACTATTGAAGAAATTAATCTATAGCTTAATATTTTTTTTTTCATTTGTTAAAGAGTTTTTGTTTTTAAAGATCTTAATTAAAAGGTTAGAGAGAGGATTAAGCGGCTCTCTGTATGAAGACGGTCTCGAGATCCGGTGGGGAGAAGAACTCTCTAGCGCCGACGTATCTAAACTTCAACGACGGTTTTCGTTTCTTCGGCGCCGGAGGACACAGCAAAACCGTCGGTATTCTAAAGGAAGCCGCCGTTGGAGTCGTCGGCCACGCATCTTGATGAATGTCGTCTTCCTTGTCGGCTACGGTAGAGGAGGAGATGCTTATCGGTTTCATCGGCGAACGTATGGAGATTCCGGAGATGACATATTTTTTTCCTTCGGAAGTTTCACGGGATTCGCCGTCGAACTTCTGGTGGTTCTTGCCGGAAATTCCCATAAGTTGTCGTATGAGGTTAGAGAGACACAGGGGAATTAGGTTTTTGGTCAAATCACGGAAAGAGATGAAACAATAAAGGTTTGATTTGTAGGGTTAAATTATACTGTAACGAGAGAGAATGTGAAGAGAGTGGGACATGTGAATCAGAGAAGAGGGTTTTATAGTCAACAGCGACTTCAAGACAATCGATCAGTGTCGATTCAGTTCGTTAATTAATGTATTTGTTTTTTTTTTGGTTGATAAAACGAATAATTAATATTTGGTTTTCTTTTTGAAAAATCGGATATTGGTATTTCTTTTCCTGGTAAAAAAACAAAATACATTCAAAGAAGGGAGAGATAGTGAGATTGAGTGTTTACATTGTATCTTCATTAAATGTGAGAGTGATGTTAATGGACGTGGAATAATTCGTTCTTTTGTATAAAGGCTTATGATATAATTATTCATATATTAATAGTACCATGTAGATTCATTTTTAGCATTATTCTGGATTATACACGAAACTTATGTCAAGAGAGTGCATAATACTTATCAACAATGTTATCTATCACCATCTACATGCGGTTAACATGAAAATTAAGGACACTATATATTCACTTAGTATTTGTTCATTATAATTTTAAAGGTGATATTACTTTATGAAGATGTCAAGGAATTGTCAATTGTGGTTATCCATGAGACTCTAGTCAAATTTCTCATCCCTTTCTCCACTAATTCTCTTTTCATTTTAATCTTTCAAAAAAAACGCTTAAAGATAATTTCTTAGATCGAATTAATTTAACATTCAATTTTTTTTAAACGTATATTAATTAAAAGTATTTAGTGCAAAAGATATTGTAGTCATTTAGTGCAAAAGATATTGTAGTCAACTATAAAGTGCTCTTCCTTTTTGATTAAGATACCCTGATAATTATACGCTGGTCGAAGTTATAAGTGCTTTCAGATGCTATTAGTATGGTTTCTCTACAAGTACTTTGTTGGCCGCAACGTAACAATAGAAAAACCTTCACGAGAATAAATAATAAATTATTGAGCACTCTTTTCTTCTAATTAAAGTCTCTGGTCTCTATAATAGTCTTAGACTATCGAAGCAAACATTTTATGAAACAAAGACACAAAGAGATTCAAATCCTATATAGACCAATTATGGGTAGATCGATGAGGATAACGTTTCATAAACGTTTTAGATAACATTATACAAGTATACAACAGTACAAGTAAATGAAGTATTCATGACTATTGTGGGAGGAATGTGTGTGTGAGATCCTTGAAAAATGAAGAATGTATGTGTTGAGTGAGTGAACACATGGACCAAATAGAGAACATAGTGTTCAAATAGGTTTTCAATGATAATAGAGGAAAAAAAAAAAAAAAATGATAATAGGGAACCCGAGGAATCGCGTGACTCTAAGCCATGTGAATTTAATTTACTCTTACTACTTATTTAAGCCTTTTATTGTACGTATCATATTCCGTGTAGGTAATTAATGAAGTAACGAGATGGAGAAAGTCTTGTTTCAAAGTTTTGAATCTTTGGTCGATTCTCTTTCTATGTGTTGACCGGATCATCGTTTGACAGTTTGACCCTTTTTGTTTTCTTGAGGTAACATTACAAAGTCAACTCTCTATTTCTTTCTTGGCGCGATAGTGGAAAAGAAAACGGTGGGAAGTTTCTTATGAAGACATGCTTTCCGTTCGAAAAAACGTAAACGTTTTTCTGTTTATTTGTCTACAACGGATAAAATTCCCAGTTTACGCAAAATGTGGTTGTGGCATTCTCACTTTACCAAAATTTAATAATTATTTTCATAGTAAAAAAAGAAAAATTTGAATTTCCAAAGACCCTTTCATATGATGTTTAAAGTAACATTTATAAAAAAAATGGGTATTATTTCCAAATGATGTGTTTCCTAATGTTTTAAAATATTGGGTATTTTGATATTTTCGTAATATTGGGAAAATAGGCCCTACAAACTAAGGAAATATTTTTTGTAAAAAAAATTAGTTCTATGATGTAGCAAAATTTTAAGAAATACACATCTTGGGTGTAGATTTTCAAAACTACACTCAATCATATTAATATTCAAAACTACACTTTTTTTTTCCAAATTGAACATCTAAGTTTGGGTTCACTAATTTCTAATTAGGGTTTATATTTTGGGGTTTAAGGTTTAAATTTAAGGATTTAAGGTTAGATTTTAAAGTTTAGGGTATAAATTTAGGGATTAGATTCTTTTTATTTAATGAAAAAATATAGTTTTGAAAATAGACATCATAGAGCTATAGTTTTGAAAATATACTCTCAAAAATGTGTATTTAAAAATTTCCTCTATGATGTAACTCACCTCACATTTACTAGGTGTCGGGCAGGTTTCATCAAATGGTTGTCCATTGGAATAGATAGTTAGACGGTTTCAAATAATTTATTTTTAGTTTAACATCAAGAATACCATGAGAATTTCAACCATTTTGTAGGTAATGTTTGACAATTAAACTAAATCACATTAAACTGACGAATCAACTTAAGAAACTTATTTTCGTCTTTTTGTATCTCATTCGCTTTGAAGTGATAACATCTACTAAGAGATATCACCAATCTCTGTTGGGAAATATCCACTAATCACTCTTGTTTTCAATATTTCTTTTTGGATTTTGTAAAGATAAAAAGATTATGTATCCAGTTTTATCACATTCGTTTCCACATTTAAACCTTAATACTTAAGTGTGGAAACGGATGTAATGTGATAATTAATCTCTGGTTCCCTCTCTATCATCGCCGAATATCTTTTGGTTATCCCTTCAATTTTGATCGCGTACCAAAAGATCTCAGAAATCTAAGAGAGAAAATGGCATGGGAGTTTCAAACATTGTTATATGAAACTGATTTCAGTAAAAACAACAAAAAATGGAAATAATGTTACACATGTTCTCATCGTCAACCAAATACCGAAATAATGTTACACATGTTCTCATCGACAACCAAATACCAACAAGCTTTTTATAAAAGGCAACAATAAGGTTAAAAGATAAAAGAAAAAAAAAAGATATATATTTTTAGAAAAATACTTTCCATGATCAAATGTTCGGACTGTGAATATTAAAATTCATGATGTTAACAATTTTTTACCTTGCTGGAACCACAATTGATTTGAGATGTTCTTTTGAAGCAAACAGCTTTTTCATTCTTGTTTTTATCCTCGTGCAAGTTTTGGCCACACCATGTTTGGTGGAGGTACACGTCTCAATCTGTTTTCCTCCTCTGCCATTGGATGATCTAAAAGAAAAGTGGCAAGTTCCATGAATGATTTATCGCATTTCTTCAATTTATCACTACCAAATTATTCTTCTTTATACCACGACACATTCCAAGCATATAGATATACAACTGTCTTTTTTTTCACTAGCATATACATATACTGTCTTTTCTGCAAAATGTGTTAAGTTTTCCACATTTGCGTTTTCTGATCGATAGATTTTTTTTTTTTTTTTGGAATAAATTTTACGTGTAATTTATAATTTAAAGGATAAAACGGAACGTAGCGAAAACGACATCGTTTAGTGAAGACGTAGAGGCGAAAACGGGAAGTTTCTCTTCTCCGACTATTTGCTAAAATTTCTTCCGTTTTACATAATGATGAACGAAATCATCAGATCGTGAATCTTTTCAGGAGAAGATTGAAAAAACACAATCGCCAAATGGAAAATCTCAGCTGCGAGAGATCGAAATCAATCTCCTTCTAGATGCGTGGCTACTTCTTCTCCACCTTAGAAAGCATAATTCATCAGATCTCGTTGATTCATCCGCCGCATTTGGATCTGATTCGACAATCCTAGAGAAGAAATCAAGGAAGAAGAAGAAGAAACATGGCAGGAGCGGCCTCTGCTCTGTTTCTCCTCGATATCAAGGGTCGCGTTCTCGTCTGGCGCGACTACCGCGGCGATGTCTCCGCCGCTCAAGCCGAGCGTTTCTTCACTAAGCTAATCGAAAAAGAGGTTTCTCCCGATTTCCCTCTTATCGCTCATTGATCGGTGTTTATTTCTGGGTTTATCGTCGGTTACTGTAGAATTGGTAGAGAACCTGGAATTAGTGTACGAGCTTGTATGTCTGATAGATTCACCAATCTGAAATCGAAAACCTTTCGAAGCAATGAACACGGCTTGATCGATTAGGATTAGAATTCGATCTGAATCAACATTTTGGTTAGAATTAGAGTATGATTCTCAATATTGTTTTTTCATACTTGGTTCTTCAGGGTGATTCACAGTCAAATGATCCAGTTGCTTACGATAATGGTGTTACGTACATGTTTGTGCAACATAGTAACGTTTACCTGATGATAGCATCCAGACAGAATTGTAATGCTGCCAGTCTTATCTTCTTCCTTCACCGCGTAATCGATGTAAGTATGGTGGTGGCTCATAAATTCTTCGCCTTGCAAGGCTCTATCTTCCTCCCGATTTGATTTCGAAAGAAAAATTATTGTACTGTTTCATATTGGTGATGAAATGGTACTGGTTAATAGGTCTTCAAGCATTACTTCGAGGAGTTAGAGGAGGAATCACTGAGGGATAACTTTGTTGTTGTGGTATGTTAAGTTTCTGCCATAAACCAAGAAGATCCTCAAACATTTAGAAAACGTATTTGTTTATTTTAGATGCTTAAAACTTGATTTCTGGTGGTGGCAGTATGAGTTGCTTGACGAGATGATGGACTTTGGATACCCTCAGTATACTGAAGCGAGAATCCTCAGTGAATTCATCAAGACTGATGCATATAGAATGGAAGTTACGCAGAGACCTCCAATGGCTGTGACAAATGCTGTGTCCTGGAGGAGTGAGGGAATACAGTACAAGAAGAACGAAGTGAGTGCTTTTTTGTGTTTCAAGAGAGGAACTTTTTCTCCTTCTGTGTTTGGGTTTTGCAAATGATAACAACAGCCTGCTCTTTTTTTTGTTCTCTCCAGGTTTTCTTGGATGTAATTGAGAATGTAAATATTCTTGTCAACAGTAATGGCCAAATTGTGAGGTCTGATGTTGTTGGAGCACTGAAGATGCGAACTTACTTAACGTATGTTAACACACTCAACCGTAGCATGTCAAAATTTCAAGTCCCTTTTGCTTTGATCTTTGTCTTGGCCTTCTTCATTTGACTCTCTTTGGTCTTTGATTCACTCTGTTGCAGTGGAATGCCAGAGTGTAAGTTAGGACTGAATGATAGAGTATTGCTGGAAGCGCAAGGACGTGCAACAAAAGGAAAAGCCATTGATTTAGAGGACATCAAGTTTCATCAGTACGTTGTTTAAGCTTCTAATACATTAATCCAAACCTTCTACTATTATATAGTTGAGTTTTTATCTTCAACAACCATTCCTTTTCAACGCAGGTGTGTTCGATTAGCCCGTTTTGAAAACGACCGGACGATATCTTTCATACCTCCTGATGGTGCTTTTGATCTGATGACATATAGACTCAGTACTCAGGTTTGTTAGACTCTTCGTCTTCAGCAAATTATATCTCACGATGTGAATCTCTCTAAATTTACACCCTTGTTCAGGTAAAGCCTCTTATATGGGTTGAAGCGCAAATAGAAAGACACTCAAGAAGTCGTGTCGAGATGCTTGTAAAAGCCAGAAGTCAGTTCAAGGAACGAAGGTATAAATATACTTTGATCTTTGATGATAAGATTCTCTGAACATTTGATTAAGGAACTTTTGTGATTTTTGCAGCACCGCAACGAACGTTGAGATTGAGCTGCCTGTACCAACTGATGCATCTAACCCCACCGTTAGAACATCTCTAGGGTCTGCTGCTTATGCTCCTGAGAAAGATGCATTAGTTTGGAAAATCAAATCTTTCCCTGGTAACAAGGTAGCTGCTTCTTTTTTTCTCTTTCTCCTTAATCCAGTTGAATCAATCAGATGCTAACCTCTAAAGAACAACAATGTAGGAGTACATGTTGAGAGCAGAGTTCCATCTTCCGAGTATAACTGCAGAAGAAGCAACACCAGAGCGAAAAGCTCCTATTCGTGTCAAATTCGAGATCCCTTATTTCACTGTTTCAGGGATTCAGGTAAGCTTGGCCCTTGACAATACCTTGTTTCTACATGTTCTGCGTTTTGAGCGTAAACTCTCTATGATATAGGTTCGGTACCTGAAGATAATCGAGAAGAGTGGGTACCAAGCACTACCATGGGTGAGATACATAACCATGGCTGGTGAATACGAACTAAGACTCGTGTAAGGCTTTCATTCGATTTTTATTGTTTATTGCCAAATTTGTGTGATTCCCACATTCCTCAGGGGAATTTTGCTTGAATCTCAATGAAACAAAAACAAGACAGGACAAAAGTAGAGAAGATAATGTTTTGAAAACTTTTGTTTTAGCTGATCATATTTGTTTTAGTAGCTTATAGTATTGTTGTGAATTTTTCTCTTTATGGTGCTTTTATGGATGTCTTATTACAAATGAAACTAGATCCATCTTTATAAGCAAACGTGAACAAAGCATTTCTAAATCACACTTTGACTTGTTCTTCTTGATTATTTAATTTATTCTCTTCGTTCGGGAATAAACAATGTATGGTTTAACTAGATCAGAAAGTAGAAAAACATTAAGGAGGAAAACAAAAGCAAATGATAGTTATAGACTTATAGTCTAATATGAGAGGCATAAGGTAGAAAAGGAACGCATCACATAATAATATTTAATAGCAATGTTATTAGAGAATGATGACTAAAAAGATGAACAATGGCGAATGTTAGTGATATCTCAAAATTCATTTCCTAAGAAGTTGGGGAAAGGCAAACAACTAAAGCAGCCTCAAAGAACTCAAGGTTTTATATACAAACTCAGTTTCATCGTTGTGTAATCTTGTTTTTTTTTGTTCAACATCCTTGTGTGGTCTATGTAACCATACTTGGTGAAAGAAAAAAATAAGAAACCAAAAAAGAGAATAAGTAAACCTATATATGGGCCATGGGCCATGCTCACGGTCATCTCCACATCTCATATTCCTCAAATTGTGATCGAAAGTCGAAACCCTAACTCACTTGACAAGTTTGTACGTGATTTAAAGTAGTCTCTTCCTCAAAGTAACAAAGCCTAAGAAAAGAAAAGCGTTTTCCGGAGAGATATGGAGGATCAAAAACAGACGAGTTTCACTTTTGAGATAGATAACTTCTCCTACAAGGAAGCTTTGGTAAAATCACCAACATTCTCAAGCGGCGGCTGCGAATGGTAAAGGAAAATATTATATTTGTGTGTGTGCATGCGCTTTTGATTTCTTAACTCATTCTTTGATGTAACAAAATAACTTGTCTCTGTTATTAGATTTACAACTAAAGTGTTTGGTAAGTTTACATGATTCCTTTTTATTTTATTTTTATCAGGTTTTAAAGTAGTCTCTTCCTCAAAGTAACAAAGCCTAAGAAAAGAAAAGCGTTTTCCGGAGAGATATGGAGGATCAAAAACAGACGAGTTTCACTTTTGAGATAGATAACTTCTCCTACAAGGAGTAAAATCACCAACATTCTCAAGCGGCGGCTGCGAATGGTAAAGGAAAATATTATATTTGTGTGTGTGCATGCGCTTTTGATTTCTTAACTCATTCTTTGATGTAACAAAATAACTTGTCTCTGTTATTAGATTTACAACTAAAGTGTTTGGTAAGTTTACATGATTCCTTTTTATTTTATTTTTATCAGGTATGTTAAGGTTTATCCCAAAGGAGATATTCTTGATGATCAATTGGCTATGTACCTCTGTGTTGCGAATCCTGAATCATTGAGACTTGGATGGAAAAGGCGAGCTAGTTATTCCTTCGTTCTGTTGAATACATCAGGCAAAGAACTCTTCAGAAAATATGGTAATTGATGTAATATATTATATATATATGTACCTGATTGTTGTGGCATGGGAGACAATTTAAATGATTCTTTCTTTTTCTCTCTTACAGAATCGTGCCCGTTGTTTTGCGCTCAGTTCTCAGGACGGGGTACAACAAAATCCGTGCCTCTTAAAGATCTTCAAGAAAAAGGGTTTTTGGAGAAGAATAAACTGAGAGTTAAAGTGGAAGTAAAAGTAGTTGAAGTTGTTGATCAAGGAGTTGTCACTGGTAATGAGACGTTTGATTTCAATGGTTTCCAAATTCTATATTCTCAGGTCTGATTTTAATATTATAAAGATGTGTTTTTCTTCCTTTGTATTCCCTTTTTTAGGGCTAATATAGTTTCATCTTTCTCTCGGTGACAGTTTATTTCAGTGAGTCGGCTTTTCGTAGAACATCCTGGCATTGCTGTAAATATCAGACCAAAGAGCAAACCGGTCAAGACAACATACATGAATCTCCTCCTCAATCTCATCGAGTTACTGAACAAGCCTCCACATAGCTTCACGGAAACTGACCTAAGCAACGCGCAAAGCGAGTTGATCGATCTTACAGAAGTAGGATTCAAGCTAGACTGGTTGAAGACAAAGCTTGATGAAGTTTTCTTGGAGAGGAAGAAAACGAATGCTGCTGATGGTTCTCGAGTCCAAGAACTCGAGGAACACATCAAGAATCTCAAAGTTGAACTGAACGAGGAGAAGGTCAAGTCTGCTACTTCTGGTGCTAAAGTTCTGTCATTGGAGCAGACTGTGTGGGATCTTAAAGATGAGGTGTCAGATCTCAAAGTTGTGGTGTCTGATCTTATAAATGTTGAGTCAGAAGACTCAGAATTTGAAGATGAGGTGTCGGATCTCAAAGATGAGCTGAACAAGAATGAGGCCAAATCTGATACTTGTGCTGCGCATTGTTTTTCGTGGGAGCAAACGGTGTCCGATCTCCAAGATGAGCACATTGTTTTTCGTCCGATCTCAAAGATGAGCACATTGTCCGATCTCCAAGATGAGCTGAACAAGGTGAAGGATAAATCTGATACTTGTGCTGCTAAAGTTTTGTCTTTGGAACAGATGGTGTTGAGTCTCAAGGAGAAGAGTGTTGTTGGCTCTTGGGAAGTATTGGACTACGCGGATCTCCATAATGAAAAGTAGAATATTAGGGACTTTATTACTATGTTTTTGGTTTTCTTTTATTAATTATTAAGAACAACTTTGGGGTTTTGTATATGTTCGTCTCAATCTGAAGTTGCAAGAAACTGTTAGTTTCCAAGAAACGTATCACATAAACGTCTCGTAATGTGACTTGCGGCTAAAGTATACGAAATATTCAAAAGTAGTATTTTCACACTAGACGTTTTATATATATAGAAACGAAACACAAAGCAATGGGGAAATTAGTCTTTTGAAAATACATGCTTCAACAAGCAACTAGGCAATCTTTTACTAGACAGAGAGAGAGAGAGAGAAATACAATATAGATTGAAAGAGAATATGTTTGGTTTTGGTGTGTAGGTTCGGTACCTGAAAATAATCGAGAAGAGTGGGTACCAAGCACTTCCATGGATGAGATACATAACCATGGCTGGTGAATACGAACTAAGACTCGTGTAAGGCTTCGTTCGATTTTTTTATTGGTTATTGCCAAATTTGTGTGATTCCCACATTCCTCAGGGGAATTTTGCTTGAATCTCAATGAAACAAAAACAAGCCAAGACAAAAGTAGAGAAGAAGAAAATGTTTTCAAACTTCTGTTTTAGCTGATCATATTTGTTTTAGTAGCTTATATTATAATTCTTATGAATTTGTCTTTATGGTGCTTTTTGGATGTCTTACAAAGGAAACTGCATCCATCTTTATAAGAAAAAGTGAACAAAGCATTTTGTTTTCAAATCACACTTTGAATTGTTCTTCTTGGTTATTCATTTTTCTTCGTTTAGGAATAATCAATGTATGGTTTAAGATTTGTATAAAACCAATCGTATTATCGTGGAAAAAAGAAAGAATGCTTGAAAATCAAGTATCAGAAGACGAGAAATTAGACCTGTGGGCGTGAAAATTGACATCAGAAACGTCAATTGCCTCATGCATTTGCTATCAATTATAATTACTTTGGAGAGGCTCAAGAAACATAGCGTTCCTTGGATTGTGTAGAGGAGAAAGAACCCGTCTTGAATTCAGAGATAGTGCACCAAAGAATGTTGAAACCACGAAGCTTGTTCATTGTTAGTGACTTAGTGGAAGTGATATTAGTTAATCTTTGACTGAGTAATTTTCTATATTAATTATGACAAATAAAAGTTTGGACGAGCGAAAAGAAAACAGAGTAAAATTTTGGGAAACTTCTCTTTGTTCTTGAGGCATCTTATTTGACACAACCAAACGTAACTGCTTCGTAGTGGTACACGACTTCTCAAAAGTGAATATGCACTATCTGATGTTTACATATGGGAACTGTTTTGTACATTAAAAAAAAAAGCAAATTGTGAAAGGCATAGAAGCATGAAAGCACGAGTTTGTATGATGTCCAAAAAGGCGTCGAAAAATAACAAGATCCGGACTCATTTGACAAAGAGCTCAATCATATGTGGATGGTGACATCTTAAATCAAAAGGTAGAAAACAAAATTAAGGAGAAAGAAAAAGTGATGGTTATGTAGTCAAGCATAAGGTAGAAAAGGAAGACAACAAACAATAGCAATGATATTAGAAAATGTGGACCAAAAATATGAACAATGTCGGATGTTACTTATATGTCGAAATTAAAGAAACTATGTCAAAATAATAAGGTTTTATGTACAAACTCAGTTTCATCGTTAGGTAAACTATGTAACCATACTTGGTGACAAAAAAAGAACAGAAAAAAAGAAAGAGAATTAAGTAAACCCATGGGCCATGGGCCATGGTCAAGTCACGATCATCTCCTCATCTCATATTCGGAATATGATATATATATGTGTGGAGATGATCGATTTCATATTCAAATTATCTCTCCTCAAATTGTGCTCGAAACCCTAACTCAGTCAAGTTTGTGAGTAGTTAAAGTAGTCTTGCTCAAAGTAAACAAAGCCTAAGAAAAGAAAAGTGTTTTTTCGGAGAGATATGGAGGGTCAGAAGCAGATGAGTTTCACGTTTGAGATAGATAACTTCTCCGACAAGGAAGCTTCCATATTTTCACCAAAATTCTCAAGTGGAGGCTGCCAATGGTAAACGTAAAGATTATATATATATATGTGTGTGTGTGTGTGTGTGCGCGCTTTTAATTTCTTAACTCATCTTTATTAGGCTTAGGTTTACAAATATATAAAAAAAAAATATTTCTCTGGATTCAAAAAAAAAAATAACTTGTCTCTGTTATTAGGTTTACAAGCAAGTTTCATTCATCTGTTTCTCTTTTTTATTTCTTTCAGGGTTGTTAAAGTTTATCCCAAAGGAAAAGTAATCGATGATCACTTGTCTCTGTTCCTCTGTGTTGCGAATCCTGAAACATTGAGACTTGGATGGAAAAGGCGAGCTAGTTATTCCTTCTTTCTGGTGAATCAATCAGGCAAAGAGCTCTTCAAATTAAATGGTAACTCACTTACCAGATGTTCATGTATATGTATGATTGATTCGTCGAGGAAGATTTTTTTTAATTTAATCTTACTGGTTTTGGTTTACAAATTTGTCGTGCCAATTGTTCTGCGCTCAATTCTCAGGATGGGGTATAGCAAAAGCCATGCCTCTTAAAAAGCTTCAAGAAAAAGGGTTTTTGGAGAAGAACAAACTCATAGTTAAAGTTGAAGTAAAAGTAGTTGAAGTTGTTGATCAAGGAGGTGTCACCGGGAACGAGACGTTAGATGTCAAGGGTTTCCAAGTCCCTTATTCTCAGGTATAATTTAATTTAAACTTCAAAGAATTCTTCTTCTTGTTGTTTATTCTTCTTTAATTGATTCCCTTTTCCGCTGTAATTAAATCTTTCTCTTGTTTACAGGTTTATTCTGTGACTAATCTTTTTGTGAAGCACCCAGACATTGCAGTAAATGTCACGCAAAAGAACCAACAAGTGAAGACAGCATAGATGAATATCCTCCTTGATCTTATTAAGACTCTGAACAAGCCTCCGCGTAACATCTCTGAGACTGAGTTAAGCAACGCCCGGAGCGAGTTGTTCGGTCTAACAGAAGCAGGATTCAAGCTAGATTGGTTGAAGACAAAGTTTGATGCGATTTCCTTGGCGAGGAAGAAAACAAATGCTGCTGATGGATTTCGAGTCCAAGAACTCGAGGAACTCATCAAGAATCTTAAAGATGAGGTGTTCATGTTGGAGCCTAAAGGTGAGCTGGACAAGGAGTTTGGTAAATATGATGCTAAACTTCTGTCCCAAATTTCTGCTAAGGTTCTGTTGTTGGAGCAGACGGTGTCGGATTTCAAAGACGAGTTGTCGGATCTTAAAGACGAGCTGAACAAGGAGAAGGACAAATCCGATACTTGTGCTGCTAAAGTTTTGTCGTTGGAACAGATGGTGTTGAATCTCACAGCTGAGCTGAACAAGGAGAAGAGTGTTGTTTGCTCTTGGGAAGTATTGGATTACGCAGATGCCCATAATGAAAAGTAGAATATTAGGGATTTTATTACTATGTTTTCTATTTTCTTTTACCAATCAAGAAGTACTTCTTGATTTTTTTGTCGTCTCAATCTCATAAGTAATATAGTAGTTGGGGACATTAAACCTTTCACATAAACGTCTCGTAATGTGACTTGCGGCTAAAGTATACGAAAAATTCAGAAATATTCAAAAGTAATGTTTTGAAAATATAGAAATTAGTCTATGGGGAAATTAGACTTTTGAAAATACATGCTTCAACAAGCATGCAACTAGGCAATCTTTTACTAGACGATATAGCAGAGAGAAGAGAAAAAAATGAAACATAGAGTGTAGTAGCAAGCACAACGTTTTTGTCTCCTTCTAATTTCTTTTTCTCATGACCGAACAATGGAACCACTCCTTGTCATGTAACATTTAATGTCATTGGGAAGTTCAAATTGTGTAAAAGGGAATTGAACCCTTTCAGTATTCTCACAATATCCTAACCCTAAAATTTTCGGAGATTAGTGGTGGATTTTTGCATCTCTGCTCAGTTTCTCTCTCTCTCACTTTTATTTTTTTCCAGGTATGTTAGAGTGTATCCGAAACGTTTTATCACTCTAGATTTTGTAAAAAAGTATTATAAAAAAGTTTTTTAAGAGAAAAAAAACTAGAATATGTTTCAAATATCATTAATTCAAAAAAAGTCATTATCCCAAAAATCCCTTACTTTATTTTATCATTTTAATTAAGTAAACTCATGGGCCATGCTATGGCCAAGCCACGTGCATCTCCTCATCTCATATTCATCAAATTGTGTTTGAAATCCTAATTTCAGTCGACAAGTATGCGAGTAATTAAAGCATTCGTTTGAGATTGTGAGTAAATTCGACAAGTTTATCTTTCAAAGAAAATTGTTTTGCGGAGAGATATGAAGGATCAAAAGAAGACGAGTTTTACGTTTAAGATTGATAACTTCTCCGACAAGGAAGCTTTGGTAACATCACCAAACTTTTTAAACTTAATATTACAAGAAAGATTTTGAGTAGTAAAATAGAGATAACAAGTTCAAAGAGTGACAGAAACAGAGTGCAAAACCTTGTAGTGGTCTACAAAAGGATCAACGGTCATGACAGCACTAGACCACTCAATATTGCCCCGAACATCCCCTCCTTGGTGTCTCTCCAAGGAGATCTCCGCACACCAGATCTCAAGACGATCACCCTCGACGACGTCCCAGAAGAGCAGCATGTTCCGACCAGAGGTGCTCATTCTGGCCCCGGGAAGTAAATATTCCAACTCGTGGCTTACACCAAACTTTTTGGGAATAACATGATTGACCTTATATTGGTCCCACCAATGGATCAACTGCTCACCAAAGTGGACCACTCTGGAATAAAAGAGACGCATGAGGAGAGAGCCCAAACCCCTGACCTCCTTTGTACACATGATCCCCTCTGGCTCACGCCAATCCAACGCATCTGGCTCACACCAAAACACACCCCCGTAACTACTAATACAGCAGATCAAACCATCCACCATACACCAATCCCTTCTGTTCCCTCTCACTTGATCACGATTCCCTCTTCCCCATTTACGTTCCCTGGGCGAGTAGTAAAAGGTTCCATTCTTGCCAGAGAATAAGTAAACCTTTTGGTCCCTCACCAAACTGCCGTGGACGTCGACATCCGCACTGCCTTTCTTCCGAATCAGCGGCAACGTTTTCCACATTTGAGTCTTTGGGTCAAACACCTCTCCCCACTTAACATCATCGCACCCTCCCAACACGTAAATCTTCCCGTCCACGACGCCAGTAGCCGCGTTAGCTCGAGCCACTTCCATTGAAGGGAGGCTGCGCCACGTGTGAGTCCGACAGTCCAAGAGCCAGGCATCGGGAGTGGGCTTTCCGTTAATCAACCCACCGATTACGTAGATTCCCCAATCCAGAGCCACCACGGCGGATGCTTCCGGAGGCTGAGAGGCTAACGAAGGGATCGGGAACAGATCGGAGGAGCCGTTTCTACGGCGGAGGATGTACCAGCGTAGGTTTGGGTTAGGAGGAGGGGTTCGCAAACATACGTAGACGTGTGTTTCGGTGCGACCTATCAGCGACCGGGTCTTGTAGAGTTCCTGCGAAGCCACTAGAGATCGATAACTCTTGGAGGTGAGAGATAAGGCGGCACGATCCTCTCTTGAAACTCGAGCCAGGCAATTCAGAGCGACATCAGCTGGCAGCGAAGATAACAAAGACGAGGACGACGGAGGAGACGGCTCCATGTTCCTCTTCTTATGCGGTGGCTCTTCGGAATTGGACATCGATTCCAAGGTTATTTCTCTTTTTCCCTGTTTCGAGAGGTTTGAGAGATAAGATGCAGAGAAACGCCTCTCTGTGTTTTTATAGAAAACTGACCAACACCAAACACAACTAGGAAAGCTCTTAATGTCGGTTATAGGCAATCTTTTACTAGACGATATAGCAGAGAGAGAAAAATACAACATAGAGTGTAGTAGCAAGCACAACGTTTTTGTGTCCTTTTAATTTTTTGTTTTCTCATGACCGAACAATGGAACCAATCTCTGCTCAGTCTCTCTGTGTATCCGAAACGTTTTATCACTCTAGATCTTGTAAAAAAGTAATATAAAAAAGTGTAGTTCTCAAGAGAAAACTAACTAGATGTTAGAATGGATAATTATCCCCTTCATATTTTATTATTTACTTTGGTGTAAGTTTCATTCTTCACCGCCTCTTCCTCTCCCTTATCACTTTCTCATCACTTCTATAAATAGAGGAGCCTTTGTAACATTATTAACATAAGTTAATACAACAAAAGAAACTAACTTCTTTCTCTCACATACGAAAATCTCCCTCTCACACGAAACAACTCTATACTACTCTCTCCTCTCCTCACGTAACCAACACATTCTCTCTCTCATCGTAACTCTCTCTCTCTCACCTTCTTCTTTTATTAACAATCAATCCACTATATCAATATATAGTGGTACATAGTTTATTTATATCACGTTATCAGCACGAACTGCTCTTATATTCTGTCTATTTTTATTGTTTATATGCTATGCCGGGATGGTAGGCTATGCCTTCTCCGAGCCGATTGTTATGGTAGGCTTTGTCTCCACAATCGAAAAATCATTTCTTAAGCCGGGATGCTAGGTTGTACCTACTCCGAGCAAATGATCATATGGTAGACTATGTCACCTTAGATCATATAAGAGTTGATGGTGAAACCTCCTCTTGGAGTAGAGGCTTTGCCTCCTCCTGAATATTTACTTTTCTGTAATTTACTTTTTCGCTATTTACTTTTCTGCCATCTAAATTTCTGCTAAATTTATACTGTTATAATGCTAAATTTTTTTATTTGCAAATTTGAATTTGAATTTATATTTAATGAACTGATCTATGATCTATGCAGATATCATGTCAAATTTGGCTAAGCTCGAAATTTCCGCCCTTGATATTTCTGGAAACAATTATATGACATGGGCAATAGGTGCAAAAATGCATCTAAAAGGAAATGGGCTTCTTGATGCCATTGACAAGTCGAAAGAGACATCCGATGAGAAAAAGGCGAAAGCCATGATCTTTTACTTCATCACATCCACGATGGTTTAAAAGATGAATACATCACTAAAGAAGATCCTGCGGATCTTTGGCAATCTTTGAAAGAAAGATTTGACCATCAAAAATATATAGATTTGCCCAAAGCCAAATACCAGTGGCTATACCTCCGGTTTCAGGACTATAAAAGTGTTGTTGAATATAATTCTGCTATGTTCAGAATAATTTCCAAATGGTGCTATGTGGAGAAAATGTGAGCGATTATGATATGATTGAAAAAACGCTCTCCACATTTCACCCTGGAAATATAGTCCTGCAACAACAATATCGGGCAAATGGCTATACTCGTTATTCAAAATTGATGGAAGTTCTCCTTGTTGCAGAACAGAATAACGAGCTTGTGATGATGAACCATCAGACTCGTCCCACTGGAGCTGCTCCATTCCCAGAAGCGAATGTAGCATCGTCCAGCCAAAATAATGGACGAGGACGTGGACGTGGATATGGTCGAAACCGAGGTCGTGGCCGTGGCCGTGGACGTGGTCGGGGACAAGGAAAAGAGTACCGTCCCGACGAGTCCAACAATGAAAGGAATATAAAAGATCTCGAGCAAATGATTACGGCCGAGATTCTAAAAAGCAAAAAGAAAGTGTTTGCTACAGATGCGGCATGAAAAATCACTGGGAGCGTACTTGTCGTACACCCAGACACTTAGCCGATCTGTACCGGGAATCACAAAAAGCAAAGGAGAAAGAAAGTGAGACTAACTTCATCTCCAATGAACCCGGTCCTTCCTTTCACGGCCTAAACGATGATACTCATCTTGATGTTTCAGATTTTCTGGTTGACTCCGAAGAGATCAACGGAAAAACAGACGACTAAAAGGACATGATATACATAGTTATCTTCCTGAATAAGATAACCTAAAAGTTTGATCTTTTTGTTGTAAAATAGTTTTTAATGTGGTATTTTGTATCTTGTGATATAAGCTTTGTATTGTTTAATACTTATTAATGCATCTTTGTTAAATCCAGAAATGACGAAATTTGAGACTCGTGATGGAGATATGTGTCTTGCAGACAGTGCTACAACGCACACAATACTCAAAGATAAAAGATATTTCTCCGGTCTCAAAATTAAAGATTCCGTTGAAAGCGTGAATACCATTTCTGGTGGTGCAAAAATAATATTGGGCTCTGGAAGAGCCAATTTTTCAATGCCAAGGGGAACAAAGTTTGAAATAAATGATGCATTATATTCCCCGAAGTCTTATAGAAACTTATTAAGTTTCAAAGATATCCGTAAAAATGGATATCACATAGAGACTATAAATAAGAATGGCATTGAAATCCTTTGCATCAAATCGGAGGGACAAATATTGGAAGAATTGAAAATGATGTCCTCCGGATTATATTGCACAAATATTACTCTGACTGAATCATATGTTACAGTAAACCCGAAGTTTACTAGTACATTCAAAATCTGGCATGAAAGGCTAGGGCATCCAGGTTCAGTCATGATGAGAAAAATTGTGCAAAACTCAAATGGCCATCCGTTGAAATACGGGAAAATTTTAGAAACGGGCGAGTTCATATGTAATGCATGTTCTCAAGGAAAACTCATAACTCGGCCATCACCAGCGAAAGTTGGAATGAATCCCCTGTGTTCTTAGAGAGAATACACGGTGATATATGTGGGCCTATTCACCCACCATGCGGACCGTTTCAATACTTTATGGTATTAATTGACGCATCAAGTAGATGGTCACATGTGTGTCTTTTGACAACACGAAATACGGCTTTCGCAAGATTCATTGCCCAAATAATCAGGTTGAGAGCACAGTTCCCTGATTATACTATTAAGAAAGTGAGATTAGATAACGCTGGTGAATTCACTTCACAGCCTTTAATGACTATTGCATGTCATTGGGAATCGATGTTGAGCATCCGGTTCCACATGTCCATACACAAAATGGCATGGCTGAGTCTTTGATTAAACGGTTGCAACTGATTGCAAGACCGTTAATAATGAGAACAAAACTCCCAATTTCAATATGGGGTCATGCTATTTTGCATGCTGCAGCGTTGCTCCAAATACGACCAAGTGCTTATAATATATATTCCCCATTGCAATTAGCATCTGGTCAGGAGCCAAACGTATCCCATCTCCGTGTTTTTGGTTGTGCGGTTTATGTTCCGATAGCACCGCCACAAAGAACAAAAATGGGGCCACAAAGGAGATTGGGAATATACGTTGGGTATACGTCACCGAGTATTATTCGGTATCTTGAACCTCAAACTGGTGATATGTTTACGGCACGTTTTGCCGATTGCCATTTTAATGAAGATGAATTTCCAGCGTTAGGGGGAGGAATTAAAGAGGTTCCAAAAGACCTCACATGGTGTACACCGAATTTGTTACACTTTGATCCCCCGACAAAACAACGCGAATTGGAAGTTCAGAAAATTATACATTTACAAAATATGGCAAATCAATTACCAGATTCGTTCACAGATACAAAAAGAGTGACGAAATCATATATACCCGCTGCAAACGTTCCATCAAAGATAGATGTTCCTAAGGAACAAAATGATGGAAGCATAGCAAATGCACCCAAAGTCCAATTAAAGAGGGGGAGGCCGATGGGCTCTAAAGATAAAAATCCCCGAAAGAAAAAGAATTTGGGAGAAAGGTTCAAGAAGAACCTAGTAAAGAAATATGTCCTGAAGACATAAACAAACTGGTTTTTGAAGAACCAGAGAAAGAGATTCGTCCAGAAGACGAACATGATACAGAAAAATTTGAGATTTCCATCAACTTCGCCCAAAATGGAAAAGTATGGACAAGAAATGAAATAGAAGATGATGATGGAATATTCTCTTTTTCTGTATACAAAGAATTGATCATGAAAGTGATGATCCAGATCCAGAAACAATATCAGAGTGTCTGAAAAGACCTGATTGGGAGAAATGGAAAATGGCCATCCAAGCTGAATTACTCTCCCTCAATAAAAGAAGTGTTTTTGGACCTATTGTCACAACTCCTGAGAATACAAAACCCGTCGGGCACAAATGGGTTTTTGTAAGAAAAAGAAATGAGAAAAATGAGGTCACAAGATATAAAGCCCGACTTGTGGCTCAAGGTTTTTCTCAAAGACCGGGAATTGATTATGAAGAAACATATTCCCCGGTAATGGATGCCATAACATTCAGATTTTTGATGAGCTTAGCAGCGTCTCAAAATCTTGAAATGTATCTCATGGATGTTGTGACAGCATATCTATATGGATCTCTTGAAAATGAGATATATATGAAAATCCCAGAAGGATTAAAAATGCCTGAGGATTTGAAATCAAAGGCTAAGGAGATCTGTTCGGTCAGATTACAGCGATCACTTTATGGACTAAAACAGTCCGGACGCATGTGGTATAATCGCTTAAGTGAATATTTGTTGAGTAAAGATTACGTCAACAATGCGATATGCCCTTGTGTATTCATTAAGAAATCCTCTTCAGGATTTGTGATTATTGCTGTATATGTAGATGACCTGAACATGATTGGAACTCAAAAGGAAATTGATGATGCAAGAACTCATATGAAAGAAGAGTTTGAAATGAAAGATCTTGGAAAGACAAAGTTTTGTCTTGGGCTCCAGATAGAGCATTTCCAAGATGGTATATTTGTGCATCAGTCAAATTACACTAAAAGAGTGTTAAAACGCTTTTATATGGACAAAGCAACTCCTTTGAGTACTCCAATGGTTAATAGATCTCTTGATGTTGAAAAGGATCCATTCCGTCCTTGTGAGGATAACGAGGAAGTGTTAGGTCCTGAAGTACCTTACATGAGCGCTATTGGTGGACTAATGTATCTTGCAAATTGCACTAGACCAGATATAGCATTCGCTACTAATCTGCTTGCAAGATATAGTTCGTCCCCTACGCGCAGACATTGGAATGGAATAAAACATATTTTTCGTTATCTTCAAGGATCAATTGATTTAGGATTATTTTATCCTAAAACTCAAAATGTGTTTTAGTTGGTTTTGCTGATGCAGGATATCTATCAGATCCACACAAAGCTAGATCACAAACAGGTTATGTTTTCACAATTGGTGGAACTGCGGTCTCCTGGCGTTCGCAAAAGCAAACTTTGGTTGCAACGTCTTCAAATTATGCAGAAACTATTGCTCTCCATGAAGCATGTAGAGAGTGTGTGGCTCCGGTCTATGACTCATCACATACAAGAATCAAGTGGAATAGTCACAGAGAAAGAGCCAACAAAAATATTTGAAGACAATTCTGCATGTGTCACACAACTCAAAGAAGGTTATATCAAGAGTGACAGAACGAAGCATATTCCTCCAAGATTTTTCTCATACACTCAAGAACTCCAGAAAAATCAAGAAGTGGACATCGAGTATATTCGTTCAAGTGACAATGCAGCCGATCTTTTTACAAAGGCGCTTCCTACTACAGTGTTCAAGAAGCATGTTCACAGTATGGAATGCGTCGTCTACAAAACTTGTGAAAAGAAAAGATTATATCTTTTCCAGGGGGAGATTATGCTACGGTACTCTTTTTCCTAAGTCATAGTTTTTATCCCATTGGGTTTTTCTATGACATAGGTTTTTTAACGAGACCGTACATAATACAGACGGATAATTAAGGGGGAGTGTTAGAAAGGATAATTATCCCAAATATTATATAATTTCTTTCACCTTAATCACCGCTAATCATTTTCTATTATTTCCTCTATATAAATATGTGTACTCATTACTATTAAACATAAGTTATAAGCTCTCTTCCTCTCACGTAAATAACTCTCTCTCTCTCCATACGTAAATCTCTCTCACATCTCTCTCTCACTACACATCACCATCTCTCTCTCTCCCTATCTCTCCATCTCTCTCTCTTTATTTAATCAATCCACTATATCAATATATAGTGGTACATCCAGTATATCATCTTATATAGTATATAGTTTTAGTATAGTTTCAATGGAAGATTATGTTACGGTATTCTTTTTTCTTAAATTATAGTTTTTATCTCATTGGATTTTTTATGAAATAGATTATTTAACGAGATCATACATAATACATCAACGATGGATAATTAAAAAGGAGTGTTAGAATGGATAATTATCCTCTTCATATTTTATTATTTACTTTAACTGTAAGTTTCTTTCTTCACCGCCTCTTCTTCTCCCTTATCACCTCCTCATCACTTCTATAAATAGAGGAGCCTTTGTAACATTATTAACATAAAATTAATACAACAAGAGAAACATATTTACCATTCTCCTTTCTCTCACATACGAAACCTATCTCCTTCTCACACATAAACTAACTCTATACTACTCTCTCCTCTCCTCACGTAACCAACACACTCTCTCTCATCGTAAATCCCTCTCTCTCTACTGCACCTTCTCTCTTTTATTTAATACAATCAATCTACTATATCAATATATAATGGAACAAAATAGTTTATTTATATCACTAGAGTATTTTTCAAATATTATTAATTCATAAAAAGGCATTATGCCAAAAATCCCTTACTTTAATTTATCATTTTAATTATGTGAGCCCATGGGCCATGCCATGGCCAAGTCACGTGCATCTCCTCATCTCATATTCATCAAATTGTGCTCGAAACCCTAACTCAGTCGACAAGTTTGTAAGTAATTAAATCATTCGTTTGCTCAAAGTAACAAAGCCTAAGAAGAGAAAAGTGTTTTGCGGAGAGAGATATGGAGGATCAAAAGCAGACAAGTTTCACGTTTGAGATAGATAACTTTTCCGACATGGAAGCTTTGGTAACATCACCAAACTTTTTAAGCGGCGGCTGCGAATGGTAAAAGAAAAAAAAATATATATATATATTATTATATAAAGTTTTTTTTTGTAAAATATCTTATTTAATGGATGTGTACAACGTGGTTGCGACACGTATGATTTTTATAAAATTTAGGATCGCGACATGTGTCACTTTTAATGTTATGTCCGTCAAGATCGTGACACGTGTCTTAAGGGAAAAATTTAAAATTTAAAAATTTCTAGAAAAAGGATAATTAAAAAAAAAAATTTAATCTATTATATTAAAAAAACGAAATTTAATCTGTTATATTAAAAAAAACGAAATCTAATCTGTTATATTAAAAAAAAAAAAAATCCTTTCAGCAAATTTATATTATCAACACATATAATTTTCTAAATCCTATTAGTACATGGAATAGGTACTTAAACTAAAAATCCTATAGCAACATGGAATATGTTATATGAACATCTATAAATACAAAGTTACAGTAGTCTTTTTTTTCTCATTCACAAACTTATTAAAGCAAATTCATCAAATTTCTCTGATTCTCTTTCTCTAATTTAAAAGTCATATTTTTGAAAATTCAAGAAAACAATGGTGATTATTTGACTCTAGGTCAATTAGATCGAAATCGAGATTTTCACCGTACTATAGTACGAATTATTCGATAGTGGGAAGCTAGAAATCCTAAAGAAAATAATATTCTTATGGGAGTTGAGCTTCTACTACTCGATGAAAAGGTTAGTAGCATATTATTTTATATGTAGATATATAGTCGTAAAATTGATTAACATTAAAGTTTTACTTTTGTTTAAAACAGGAAAACACAATTCAAGTTTTTGTGCATCATTCACTACTTTCAATTTTCGGAGATCAGATCGCTGAAGGAAACATCGTCGAAATTCGAAATTTTAATGTGCAACTGTTAAAAAAAGTTATAAAGTTTCCAGTTATCAGTCTTTCATAAAAGTGACAAAAAGAACGAAAATCAATATTATCAGCGGAAGTGCCTGTCAAATTCCTTTGGAAAAATTTCGGCTTCGGACATACGAGGACTTTGTCAACCTTCAGTATAAGACTGTCGACTTATACGGTATTATTTTCATGCTAAAATTTAATTATTTTCCATAATTGTCATGCAGTCTTAGTGTGTTACGTGCATATAACACGTTCTTACGTAAAGTTTTTAGTGTGTGCATGTTCTTACGTAAAGTTCTTTTGTATTTGTATTCTCAAATTTCTGCGTTATTATTTTTATATATGTGTAAAACCTGGAACAAAAGAGAAGGATAATGAAATTACAAGTTTTCGGGAAACAAGGAACAAGCATATCACCATCTTTGTTTTAAACAGCAAGGGAAAATATCAAACTAGGGTCTTTGATGAAAAATGCAACTGCAAAAATACAGTACGCTACTTTAAAGAAAAATCCTAGCTTTTCTAGAAAATCAATTTTCCAAGACGAACCCATTGATGCTCGACAAAACCAAAATTGAGAATTAAAAGAAACACCAGGCGGCGCCGGAGGTTGAGGAAATCAAGTGAACGGAGAAGAATTTTGCGGCGGCCGGTCACTGGAAACGCCTTGAAAGGTCGCTGCTTCATCAGCAAATCCTATGCTTTCAACCTTTTATCTTCTTCTCCATGACCCATCTTTCTTCAGTTTCCTCTTTATCAGTCAGATCGGAGAATTTCCAACGGGATGAAGGATGGAAAAGAGCGATGTCTTTCTTTTCTCTCTTTTTTTTTTTTTTTTTAATTTTTCTTAATCAATTAAATTATTGCCTTATAGTCCTGAGATAACATATTATTCCACAATTGGACCCCATAGTTATTATTAAGAGTTTTAAAACCGGCGACACAGCATTATCTACCAACAATCTCCATCGTTTTTATTTTTTGGTGGTATATATTTACTTTTAAAAATTATGATAGTCTATGACAGAAAAAAAAAAAGAATTAATAACATTATCCTTGAAAAACCCGTGCTTGCACGGGTCCATATCTAGTTATTATATAAAGTTGGATGCGCACAACGTGGTTGCGACACATAGGATTTTTATAAAATATAGGATTGCGACATGTGTCACTTTTAATATTATGTCCGTTAAGATCGTGACATATGTCTTGGAAAAAAGAAAAAAAAATTAAAGGGAAAATTTTAATCTTTTATAATAAAAACGAAAATTTATATAATAAATTAAAAATAATGTAATAAAAAATACCTATTAGTATATGAAATAGGTATGTAAACTAAATATCCTAAAATGGAATAGTTACATAAACCCTATTTTAAAAATCCTATTAGTACATGGAATAGGTATGTAAACTAAATATCATAAAACTGTATGAAATTGGTTACATGAACCCCCTATAAAAAGAGAGCTATTGTATTCTCTTTTTCTCATTCACAAACTCATCAAAGCAAATTCAGCAAATCTCTTTGATTCTCTTTCTCTAATTTTAAAATCATGTCTTTGAAAGTTCAAGAGAACAGTGGAGATTATTTGACTCTAGGTCAATTGGATCGAAATCGAAATTATCGCGTACTATAGTACGTGTTATTCGAAAGTGGGAAGCTAGAAATCCTGAAATAATATTATTGATTTGATTTATATAATAAAGTTAGTAACATCTTATTATATTGATATAGATAATCTTATTATAACATTGATTAACATTAAAGTTTTACTTTTGTTTGAAACAGGAAAAACACAATTCAAGTTTTTGTGCATCATTCACTACTTCAAAATTTTGGAGATCAGATGGCCGAAGGAAACATTATCGAAATTTGTAATTTTAATCTGCAGTCTGCTCATAAAAAAACTTCTATTACTTGATGAAAAGTTGTAACATATTATATTGATATATATCTTATTAAGAAAAGAAAAAAAAAACGAAAAAAAAAATTGTTACATCCATTACGAAAAGGAAAAGTAAAACATATTTCAAATACGAAAAGGAAAAAATAATAAATATATAGTAAGCTATAGCCTTCATGATTTAATTGTGTGATTCTATCTTTTGATTAAACTTCTCTCTCATTAAGAAATAAATATAATGTATTTGAAAGTTCATGATATCAATGAAGAATATTTAACTCTAGATCAGTTGGATCCAAATCAAAATTATTGTTGCTACTTGTGTCTAATATTTTGAAAACAAGTGTTAACACAAGAAAATTGGAAAAATGTATAAAATAAATAAAAAACTAACAAAATAATTAGAAAACAACTAACTAATAATGGAAAGGAAATTTTATAATGGCCTGAGTCAAAAACAAAACTGAAAAACAATATAAATAGAAAACTAATAAAATAATTATCGAGCAACTAACTAATATTAAAAGGAAAAATTTATAATGAACTGATATTCTAATTTTAATAGTTTAATTTTTTTGTTAGGTAAAAAATATTAAAAAAGATTTCATCAACCAAAATCTCTTCAATGAATAATAAAATTTTCACGAATTAATCAATCAATCACTTATACATGTGTAAGTCTTTCAATTTTAGATAAAAGTAAAAAGATAACAAATTAATTCATTTTTCGTATCATGAATTCAGAAAATATGTCAATTATAATAAAAATGTAAAAAGATTACCAATCTAATATTATTTAGAGGTCTTTTATCGGGTTTTAATATTAATCTACTTACTTTTAAAGTGTCAAATTTATTTAATATTTTTCTATGATTTATTTCAAAAATTGTATAATAAATCCGCTTATACGCGAGCCTAATCTAGTATATTATGTAGTTTAACTCTGAACTCGTCCTCTCTATTCCAAAAATATCTTGATGCTGTTATTAATCAAATTTGTTTTTCTTTATTTTATTTTGTTCAGGTTTGTTAAGGTTTTCCCCAAAGGAAGTATAGTTGATGATCACTTAGCTTTGTACCTCTTTGTTGCCAATCCTGAATCATTGCAACTTGGATGGAAAAGACGAGCTAGTTATTCTTTCTTTGTGGTGAATCAATCAGGCAAAGACCTCATCAAATTAAATGGTAATTTACTTACCTTACTTTTTCATGTATATGTGTGATTGATTTGTCGAGGAAGAAAACTTTTAATTTAATCTTTCTGGTTCTGGTTTACAGATTTGACGTGCCAATTGTTCTGCGCTCAGGTCCCAGGATGGGGTAGGGGAAAAGCCATGCCTCTTAAAAAGCTACAAGAGAAAGGTTTTCTAGAGAAGAACAAACTGATAGTTAAAGTGGAAGTTAAAGTAGTTGAAGTTGTTGATCAAGGAGATGCCACCGGGAACGTGATATTCGATTATAATGGTTTCCAAATTCTTTCTTCTCAGGTATGATTCAAGAGGATTCTAGCGTTAATCTTTTTTAACTTTTACTGTTCTCTTTTCTAGTTAACATAACTAGAAATTTCTCATGCTGGTAGGTTATATCAGTGAGTAGGCTGTTCATGAAGCACCCGGACGTTGCAGTAAATTTCAGACTCTCGAACCAGTTAGTGAAGACAACTTACATGAATATCCTCCTCGGTCTTATCGAGACACTGAACAAGCCTCCACGTAGCATCTCCGAGACTGAGCTAGGAAACGCTCGCAGCGATTTAATCGATCTAACACAAGCAGGGTTCAAGCTAGACTGGTTGAAGAAAAAACTTAATGAGGTTTCCTTGGAGAGGAAGAAGAATGCTGATGGTATTCGATTCCAAGAACTTGAGGAACAAATCAAGAATCTTAAAGCTGAACTGAACAAGGAGAAGGTCAAATATGCTGCTAAATTTCTGTCCTTGGAGCAGACAGTGTCGGATCTTAAAGATGAGATGAACAAGAAGCGGAATACCATCAGCTTATCATGAGTCTTGTGGATTTCAAAAAACTCTCATTCAGTTTCGTTGTTGCTCACTTTTTCCTTCGTGGTAGCTTCGTCTTCCCATTCCACACCTTCAATCCATTCTTTCTCTTTGTATCTTATTATGAGTCCATTTTCACCATGCATGCCACTTTTAGAATCGAGTGGAAGCTTCTTGAGCTTTGAACTCACGAAGCTTATATTCATTGTTACCGGAAAGTGATAATCCAGATGATTCCATATCAACACCTCTGATCCTTAGGTCTCTTGTACAACACGTCAACCTATAAAAGGTCAAAATGTTTTCAAAATTTGGAGGAAGATGTTCTGAACAAGAACGAGGCCAAATCTGATACTAGTGCTGCTAAATTTTTTTCATGGGATCAGACGGTTTTGAATCTCAGAGCTGATCTGAACAAGGAGAAGGGTGTTGTTTCCTCATGGGAAGTATTGGATTACGCAGATCTCCGTAATGGAAAGGTAGAATAAAAGACATTGTTTTTCTACGTTTTCTGTTTTCTTTTACCAAACAAGAAGTTCTTGAATTTATGGTCGTCTCAATCTCATAAAGTAATATAGTAGCTGGAGAGATCAAATTCAAACCTATCATATAAACGTCTCGTAATGTGTGACTTGCGGCTAAAGTATACGAAATATTCAAAAATAATATTTCCTCCCATTTATCTAAATTATATGAATCAGTTAATACGAATGAGTAGGAAAAATTATGAACAATATGAATCAGTTAATACGAATATTGAGTAGGAAAAAAAAAGAATAAAATAAGGAGAATTAATGTTCTTTCCAAAATTTGATTAGGAATATTTCTTTAATTATTTTAATTAAATAATCCCATGGGCCATGGGCATGGCCAAGTCACAGTAATCTCCTCCTTCATCTCATATTCCTCAAATTGTGCTCGAAACCCTAACTCGGTCGACAAGTTTGTGAGTCTTTTGCTCAAAGTAACAAAGCTCTGGGGGAGATATGGAGGACCAACTTCCGACGAGTTTCACTTTGAGATAGATAACTTCTCCGAGAAGGAAGGGGTGATATCATCACCAAGCTTTTTAAGCTGCGGCTGCCAATGGTAAAGGAAAATATTTTATATAGATATGTGTTTATAACTCTAAACTCATCCTCTCTATTCAACTAATATAGCTTGTCTCTGTTATTAATCAATCTGTTTTTATTTTATTTAATTTTGTTCAGGTTTGTTAATGTTCATCCCAAAGGAGATATTGTTGAAGATCACTTGTCTCTCTACCTCAATGTTGCGAATCCCGAATCACTGCGACTTGGATGGAAAAGGCGAGCTAGTTATTCCTTCTTTCTTTTGAATCAAGCAGGCAAAGAGCTCTACAGAGTTCCTGGTAATTTACTTACCAGATGTTCCTGGTATATATATGATTGTCGAGGAAGAAAATTTGAACTAATCTGTCTCTTGTATTTGTCTTACAGAATGGTGCGAGTTGTTCTGCGCTCAGTTCTCAGGATGGGGTTGGGCAAATGCCGTGCCTCTTAAAAAGCTTCAAGAAAAAGGGTTTCTAGAGAAGAACAAACTGATAGTTAAAGTGGAAGTTAAAGTAGTTGAAGTTGTTGATCAAGGAGTTGTCACTGGGAATGAGATGTTCGATTTCAAGGGTTTCCAAGTTCTTTATTCTCAGGTATTATCTAAATTGTAAGATGCTTCTTCTTATTGTTTTTTTTTCTCCTTCTTTAATTGATTCAATATATCTCTTTCTGATAGGTTTTATCAGTGACTACGCTTTTCGTGAAGCACCCGGACATTGCAGTAAATGTCAAACAAAGGAACCAACGTGTGAAGACACTATATATGAATATACTCCTTGATCTTATCGAGACACTGAACAAGCCTCCACATAGCATCTCCGAGACTGAGCTAAGCAACGCTGGCAGCGAGTTGATCGATCTAACACAAGCAGGATTCAAGCTAGACTGGTTGAAGACAAAGCTTGATGAGGTTTCCTTGGAGAGGAAGAAAGAAAATGTTGGAGTCCAAGAACTCGAGGAACACATCAAGAATCTCAAATTTGAACTGAACGAGGAGAAGGTAAAGTCTGCTACTTCTGCTGCTAAAGTTCTGTCGTTGGAGCAGGCTTTGTGGGATCTCAAAGATGAGGTATCGGATAAAATGTCGTATCTTAAAGATGAGGTGTCGTACCATAGAGATGAGGTGTCGTATCTCCAAAATGAGGTGTCGTATCATAAAGATGAGGTGTCGTATCTTAAAAAGGTGGTGTCGTATCTTAAAGAAGAGGTGTCAGATCTCAAAGTTGTGGTGTCTGATCTTATAGATTCTGAGTCAGAAGACTCAGAACTTGAAGATGAGGTGTTGGATCTCAAAGATGAGCTGAACAAGAATGAGGCAAAATATGATACTTGTGGTGCTAACGGTTTTTCGTTGGACCAAACGGTGACGGATCTCAAAGATGAGCTGAAAAAGAATGAGGCGAGATCTGATACTTGTGGTGCTAACGGTTTTTCGTTGGAGCAAACGGTGACGGATCTCAAAGATGAGCTGAACAAGAATGAGGCGAGATCTGATACTTGTGCTGCTAATGGTTTTTCGCTGAAGCAGGCGTTTTCGGATCTCATAGCTGAGCTGTACAAGAACGAGGCCAGATCTGCCACTTGTGCGCATGGATTTTCGTTGGAGCAGGTGTTGACTGATCTGAACAAGGAGAATGGTGTTGTTGGCTCTTGGGAAGTATTGGAATACGCGGGTCTCCATAATGAAAAGTAGAATATTAGGGATTTTATCACTATGTTTTTGGTTTTGTTTTATTAATTACATTAAGAAGAACTTTGGGGTTTTATATCTGTTAGTCTCAGTCTGAAGTTGCATGAAACTGTTAGTTTCCGAGTGCCATAGGTAATGAAACCTATCACATACACCGTCTCGTAATGTGACTTGCGGCTAAAGTATACGAAATATTCAAAAGTAATATTTTCTCCCATTTATTTAATATATATGAAACAGTTAATCACAGCACATGCATTACATGCATTAATATCTTCATGCATGCATTGCATTTTTTTTCCTTTCATAAACATAGTTGGCAGATGGTTTTTGCTTGTCAGATTAGTGAGTTTTCAATTATATTGGTGTTCTCGTTTTCTAAATCACTGTCTGTTTCTGGCGTGTTTACAATATAGTTTAACAGCTTGTGTGAAATTTAAGTCATCTTTCACTCGAAGTAATAAAGCCTAAGAAAGAAAGTCTTTTGTGGGAGATACGAGAGGTAGATAACTTCTCTGAGAAACGATTATATATATATATATATATATATTAATATATAGATATATATGTAATATGTGTGTGTGTGTTCTTTTGATTTCGTAACTCATCATCTAAATTCAGCAAAATAACTATCTCTGTTATTAGATTTTAAAACGTTTCTCTCTCTTTCTCTTTTTTTTTTTTTTTTTTTTTTTTAAACGTAATATTTAATCATTGTAATTAGGTTAACCCATGGGCCATGGCCAAGTCAAGTGCAACTCCTCATCTCATATTCCTCAAATAGTCTCTTGTTAACCCTAATTTCTGTCGTGTGAGAGAATCAAACTTGGCTGTAACAAAGCCTACGAACAGAAATTGTTTTGGAGAGATATGGAGGATCAAAAGCAGACGAGTTTCACTTTTGAGATAGATAACTTCTTCGATAACGAAGGTCTCGTACGATCTCCAAAATTTTCAAGCGGCGGCTGCGAATGGTAAAGGCAAAGATTATATCATTATATTGTGCGCTTTTGATTTCTTAACTCATCCTCTGGATTCAAAAATATCTTGTCTCTGTCATTAGGTTTACAAACCAAGCTTGATTTATCTGTTTCTCTTTTTTATATCTGTCAGGGTTGTTAATGTTTATCCCAAAGGAGATCTTGATGATGATCACTTGTCAGTTGTCACTGTACCTCTATGTCGCGAATCCTGAATCATTGAGACTTGGATGGAAAAGGCGAGCTAGTTTTTCCTTCGTTCTGTTGAATGAATCGGGCAAAGAGCTATTCAAAAAACCTGGTAATTAGCTTATCTTCCATGAATATAATTATGGATATATCTGATGAAGAAGAAAATTCAAATGAATCTTTCTGGTTTTGTCTTGCAGAAATTTTGTTCAACTTTTTTAACGCTGAGGTCACAGGATGGGGTTATACAAAGGCTTTGCCTCTTAAAGAGCTTAAGAAAAAAGGGCTTTTAGAGAAGAAAAAAATTATCGTTAAGGTGGAAGTAAAAGTTGTTGAAGTTATTGATGGTGGACATGTAACTGGAAAGGATACATTAGATGTTAGTGGTTTCCAAGTCCTTTATTCTCAGGTATGATTAATATTAGAGATAAGAATGCTTCTTCTTGTTGTTTTATTCTACTTTAATTGATTCCCTTTTCTGGTTAACATAATTGCATCTTTCTCTTGTTTACAGGCTATTAGAGTGAGTAAGCTTTTCGTGAAGCACCCGGACATGGCAGTAAATTTCAGACTAACGAATCAGTTGGTGAGGACAACCTACATAAATATCCTCCTCGGTCTCATTGAGACACTGGAAAAGCCGCCACATAGCATCTCCGAGACTGAGCTAGGAAACGCTCGCAGTGAGTTAAACGATCTAACACAAGCAGGATTCAAGCTAGAATGGTTGAAGACAAAGATTGATGAGGTTTCCTTGAAGAGGAAGGTATCAAATGCTCCCAATGATACTAGAGTCCAAGAACTTGAGGAAGACATCAAGAATATCAAAGATGAACTGAACAAGGAGAAGGTCAAATTTCTGTCCTTGGAGCAAACAGTGTCAGATCTTAGAGATGAAGTGTGGGATTTTAAAGATGAGCTGAACAAGAAGAGGAAATTAAACCCTCAATAATTCTCCCTATGTTTTTCTAACTTCGGTAATCTCAGAGTAGATGGACACAGCTTGTGGATGTCAAAGCTGGCATTCAAGTTTTCTTGTTGCTTACTTTTCCTTGGTGTGGACTGTACTGAATAATACAAACAACGTTTTGTGTTTTGTGGCACCGTAGCAATAATACAAATTATCAGACCAGAGTAAATACATCACTCACAATTAGCAACTCTTTCTGAACAATGAATGTAGTTTTTTTTTTCGGAGTATGAAACTTTGGTAAAGTGTTTTACTTACAATAACGGAGCATAGAGTCATGTTGTATTTTTTTTTAAAAATGTCGTTAATATAGCAGCTAGCTCGATGTGTCTACGAGAATGGACAGAGACCACTTGCCGTTGAGACAGGTTTGCCCCTTAAACCTTTTGGTAGCTAGGTTAAGCAAACATTTTTGCCCGGAGAATGGACGGAGCCTACTTTTTTTTTTTAAGCTGGTCATATTTGTTTCTTGTGGATTTATCTTGTTGGTGCTTTTGGGATATCAATTACAAACGAAACCACATTCATATCTATAAGAAAACGTGAACAAAGCAAATTCCAACTCACACTTTGACTTGTGTTCTTGATTATTATTTTTCTTCATCATTAGGGAATAAACAAACCTTGGTTTATGATTTGGCGACAGTTCTCATGTCTTGCGATTGCACCTTTCTCATGACGCAACTTGCCTCCGCCACTACCGTTTTCTTTCGTAATAATGACTATTTTCTCCGGCGCAGTCGCTGCGATTGGTAGACAAACATGAGACAATGTTTCTTCATATACACACACATAGTAGCTTTTTTTTTTTTTCCGTGGTCACGTGGGATAGTGAAATTTCTCCCATAACTCTATTTAATCATTTGACTTACGTTAACACATGGGCCTTGGGCCATGGCCAAGTCACCGTCGTCTCCTCATCTCATATCCTCAAATTGTGCTCGAAACCCTAACTCAGTCGACAAGTTTGTGAGTAGTTAAAGTAGTCTTTTGCTCAAAGTAACAAAGCCTAAGAAAAGAAAAGTGTTTCGGAGATGGAGGATCAAAAGCAGACGAGATTCACGTTTGAGATAGATAACTTCTCCGAGAAGGAAGCTTCGATATCATCTCAAAAATTCTCAAGCGGCGGCTGTGAATGGTAAAGGAAAATATTATATACCGTGCTTTTGATTTCTTAACTCATCCTCTGGATTAAAAAAAAAAGACACTTGTCTCTGTTATTAGGTTTACAAGCAAGCTTCATTTATCTGTTTCGCTTTTTTATTTCTTTCAGGTTTGTTAGGGTTCATCCCAAAGGAGATATGTTTGATGACCACTTGGCTCTGTACCTCTTAGTTGCGAATCCTCAATCATTGAGACTTGGATGGAAAAGACGAGCTAGTTATTCCTTCTTTCTGGTGAACCAATTAGGCAAAGACCTCATCAAAATAAATGGTAATTTACTTACCAGATGTTCATGTATATATATGATTGTCGAGGAAGAAATTTTTAATTTAATCTTTCTGGTTTTGGTTTACAGATACGACTTGCCGATTGTTCTGCGCTCAAATGTCAGGATGGGGTAGGTCCAAGGCCGTACCTCTTAAAAAGCTTCAAGAAAAAGGGTTTCTAGAGAAGAACAAACTGATAGTTAAAGTGGAAGTCAAAGTAGTTGAAGTAGTTGATCAAGGAGATGTCACTGGGAAGGAGACATTTGATTATGGTGGTTTCCAAGTCCTTTATTCTCAGGTATTATTAAATAAAACGGATGCTTCTTCTTGTTTATTATCTTCTTTAATTGATTCCCTTTTCCGTAATTAAATCTTTCTCTTGTTTACAGGCTACTTCACTGAGTAAGCTTTTTGCAAATCACCCGAACGTTGCAGTAAATGTCAGACAAAAGAACCAACGAGTGAAGACAACATACATGAATATCCTCCTTGATCTTATCGAGACTCTGGACAAGCCTCCACATAGCATCTCCGAGACTGAGCTAAGCAACACTCGCAGCGAGTTGATCGATCTAACAGAAGCAGGATTCAAGCTAGACTTTTTGAAGACAAAGCTTGAAGAAGTTTCCTTGGAGAGGAAGAAAACGAATGCTGCTGATGATGATGGGTCTCGAGTCCAAGAACTTGAGAAGCAAATCAAGAACCTCAAAGCTGAACTGAACGAGGAGAAGGTCAAAAGTGTTTCTTCTGATGCTAAAGTTCTGTTGTTTGAGCAGACGGTGTCGGATCTTAAAGATGTGGTGACGGGTCTCAAAGATGAGATGTCGGATCTTAAAGATGTTGTGAAGGATCTCAAAGATGAGCTGAACAAGAATGAAGCCAAATCTGATACTTCAGCTGCTAATGGTTTTTCGTTGTTGAAGCAGACGGTGTCGGATCTCAAAGATGAAATGTTGGAGCTTAATGGTGGTGTGTCGAATGAAATGTCTGATGTCAAAGATGACCTGTCGGAGCTTAAAGATGGGGTGTTGGTGCTTAAAGATGGGTTGTTGAATCTCATACGTAAGCTGAACAAGGAGAAGGACAAGTCTGATACTTGTGCTGCTAAAGTTTTGTCGTTGGAACAGACGGTTTTGGATCTTAAAGATGAGCTGAAAAAGAATGAGTCATATCTCAAAGATGAGTTGAACAAGAATGAGGCCAGATCTGATACTTGTGATGCTAAGGTTTTGTCGTTGGAACAGATGGTGTTGAATCTCAGAGCTGATCTGAACAAGGACAAGGGTGTTGTTTGCCCTTGGGAAGTATTGGATTATGAAAAGTAGAAGAATATTAGACATTTTATTACTATGTTTTTGGTTTTCTTTTTATCAATTATTAACAAGAACTTTGGGTGTTTTGTATATGTTCGTCTCAGTCTCAAGTTGCATGAAAGTATCAGTTTCCGAGCGTCATAGCCTCATAGGTATTCAAAGTTAGAGAGATCAAACCTATCGGGTTGACGACCTATTTCCCCACCAAAACTATGGTGTGGTATCAGATGTCTCCTAAACTATGACCTCGTCTGAGATCACCACCAAGTGAAAGTTAAATAGCCATATCCCCACATACACGTCTCGTAATGTGACTTGCGGCTAAAGTATTCAAAAGTAAAGCATTTCCAAATCACACATTGACTTGTGTTCTTGATTATTAAGTTTCTTCCTTTGGGAGTAAATAAAGATTTGTATGAACATTCGTATATATTACAGTTCACATCTCGGAAAAAAAACAAAATCAACCTTGAAAATCAAGTAAGAGAAGAGGATACACTAGACCTGTGAGCATGAATGTAAGAACCATTTCTTGGTATCTTCGTCTTCCCATTCCACATTTTCAATCCATTCTTTCTCTTTGTATCTTATGATGAGTCCATTTTCACCGTGCATGCCACTTTGAAAATCGAGTGGAAGCTTCTTCAGCTTTGAACATCCAAACACATCGAATCTCTTTAGACATGTAAATGGTAAAGGACTCCAATAGATAGTTTGGAACTTTTCTTTTAGCTGATCATATTTTGTTTTAGTAGCTATATTTCTTGTGAATTTGTCTTTATGATTTCTTTTGGATTTCTTATTACAAACGAAACTACATCGATCTTTATCTTAGAGATACTGTCTGCACCAAAGGATGTTGAAACCACGAAGCTTGTTCATATTTGTGGAAGTGTTATTAGTTCATCTTTGAATGAGTGCTAATATGAGTAATTTTCTCTATTAGTTATGACAGAGAAAAATTTGGACGAAAGAGAAGAAACAGAGTCAAATGCTAGAAAACTTCTCTTTGTTCTCGTTCTCGACCATCTTACATTCGCACAACCAAACGTAACAGTTTCGTAATGGTACACGACTTCTCAAAAGAAACTACCGATTGTTATCTAATGAATATATATGCACTATCTGATGTTTACATATGGAAACTGTTTTATATATTAAAAAACAAAAAATTGTGAAGGGCATAGGATGTAGAAGGATCTAGAAGATCTATAGTACTAATGTTGATATTGTGAATATATTGTAATTATGATAATGGGATTCTATCAATTAGATGATTAGGTTAGATGAGTCTTCTATATAAGTGTAACCATTGTAACCATTGTGATTATGAGAGTTAATACAATTCTTCCCAAACACTAAAGTGTTCTTCTCTCATCAATCTAATATAGGAATCTAAGAAGCATGAAAGCATGCACGAGTTTGTAGGATGTCCAAAAATGCGTCGAAAAAACACAAGATCCTGACTCATTTGACAAAGAGCTCAAACATATGTAGATGGTGATATCTTAAATCAGAAGGTAGAAAAAATAAAAGAGAAAAACAAAAACAAATTGATAATTATAGTCTAATATGAGCAGCATAAGGTAGAAAAGGAAATGAGGACCAAAAAAATGAACACTTGCGGATGTTAGTCATATCCCAAAATTCCTTTCCTAAGAAGTTGAGGAAAGGCAAACAACTAAAGCAGCCTCAAGGACCATACTTGGTGAAAATAATTTAAAAAAAAAAAAAAAAAAAAAAGAGAGAATAAAGTAAACCCATGGGCCATGGGTCATGCTCACGGTCATCTCCACATCTCATATTTCTGAAGTTGTGCTCGAAACCCTAATTCAGTCAAACCCTAGTCTTTTGCTCAAAGTAAGAAAAGAAAAGTGTTTCGCAGAGATATGGAGGATCAAGAGCAGACGAGTTTCACGTTTGAGATAGATAATTTCTCCGAGAAGGAAGCTATCATATCATCACCAACATTCTCAAGGGGAGGATGCGAATGGTAAACGAAAAGATTTTGTTTTCTTAACTCATCCTCTGGATTCAACAAAATAACTCGTCTTTGTTATTAGGGTTATAACCAAGCTTGATTTATATATATGTTTCTCTTTTTTATTTCTTTCAGGTTTGTTCATGTTCATAAAGGATATATTGTTGATGATCACTTGTCTCTCTACCTCCATGTTGCGAATACTGAATCATTGAGAATTGGATGGAAAAGACGAGCTAGTTATTCATTTATTCTGTTGAATCAATCTGGCAAAGATCTCTTCAGAGTACCTGGTAATTTACTTATCAGATGTACATGTATGTATATGTATGATTGTCGAGGAACAAAATTTTAGTTTAATCTTTCTGGTTTTGGTTTACAGAATCGTTGTGCCAATTGTTCTGCTATGAGTTCTCAGGACGGGGTAAGCCAAATGCCGTACCTCTTAAAGAGCTTCAAGAAAAAGGGTTTCTGGAGAAGAACAAATTGATAGTGAAAGTGGAAGTAAAAGTAGTTGAAGTTGTTGATGAAGGAGATGTCACTGAGAATGAGACGTTCAATTTTTTAAATGGTTATAACGTTATGTATTCTCAGGTATGATTAATATTATAAAGTTGTGTTTTTCTTCCTTTGTATTCCCTTTTGTAGGGTTAATATAGTTTCATCTTTCTCTCCGTGACAGCTTTATTCAGCGAATCAGCTTTTCGTAGAACATCCTAACATTGCTGTAAATTTCAGACCAAAGAGCAAACCGTTGAAGACAACATACACGAATCTCCTCCTCAATCTCATCGAGTTACTGAACAAGCCTCCACATAGCTTAACGGAAACTGACCTAAGCAACGCACAGATCGAATTGATCGATCTAACAGAAGCGGGGTTCGAGCTAGACTGGTTGAAGACAAAGCTTGCTGATGTTACCTTGGAGAGGAAGAAACCAAATCCTGATGTTTCTCGAGTCCAAGAACTCGAGGAACAAAACAAGAATCTCAATGCTGAACTGAAAAAGGAGAAGGTCAAAAGTGTTACTCCTGCTGCTAAAGTTCTGTTGTTTGAGCAGACGGTGTCGGATCTCAAAGATGAGGTGTCAGATCTCAAAGATGAGGTGTCGGATCTCAAAGATGCGCTGAACAAGAATGAGGAAAAATCTGATACTTTTGCTGCTAAATTTTTGTCGTTGGAACAGATGGTGTTGAATCTCAGAGCTGATCTGAACAAGGAGAAGGGTGTTGTTTCCCCTTGGTAATTATAAGTATTGGATTATGCAGATCTCCATAATGAAAAGTAGAATATTAGACATTTTTTTTACTATGTTTTCTTTTATTAATTATTAAGAAATACTTTGGGGTTTCGTTTAGGTTCGTCTCAATCTGAAATTGCATGGAGCTGTCAGTTTCCGAGCGTCATAGGTAATCAAAGCTGGAGAGATCAAACCTATCACATACACGTCTCGTAATGTGACTTGCGGCTTAAGTATACAAAGTATTCAAAAGTAAAGCATTTCCAAATCACACTTTGGCTTGTGTTCTTGATTATTAATTTTCCTCCTTTAGGAATAAACAATCCATGGTTTAAGATTTGTACAAACATTCGTGTACATTACAGTTCATATTTCGAAAAGAATAAAATTAACCTTGAAAATCAAGTAGGAGAAGCTAGACCTGTGAGCTTGAATGTAAGAACCATTTCTTGGTAGCTTCGTCTTCCCATTCCACATTTTCAATCCATTCTTTCTCTTTGTATCTTATGATGAGTCCATTTTCACCGTGCATGCCACTTTGAGAATCGAGTGGAAGCTTCTTCAGCTTTGAACACCCAAACACATCGAATCTCTTTAGACATGGAAATGGTAGATGTCTCCAATAGATACTCTTCAGCTCGGGAAGATCAACCAACACAAGAGTAACAAGCTTTTGAAACGGAACCATCCCTGATTTGTCACCTTCACAAACTTTCTCTTTGCTTATTATATCTTCTAGCTGGTTCGCTATATTAACAACAAGAGTCCTGAGATTTGGAGCAAACATCAGAAACGTCAATTCCTTGAGGCCTTTACAATCCAGTATCATCACTTTGGAGAGGCTCAAGAAGCATAGGTTTCTTGGATTGTGTAGAGGAGGGACCGTCTTGATCTCAGAGATACTGCTCCACAGAATGTTGAACTCACGAAGCTTGTTCATTGTTAATGGAAGTGATAGTCCAGATGTATCATCCATATCAATACCTCTGATCGTTAGGTCTCGTGTGCAACACGGCAACCTATGGGAGCTCAAAAATTTCTTCAAACTTGGAGGGAGATTGAAGTCTATGGTTAAGATTTCTAAATTCTCCAAGGTTTTCAACTCCTCCACTACCTCGCAATTCAATGTAAAACCAACACGAGATAGATTCAGTATTTTTAAACTATGAAGACTTGATATCCAAGCAACACTTGAAAGCTTATCTGCTTCTTCTAAATCCAAGTTAATAAGTTTTTTCAACTCTTTCACACCTTTAGGCAAATGGCGTATACTTGTATATGACAAGTTGAGATATTGCAAAGAAACCAGTTCCGATATGCAATCAGGCAACTCAAAAAGATTTCCGTTACAAGATAGATCCAAAACAGCTAACCTTGGCATGGACTTGAAGAATTCACTAGAGATATTCGCTAAATTCGCTCTTCGTAGGAGTAAAGTTGTGAGTTTGAGACATTCAGGACTACCATGGAGATGTTGAATCTTGTTGTTCATCAGTGACATCCTTCTCACAACGTTCCATTCCTCAACCTTTGGCATTTCATGTAAACCAACGCTTGCTCGTACTATGAAAGCTTCTTTTTGTATCCCCAAATCAGTCGCAATCCACAAGGCCATTTCACGAACAACATCATGCATGTACACACATTGTGTTCTATACCAATCAACCTCCATTAACAATGATGCACGAACAAGACTACCAATGATCTCATAACCTTTGTTCTCAGCCTTTTCTATACCTTCACTTCCATCTATAATCCCTTCACATATCCACAAGCCTATCAACTTTTCTTTAGGAATTTTATCATCCTCGGGGAATAAAGCGCAATATAGCAAACAAGATTTGAGTTGCTCGCCTTCAAGATTATCGTAGCTGTATTTCAAAAGCGGAAAGATCTTATCTTTCATGCTATAAAACTCTATAGCATATGAAGTCATAACATCTATTGTGTGATACCATTCTTGTTTCGTCCTTTTGCATGACATTGTCTCGCCTACCACATTAAGTGCCAATGGGAGGCCACAACATCTTTTAGCAACTTGTCTTGCAAGTTCGGGGATCTCCGGATCGCTTCCTAGGGTTTTCTGTCCAACTTTCTTATGGAACAAATCAAATGCATCATGTTCCTCCAAGCATTTAACTTCCATTGGTTCTTCGACTCCCATGTGCGCACAAACAGCCTGAGAACGAGTGGTGAATGCTACTTTACATCCGTTTTGAGCTGTTGGAAACGGGACTCCAATCTCAACTAAATCCACTTTCTCCCATATATCATCTAGAAACAACACAAACTTCTTTTTCCTTAAGAAACTGTATATAACATCTCTCTTTTGGCTCTTCTCTTCTTGTTTCCACTCCTCTCCACGGACACCGACTTTCCGAGCGATTTCATCTTGAATCTTCTCTACTTGCAACTCTTTAGACACCACAACCCAAATCACAAAATCAAACCCACAGCTCTTTTCACTAAACCTATTGTTGAGCTGTGCTAAAAGCGTTGTTTTTCCTACTCCTCCCATACCGTACATACCCATAACACCAACTTCATCTCCCATGAGATGGTTCCATGCCTTTTTCAACGTTCTTTCTTGTCCTACAATTGTAGGTTGAAGTTGTCTTTCCTCCACTTTACACGTTTGAGCTTGCTGATCACAAACCACTTCAAAAACCCTACTTTTGAGTTTCTCAACTTCTTTTTGATAATTTAATTTTGATGTAAATAAATCTATCTTAAAATCATTGACCATAGTGAGGTACAGTCATTTTGTTGGATATGTGAGTTATCGGATTCAGAATTTGATTCCTAGCAAATTTTCATAAAAATGGAATTATAGTATTATGTTTTTTTATGGTTTTAAAGACAGTTTTAGCTCTATAAAATTATATAGTTAATGCTAAGTTATTCTTATACCTATAATAGTTTATTTGTTTAAATTTTAAATAATTTAGGAGGAGGTATTGGATGACAGAATTTAAGCCTATTTTAAGGGAATGCAAAAGAAGGAGTAATTTCACTAACCAAACGAAAAGAAATAAAGTAGGTTTGCGTGTTTACATTTATAATACTAGAAACACAGGTCAGGAGCACATTATAATTTACATTCATACATTAGAATCCTACATTCATACATTAGAATCCTACATTAGAATTTGAGCACATTCATATCATATCTCATTTCCCTCCTTTAAGCTGGTTCTCTTCCTATCCTGAGGTTTACTAATAAATCTGATCAAGCTTCCAAATAAAATATTCAAAAAACATTGACTCAGAAACACGTTCATGTTTAGAGAGGTTACTGCATCACAGTTGGGGCATGAACTTCCTCAATAAGAGCTTCACCATCTTTCGGAGCTAATGGTTTCTCCGTTTCTTCTTCCATGGGTTCCTCTTGATTCTCCAATACTTATTGTAACGAAGTTTCATCCAGAGACAGTGTCTAGAGAAGAGTGAAGACCACACACAAAAAAAAAAAACCCAGAAGAGTCAAAAGTCATGAAGAAGATAAATTTAGTTAGTAACAACCTCTGCTATAACTGCGTCGATAAGCTGCTCAGCAAAATCTTGGAGAATCAAGAGGAACCCAAAATATAAATCCTGCTCAGCAATACTTCCAGTTATACCCACTGCTCTTTATGCAGACTTCACATCAGGCTCTGAATCCTTCAAAGCATTCGGTCACCAAAATTAGGCCGAAAATACCGTAACGTTGCCACAGCACCAATCTCTAGATACCTACATAGTAATTGTCTCAAATAAACAAAATTCCAGCACATCATACTGACAAAAGATTTCAAAACAGAACCATATCAAGTAAGTCACTTTTGGAGATGGGACATAGATTACGCGAGTGGACTCAGCCTCCCCGTTATTATTTCCACCATCGACATGACTGTTTTTATCACAAACCTCATTTAGAGAAACACCATTGTTAACATGGTGAACACAGCTCTTATTTGCAGCTTCCTCCGCCTACATGTCCTCATAATCATATACATAACATTCTTCAGAAGGAGGACCCGACGAAGGCTCGCGTCACATTTCCCGTAGATAGTATTCTTAATCTTCAGGACTGCAGCAAAGTGTGTTGATTCCAGGTATGTAGAAAATGCATGCATTGTGTGATGATGGCTTAATTGTTCTTTCTTCAGTATGACTAACTTCTTCTTGCTTGGCCTCAGAGAGATTAGGCTCCGGTTGTGAAGAAATAGTTGGAGCTATAGGTTCTGAAGGCTCTTTATCCTGCAAAATGCGAATAATCAGAAAATTAAAAAGATTATCAAAACTTTCTTGCTTGTAATGATGGTCAAATGATTGGTTGATTGAAGCAAACCTTGTGGGGTTTTTCTTCTTCTTCCTCTGCATCGAAGTTGCACATGGTCTCAACCTTAAATGATCTCCTCGCTTTGATTTTAGGAACCGAAGCTGCACAAAAGGATAACTTGAATACAACTTTGAACACAAACTCATTTTGATTCTGCGCACAAATTACCATATTTTCCCCTAATTCTATGATTCTTGACATAACTAAAACATAACAGTCACGCAAGAAAGCTTAACTTCCTTCCGCTTTTTCAGATTTCAATCAATCAAAGATTATTTTTTTTGCAATGGAGAGACTGTTTTAAACGTGCAATAGCTAATTTCGCTTCTCACAACAGATATCAGTAAACCCTAATTATCACTAATCGGATTTAAATCCACGAAACTGAGACCAAATTCCGATATCCAAACCACATATCTGATAACAATAATCACCCAATCTGTTCCAAAACCTAGGATCTAGAAACTAAAAACAAAAAGAGAGCAAAGAAACTCACGAGGGTAAGAACTCGTACGTTTGGTCAATCATTATCGTCATAGCTATACCCGTTGATTCCTCTGTTGTTGCTTCCATGCTCAATCACAAATTCACAAACCGAATCGAGTCAGAAGAAATGTATAGAGAGAGAGAGAAATGAAGAGAATTTAGATAGAGTTAAAGGTTCTTTCGTGGAGCACATACCTTTTGGTCGAGCAGAAGCACGACAACGCCGGCGCCTTTTGCTCCTGTTGCGATGCGCGGAATGTGGACTGAAGCGACATCGTGAGCCGGATGGGAAGAAGAGAGGAGGGAGTCGAGAAGACGGAACCTTCTGCTCTATAAAACATAAAATCAAAACGACGTCGTTTTGGAGTCACAGAGGAGGGGACAAAACGACGTCGTTTTGGAGTCAAACGGGAGTTAAAAAAAAAAGAGATGGCGTGACACTCTGGGAGTGCTGATGTGTCATCAGCTGGAGAATGTCACAAGCCCTTTCAATTATATAGATTAGTCTAGCCGATCCTGATTCAGTGTCCAATTTTAAGACTAAAGGTATGGGTTAGATAAAGATGACATTCATATCAACTAATCCAAATTTGTTTAGAATTCATATCGTAATCTTAGCAAGAAGTCAAATGGTAGAATCATCGCCTTTTAATTTGTACAGCCAAAGAAAAGCATTTTCGTAAGAAAAATATAATGACATTACATTGCTTCTCCTAATTTTCTAAGAACAATGTTTGCCCTATCAAACTCTAACAGATTACAATCAGAAAAAGAAACATTACAAACTCAAAGAAAACCAAAAGTATTTTAACTAATCCATCCTGATTATTCACCACAAGCCAAATAAAAAGCTTGATTTTGGAAAAGTCCATCTTTTAGATAAAGATGACTACTGCATTAGTCAAACGTTGACCAAACTTCCCACCAAAACTCAACGGCGGTGATTAACTCTACCTAAATCCACGAGCTTCTTTGACCTATTTGCGCAAAACGACGCCGCTGCTGATATATGAGGCTTTTCCGGTGCCGTTATCTCGCCGGAATTTCCAACAAACTCCGATGGAAATCTCATCTTCCGTTTAAAAGGACAGTTAGGACTAGCTCTCACCAACGGACTCAAACAGAATCCTATCCCCGACATGCTCTTCCCTATCCCCTTCCTCCTTCCCGGAGTTTTCGTCGCCGGCGTTCTTCTCGATATCCCCGACGTTTCCGCAATCAATTCCGATGGTGGCTCGTTTCCGTCCGCCTGTTCCGTATCTCTCGCAGGTGACATTCCTCGACAGAACACTCGTTGAGGTCTACGACCGGCGATTACGTCCTCGATGTAGCACGCTGTGTTTGGTTGCCTTTTGGAGCGACCGGCGGAGAGAATTGACGAGATCCATGACCACGACGAAGACGACGAAACCTCCGATACGTCGCAGGAAGATCTAGGATCGGATTTGGGATTGGTACCAAAATCATCAGATCTGGTTCTGAACAGATTAGAGAATCTATAAATTTTGCCTTGTTTCGATTTAGACGATCGATTCGATTCGAAATCCTTGCATGAATATCCGAGATCGACCTGAGGCGTGGTGAAGAATCGGCGATTAGAGGCTAAAAGATCTGCTCTTCCTCCGGCGTCGGATTTTCTACGGGTTACGTAAGGAGAAACAGAGCGAGGGAAAATCAGAAGCGGAGGAGGAGGATTATTAGATTTCCGCGGTTGACGGTGGTTGTGATCTTCCGCGGCTGTGGCGGCGGCGGAAGCGGCGAGAGAGAGGAGACGTTCACGGAGACAAGAAGCGCAGACGCCGAAGTTGCTGCTTAAATCGACGGTGTGTCTTTTGCACCTCATCGGAGGGAAATGAGAAGAGATGAAAAAGGTTGAGACTTGAGAGGGAGGATTTTGCTGGCGGAAACTTTATTCCCCGAAGGTTTCGCTGTTGGAGTGATGTGACAGCCTGTAAAGAAGAAAGAAAGAAAGCAGAGGATCTGGTCGTGAAGATTTTGTCTTCTTCTTCTAACATCTCTGTTTAGATAGAGAGAGAAAAGAGATGGAGGAGAGAGAAAGCATTCTCTGTCGGAAGATAAAAGAGAAGAGAGAGAAAGTATCTTTGAAGATCGCTTGTAGCTAATGGAGGAGATTTGTAATCACAACATTTAGGCAGATCATCATCATATCACTTTAACAAATCTCTATTTGATTGTTGAGGTGTCTTTTTTTCTATAACCAAAAACCAACGACACATTTACTTCAAATTCATAACAAGCAAAAAAAAAAAAAGTTAAAACTTAATAAATGATAAAACCATCTTGTTTATGACCATTTAAAATCAATTTTTATTTATCTAATCATCATTGTATTAACAAACGCAATATGTATAGTTTCATCTTCTGATTCTTGCAGAAGGATAAAATCTACTTATAGTTGACGTTGCTTAATCTGGTATCGGACCAATACCAATGGATCTGTAGTGATTACCTCAGCCACTGACTCAAAAGAAATAAACAACACTTGAATGATAAATGTAACCAATGTATCTGTAGTTCTGTACTAGTAGATAAAATATAAATAAATTAAGAACCTCAAAGGGAAGCATGTGACGGTGGCTGGTAGAAGCCGACAAGTATTAGGTGAAAAGAGCCATCGTCGTTTTCCACATCCACACGATTGTTCGTCCGTTTCCTCAACCGATAGCCACGTAGCCTCCCCAATCCCCTTCCTAGGCCTAACTTCTATATTGGGCTTATAGTAAAATATACCTTACTTGTTGGGCCTTCAAACTCCAATCATTTGTGTGTTTTCCCTGTTTTAGCCTTTTAAGATTGGAAGTGATGATGCGACGGATTGTAATTCTATGCTGCGTGGGGTCAACGTGGAACTTCAAAATTCGAAAATTCAAATGCAAAAAGGCCAAAAGGAGATTATGCACACTGTTCACACTTCACACACAATCTTATCTACATTATTTTAGATTTGACCGTTTTTCAAAAAGTAGGAACCAGACCGTAAACCGAACCGAACCAGCGGTAGACGACGCTGTGACGGCGCGACCGAGCAGTTTTATAACGGACCGAACCACATAGAGAGGCACATGAACCAACCCTTCTAGAACCCATAGCGAGACATTTATTCTCTATTCATTTTCCTATTTTACCCCTATATTTTCTTCCTTTTGCTCTCCCCGGTCTCGGAGTCTTTGGTCTCTTGTCCGAATTTTCAAGCAGACTCTTTTCCATTTTCTTCTGAACTGAAAATTTCGTGGTCGGAACTTTGAATTTTCAACTGTAAACGGAAGGAGAAGGAAGATGACGACTATGGAGAGCTTGATTGGGTTGGTTAATAGGATACAGAGGGCATGTACCGTGCTCGGTGACTATGGCGGTGGAACTGGAGCTAACGCTTTTAATTCTCTCTGGGAAGCTCTCCCAACCGTCGCCGTCGTCGGTGGTCAGGTAAATTTCTACGGCCAAAGTAACTTTTTGATTTCTTCCTGAGTTATTCCCTGTTTTTCTCTCTGTTGACTCATTCAACTTGAATTTGTTTGAGTGCAGAGCTCTGGGAAATCTTCTGTTCTTGAGAGCATAGTTGGGAGAGATTTCCTTCCTAGAGGATCCGGTTTGTTAAATTTCTTAACTTCTTCCATTTTTTTTTTCTTTGTAAATAAGGCAGAAGAGGTCTGATTTCGAGCAAAAACAAAACTATTGCTGTACAGGTATCGTTACGAGGCGGCCTTTGGTGTTGCAGCTTCATAAGACGGAAGCTGGAACAGAGGAGTATGCAGAGTTCCTCCATCTTCCCAAGAAGAACTTCACAGATTTCGGTATGTACCTTTCACATTTATGTCTATTATTAGACATAAGCTATGTAAGAATGTATATGTGTTCTGCTTCTTTCCTGTTTTACTGGTTGCTTAGAGTTTGTCATAGTGTCCCTATTGTTTGAATTTATCATATTCTGGTCACGGTTTTAACTAGACTCTGTAGCTGAGAGTGTTCGTTGAAATTTTGGTTTAATGTTGCAGCTCTGGTTCGCAAGGAGATTCAAGATGAGACAGATAGAATCACAGGGAAGAGCAAACAGATATCTCCAGTTCCTATCCACCTCAGCATTTTCTCTCCTCATGGTTGTGCTCTAATTCACACTGTTGATTTTTTTACTCCTTGTAATACTCTTGTTTCTAGTACTAACTTTGTTCCCTTTATTTGGAAACAGTTGTGAATCTGACACTCATTGATTTACCCGGTTTAACTAAAGTTGCTGTTGGTATGTTTCCTTTTCCCTCTTTTTTTGGGTTTCCATTTCTTAACTATTTGATGACTGTATTAGAACGTACTGATATACTGTCTTATGTATTCAGAGGGACAGCCGGAAACAATTGTTGAGGATATCGAATCCATGGTTCGCACATATGTTGATAAGGTGAGAGAATTGCTACTTCTTTGATTTGTAAAAAACTGATGTTGAGTGTGTGTAAACTTCTGAAACGTTTCTGCTTGTTTGTTTGCAGCCCAATTGCATCATATTAGCTATATCTCCTGCTAACCAAGACATAGCTACGTCAGATGCTATCAAGCTC